CCTCTGAGGAATATCTCAGTACATAACTCAGATCAAATCATCCATTTCGATAAAGAAATATAGTCTGGGAGGAGGACACATACCCTTACGGAGGAAGGAGCTGTACGAGCCACAAGAATCTTGTTTGATACGAACCCTGACATAATATCAGGCATTATTTCCAACCTAACCGCATAGTCCACCGAGGGATCATCCTATTGCCTTGATCATCCTATTGCCTTGATCATCCTATTGCCTTGATCATCCTATTGCCTTGATCATCCTATCGTCTTGATCATCCCATCGTCTCAGTGCCCCGAAACGGAAATATTCTTCACAGCCTTTCAAGACCGGCTTCTGCGGCTATTTCTTGCCGATGCGGCATTTTCACCCATCTCCAACATCAAACCTTTCTACAACAAAGACCCCAACACCTGGTACCCCGCAGAGCTGATTGCAAGAAGAGATTAAAAGCGGGACTCGATGCTGCACGAGTCCCAGAAGAGCAGTATCGAATCGGAGCCTATCATAATCATGCATGATGCACCTCGAAGGGGTCTGTGATATCTTCCAATATGCAGCCTCTCCACTCTATCGGTGTCTGGCTGGTTTGCTCCTGGTTCTCAGTCAGATCCCAATGAGTCTGTCCCCGCAGGAGGCCCAAACGCGCAATGTCGGCGTTTTGAAGTCACGTACGGACTACATTGTACAGAGTGAGATGCCTCAACGACCTTGTCTCTTGGTATGCACGGTTTCTTTTCTTTGCATAGTACAACTATGTACAATATATATGGATATGATCTAATGCCGGCCTCAACCTGATCTCGGGAGCTAACAGCTAATCCAACCCCAACAATGCAGGTGCAGCTCCTAGGGCGTCTTGCCGCTCATACACCTCTAGTACACAAATACCCCGAAAGCAATCAATAAAAACAACTAAAAACACAGCCAGAACACCCTGGCATGCTCCACTGTGTGGATATGGACATATCTCAGGTAATCCAGGGCTGCCAATGAGGCCAGGTAGCACCCCTCCTCCAAGGTCCCCAATCCGAGCAAACTTCGCCTCATAGGCTGCCACGACAATAGCCCAGCCTGAAACCGCTGTAGGCGCGGGAAATTACACACTCGGCCTTTACTTGCTGTGTATTCTCCGTTTTTCCTTTGAATACGACGTTTATCCTAATTCGTTCTAGTACTTACACTCCACATCATGGTACGCATGTTGTACATAGTTATGACTGTACTCATGAGATAATAACAGGCCCGTCCCGAAACCAGTGGACCGAGGCATGCAGATCTACGTCGTGCCCGAAACGTGGCCGTCATTGTGGCATGATAGTAGAAGGGTTGGATTTTAATATCGCACTAATAGGGAGTGTTTTGTGCTGCCACATTATCCCATATATTATTCACCTCACTATATTGTCTTAGAAACATATCCCTCCACATAGCATAACATATGATCAATGAAACATATCCAAGTCTAGTAGTCGACGTTCAAAGGAAACAACTTACACATGTATAGGCAACGATGTCCGTATCTGGAAGTGTAAGCAACGTAAACAATGCAGACCATTGCTCCACAAAACGAACCCCTGCAAGATTCTTAGTCTTCAGCCTAAGCCAATGGATCAGCTATATTCTTCGCAGGAACCCGGCCCGAGCACAACGCAATCTGAGCTACTCCGTACATAGCCTGATTAACCCGGTCATGTTGTACCCATTATACTATCGAGAAAACACCGAGAAAGATAACACTTAGACTTCGCAAGAAAATAGATCGGATACTAATCTACTCACCGGCTTTTGCGCCATATTCGCCCGAGGGCGGGCGGACTGTAAAAGTTTACATCATAGGTAGAACCTGATAGGCTTGGCGAGCGGTTGAGCATCTGGCCAGAGTATTCTTTTTACAGCGCATAGCGCGTGAGAATAGCTTGAAGAACATGATAGGCAGGCGGGTTGAGTGGGATGCAGGGCTGGGCTCATTTGACTCGACCACGCGATACTATGGAGTGTGAACGGGTCGCGGCGACATTACAGCGTCTTAGATTGGAGGGAGCATGATGGACGAGGAAATAGAATTATGCGCGCTATTATTGATCGGGATAATTTACTCCGTAGCAGTCGTGAATCTATAAAGCTGGGCTCATATCCGTCCCCTGTTAGACTTTTCTTTCTCTATCCAAGCCGTCTACATCCAAACCAAACATTACTCTTAAGCTTCTTTTTCAAGGTTCTTTACCTACCAACTCTATCTTCATCATGTCTCCTTGCACCTGCAACTGCTGCTCCGGCGAGTGCACTTCTTGCTCCTGCTCTAGCTGCAAGGTATGTACCTGCGTGCTCACTCCCTGTCTTATAACGGTCACTCATAGTGGGATGCGGCCCTAGGGCAAAAGATATACTAACTACCCTCCTAGCACTAAGCCAACCCACCGGCCTTCATCACCGCCATCTTCCTCCCATACAACCCACACTAGACCCGGGCTTCCACTGCTGTCAAACTAGCTCATTGTTTCGTCGAGTTATGAGATAACTCCATTGTGATCGTTCATGACCGAGATGATTGTATGCTAGGATCTGGGGATAATAGGGCCTGGGGCCTTGTGGATGAGGTGTTAAGTTTATAGGTTCGGATTTGACCTTGTGTGTGTTCTTGTGATTTAATTTTTAGTCAACTATGAAGATGTTATATTGTGTGATTCATGACCTTTAGTAGTATCTGTATGCTCCAATACATGTGTTTCGACTATGCTCATAGTTTAGGGCTATGCAGATGTCTTTGACATACGTCGATTGAATCGAACCCCGATCACCGAGAAACAGATGTTCACTTTAACACCAAGGAACAAGAATACAAGGGTAAAAAGCGCTCGAATTGCAATTCATTCTAATGAATGAGATGCACGTGAAATAAACATTCAATACATATGTAACACCAGATCTCTAGATCTATAGCCGTCACAGCTCGTCTTTCGAGCGAGGCGCAACATTACCTGCTTCCTCACCACTTGCACATGCAGCCGGCGAGGTAACAAGCATGGCATACACGCACTTCTCCTCTTCCGCCGTCTTCAAGATCTTGTTCTCCTCACCGCACTCTAAAATGACCTTGGTCGACCGGTTAGGTCCATTCCAACAAGACTGGCCGTTATTGTATTGAATCGTCATCTTCTCGACATTGACGACCTCGCCAGCCGCGTTGACCTCTTCTACGGTCGTAGTTCCAACATTCGAGAATTTGCCCATCGACACAGAATTGCTTCCCTTTCTCTGGTTCTGCTTGGTCGACTCAAGGAAGCAATGCTCGTACGTGTACTCACCCGCATCCTGGGTGATACATACCCCCTTGAGCGCGCGGAAGATGGAGTTAGGGCCATAGTCCTGCTCAAGGTCGGCACGGTGGTCGCGGAGCTTGTTCTTGATGCTTGTAACAGTATCTTGCGCGGCCTTAAGGGCATCGCGTGCTTGGGTCACGGCCTTGGATTCCGAGGAAGAGTCTTTATCGGCCTTGGGAAGAATGCCCTTTTCTTCAAGGTAGCTCCTAACAGAAACGGCCCTATCCTCAATGAAGCTGACAAGCGAGGGTGGGAGATAAGCAGCGAGCTTGTACACTATAGTTCCTGTTGGTAAGCTATACAAGGTGTCACAAGGAATCACGGAATATCTTACCTAAATCCGAGTCGTTGCATCCATCCTCCTCGTTTTCCCAGTGTTCCCAGTTAATACCATGTTCTTCACCGTCGGCTTTGGCAATCTCGTCTAAGTCACGGTCGACGGCAGCGTTCACACCCTCGGTGCCTTGCTCACGAGCAGCGTAGTCCTCATAGCTACGGACCGCACGTTTGACACCCTCGTCATTGAAATTGGGGTTATATTCCACCTTGACCTTAGCCAGAATATCCTCAAGCTCCTTCACCCGCTCGCGGACTTCATCCCGCTGCCGACGCACATCGACCAACGCATTGCGTAGCTCGTCAACACGGCCCTTGGCCAAGTTTGCAAGGGCATTGACCTTGCCATTACCTTTGCCATTTCCAGTACGAACCACCTTGCGGTCCTGCTCCTGGGCGAGCTTCAGATCAGCCTCGAGGTTCTGTTCCTTGAGCTCAGCACCCTGAACCTCGGCCTCGAGCGCAGCAATATGGTCCTCGAGCTCCTGCTGCTGGCGACCAGCATCAACAAGAAGGTCCTTCTTCTTCCTCAGGGCAGCATTCATCGACTTTTGGTTCTGTTCCTCCTGCTTCCGCCATTGCTTGCCAATCTCCTTGCATCGGTCTTCACATTTGGTGCCTCCAACGCGAGCCCACTCATCGCTACCATCACAACACTCCTCATAATCACAGATACCATCGTTGATACGCTGGAATGGAAGGTATGATGGCCGGTGGCCCTTGTTTTTGCAGTAGAATCCCGGAAGAGCGAGTACGGTGTCTAATTCGCTATTCCCAGGCCGGTCGGCCACCGTTAGTGGCGAATTGCGCGAAATATGTGCGCAGGCAGACGTGCCAGGCTCGTCGCTTCCGTCGGGGCAGTCACAGTAGTCATCGTTGACGGCCGAGAAGGGGATTTTGACCGAGGGATTCGAGATACAGGTGAATGTCGTTGAGTCCTGGTAGAATTTGGCAACTAAGGATACTATATTAGTGTAATCTCTAATATAAGAGGATCAATTGCCTATCATAGATCACTGCTACATGAACCAGCCGCAAACAATAATGCAAATAATGGATCTAGAAAGTCAGGGTTCAGATACTCACATTCTGGGCCCAAGCCACGGGGACGGGCAGGCTTGTCACTACTAGCCTGGACCGCCGACCCAGCGGCAGCCAGCAAGAATAACGACTGAGGAAGTCTCATGCTTGAGGCATTGAGCTTTGTTTGTCGAGTTGCGGAGAGAGCTTCTGGCCAGCTGTTGATAGCGGGCCCTGGATCTAATCGCTGCTGAGTCAGCGCGCTATCTTTCCAACTTTATCGTGGCGAAGTCGGGGGCATTTTACAACCGCATCGCAAATATGGGTAATGATGGTGGCAGGTAAGCGACTCTATTATAAATGTGCCATAGACTCAAAAATTCTAACACAAAGCTTTTTAGTATTCCGACTCGCCGCGAGCTCGTTCGCGAGGCAGCCCGTGCCCCGAGCACGGCGCAAGTAAAAGAGACTCAGCGCGAGCAGCAAGAGCACTCCTGGACTACTTGCCCGCTCTCACACAAGTCCCTCTCTCGGCCAATTGTATCAGACTCAGTCGGAAATCTTTATAACAAGGACGCCATTCTCCAGTTCCTGCTTCCCGGCGACGATGTCGAGGGGATCAGCTCTAAGGCAGACTGCGAGGAGATTCTATGCGGGCGAGTGAAGTCGCTCCGGGATGTGGTTGAGATGAAGTTCGAAATCGACACTGAGCTCCCCGAGCACCCCTCAGGCCGTGCTTATGCGCCCCGTGAGCGTCGCGAGGGCTGGATCTGCCCGGTCACCGCCAAGCCGTTGGGCCCGAGTGTGAAGTCTGTGTACCTGGTGCCGTGTGGACATGTATTTGCAGAGGAGGCTATCCGACAGCTCAAAGGCGACAAGTGCTTACAGGTAAGAATCATGTCTTTGATACAAAGCGGAAATAGTGGCTGACGTGTGTGTGCTAGTGCAACGAACCCTACATCGAAGACAATATCATTAACATCCTTACCACCAAAAAAGAAGATAAGGAACGTCTGATTGCGCGAGGCCATAAACTCGCTGAACAAGGCCTAACGCATTCCCTCAAGAAAGCCCCCGGCTCAAAGAAGCGCAAGAAGAACGCCTCCGCGGAGGGAGTAGCTGATGCTCCCGGTACCATAGAGCCTGCTGGATTGGTAGTACCTAAGCAATCCTCGGATCCTAAAAGTCGAAGCAACACTTCCACACCAGTGCCTAATACTGCTTCTAGCAATGGAATCAAGAACGCCGCTACTTCTTCGCTCACTGCCCGTGTGTTGGCGGAGGAGAATGAGAAGAAGAAGCGCCGGAAGATGATGGGTGGGAATGAGAATCTCGACAGTCTCTTCACGAAGAAGGACGGCGGGTCCAAGAATCGTGATTTCATGACAAGAGGATTTTCTATATCATGACCTGATTGTGTTCTTCCTGCTGCGCAGGTAGACGTGAGGCCTGAATGAAGTGCCTTTGCTTTTCAATGTGAGATAAGTCATGGAAGGAGTGTTATTTCCGGTGTTCAAGGGCTTTTGGTGTTCTTCGATGATTGATGATGACTATTGCGTTTTATGTTGGACGAGTCGACAGGTAGATATACCGTACATACCAATTATCTGAACTCACAAAGGACAAAAATGCAATTCAATCAACAATTCTAATGTACAAAAGATTGCTCTCAGATAAAGGGAAAAGTATGCCTCCAACATTCTACAAAACACAAGGAGAGGCTTACGCATTCGCCTCAGTCTTCTTAGCTTGCTTCCAATGGGCCGGTTGTTTCTGGCCCAGGCTCTTTGTGATCAAACCATTCTTGTAGAGCGTAGAGACAATAAGCTTCTTGCGGCCAAGATCTTCATCGTGGTCATGACGGGTCTGGCGAACATCGAGAATCTTGACGTTAGGCAATTGAGCGGCACCGTTCTTGTCCATAAGTTGATGGAGAAGCACCGGTGTCAATCTAGTAGTCTTTTTGTGAAGTGCCTCCTGTGCGCGGAAGACATCACTCGTGGTGGCGGAAGAGGTGATGATGTGGTCAGGAATATGCTGAGACATCAATTTGGAGAGACGGGCGAAGAACTGAGATGTGGTTATCAGTAATGTTGGTTATGAGAATGTCGAAGGGAAAATACGTACAACAAACTTGATGTTTCCATCAGCCAGTGACAGGGAACTGATGCTGTTCTGCATTTGACCCTCGGACTCTGCGTCATACAGGCGATTTCCCTTCTCGCCAGCTATCTTTTGCAATTTCCGGTGAGCGATCTTGGCGTCTTTGCCTTTCAAACTCCCTGCTGCATGGCGTAGAAGGATATTCATTGTTTTGACATCGGGGAAGCGGAGACGGTCGCCCCAGTTACCAGACTGGCCTTCGATCTTAACCGACTCGAGCTGTGCTTCGGTCTTGAGGTTGAGGTTGCTAACAACGGTGACGTTCTGCCCCAACAACATTTGCATCAGACCAATCTCCACGGCAGCTTGATGCGCAGCCTTCATGTATGGTAAAGGTCGTGGATTGTAGTACCATCTGTTCGATCAATCAAGAAGGACATTGTCAGCAAATCCATTGAGAAAATCAAACCAGGATGTAGAAGCATCGAATTGATGACTTGGATCAAACATACGGTTTGACTTTATCAGCTGGCCCCTTTGAACCCTGAAGACGCCATTCTTTCTCTGGTAGATAACCAATCCTGGGCATTCCCTCCCAGGTCAGGTTGTCATCGATTTCTTCAGACAGTGCTTCACCCTGTTCGAGACTGAATGCGTCCTCTGCTACCGGCTCTCCAGAAGCCAGATCAGTTCCTGGCATGATCTGACTTCCAGTGTAGGGGTCTGCTGGGCCTGGGGGCTTGTCGGTGCCCCAAATCTTGCGCCGAGCGCGTTCGAGGAGTCCGGGGGAGTCGGAGGCATATTGGCGGACTTGACCGAGCGGCGAGATACGGGGGGTAGTCTGAATTCTGCAGCTGGAACAGACAAAGTTTGCCTCCCGCAGAGGGAGGCGCATTGAGGGCCGCATTGTCGAGGTGGGCGCGAATGTTCTTTATGAGCGTCGAGCTGGCGGAGTTGGCCCGGACGGAGAAACAAATTCAAGAAAGGCACGAGTCACGTGTTGGTTATATTGATGCTTGGCATTTTTTCCTCACTACCTCAAGGCGAGGTTTAATAATTCAAATCAATCATTTTACGCATCAAATTGCATGTAGTGATTTAGTCTGTCTCTTTTTATTTCTTTAAAAAAGGCCACGTTTGATGTTGAATGAGAAATATTCTTCAATGTATTCATTCATAGTATGCAAACTGTAAATACACATACACCGCTGGTATCATGCTACGAAGGGAAAGATATAAAAGAACATTTTGTGCAAAGCAAGTAAAACAATTTACTCCCGGACAAACATGCCCGCCATACCCATACCTGTACCAATGCACATACTAATAACACCGATTTCCTGGCCACTGCGCTCCAACTCAGGAAGCAAAGTAGCCAATTGGCGAGCACCAGTAGCACCGAGGGGGTGACCGATAGCAATAGCACCACCATTAGGGTTAACCTTAGCCTGGTCGATACCAAGCTTGCGAATGCTGTAGAGAGCCTGCGAGGCGAAAGCCTCATTAATCTCCCAAACACCAACCTCGGGAACCTCAATACCAACAGCCTGCAGTAGTTTAGGGATGGCAACAGCAGGGCCAACGCCCATTTCATCGGGGGCACAGCCCGCGACCGCAGACGCGACCCAGCGCGCCTTAATGGCACCAGACAAACCCAGCTCCTCGGCGGTAGAGCGTCGCATCAACAAAGCAGCAGCAGCGCCGTCGCTGACCTGCGAACTGTTACCGGCGGTGCTGGCGCCGGTAGGCGAGAAAGCGGGCTTGAGCGAGCCCACCTTCTCGATGGACAGGCCGTGGCGGATACCGTCATCCTTGGAGACGGTCACATCCTTGGCGGGGGCATCGGGGTTCTCCGGGTCCAGGGTTTTAGTAGTGACGGGGACGATCTCGGAGTCGAAGCGGCCTGCCTTCTGCGCGGCGGAGGCCTTTGCGTGGGACTCCACGGCGAAGGCGTCCTGGTCTGCGCGGGAGATGCCGTAGCGGGACGCGACGTTCTCAGAGGTAAGGCCCATGGGCATGATGCAGTCGCGGGAGTCTTGGGAGTGGGACTCCTTCAGCTCGGGCCAGAGGACTGTGGGGATGGCGCGGGAGCCGTAGTTGCGGGTCATGGATTCCATGCCGCCGCCGACGCCGATGTTGATGGCGCCGGCGCGAATGTTATTAGCAATGGTTGTGATCGCTGCTAGGCCGGATGAGCACTGGCGGTTGATCGTGTGGAAGGGCACGGAGTGAGGGAAGCCGGCGTGGATCTGACCCATGCGGCCGGCTTTGGCGCCGCCTAATTCTTGCAGGACGGAGCCGATGAGCACATCGTCGACCTGGGCGGGATCTAGGTTCGGGTTTGCCTTCAGTGTTGCCTGCAGCACGCTGGCTAGTAGCTCTTCTGGGTAGGCATCCTTGAAACCACCCTTCTTGGCGCGGGTGACGGGTGTGCGCAGCGAGGAGAGAATGACGATGTCATTGGGAGACTTCTGGAGTACTTGGCGAAGTCCGCGGGGAATTGGAGAAGCCATGGTTTTGTAGGTTGATTGGATTGGAATTAGTTGAAAGTTGTATACCGATGGTCAAGGTATTTCTGATCTTTCTCGGCGCCGTCAGTTTCGAATTGAATGTCAGCTCGGACTGTTACTCACATATGTACAATGGCTAAAGTATGCAAGAAAGAGAAAAGCGAGAAACCGGCAACAACTCCATCCAAACTCCCCCGGGGACACCAATATTACTTATAGGCAAATGCCGGACAAAATTCCGGGGTCGGAAGTAGTTTGGTCGACTACCGTTGCTGAGTGGTCGCGGCACTGAAGATCGGCTAAGCGGTTTCCCGCGAAATGTGGGGAGAAAAGTTGATTCAAGTCGATGTTCCTAGTCTTGTACGTCGATTTCTAACAGCCTCTACACATTCTCCCCGGAGATTCTACAATACCGAATAATCCTAATGATAGACATGCACCTCGAACTGGACAGGACATCGGGAGCCCATCGGATGCTTATGTCAGCTATTTCGGTTCGGCACTTTGGAACCGGAAGCCAAGCCGAGAATCGAGACATTCCCGAATTTGATATCATAGAAGTTTGGATTAAACTAGAGATCCTGAGATAACTAATTGATATCCCTACTGAGGGACATATCGATGGATCCCCTGGCTCATCATTTGATGAAAGCCACCTTTGCCAGACAAATAGCCTCCAAGTTGTTCGCCCTGGGCACGAGCCAGAACTTAACCTGGACGACCAACTCAACCATGTTGATACCAGTTTCGATCAACTTGAACAGGTCAGCATTAGCAACTGGAGCGCCCTTGCAAGTCTTCCATCCATTGTTCTTCCACTTGGGCAACCACTCCGTCAAGCTGCGGACGAGATACTCGGAGTCCGTTTTGATAACGAAGGCATTCAGCGGCATGAGGAGCTTGCCTTTGCGCATCATGCTGTGGCGCTCCTCGATGATGCTAGTCGCATTGCGCAATGCTCGCAGGCAGGCGGTCAACTCGGCGATCTGGGTCGTGTGGCTGTGGTCGTCCTTGCCTGGAAGGGGCAAGGAGAGATTGCCGGTGTTGCCGCGGCCGTAGAACAATCCCATTGCTGAACGTTTTCCGGTCTTGTCGGTAACACAATCTCCATGAATGGCGATGATCAGGGAGTCTTCGTGACCTTCGTACTGTTTGCAGTCCTTGCATTTGCGGGTTGAAAGGGGACAAGCAAGACAGATCCACCTGCCGATGTCGCTTTCCATGTCTTGCAAGCTGAAGCGGGTGGGATACTCGTTTTCGGCATGGAAGCGACGGTCAGTAGCGAGTACCTTTCCGTCCTTCTTCTCGGGAGAGACAGCTATGTGGTCGCCGTTTCCCTTGGTGGCTGGACCATGCGCAGTCGAGCTGTGCCCGCAGCCCACCATTCCCTGGCCATAATTATCAGTATCTAGAAGATGGGATTTGTGCCGCGCGAATAGACGAGGCAGGCTATGCCAGTGTGATTCCGAGGTCAGGACCAGTGTTTACCTGAACATGGTAGGATTTCTCATTCTGGGGTATCTGTGGCGCGCGAGGCACGCGGGCCAATTCGGTCATCTCAGATTCAACTTTCTTGGGCTTATTTTTCTTCATTCTGATGCGCAAAGGAACGGTGCTTCCAGCGTTGCCAGGCATCGCGGCTGAAGATGCTTGAAGAGAGATGAAAAGTGTAGACAGTCAGAGAATTGAAGGTGATGGAAGATGACGGGGGGAGAAGAAAAGGAAGGATAAAAATCAAGAGGGGAAGTTGAAAACAAAGGTAAACAGATAGAAAGAGAGAGAAGGACAATCACAGTCAAACCCAGCAGCGTGCGAGAAGCAAACATGAAAGAGAGTGTAGTTACCTCCTTTTTGTCAACACTTCATGGGGTGCATAACAGCAAAATTAGAGGATATGACCTGACTAGGTAACCACTTGTGACGATTATGAATTAAAAGTCTTCAAAACATCAAAACAAGAATCAAGGTCTGTCTTCATGAATTCTATATCCCATTGCAATAGAACAAAGAGCTGCAGATTGTCCCACTTCGAGATTGGAGAACAATACTGCCAGTAAACCAATCTGCGTTAGAACAAGTATTTGAAGGCAAGCCTAAGAAAAAAAAAATAGATGAGTTTAGATGTCGAAGTAGAGTATTATAGGTGGATTAAGAGTGACGTGGGTGCGACAGTTGAGTGTTGTGTTCCTGGCGGTTGAGGTATCAAAGGAGAGGTCGCCTAGGCAATAATTGCAAATTGATAGAACTACTAACGCTCAAAGCAGGTCTATAGAGGGGTCTAGAAATAAAGAGATTGAGGTGCATAGTGCAGTATGAGAATAAATTGAGTAGTTCAAGAAGCAAAGTTGTAAGACAGGTCTTCATCGTTCATGTCATTTACAGACGTTAAGTCAAAGCCATTTCTAGTCGGGCGAATTTAAGATTACGAGGAACCGGCGACGGCCATTTAAATGTACTTTGTATACAGACTGCTGTAGTAGCTAAAGCCCGTGTGCGTGATCCTGGCTTGGAGGTTCAATATTCAAAGTTGGAAAAGATTAGGCTGTGGTCTTCAAGGCAATGTTTTGATATACCATATTTTCTGCTAGTTGAGTCCAGCGGAATATGAAACTGGAGTTTGCCAGCTGGCTGTTTAATTCTTGATTTTCTCGCCATGTACTAGTGCATGGAAATCTCCTGACTGCTGCAGATATCAGAAGTACATGACATGATATGCAGGTCAGCCGGAGTGCGATGTATAACTTGTGGTCATCTCCGGTCCCGTGATTGGACGTCTCATATTCTCCAGCCAGCCAAGACAACTAGATCTCATCCCCCGTACAGAGTACAGCTTGGATACATTATACATATGTTGGAAGCCAATAGTGAGAAGAGTATGAGAAGACCAAATACTAATAAAACCATCCCATAAATAGCACAGTACACAGAAGTACTCAAAACCATCCCTTGACCCGTGAAATCTCTCGGCCCACTTTTGCCTCTTATTTTTTTAGTCCCACTACTTTCCTCCTCGACACCTCGAATTTGTGAGTCATTTCTTCTGCTTTAAATTGCATTTTGGCCCTGGGGATCTTCTGTTTATAATCTTCTATATAATCTATACTAATCACCACCAGTGTTCCTTGAGCATCACCATGCCCCTCATCAAGACCACTGAAGTCAACGAGGACAGTCGTGGTATGTTGAATTGTGTCCAGAGCCAATTTGCGTGTGAGAGATACTGATGATCTTTGTGTTAATAGTCCTCGGATACGACCCATTGCTGTCACCCTACTTCTTGCAGACTGAGATCCCTGCGGTAAGTCACAAATTTTTTTTCACCCCGCTATTTGCGGTGACATGGCAAAACTACAAGCACACCAACTGACAACAATTGTCTGTATAGCCCGCTCGTGCCATCGAAACAGTCCGCGCCGGCCGGAATCAAGCAATTGAGATCATCGAGCAGCGCGATGACCGCCTGCTAGTCGTGGTCGGACCATGCTCCATCCACGACCCAGACACCGCACTTGAGTACGCCCGCCGGCTGAAGGAGCTTTCCGTAAAACTGGAGAAGGATCTCTGCGTGATCATGCGCGCCTACCTGGAAAAGCCCCGCACAACGGTCGGCTGGAAGGGCTTGATCAACGACCCCGACATCGACGAGACCTTCAACATCAACAAGGGTCTGCGCGTGTCCCGTAAGCTGTACACCGATCTGACGAGCACGGGCCTGCCCATTGCCTCAGAGATGCTAGATACCATCTCCCCACAGTACCTAGCGGATTTGATTTCGCTCGGCGCAATCGGCGCCCGCACCACCGAGTCTCAGCTGCACCGCGAGCTCGCCTCGGGCCTGTCCTTCCCCATCGGCTACAAGAACGGCACCGATGGCAACCTGACCGTTGCCGTGGATGCCATCGGCGCCGCCTCGCACCCCCACCGCTTCCTCGGTGTCACCAAGCAGGGTCTGGCTGCTATCACCAAGACCTCCGGCAATGAGCACGGCTTCGTCATCCTGCGCGGTGGAAACAGGGGCACCAACTATGACCGCGACAGCATCCGCACTGCCCGTGAGGCTCTCCGCTCCAAGAAGAAGCGCGAGGTCCTCATGGTCGACTGCTCGCACGGTAACTCCAACAAGAACCACCTCAACCAGCCCGTCGTCGCCAAGGCTGTCTCTGAACAGCTCCGTGAGGGCGAGACTGCCATCATTGGTGTCATGATCGAGTCCAACATCTACGAGGGTAACCAGAAGGTTCCCCCCGAGGGACCCGAGGGTCTCCTCCGCGGTGTCAGCATCACCGATGCTTGCATCAACTGGGAGATGACGGTCGAGGTGCTCGAGGATCTCGCCGATGGTGTTCGTGCTCGTCGTGCTGCCAAAAAAGCGCAGCAATAGAGGGATTCGGTTCTCTGTAGATCATGCCCTTTTTGTCTCTGATTTTCACAGCCCTTCTTCCGCGGAGAGGAGGGAGAACGGGTCTGGCATAGATACCTCGTTTCGGTACCTGTTGTTTCTTTATCTCGGGTTTTCAGCGGTTTCCTTTGTACCTTTTTTTTTCCTGCTTGTTCCTTGGGAAACCCCCTTGGAATTCATGTGTGAATGTGTAGCTGGTGTCAAAAAAGAACATTTTGGGGGGTTTGCGGTTCGCTGGGACTGTTGACGATTTCATAGTATGAGTGGCCAAAAAGTTTAGGAATGTGATCAAGGGCTGAATCTGCTTTTTATATTTTTCTCCGGGGTGTACTACTCCGTACTCCAAGGATCTTTTATTTTTTCTGCTCCACTTGTTAGCCCGCGGCTAAGCGCTTCTCCGGTGTTGAGGATGGGTCCGTCCCTATTTGGGGATTAGTGCGCAAACTTAGGTTAGATGGGCCTATTTAGGTCGAAATCATTGCCCAGGAATGAGTCACCAGCGGGTCGTGGGGGCGCTTGTATCCTCGTGGGGGTATATGTAGGTACTATTTAGGTGGGACCTGAGGATAGAGTAGAAATGAGAGCAGATATAAGCAGATCTATGTACTGTACACGATATACATGGAAGCCCGGCCGTTCACTCCCTTCGGAGTGTCAGGAAAGACCATACTGACTAGGAACACATTCCAGAAACACAATGGAAGAAAACGCCGTAAACCCCCTGGAAGAATGGAAGCAGGCCACGATTTAAAAAAAAAAAACCGCGACTTGCCATGCAAGAGAAAAGGTATCGCATATGGCGAGGAGTGAAGATCGGCGGAGGGAGAGAGATGGGTCCAGATTATGTCTGCTGGTAGATGATGAAATCAGATCAGCATTGCATCCGAGGACAGGTTATGGCATCATGCCAGCCCATCCAGTCCGTCCTTCTTTCTTTTTGTTTGCTTGGAGGACCAAAGGTTGCCCCAATCTATCGCCCCGTCAACCAGCTAGTCCAGCTTGATGTCTTGCTCTTCGCAGCCTGTCCCACATTCTCAGCCAGCACATCCAACTGACCGGGCAAAGGAGCGCCAGTCTTCGCCGCAGCACTATCGAGAGCTTGCTTGGCCTGCACGGCCTCCATAACACTACCTTGGCCCTTGTCGGCACCCTCGATAGCCAAGGCTGACGCGGATGTTGGTGCAGGATTGGCACCGCTGTCTTCCATGTTTAGCTTCTCGAAGAGGAATCGCTTCGCCTTGGCCCAGGGCTTCTGTGCCTTCTCCTCCTCGCGCTTCTGCTTCATAATTTCACCGATCTTCTCCTTCTTCAGGAGCTCTTGCTGCTCGGTGGTTGCGGTACCGTTGGCGTAGGCGATCTCGGCATCCTTAAGGGTCTTGAGTTCCTTTTCGATCCAAAGCGTGCGTTGGCGGCGGTTATAGAGCGTAAGCGAAATCATTGAGTAGACTGTAAGAACACCGCAGACACCTATTATAACATAGAAGGATTAGTATAAGTCCAGTAGGGATCAACTGGGGGTCCGTTGCTTGTCATTGCTGACTCGGACTTCGGAGGATCGTATGTTGTGTTGCTAGTATTTTGCTCATATCCCACAGGGCAGGAAACGTACCGGACGCGGCAATCAATGAGTAAACCATTCCCTTGTGTGCTTTATTGGCAAACTTCCGCCCAGACTCAATCCATCGGTCCGCACTGCTTCCAGCTGCCTGTGTCTTCCGAGCAGCCCGTGCCTGTGCTCGCAGTCGTTCCACCTTCTCCTTGGGTGTCTCCGGTTGGCCATTCGGGCCAAGTTGCTTTGGTGATGACTTCACGCTGGACTTCTTCTTCCCAAAGTCTGAGGCCTGGTTCGCGCCGCCGGTCTTGGAGTGGGCGTAGGGCCCGGTGGCCGTGAACCGCGTTGCGTCTGCGGCGGATCGGGACATGTTGGGAGTTCCCGGTTTCGGGGGGAGAGTTGAAGATAGGGATTGAAAATCAGATTGATATTACTGGAAATTGGACGGAGGCGATTGGAGGGCCGTGGTGGGGTGATGGATCTGGAGGCAGTTGATAAACCGGGGATTTGCAGGTTGAAGGTAAATTTTCAGCACGGGAATGCGCCAAGACATTCAAAACAGCTTCAACTGATCACTTTTATCTTCTTTCATTCCTTTCCGTCCTCTCATCTTGGGGAATTTGTAATTTGTATGTGATCAATAAATTATACCACTTATTCTTTATGCCAAAATTGACTGGTCTTTCTCAACGCCCCTTCTCCATCCTTGCTCTGCATATGTATCCTACGTCGACCGTCTTTGGAACACTTTGACATCTACATCGATCTTCACTCGCCATTCTCAATCTTTATATATCAATTCAGACCCAGTGTCGATATATTAATTGGAAACTTCGGAGTAACCTATACATCCCACGATATCTTATCGAAAGGCTCTATTTCAATATGGGAGACGGCTCTTACAATGCCTCGGACCTGAACTCAGTCCTCAGCACCTTGTCTAGTCTAGCTTCTCAGGGTCAGGGTTGCTCTAATCAGCCTATACCAACACCTAGTCAACCGCCAAAAATCAAATCCTCTCAATCCAAGCCCTCGGAGGATCCACGACCGCTGCAGCCAAGGACAACGAGACCGTCCACCACTTCTACTTCTGGATCTGACTCTGACTCTTCGACTATCACAACTTGGCCCGCAGCACTAAAACATGTGATGCGCACCGTAGGTCAAAACGAAGAGACCCAAGCGCGCATTCGCGGTGTGATCCGAAGTCAACACCATCATGAACAACAATGGTTCCACGCCCGCGAGGCATTATTGAAGCAGCAGAAAGGTCGCCCCGAGAAACAAAGAGAGCTAGATGCAGTCCTGTGAGTCTATCACTATGCTGCTCTGCGGTATTTTACTAGCGACGGATCACTAACGCTAAACAAGGAGGTCGATCGGTGCCCCTGTGAAAGAGGACGATGGCTCGGTATGTTCTCGGTGCCTATGTTAATTATTCGCTCTGACTGATTGTCATTAGACTGAAAAGGAGTTTGCCGCAGAGATTGCAACCTACGATGCAAAGGTTCATAGGGCGGCCGTGCAAATGGCAGATGCGATCATGGCCGAATTGCGCGGTCTGGGTATTCCATTCTTTACGCTTCGGAAGGAGCTGGTTCAAGATGGCCCAACCAACACAGAGGGCTCACATCCAGGAAGCCAGATCGAGTCAACTGGAACCAGTTCATCGCCAATTTCCAAGTCCGAGCTTGTGAAGTTGCAGCAACGCATGTTGGAATTGCTGGAGGATCTGTGTCGATAGTGAGATACTTCTCAGCATACATTCTTTATCTTCGATTCCCATCCTCTTCACAGTTTTCGTCAGTGATCAAAATGATGGGATGGCCGTGAAAGTTCTTGATTGAGGATATATAAAGCGGGAGTTTTTATTTGAAACTAGAAATTCTTGGTACGGTATATATATGCGCAACAAAAGCTTCCTCTGTAAATTTCTAAGCCAAACCATACGCACAATCATTGGGAATGAAGCTAATGTCATCAAACAAAACATTATCCGTATAAGAAGAATCCTCCGAATCACAAGCAGCGCCAATACTCAAGATCTCATTCTCCCTCTTTGGCACATAGCTCCCTGTGACCTCCGTCCACTCCCCAAAATTGAACAGCTGTACCGAGGCGATGCTACCGACTGTTGCATTGCGGCCAACGTAAACATAGACCGAGCAGTACTCTGAGCCGGAAGGCGATGGAACCTGAGCCTGAGCACTGAATTTGTATTCCGTGTGAGGCTTGAGGTGTCTTAAGCCCTGGGAGATGGTGTTGCCGCGGTTTCCTACTGCGGTTTGAAGGTTACTGGTACACATCACTTCGTTAGTATCTGATATTGTAGTTTGGCTGGACAGGGAGGGAGATTCGTACAGGTAATAATCACCACTGTATGCGATTGTGCCATTGCTTACTTGGGCCACATTCACGGCCGATGGATGCCATGGAGCCAGGATGCCGGTTTCAAAAGAAGGGTTTGACACGGCATTACATGCGGAGAGAGCCATGATGTATAGAATGCCGGATCAACAGTAAAAGACAATTGTGAATGGAATTGCAAAAGAAAAGACAACCCATCTGGTTTTATATTGCAAGTGTCAGCTTATATTTGAGACACTTCTGCGGGATTTGCCGACGATCTGCAATTAAGCCTACATATACAGTCATTTTCAAGCCACTTTGCCGAAAATAGCTCGTATTGCAGTTCCAAATAAGCTTTGAGAGGGGCTTATATTCAGACGGTTGAAACCTGACGTCTTGCTGATGGAGTCCATTATCAATCGTACGTTGGAGCTGTATATACCGGATTTTAGGCCGCGGTCGCGACTTTCCCGATCGGCGCTTTACGAAGGCACTCAAGGTCATGAGAACATATTTGAGGTCAGACCTGGACAGCACAGGCCTGTGTCTCGCAACTCGGGACAAATGATGACATAATAGGACATGCCGAAATCCCGGTCCGAGAAACAACGGCGAGACTTGCCAATTCAACACTTCCAAGGTTCTGCCTTCGAATACGTTGGTCGCAGAATGATGTTCTCGTTTCATATGGAGGACTCTTCCTCACAGGAACAGTCGAAAGAACCAAAACCGAAACGTTGCAAGATCAGCATCGCATGTAACGTTTGTAAAGCCAAGAAAACAAAATGCGATGGTGCTAGACCAGGTAAGAGAATGAAACGACGAAGTCGAAGAGTGCGATCGATACTGTGCTCATATGTGTTGTGGTAGTATGCGGGCCTTGCTCAAAAAGGAAACAAAGTTCGCAAGCATGTATATACCGGGAGGCTGATCGAGTCTCTCCTTCATCAAGTATGCCGTAAGTACTTGGAATAGAATCATCTTCAAAATATATAGCAGCCAAGCATCTCATGATGTTTGCTTGTGGCTCACTTGTCGCGGTCCATTACCTACAGATCAGCTTACGCATTGAGCAACACACAGTTCAGATACTGCCCGAGAGAAGGCTACGATCGACAGTGCCTCCTGTAACGCCGAGCAGGCAAGATACAGGAGCGAATGTCGAAACAGCTGCTCTCAAAATGAAGACAACGATGAGGCTAGCTTGTACAGCGGAATCGTATCTAACGGCAGTCTTTTTGGCGCATCTAGCGGGGCGCATATCTTGCATGAAGTTGGAAATGCGACACGCCCAAAAAGAGGGACTGAGAATAACCGGAAAGAAAGAAGTCGACTTTCGCCCAAACCGCTCGAAAAGTTGCCAAAGTTGCAAAAAAAGGAAGCTAGCAGAGAACCCTCTGACACGCAGTTTGCTCTTCCTACAAGGAAGGTGGCTGACAACTTAATGAGTCTATATTGGGATTATGTGGATAATATCTACCCCTGGCTTGACAAATCGTCTATCCAGAACGCATATGAGACTCTGTGGGTCAAAGAGGGAGAAATCTCTATGAACGAGAGGGCTTTGCACTGCATTCTCAATATCATGTTTGCCATGTCTTGTGTAGTTTCCCAGGCCGAAACACCTCTCTCTCGATATCAATCATCGGTTGCTTTTTTTCAGAGAGCCCAAGGATTAATGTCCTATGAACTGATGGAACTTTACAATTTTGAAATCATTCAAATCCTTTTGCTTACAGCGGTGTATTTCCAACACGACAAAAAGCCCCAGAAATCATTCCGAAGCATTGGCACGGCGATTCATATCGCACAAGATCTAGGCTTGCATTTACCTGCCACAGTTGAATCAATCAAAAACCCACATGAACGGGACCTTGCCCGTCAGGTTTGGAATGGATGCATTATCATGGACAGGTATGATATGAAGAGTCGATATTTTCAATGCGCGGGCTAATTTTATATAGGATTGCTTCCATGACTTTTGGCTGCGCGCTCAAAGTTCCCCAAGCTGTTGCAAAACAAGGATTGGATACTTTGGTGCTACAATCAATGGACACTGGGAATTCAACTCTGCCTTCGAATATGAACTTTTACATATCATTCTGTCGACTACATCACATCATAGGCGACGTCTTAGAAACCTTCTATAACTCCAGTGATTCCAAAGCCGACCCTGATCTAAGCAGAAATCTCACCGGTGTGAACTTGAGCTCACCATTATCCTTCGATAAATTCACAAGCCTGTTTAGAATCGAGTCGGAGCTATGCAATTGGACCGAAAACCTTCACTCTTATTTTCGAATGCCATTGGACCTTGAAGACCCGACGCCGACAAAGCATATGAAACGTCAAGCGAACATTTTACGCGCCCGGTTTGTATCCTGATACACGAGAATGTGAATTCCGGACTAATTTTTGTTGAAAGATATCTTTCTGTTCGGCTCCTCCTTTTTAGGCCGTTCCTTTCACAGATGCGCCATCGAAAGGCAGACAATGCTTCTGGTGCCAATTTGTACTCGGATGATCAAACCATTGGATATGTGGTCTTTCGGTGCCAAATTCAGTGTGTCAAAGCTGCTGAGGATATGATAGATTTCATCATCAGAAATTTACCAGAGCAGACGCAAGCGTATATATTACCCTCGAACTGGTACACCGTCTCATGTGAGTTACTCTCGTAAATGAGGCATAACGGTGTCAGCCACTAACAATTATAAGATATATACATGGCGACAACTATTCTGCTTGCAGCTCAAATGTCCCCACAGATAGTGGAACATTTTTCTTTCGTTCGTTTGAAGGGCCTTTTGCAACAGGCTTGTAAGATCCTCAAAGATTATGAAAAGTATGATACATTGGCTTCGCGGTGCAGTTCCGTCCTCAAATTGATCCAAGAACATATCGATATGCGCGGCTCTGGAGCAGACTATGCCACCGGAGAAGGTTCGCAAGACGAAGTCGACTATGACAGCACAATGATTCAAGGCGCAACCATGGAAGGACAAGAGCCTCAAAATAATATAGGAAACTTGGCCTGGCTTGAGAATTATCCGTTTGATTGGAACGATTGGCCTTTGTTTTTTGCACAGTTGGACGACGAAACCAGTCCATCTGAAAGATGGGGAATGCAAGCATAGCCTCGACTAATGCAGAACATCAGACCTTTCTTTTCACTCAGAAGGGTTGCTAAAAGATGGTTATCACCAGTCCAGCAGTAAATGCTCATTGTACTGAAGTACTGAAGATTCTCTTGCATGCATCACATGGTGTTCAAATTTAGATATACCAAGATTTGAGTATATTTATGACGACCAGGTAATAGTCATAGCAGCTTCAGATCTTTGATCTGGCATATTTTAGCGTATGGGCTGAAGTCTACCAGATTAGTAGGAGACCACGGTGTGATTTGCGCTGATCCATGGAGAGTGTCCCTGTATGAGAATATAGTTATTTTATCTGTGTTGTCGAGTCCTTTGTCTCTATATACGCTTGGCCCTAACATGAATATTCTTTGTATTATAGTGATAGAATTAAAAATGCATGGGAGAAGATACATGGGCGAGGGAAACTAGGCATGAAAACCGAAACTTATCGGCCTCTCACATATTCACTGCCAACTGACTCGAACACTTTGTATTGCAATCCTCATGCCTGCTCCAGATCACAAGATCATCCCCAAGTATTGGCAAATGAACTCGCACTCGAATTTCAATCGCCAAATCTGTCCACCACTATTAGAATCACATGATAGACCCCTCCGAGGAGCAAGTTACAGCCATTCTATGTTTTGAGGATGATAACAGTAGGGAACCGCGGGTGTCAACCACCGCGGTGTCATGCTCGAATCGCTCAACTGGACCACAGGCTTCAGGGTGGTCATGTGGCCAAATGGCCCATCTTGGAAACTGGTCATGAGCGATTCAGTTCCAGATTCTTCAAAATATTGAGGGAAAACTCTCTTCCATCCATCCATGACGATGAGAAGGATCTCCGCGACAAAATAGGCAGGGCTGATGGGATCCCATTTGAACAGCTGATTGCTCCGTTCAACAACCTCCGGCGAGTAAAGACCAATCTCGGGCTCCAGTGAAATCGCATCTGCCTTCACCAAAGAGCTTGTCACACGATATGAGCCACCATGTTGAGCCCGATCCCGGAGAGCCATAAGAGCCCCCACAGCACCCACAAGACCAGTGGTCATATCAGAGATTGGAAGCGGTGGAAGAATGCCCAAACCATCCGTATGGCCTAAAGACCGGCCCATCACGTAGGACGATCCTGAGGCTGCATCCCCAATCTGCTGCCAGCCAGGTCGTTCATGGTAAGGCCCGTCGGAGCCGTAACAGTTCTCCTCGACGTACACTATCCCCTTACCACGGTTTCCGGCCATCTCGAGGAGATCGTTGACGCCGAAGCCCTTTCTTGCGATTGCATTGGGGCGGAAGCCTTGAACGAAAACATCGGCACCCTCAATGAGTTCCCGCAGTCGTGCCTTATCTTCGTCCTTGGTCAGATCAATATCGATAGTGCGTTTCCCTATGTTTAGGGTAAGTTGTAAAGCCTATACACATTATCAGTCAGTATAAAGAAGTTTGAAGGCCAGAATTCACGACATACATTAAGGTCTACCAAGCGGCTGCAGTTCACGCGAATGACATCGGCACCGAAAGCAGCGAGGGTGGAGCCAATGACAGGACCGGCAATGATGCGAACCAGCTCAATCACTTTGATACCTGCTAGGGGCCGCTTATCGTCCGAGATATTAGGCAAGGGAATTGGAGGAGTCGGAATTGCATGCGACTGTCGAGAGTAGCCGACTAGTGGGTGACTCGCAAGGGTCTTTCCCATCAGCGTGTCTAACCACCCTTGGGGTGTAAAGCAGATGCTGCCGCAAAACCCGTTCTTGACGTTATGCATTTCCAACTCGTCTGCGGTCCATTGCTCGACATGCCGGCTGATGTAGTCATAAGCTTCATCGAACGTCTTGGCAGGGTAATTAGGATCCATTCCCATGGATTGCAGGACTGGCATGGGATCAAGAGAACCGTGAAGTTGATACGAAACCCCCGGCGTCTTTGTCTTGTAGATAGCAGTAGTTCGTTGTTTTATCGGTGTGGACATACAGCCGTGCTCGAAATCCTGCGGGAAAAGAGCTGACAGTTGACGCGACCTTAACAGTTCAGGCACGTCTTTCCCTTCGACGGAAGCCGCAAAAATATTTCCCAACCAGATAGCAGCATGATCGGTGTTGACGGTGACCTGCTGGGTACGTGCCGATGTGCCATCACGACCTTCGACAATTTCGTGGGCTACAACTCCACACATGGCATGTAGGGCAGCTGCAATGAGAGGGGCCTTGATTGGACCAGGAATGATCGGTAGTTCGCTACCATTAAACTTGACTGTATTCCAAAGCTCTTTGTCTTGAGTGAACCCAGGAGTGTTCTTTGCAAGATACTCAAAAATTCGAGCAGTATCCTGGGGAACTGGAGTGAACTCCGTATCCATGAAACTCCCAGGACCGTAGATATCGGTGCTCGGGGTGGTTTTGTGTGGATGAGGCATTGTGAATTCAGTAGGATGTTGAAGATTTAGAATAGAGAAGGACAAAGTAATCTGGACGTGCAGCTTCACATCACATCTCTAAAGTCGCGAAGTATTTATATCCCCTTGTACGTCACAGACAACAATTAGTGAGAGATATGATCTCCGAGGCTCGGAAGCTCCCAAGGCCGGAAGGCCAGAAATGGCACCGGAAGTGCCAAAACACGTGATCGCCCTAAGTTGTGCAAACCCCTTATGCTGAAAGTTAACGGCTATACGTAACTAACGTAATTCCCGGGCGAGCTGCGCAGCCCAAAACACATAGTAAAAGCGACAAATTACAATATGATATTTCAACAACTAACGCTCTTATTTAATTTCATTACTCACCGATAGCAATTGATAAGTATTTACAGTATTATATATCAGTTTTGGATAAATCGAGTTCTTCCATTATTACGGTATCGAAAAATACGTCGCTGAACCCTGGAAATATATATATCTCAGTCATCAATTTATTAAATCCCTTTAAACTCCAATAAGTGGCTAGATATCAGATAAAAAGCATTAGACTAGAAGGAAAAGCTCATATAAAGTACCGTTGTTGAATTATCATGTTGTAATTTATCGCTTTTACTATGTGTTCTGGGCTGCGCAGCTCGCCCGGGTGCGCAGCTCGGCCGGGAATTACGTTAACGTAATTCACAAGCCAGCCGGCCACACAAGCCAGCCAGCCACACAAGCCAGCCAGCCACACAAGCCAGCCAGCCACCCCCAAACACCATAGTAAATGCGATATATTCTACATTTATATCTCAACAACTATATTTTTATTTTATCTCCTTATTTCTCGATAGTAATCGATAAGGTTTGCTAACACTATATATCAATATTAAAGCAAGCAGAAGGCTATTCTGTAATGATTTCAAAAAATACCGAAAATTACGTTGCCAAAAGCTAGAAGTATATACAACGCAACCATCAAGGTATCAACTTTTCCTCAACTCCCTAAATATACTAGATATGACTTAAAAAGCAATAATCCATAAGGAAATCTCCATATAAACTACTGTTGTTGATATATCGAGTTGTAATTAATCGCATTTACTATATGTTTTGGGGTGGCCGGCTCGCTTGTGAATTACGTTACCGGTCTTTCCTATTTGAGCTGTGAGGGCTAAAACAGTGGTAAGTTTAGACATTGTCAAATTGATTCCAGCGTACAAGCAAAGATCAGAACTACCTAAGTTGAGCCTTTCGCGACTATCCGTCCTTTTTCGAGCTTTCGCCCCAGGTAAATGGCATAGCCCTTCAAGCCCAATAGTCCCACCGCAATAAAAATTGCCAGATAGCTAAATCTCAGAGAGCAAACCTCCTCAGCGTTCCAATGACCACACACCGGGAGAGAGCCAAAGAGAAAAGCTAGGAGTGCAAAGATGGTTCTATATTCCCAAACGCTATTGTTTCAGCCCCCCTAGGAGAAAACTTGGCCACGTGACACGTACGTGAGACCTTTTGATTTATATTTGCTTCGCTTCGCAATAATAGCCCGTGATCAAGTCAGGGTACCCAGGAACGTGCTCAGTTTTACTCGGTGATCAAAAAGCAGTAAGAGGTGAGCCCTCAAACGAAAAGGGAAAGGTTTCAAGTTCCAGGCATTATCCGGTACATACATACTGTATGTACTCCATACTCCATAACAGTGGGGCGTCGTTCGCCCCAGCAGATCATTGAGCTTCGTCGGCCTTATAATAGATGAGATAGAACCTTTGAACTTTTTAATCCATACCTATCTTTGTAGGATTACTAATATTGGACATGAGCAGCCCAAAGTGACAGCTAGATCGAAAAGATAAAAATGGCGAGAGACAAATATCGAAGTTTTCCCTGAGGATAGATGGGAGTTCGTTAAAGAAGGTTCGTCATTCAGAGTAGAACCACCCCGGACGTCCCGGAACCCGGCACTGTGCAGAATATTGGCTGACTCTTCGAAATCTCGGAAGCATTTCCGGGAAGCGTTTCTTCCCGATTCGGCATGCCGACTCCGGTTCCTCTTGAGTAACTTGCTCCGTCTCTGTCTCCTCGAGGGGTTCATATACTATTTATTAGCCTCACTGTACGCATAGCCAATTTCTATAGAATCTCAATTCAAACGAAGAGATCGAAATAAACGCTTCGCAAGTCTAAAATCATGGCTCGTCCTTCCATTAAAACTGTCGGTGTGATCGGAACCGGTGTGATCGGCTCTAGTTGGACGGCACTGTTCCTGGCTAAGGGTCTGAAGGTCATTGTGACGGACCCGGCGCCAGGAGCTGAGGGCAAACTCCGTGATTATTTGATAAAGCATTGGTCAAGCATACCCGATGTCAAGGTGACACAAAGCGATTACTTGAACAATTTCAAATTTGTCGAGAAAATCGATCCTCATCTTGGTGAATTAGATCTAATACAAGAAGTGAGTTAGCCATTGCAAAAAGAGGTCTCTTCATGGTTGGTGCTGATCGACCTTTCAACATAAGAATGGACCGGAGAGGCTGGACTTTAAACGCCGTCTTTTGGCTCATTTGGACGCAAACACCCCGGAGAACGTGATTATCGCATCGTCGTCCTCCGGCATCCCTTCGTCGGAGTTTGTCACTGAATGCAAGAGAAACGCAGCCCGTATTCTGATCGGCCATCCCTTCAACCCTCCACACCTAGTGCCCCTAGTAGAGGTAGTTCCCCACCCAGGAACGGGTCATGTGTACGTGACGGCTGCGCTTCAGTTCTACGGAAGCCTAGGCAAAGATCCAGTGCTCGTCAATAAAGAGACCCCCGGGTTTATCGCGAACCGGCTTCAAGCCGCTATTTGTGCTGAAGCCTATAGCCTCATCGCGAGAGGAATCGTCTCAGCTGAAGACCTTGGTTAGTATTACCCGTTTGATAGAATGTTTTTGACGTGTTCTGACTTGATCATTAGACAAAACCGTGACATCTGGCCTTGGCCTTCGTTGGGCTTTGAATGGACCTATCATGACCAACACTCTTGGGGGTGGTGGAGACTTCAATCATTTCATCGATCACCTGGGGCCGGCGTTCAAAACATGGTTGGTTGACATGCACCAGCATAAATTTGACATCGATTCTCAAGATGTCGACGTTCTTAAAGAGAGAGTGAATGAGTGGGTATCGCACGTCGACTTGAAAGAGGTTGAAGAAAGCCGGAACGAACTTTTGATTGGCTTGATCAAGAGCAAATCGGAGAGTTCCCAAGGGTTATGAAGATTGGGCTATTTGAATTGTAGGTAACGGCCTTTATATGAATGCGATGTCCTTGATGTCTGGTATATATCTTGATCAATGCCGGTAGTAGTTGCAGGAAGCAGTAGCACGTCTCGGAAGAGGCAAGTGCTATTGACACGTGATGGTCCTTCCAATAGTCCCCAAATGACACGCAAAAAATCTGTTCGCAAATATCCCTTTGATCTTGTGGAAAGATAATTTCTGATATGAAATGATCAAATATCTATAGCATTTTAGGGATTTTAACCAATTCTCATGCGAAGTACACAGGGAATGCCCCGGCCGACCGCCCGCCAAACGCCGATAGCCCCGGGGATTGAAACGTCAACCCTTCATTCTACCATTTCTAAGCATGACTCCAACGAGATCAACGAAAACAAGTGGTCTAGCCTCACTGGCCTGTACTGAATGCAGAAAGCAGCATCTCAAATGTGACGCCAGTAAACCATCATGTTCGCGGTGTGTTCAAAATGGATTGCTCTGTCAATATCTACCCTCCCGACGGGGCGGACGCAGGAAATCACGACTTGAGAGTCCATACCAACGCCACCCGCAAACCCATGTCAATGTCAGTCCTGACGATTCTACTTGATGGTTTTTTTTTTACTAAATTAATCATAGACTCGATATCAATCTACGGTTCCTGTTCTGCCAATAGCACCTGCACAGACACCAGAGAATCCCTCGGCGCAAGCAGGCAGGCAGGCAGGGCTCGATATTACCACTGAGCCGGTCTCTTGGCCAGTGATGCTTTCAGACAATGCTCCTACTCAGCAAACTGTGGGGTCAACAAGAAAATTGTCGCTCCATGACGATCGCCTGCCTCGGTTGTATTATGAAAATTTTCATGTCGCCCATCCAATCTTGGTGCCCAGCTCCTTGTATCACGACCACAATTACCCTCACTTCTTACAGCTAACTGTGCATTTTGTGGGCTCTCACTATATTACGTCTATTCCGAGTCAGCCATACAAAGAACAAGTCGTTGCTGAGTTAAAGACAAACCCTGATCGGTCAGCTTCCATGGTCCAGGCTTGGCTACTATACTCCATTGCTCTGTATGCCCGTGATGAATGGGACGAGGCGCAAGATGCTCTCTCCCATAGTATTGATATTGCGTTGGAGCTTGGCATGAACCGTTGGTCATTCGCTTCATCCACAAATCCCGAAAGATCTCTTGAGGCCGAAAGCATGAGACGAACATGGTGGGAACTATACGTCACCGATATCTTCATGGCGGTCCCACTCAAAACCACGACATTTCGATGTAGCACTGTGTCACCGGAGGTGGCCTTGCCCTGCGAAGAGTCAGCATATAATTGTGCGGGTGATATCCCAAAACCACGTATGATGATTGAGTTCAAACGGAGGATCCTCGCAGCAGAGGATACCGTCTTTTCATCATTCAGCTACCGTATCGAGGCCACGACAATACTATGCCGGGTTCTTGTCCTGAACCGATTACGCGACTGTCACCGCGATCATCTCCAGGCTGTCGAAAATGCACTAGTGAGCTGGATCAACCACCTGCCGCCCAAGAAGCTCGACATTGTTGATTCATACGGCAACGTTGACGAAATGATGTTTCAAGCGCATTTGACAATAGCCTACGCCGCCATGCTCCTACACTTACCCCGAAGTGACCTTCCATCTGTATTGTCCCACTCCCAACCAGATGATCGCTTTTGGCCTGGCCTGACTGGCCAGCTCTCATCAACATTCACTCGTCTAGTCCATAGTATCAAAGCAACAGAGGCCTCGAGGCGGATCTCCGATTCCATATCTGTTTGTCCAAACGTCTCGAAGCACACCCCCTTCAGCATCCCCGCCTTGACCCTCTGTGGACTTATCCAGCTCGCCACGTCCACCAGTCATTCCGAGGAGTGTTTTGATCATCACTGCAACCGTGTCACACTCATTCTAGGCTGTCTCAAGAGCACCCAGCGGACATGGAAATTGGCCGAGTCCTTATACCATGCTCTTCGATCTTCTGCAGCGGAAGTCTTATCGGATTCGATGGGAAAATGGAATTCAGAACCACTACATCGACCCACCCCGGCAGCCACAACGCCTAATGACCAAGAAAGACCCAGCTCTAGTGGCAATCCTCCTCCAGCTATGCCAGACGGACATGATTTCATGCCGCCGGAGTTTTCCCTCGCATTCATCGATCCAACTTGTTACAACACTTCGTTTTTCAGCGCTATCCCTGACTTTGATATTAATTAGATCGGTTATACCCGGGAGCCAGTTATAAAGAACTTATTACGGCCGATGTCATTTTACCTAACGGTTTCTGGGGTAAACGTCAGCTGGCCTCGTCATGTAGAAGGTTGCGCATTAGATCTCGGCCTTGATTAAGTAAATGCCAAGGACACGTAATAGCTATGATAGGGGGTTCAAGCATGAATCCTTCGATAATGTCGTAGACATGTCAAACGCCGATTGGGCTTTTTCGTTGAGTCGCCGACTGTGCTGCCGATCTCAGATATCTGATTGGCCCGTTGAACTCCACCCGGTGTTCCAGTCGGGAGCCACGCATAGCACCCCATCATGTGCGACGACTAGTTCGTGTTCGTTCTACAAACCAAGGTCCGATTGTACGGTGTATAATCTCATGCGCTTTTCACTCACACAATGATACGTCGGGAGATAAGGCCAGAATACTCACCGACTATTCCTCTGTTGGGTCTCTCGTGATAGAGTCCGGCGATAACCGTGATAACCATCTGTGTATTCACATTCACGCAGTTAATGACATAGGGATCTACTTCATGTTTAACTTGTTCGCCGATACGTTGGTGTGCATGCTAGGCTACGACTCTTACATCATAAATCACACGAGAGTACTGGGTGGTTGAACTGCAGCTATTGCGTTGGATGTTCTCGTTATGGCGTTATGTGTTTAGTTTTCTCTCCCATCAATGGTCTTTTGGATTAGAACTTGGAACCTTGAGAGAGATTAGAGATATTTAATCAAAATATTGAGAGTTGGTCTAAAAAATATCTAGATTGTTTGAAGTTCTATTCAAGTCTTGTAGGGTATTGTGAATAGAGCGGATTTTACAGATTCTATCATTCTTAGCACCTCCTTTTTCAGCACCTCCTTTTTTTCAACATAGCCTACTAATCTAGAAGCACATGTTCAGACCTTTGGGACTATCAGGCGAGATTGTAATCGGTCTAGGACGCTGGAATGCGAGACATCGGATCAATCGCCGATTGAGATCCGATCGCACGGGGGACAGGGGAAACAGATATGAATTCATATAACTCATCCATGAATCCTCTTCATAACTTCTCATTACCTTCCAAGAATATCTATCCCCTTCCAACGTCAAAACATCCACCATGTCCGCTGTCATTCCCTTACTCCCGCTTGGCACCAGCTCATCACTAGGCAACAAGCACTACAAACCTCAATACAGCCTCGATGATCTCATACAAGACATCAAGATCTACCTAGGCGAGAGTGGCGGTATTTCATCGGCAGACGTGGACAATGAATACCTGATCTCGCTGGCGCAGAAATATACCTCTGATCCGAACGACTGGGCCCGCTTTTTCTACAACGATACCAGCAAGAATTATACCCGCAATGCCATTGAGAACATAAACCAGAAAGCAAATATTGTGAGTTCTATTCTAATCCTATAGAGATACTGTCAACGAGAAAGAATTAGAGACTAACCCCTTCCAGCTCCTCCTTGTATGGAACCCCGGGAAAGGCTCTCCCGTCCACGACCACGCCAATGCACACTGCATCATGAAGATCTTAGCTGGGACGCTTCAAGAGACTATCTACACCGTCCCAGATCAGGACTCTAATCTTCGTGGTCCGTTGGAGATCAAGTCTGATACGAGACATACCATGAATGACGTCGCTTATATCTCGGATGATATCGGGCTGCACCGTGTTCATAACCCGAGTGCTGACCAAGTTGCCGTCTCTCTTCACTGTAAGTGCTGAATATGAGATCGAAATGGGAAGCAAATGTTGACGAGCTTCCTAGTGTATACCCCTCCTAATGCTGCCGACTATGGGTACAATATTTACAACGAAGTGACAGGCAAGGCGAGCTTTATACAACAGGCTCAAGCTGTTCCTCAGAAAGAATGAGGACATCGGAGACGAGATAAGATCGTTGCCTGGTTTTATTTGTTGTCTTTCTCTTTTCTCTCTTTTTTTTGCATGCGCCGTTAGCCTCTCAGATATCCATTTTGCTCGACGCTGGCGCCGAAGCTATTTCGTTGATCTACTCAAGATTATGAAGTCATTTAAATATGCCCCAAACAAATTGATCAAATTTCTAATACGTGGCAAAATTACTGCGAGTTGATTTCAATGGCGTCGTTTTATCCTGGACTAAAGATATAACCCCAACTTCCCATTGGGTTCCGGAAAAGGCCGAACTATATAAGAGTATGGAGTAATCAGTTGTAGATCATATGGGGCTCCCAGTCTGCTGGGTATAGAATCATAGATTGTCATGTCGGTGGTCGGGACTCATTACGGGTTCTGCGGGTTTTGGACGGGCCTCGGGTTTTAGGCGCGGGTTAGAAGTAAACCACCTCAATTTGAGAGTACTATATTAACCCAGTTGATATAGCCGTAATGCAATGAATAATTCCAAGATTTAATTTTCACCATGTTCAAAACTCGTTTCCCCCAGTCCATAACAGCAAAATCAGCCTCGGCTGCCACTTTACTAGGCATCGGAGCTTACTGTGTCCAATCGCGTCTTATATCAACTGCCAATGCAGAGTCAAATGAACCTCCCAAAGTCTTTTCAGGATTCGGATTTACTACCTTACGCCTGCAAAGCACGAAAGATGTAAATCACAACACAAAACGGCTCGTCTTCGAGTTTCCAGATCAGAAGGCCACAAGCGGATTGGCATTAACTTGTATGGACCCGACTTACGATCAACGTTCTATAACAGCTTATATACTAACATACTGCAGCGGCACTCCTCACCATATCCCGTCCCGAAGGACGCTGGTTCCCCGTACTACGCCCATATACACCCATCAGCGATCTAAGTACGAGTAATAAACCCAAGCCCGACATAACGATAGACTAACAAAAGAGAACAATAGACCAAGAAGGCCAGATCGAGCTCATGGTCAAGAAATACCCAAACGGCAAAGCGAGCAGCCACATCCACTCCCTTTCACCAGGAGACACCCTCACATTCGCAACGGCACTCAAAGGCCACGCCTGGACACCGAACCAATCCCCGCAGGTCTACCTCATAGCAGGCGGAGCAGGTATTACACCAATCTACCAGCTAGCGCAGGGTATTCTCAATAATCCAGCCGACAAAACTAAAATCAACCTTGTCTTTGGCGTCAATACCGAGCAGGACCTGCTTCTGCGAGAAGAGCTGGAGAGCTTCAAGACGCGCTTCCCAGGTCGCTTTGACTATGTCTATGCAGTCAGTCACCCGGAGGGACGGAGTGATGGGTTCAGGACGGGGTATATTACCGAGGGGCTGTTGCGGGAGGTTGTGAAGGCCGATGGCGATGCGAAGGTCTTTGTTTGTGGGCCTCCTGCTATGGAGGATTCGTTGGTTGGATCGAGATGCCAAATGGGTATTTTGGCTAGGCTTGGGTTTGCAAAGGGTCAGATTGTTAGGTTTTAGTTCATTGATCTGTGTTCCATATATTCAATGTATAATACTTCATATAGAGGGCCTAGGGTTTCATGCTTTGCGCTTGACAGCTAGCATATGGAAGAAAATCACTCATAAATCCCAGAAGAGAACAAAGAAAATCATTTACTAGAGAATAATCATTCAACTTGAAGGATTGGTAGTTCGGAGTGAGTGACCGCCCGAGATATATAGTTCGCATGCTCCGTACCAGAGCAAGTCTCATCCCCTCTTCTACTTCGTAGAGAAAAAGTATTTAATCCACTCTGTAAACCTAATCTAATCTATCTATTCCGGCATAAATATCTACGCATTAAACGCAACGCCACATAGATCCGTTATATCCGCGCCAGTGCAAACGGTGACGCGGCCTCCCGATTTAGGAACATTTCGTCGTCAGCGTCAGCCTCATGCCGCGCTAATTGTTTCATTTATCGACTCTTCTCCCTGATTGAATTGTATAACTCCGGGCGAACCGATCCAATGTTATTTCCATCGTCTGCTCCACCGCCACATTTCCCGTTCGCCCCGAGGGAGAAAAGTCGCAAATGTGGACGATTATGTAACTGTGGCGTATAAATTGGACAAAGAAGGGGGCATCGGGATGATATGTTCTAAATTCGAGGTTCACATTATATACAGAGACATGGATTTCGTCAAGCGAAATGAATCTCGGGTTGTGATATTACATAGAATGAGAAGAAGAATGTACAGAGGTCAGCTTGGGTCCCCAAGGAAAACAGGATCTAAACAATCAAAGATATGCATGCAGAAACGTCACTCAAGCGCAGCCTGATGGTAGATATATAGAAAGAACGCAATCAAAATAACGCCAGATGGGGGTATGATATGCATGAAACGATCGTGACCAGAATGGTGTATACCAAATGGCCGCAGCTAACCTCTCTTTTTTTTTTTTTCTTTTTCTGTTCCTTTCGCTTCCTCGTGGTTGCAAATTTGTAAGCTCGGTTTGGTGATTCGAAACATTGCAATTGCGAAACGGGGCAAGATGTAGCGCTAACAATGAAGATTGAAAGCGAAAAAATGTCAAACATTCAAGACTGCGGGTTGGAAGTGAGACGGATTTCTTCCACGGGGAGACCCTCCTCAGAGGGGACGTGCTGGTAGCGGCCGAAATGGCCGGCGCGGACATGTCGCCAGAGAGCGAATCCAGTTCCACCTAAAGTGCCAGCTAAAAGGATGAAGATAAGGAGAGCGCCGACTCCGCGGATGACCTCGTAGGCCTTGTAGACGGCCTTGGCGACCTCCTTCGCATCGGCGTATTGGGCGCTTGAATGATCGCCGGAGACGGTGGAGGTACTGTCGTTGATCAATTCGGCCGCTTCGTCGCTGGTACTCTCAGCCGTCGAATCCGTGTGAGCGTTGGCAGCGACAATGATTGACGGGTCATCATAAGTAGGACCAGAGTCAGAACCGACCCAGCCAGCCGCTTTCCAGTCGGATGGGGATTGAGTGCGCATGATCTCAGAAGTGTGCATGACATTGCCCTCGGCATCGATGGCCTCCGCGGAAACAAAATCCATATAGCCATCGGCGATGAACATGGTCTCGAAGTCGGTTTTGTTGATAGTGCCGATGAGCACGGGCTGGCCGCGGTCGTAGGCCTGCGCGTAGAACTTCCACTGGACGACGTCCGTCGCGCCGTTCCAGCTGACGTGAATGATGGTCGTCATATCCTCATCGTGGGTACCGTAGACGGATGCGACTAGATCGGGAGGCGCGGTGGGTCGACCAGTGAACTCGCCCTTGTAAGAGCGGTAAGTTGAGTATCGGTCTGATGCAAACCTGGCGGTCATTAGAAGTTCGCCGTTTGATGCGTGCTCGCTCGAGTAACCGCGCTCGCTCCACCCGATAAAGACGTTGCCGTTAGGAAGGGGGCGAGCGCTACCACGGAGTCGGGTGAGGCCACTATCGGGGCGATTGATTCGCTTAATCACCTTGGCCGTCATAGGGACAACACTTGTGTCTAGCTCAATGAACAAAACGGAGGAGACCCTCTCGTCAGAGCCACGTTCGTCGGAGGCATTGTTTAGGAATGAGATAACGTGGTGAGTGCCGTTCGATGAGACAAACTTGACATCGTGCTGCTTGGAGAAGGTGAAGTCCTGCTCGAAGTCGCTTTCGTGTCCACCTAAGCGCCACACGATGTTTCCATCCTGGCCAGAAATCAAGTAAATGGTATCTGTGAAGCGCAATGAGATTAGGTAGTCACCGGCCTTGTTCTTGTCGACCGCATTGATATGTACGTAATCCCAACCGGGCGATCCAGCTGGGTGATCCGAGGCATGGAACATGTTGGATTCGTGCAGAGCAACCTTGTCGAATGAATCCCACTGGAACAGAACCTTGCTGGTTTCGATATCCACCTCAACGAACCCACCAACCGTGACATAACTCTCTTCCGTTGGGCGTCCGAAATCAGCCAAATTGATGAGCTGGACACGATATGTGCAAGCCAGGGCAGTCTTCCCACCGTCCATAATGTTGAATTCGTGCATGTTGAAGTCGTGGACATCACTCAGAGCCTGGACCTCTTTTTCCACCTCGTAATGGTGGTTTACAATCGCGCCGTGGCCCTTCTTGGAATCATCGAATTCCCAGCCCACGATGAACGACAGATAAGGGTCGTTGTCAATGTTATACACCGGCTTGAAATCGAAGACATTATGATTGTCGTACAAGGGTGCTCCGGCCCAGATAAGGACCTGTTACCAGAAGGGAGTCAGCTGGTGCTTTTTGATTTGTTTCGGGAACAAGACATACGCCACTGTCGTCGTAAATGTAGGGTCCGACTTGGTATTGCTGATATTTCAGGGTGGGTTGATCTGGGGAGATTTTCCCATATGGCGCAACGAACCAGTAACCGGGGGCCAACCGCTCGCGGTCGTGGTATTCAACCTCCCATTTTAAGGCTCGGACCTCAGGAAGCTGGATTTTGGCTATTAGAACCACACGATTCCAACAATGTCAAAGTTCAACCCACCGTCACAAACGACAACAAATCCGAGTCATGACGCTCTGCAACGGCATTACCTGAGAACAGGAGTAATGCAGCTGCCCAAAGCATGATTAGATGTTAAAGAATGGCTAGGAAGCGTAGATTCCTGAATATAATAAAAGAAAGTAAAAAGAGAATAAATGGGGCGCGACAAAGCTACATAAGAGCCGCTAGACACCACAACATATAGACAGTCGTCGTCAGTGGCATGAGTAAAGAGCGGGGGGCAAACGACAGCGCTAGGCAAATAAGAGGATCAAGAGAATAGAAAAGCCATTTAATTAAATTTAAGATCAAAACAACCCGCCGAGAGAAGCCAAAGAGAAGCCAAAGAGAGGAGACAGAGGGCCGCGCCGAGCAACGTAATGAAATGTCTTGGCATTTCCGTCGAGTGGAGCTGACAAGTGCCGTTGTCCTATCACATCGCCAACGCCGTCGGTTGTCGTTCCCACAGCGGAGTTCTTCTCCTCTCGTATATTTTATTTCCGACATCGTGGATATGTATTCAGTCTGCGGTCGCTAGAAGACTGGTATGATGGCGTGGCCTGCATCTCGGAGTCGGTCTACTTTGCCTTAAGTACCATGCAACTGAATCCGCCCATTATCACCGATTTGATTGACAGAAGATCATTCAGGGGATGTCTTGGCATTCTATCCGAAGCCGATAAGGATGGACTGGTCAGGGGTTTCTCCTAATTCCGCTACTCCGACCAGAGATTCTATCCAAGTAATTACAGTCTACTACGGAATATAAAATGTACCTCAACCCACGAAAATACTACGATCTGTTCTCTGCGTCCTATCTTAGCGCTCCGCGACGCGTACCCATGGGTGGTTCGGCCATGGCATGCTAGTCAACTAGCGCCCGACATAAGCAACGAACCCTCAGGTCCAAGCAGTTCCTTCGGCTGTAGGGCTGGCGGCAGGCCTGCTGACACACATGCTAAAGATCCAGCCGGCATAGATGCCCCGCATGGTATGTTCGGTCTTGGCGTGGAACGCAGAAGAACACGAACGATTCCAGTCGTGACTCGTGAGATAGGAGTACTTGATCCCTACCTAGATGCTAGTGTGACGGTGGCAGTCTTACTGGTTAAGAAGCGGTGTTATATTTTCTGTTTCGCTCGCCCGGAGTCCGTCACATGGACAATAGGACGAGTTGTTGTGTCGATGGATTCCTTTCGCTTCCTCGGTGGATGTTTCATCTGAATAAACGAATTTACCACCAATTCAAATACGTCGATTGAAAGTTTGTGAGGTGACTTATATCCACTGGTGGTAAAGGTTGGGTCACCACCTCGACATGACCAGTTGTGCTCATTCGCGTATGGATCCCTTCTCCTTAGGATGTCTTTTGCTTCTCTTCCAGCTCTCTTTTGGTATCCGGTTAGTATAAAGAGAGCAAAGAGAAAGAAAAGAGACGGAGAACTCTAAGGCTGTCGGATTGCACGGCGGTGTGCCAAGGAAAGGACGAGAAGAGGGAAGGCGCGATATGTTGAAAATCACATGCTTTCTTCTCCTTACATAAAAACCTTCAAGATGTCTAGGTAGTACCATGATATATTGACTTTCTTAATTCTTCAATCTCGCCATTGCTCTTTGACGCACAGATGAACGCCGAGTATGTCGCCATCAGTCCGTACTCTCACGGCACGGGAGAAGCTTCGTTTCGTCCGGCGCCGGGGTGGGTGACTTGCATACCGGCTCTAATCTAGCAGAGATGGGAAAGTATGTTATCCGCATGCTGCGTGCAAACGGAGGCGATTCCGCCTACGTGCTCACGAGTCACGACAACAATTTATTCGAACTTGAACAAGTTCCTTCCGCGCATCGCTGGCCCAACGGCTCGGATATATTGGGCGACGTGCGCGGCGTTCATACTCAATTAATGTCAACCTCCGGTTAATGTGTGCTACGTCCACTGGCGGGGTATACCCACAAGATCGTTTTGAACTTTGTACAAACCCCTTGCATGGGCGCTGGCTCTTGACATAATCATGCATGATGGGACCGGGGGCCCGCAGATCTTTCAAAGTGAGCCATACACGGATACACTGCGTCACAAGTAGAGATGTGGGACCACAGAATAAAGCTCTACAGTAAGTCCGGACATCTGTAATGGCCGTCTTCCCCGGTACAATCGACGAACTTTTAGCCTTTGTATGATGACCTGGGCAAATACTATATTCCATTACTATGATATTGTTCGTGCCAAAAATTCTACCAACCCTCAAACACATCTCCCAAATCAAACCTTCTCAATATCAAACCGCATCTGTACGTAGGGTATATAACGACCTCCCCAAGTCACGATCCTCGCAATACGTCTCGTTCCTCGCGGGAAAGCCGCTAGAACCAAATACGCGACACCCTTGGCGAGCCTTGTACCCAGTAGAGCCTGATACTCAGCGGTGTTCTCCTCCCAGACATGAAGTCTATCATCTGGCCAAACAAGACCGTTCGCTGCGACATAGAGACTCTTCTGCACAAACAGCATAGTCTCAGGATTAATAATATTGTACTGGAAGACATACTTCAGGTCCTCCAAGAAGTGCTCATCCTGATAAACGGCCTGCGCAATTTGCGCCCAATATGCGGAGTCAGGCCGGAAGCTATCCATGGCGAAAATTACGCCTGGCCCTGTTTGTAACATATAGTCATTCACCCAGTACTGTCCAGGCGATACTCCGGACTTCCATAGTACGATCTTGCGGTAGAGCTTCTCGCCGGAAAGACCTAGTTCGACGGTTTCTTCGTAGATTTGGTCGGGTGGGAAGTGTCGTTTTTGGTGCCGGATTCCCCATCCTGCTTCTTCCATGTTTTGCATTGTGAGCTGCGAGGGGGCAATTGGACAGATTTGGTTGGGGTCTCTTATCCACGAAGCCCTTAGGGCCCCTGTCGTTTGAAGCCTGTCATACTTCAATGGTGGAGGCTGTTCCCCTGGTGGTTGGGTAGTAATAGTGTCGGGCATGACTAATGAGTGGATATTTTATCAAAATGCTTGATTGAGTACTGCACTTTTGAATTTTGGGCTTGCAATTTGCTGCTGAATGTGGGGCGGGAAAGAATATGGACTGTCACGTCGTTGATATACCTTTTTTTTAGTCTATGACCAGGGAAAACATATGCCAACTCCGGCATCTTACTACAAGAGAAAAATGAATAGAACAATGAGAATCAGATGTCACCAATGGAAACTGAAAGGCACATAAAGAATGAAGAGATAATGTAGACAAGATTATCTTGGAACATAAAGGGTATCGCGGAGCCATCCGACACTGCGATAATCTGCAGATTCAAAGATATAATAAAGAGATTGTTGATAAGGACTAGAATGAATGGAATCTATATACTAGCCTTTGAACATTATAGACATAGATAGTAAGAGATTGTGCTCATTGTTGTTCTAGGAGCCCTAACTACGAAACCCCACAACGTCAACTATGCCATGGGTATTCCTTTTATGCCAACCACACATTCTTAGTCATTCAGCTGCACTTCTGTTTTGCTTTGTTAGAGTGATCGGATTATGAGCGACTCGATGACCATGTTGATCGGTGTAGATGACCTATAACGTGCACGGATTAGCCACGACGTGGGGAACTGGTCTCGCTGAGGACTTGCCTTAGGGTAGCTGGCCACACCTTCTTGTTGGGCACTAGCTTGATCTCTGATGATCATTTCGACCTACTTACGGGTCATTTGTGCCGTAGGACTTGAGCACAAACGAAAGATTTGTTATGGGAATCCTACCTTGCCCTCATGTGACCCGCCTCTGTACTTGGTGTAGACAAAGTCACCTTCAGTGATATCCTTGCCGTTCTTGTCCTGTATCTCCTCAACTGACATAATCACAATCTTGTTGAGACCTAAAGATGGCACGAGGAGCCACAGAGATTGTCCATCACCAGGTTGCCTTTTACCCTTGCTTTACTGATGGGTATGATGTGATACTTGCACCATCGGTGATGTCATGGCAGCATACTGAAACGTCGCCAGCAAAGTCGGAGATTTTATTATTTTGGACTCTGGAAGGTATCATCGTGATCAATAGTGGTTGATACGCCCGGGCCGTAGACAGCATCGTCGACGCTACGTGGTTGATGAGGCTCAAAGGGAGGACCCTGTCACCTGCCGTAACAGGGTGACAGGGGTAAAATCTAGTTGGCTACATCCAGGTGCCAGATAACACTATAATTCTACAGATATAAGATTGTAGGCGGATATATCCGACGAGAGATAGGGTTGCAACGCTTGCAATGCAGAGCAGAATACCTAGATTAGGGTATTGGATCGGATAGATGTTTCAGAATCAGATTGCTAAGAGGGGGGAAAAGGGCTAGAATAAGCTGAAGATGTGTTTTCCAGGGGGAAAATGCAAGAAGAGAGGCGAGTTAAGTAGAAGATTTAGTTCCACATGTAACCGTCCCCCACCCCCCAGTTGAGCCGACTACCACCGTTGCACTCAAGGGGGTCATTGAGTATGTATGGGTACATTGGGAATGCCTGTGCTCGTATTCTATTCTATTATTTGGCACATTAGCAATGATTGGAAATACTTCCTCTATCTGCGTATATTCGGCCGTAGAGGAAGTAGTATAACTTATCTATTAATACTATTACACTATTCTGGTTCTCCTATAAAATACACAATATAGTCACAATGTAACTCCACTTCACTCCACCACCCCGACTACAGCTGCGACGGGTGTGATATATATGATATTAGGATATATAGACTGGATAGAAATGGCACAAGATAGCTTTCCTTAATGGGCCTTTTAATATGACTCCGGTATAAGCACAATCCCCTAGATAAAACCCCAGCTATCCACAACATATAAATTACCGTTACAGTACCATACCCAGTGGATTGCGACACCGCAAGGGCTTCCTTTTCCCAAACAGTTGCACTCGCGGTGACACTGTCAACTCAAGAATGGGCCAATGTTGATCCATGCTTTGGGTCAACACCCTTCTTTTCCCTCTTCTCTTCTCTTCTGCCTTCTCCTTTCCACTTTCTCCCGGTGGGGATTATTGCGTCCACACTCCCACCGATCCACTCAAGACACAACTCCAGTGGGAGTGTCACATCGGCTTGGCCCCCCCCAACCTTCTTAACGTTATAACTTCAGGGCTTTCTTCTTCTATCTCATTTGCTTCATGATCCTCTATACTTCATTATAGTGAACATCCATCCCTCGCCCCCGGTTCGCGACCCCGCCTCTCCTCCATCTTCCTTCCCCGACTATGTCGGCGCCACTGGTCAAGGTGCTACACCGATTGCAAGAGTTGTTCCATAACGTGGTCACCGCACTCGAAACCATGATCCTATTCCCCTCACTCTTCCGTGGCCTTTCGCGACGCCGCCGAAAGACTTTCCTCGGCGCCCATTGGAAACGCCGCAGCCTAGACAACTTCGCCGAAGAAGTAGAAACCTCGTGCTCAACGCCGCTGTCAACACACAACATGGTCAACATGTCCGAGAAGATTCGTGCACAGATCCGAGAATGTTTACAAACTAGCCCATGCTGCATGCTTCCATCCTACGATACCGCGCTTCCCGCTGGCTCGGAAAAGGGCACATATCTGGCATTGGACGTGGGCGGATCGACGTTTCGCGTAGCTTTGATTGAGTTGAATGGCCGGGATGAGGAGCTGCGCATCTTGAAAGTATCATCGGTATACATCGACGAACAACTCAAGATGCTGGAAGGGACACAATTTTTCGACTGGATGGCAGGGCAGATTGAAACTGTCCTGCAAGAAGTTGGAACAGACTACGGGCGTGGCGACGTACCGCTGGTGGTGGGGTTGTCCTGGTCTTTCCCCATTGAACAGACCTCGCACAGCAGCGGATTGGTGCTCCCCATGGGTAAGGGATTCAAGGCCTCCAATGGCACTGTAGGCAAGGAACTGGGTGATATCCTTATCCAGTCATGCCGCAAGCGCAATCTGAACGTAGAGGTTGCCGCTATCCTGAACGACAGCTCGGCAGCTCTACTCTCGCGTGCCTACGTCGATCCCAAGACCCGCATGTCTCTCATTTTGGGTACCGGTACCAACATGGCGATTCACTTCCCGGTGCACGAGATTGGAATGTCCAAGTTTGGAGTGCGTCCCGAGGGCTGGTTCGACCACGCCAAGCATGTTCTGATCAATACAGAGATGAGTATGTTTGGCGGAGGCGTGCTGCCTATGACACGGTGGGATGACATACTGAACAGCGCCCATCTGCGTCCCGACTACCAGCCGCTCGAGTACATGATTACAGGTCGATACCTGGGCGAGATTGTGCGTTTGATCATCGTCGAGGCTACCGAGAGTGCCCGCCTGTTCGGCGGCGAGTTACCACACTCCATGTGTGAACCCTATTCATTCGACACAAGCATCGTCGCCTGCCTCGAGGAAGACTCCTCTGCCTCCCTTTCCACCGCCGCCGCGCTCCTGCAAAAGCAGCATACCTTCCACAAACAACCCTCCGTCGAGGACCTGCGATTCCTGCGTCGCATCTCCCAGACAGTCTCCCGCCGTGCTGCTGGCTACCTGGCGACAGCCATCCACAGTATGTGGTGCCTCCGCAACGAGGTGGAATTCCCCGCGACCCCATCCACCGTCGACTCTCTCGATAAGGAATCACCCGCAATCACCGTCATCGAAAACGGAGACTCGGACAAGAGCCTTTCCATCGCTTGCGACGGCGCTGTCATCAACAAGTATCCTGGCTTCCGCGCTGCCTGCCAGAACTATCTGAATGAGCTGGCGGAGGCAACCTACCCGGGCGCCGGATGCTCCATTCGCCTCAACCCTGCGCCTGAAAGTGCCATTCTCGGCGCCGCAGTCGCAGTGGCTGTGTCCGTTGCTGGGAACTCCACTCAGCACTAAATATGAGTGATACATGAATCTTACGTGGAGCATAGATCTCTAGCTGTCTCTTTCGTTGTGATTTTCTTTTTATCCATGTCCATCGGTCCGTCGGCGCATGGTATGCGATGGGTTTCCGTGACCTTTTTTTTTTCTCATCTGCATGGGCATTCCCGGATGGGAGTTGTGGAGAGAGCGTTCTTCTTCCTTGTCTTTCTCAGTCGAATTGTTTAGCATCACCAAGGCGTTTCTGGTTCTTGGAATCCACATGGGTATTTCAATGGGTTTCTCTTGCGCTTTGTTCCTGGAGTTCGGCTTCGTTCTTCCTCTCATTTTTTGTTAATGGGTTTCATGTTATCTCAAACTCATGGAGGCATGTTTGATTTATCCATTCGTTTCGTCTATTCCCCGAGCTGGTGCATTTTTCTTTACTTCACCTATATGTGAAATCAAGCCTAAAATACCACATGAACTGGCGCTATTATACTCCTGTCATTCCTATTCTTCTCGGGCTCTTATTGCATACATAGCAGCAAATTTCTACTAGGATGTTAGACATCTCATCTCGGTTGCCCTGTGTATCTTGTACGTCGTTATAGTTACTATTATATAAAGTACAACATATGGAGAAATGATGCGGCTTCAAATTCCAAATGAAAACAATCTGCAAATAATCAGGATTCAACATGTAAAATATATATATCATTTCTAACGGCTCGTATACCGCCGCAGCACTCCACGCTATCATCATCTTACTCAGTGCGAGTATAGGCCTGAGATTTGTTGAGGATAATCTCGGCCAAGGCCATCAAACTGCCACTAGACAACAACTCTAGAACCTGCACATTGGCATTAGCCTCACGGGCAATCCAATTACGAATCTCAATAGCCACCAGCGAGTCAAGACCCAATGAAACCACTGTAATCGAGGGATCCATATCCTCCAAGGAGAGAACAAGCACCTGCGCTAACTTCGCAGCCAGCGCCTCGTAGCACGCTCTCAAGGCTTCTTTTTTAGATGGGGCAGTCGACAAGGTGACATGCAGCGGCACAGACGGGCCGTTGCACTGTGCGCTGTTGCCCAGCGTCCCCTTGGCGGCCTCATATAGCACGCTGAACCTCGCATCCTGGACCCAGAAGTTGTTCTCGAGTGAATCCAGTCCCAGTCCCGTGACACACTGCCCAGAGCAGGATCGATCAAGATCACCGGTTAACGCGGCGGCTATCAACGCCAAGACTTCCGACTCGTCAATGGTCTGACAGCTGATATTCTTCATTACCTCCTGTCGCCGCTGGGCGTCGGTATCGGCTAGGTAGCCGACGTCGCTGACTGCAGCGAGGTCGATTGATGTTCCTGAAAGACCAAGGGATCTGCGGTATTCTATGAATCCATCCAGGAATGCATTTGCTGCGGAATATGCTGCCTGTCCGCGATTGCCGATGATGCCGGCTATCGATGAGAGGGCAATGAAGAAATCCAGTGGGGAATTGATCAGCGCGTGATGCAGATTCCAAGCTCCTTCTACCTTGTTGCACGCTACGGCAGAGAAGTCTTCAAGAGACATATTTTCGAAGAGCATATCCTAAGTAGGGTCAGTAATGAAAACAGATAATGTAAATAAGTCATCATAGTAAAATCTTACACGAAGCACCATCGCACCGTGAATAACACCACGTATTGGGGGAAGGTCTTTCATCTCTTCGTTAATCAGAGCCTTGACAGACTCACGGCTGCTGACATCGCAAGCCTTGACGATAATTCGCACTCCTAGAGGAGCCAAAGTATCTATCAAAGTTCGAACCGTCTCATTAATCGCGGCTTGACGAGACACAAGAACAATGTTCTTTGCACCTTTCGAGGACATCCACTTGGCCATGCTTCGGCCTAGACCACCAGTACCACCAATCAAGATGTAGGATGCATCGGGTCGTAAGAGAGTGGCACTGGTCTTGGGAGCCACAGCCTGAAAAATGAACGATTAGATCTGAAATTTAATCGCGGATGTGCTTTGTTTACCTTGACTTGGTCACCTTCATGAGGAGCCACCACAATCTTACCCATACTCTTGCCGATCTGTAGAGTACGGAATGCCTTCTCGATATCGGAAATTCGATAAATCGAAAGTGGTAGGACGGGATGCACCGACCCGTCACCAATCAACCGACATATATCACCCAGGATGCGCTTCATCAGCTGAGGCTTGGACTTGCCAACCTTGGTGAGATCAACCGACGAGAATATGACGTTGTGCTCAAAGGGCTGCATGTCAAGGCGAGTATTCTTCGTGATATCAGCCTTGCCGATCTCGACAAACCTTCCGAAAGGTGCAAGACACTCCCAAGTCTCGCGCAAAAGTTCGCCTGCCAGGGAGTTGACGATGACATCCACACCAACATCGCCGGTGGCTCTGCGGATGCTGCGAGCGAAAGATGTATCACGACTATAAAAGATGCGGTCTTCGGGAATACCGTACTGGGCCATTAAGAACTGTTTCTTGTCGAGGCTTCCGATTGTTGTAAAGATGTCTGCACCGATCATCTGTGCTAGCATTATGGCAGCTTGACCGACACCTCCAGCACCGGCGTGGATTAAAACCCGCTCGCCGGCTTGGAGATGACCTAGGTCAAACAGAGAGTAGTATGCAGTGCAGAATACAACTGGCACGGTGGCTGCAACCTCGAATGACATGTCGGCTGGGATTTCTGTCGCGCTAGTCGCAGCGCATCGTGCATAAGTCGAGAAACAGCCCTCTGGCATGGCCATTACTCTTTGACCGACCTTGAAATTCTTCACATTTGAACCTACACTGGAGACAACACCACTGCATTCAATTCCAATATAAGGCTGTGCAAGATGGCCCATAGAGACCACAATGTCTTTGAAGTTAAGACCGTTTGCTTTAACTTGAAGCTCAATTTGGCCATCGCCTAATGGTAGGGGATTGTCGTCTACAAAGTAGAGGGAATCAAGGGAGCCTTGACTGCCGATCTGGATCTTGAAGCGGCGCCCAGGCTGACTGAACGGTTGGGTTGAGATTGTCATGTCGTGGGTCTCATTGTGGATGAAACTATTGGCAGAATCATCTTCCACTATGCGTTGGACAAATAGCTCCGAGCCCTTGGCCTTGAACTCGAGATCTTTCGTGGGCTGAGTTCCATCGGTGGGCCATAGAGCACTGATAGCTGCCTGGATAGGCTTCTCGGGATATTTGATGTCAGGAACCAACCCAAGAGTGGCTATTCTAGCCGAGGTCTCGGAGCGCAAGGTACGAGTCAAGCCGACTGTCATTTGAGCATCGGGAGAATCAGTCCGATAGACCCAGAGCACAGTTCTAGCATTGAGTAGTGCCTTCTTGAGCCCCTCGAATACATCCTCGGTGAGGTATCGCAGAGAGCTAGCTCCAGTCTGAAGTAGAACAAGGTGCTTTTGAGAGAAGTTCACTTCACCAAAGTTCCGGACGGAAACCTGCCACCCGGATTCGTCGGACAGGGCAATACTCAATTTATCAGCAATACCATCGGATTTACCAAAGTACGTAATGCATAGATCGTGCTTAGGCTTGACGGGATTCTCATTTGTGTGCGCATTGCCTTGGTGCTTTGTATTCCCATTCGTATTTGTGTCTCCGTGGATATAAGTATCGCCGTGAGATTCGGCGGGGCCGTTGCGATCTTGAATATCTTCTTCAACGGCGTTTTCAGCCTCGGCCAAAGGATGCCAACTAATCTTATAGCACAATTTGCGAGTCTCTTCACGGTTAGTGTCTGAATCTCTGAGGGGAGTCATTACCAGGCCATCTATTGTAATAATAGGTTCAGTAGAGCCCTCCTGGGTGGCAAAAAGGTCAAATTTGGTCGGTTCAGGGGAAGGCAAGCTGGGACTGCCACTACAGTAACCTTTGAGGTATTCACCAGCGGTGGTTGGTACATTGAGACCGACTGTCATACGCTTGATTACTGTAGGCATGTAAAGTGTGTCCAGATCCATTCGGCCCAAGCCCTGGCCAAGAAGGGGCCAAGCAAAATGTAGCAGTCCATCGAGGAATGACGGGTGGACAGTTAAGGGAGTCTCAAATCCCTTCGGCATGACACTGCGGGTATTTCTAACGTATAGATCGCCAAACGAGTGGTGAGGGCTGGAGTAGCAGTTATCAATATTCTGGAAGATAGGACCATACCCGGCTCCTAGATCACCAAGAACCTGGTACATGTGGGACATATCGAGGTAATTAGTAGCCGGTTTCTGAATTCGGGAAATTTGAGCTTTCATGTAAGTGGCTTGAGTCTCGAACGGACTCGAGATCACAACTGCCTGCTGTTTCGGATCGGAGCGAACCCGTACCTGTCCAGTACAGTGCTCTGTCCATCCTCGCTTTGAAGTCCATGAGCAGACACGGAACTCATCCCAAAGATCGGATGATCCACGAGTACCCTCAGCGTAGGGGCGAAGAGTAATGGTGGTCTCTGCATCTGTCTCATCACTAAGCACAAACGCTGAGCCCACAATGACCTCCCTGAGTTCAAACTGGGAGATTTGAATATCAGCTTGCTTCGCGCGTCGTCGAGCAGCCTCAATGGCCATCACCAACTATTGGACAGTCAGTCAGCATTATTTAGATATGCGGATCATCCATTAAACCTACATAGCCTGCTAAGGGGTAAACGACCATCCCTTGCATCTTGTGGTCCCGGAGGTAGGGAACCTCATCTAACCGGATGATGTTCCGCCACGTTGGCTCCAGATCATTTGAGTAATTTGCCAATACTCCCAAGACATCGTTCCTAGCACCATCTCTGACCATATGCTTCTGTGGAATACGGGCAACGTGCCAGTACCGAGTTCCATGTTGCCAAGGGTAGCGAGGCAAGTTACTCAAGAACCACCGGTTTGCCGCTCCGGTCTTGGGAAAGTTCACTGCTGTCATATTGAGCGTAGCGCCTCGCACGTAGGCAGCAGCAGCGGTATCTAAGATGGACTCAGCTGCATTCACTTTACGAAGAATAGTTGGTGTATATGCAATCTTGGAGACAGTGGGACCCAAGCTCTTTAGAGTATCCATGATGGGGCCTTTCATTGTGGAGTGTGGACCGATTTCAATAAGAAGGCTGGGTCGTGTTTCATCGTCCGCCACTATCTTGCCAAGAGCATCAGAGAATAAAACCGGTGATGTCAGGTTCGCAATCCAGTATTCTGGACCAAGTTCAAAGGGTTCCGCGAAGCGCCCAAAGACAGAAGAGAAGAATGGGGTTATCGCCGACGAGAAGTGCCTAATGTTCTCAATCGCAGCTAAGTAGGCCTTGGAAACCTTCTTCATGTGGTCGGAATGATAGGCAACGTCAATCTTCAATTTTCGGTTGAAAAGTTGTTTATTATCGACAACCTTTTCGAGTTCACTAATCGTGGATATGTCTCCTGACACGGTCACGCTGGTAGGACTGTTCACGCAAGCAACGGTAGCATATCCAGAGAGGTTCTTTAGTATAGGCTGAATAGTTTCGCGGCTCGTGCCAATAGCAATCATAGTCCCCTTAAGGGACGGGAACGAGGACTTAAGCAACGAGGTCATTTGCCCACGCCAGTAAGCCAGAGCCATAGCTCCCTCTAAGTCATAAATCCCCGCAGCGTAGGCTGCACTGATTTCTCCAGAACTGTGGCCAACGACTGAACCAGGCCGGATTCCCCATGATTCTAGGAGGTTGACTAGTGCAATTTGAAGCGCTGTGCACGCTGGTTGACTTAGATGAGGGGAGTCAATGTCGGAAGCGGTTGCGTCCTTTTCCAACTCTTCGACAAGGGAGAACTCGGCGCCGAGATCTCGTAGGCATTGATCTGCTCGTTTGATGGCCAACTCGTAGACAGGATATTCATGCATAAGAGGAACACCCATCTGCGCCCATTGAGCCCCTTGACCAGTGAAGACAAACGAAATTATTGGGGCTCCCAGAACCCTAGAGGGGTTGATATTCAATTGGGCGAGACGGATACCAAGTTCATCTAGCGAGGTAGCTGACACGCCAACACGGTATGAGAGTTGAGACATCTTGTTGCCTAGGGTATAAGCAAAGTTGCCGAACAGAGTCTTTTCAAAAACCTCGGGATGCTGTTCGAAGTAGATACCGAAGTCTTTGATTCTAGTGCGTAGTGACTCCTTGTCGTTGGCAGAGATCAAGAACAGCTTGCGTTTGGGGTCCACTTCAACATCCTCAACAGCTCGGTCTGGGGCTTTTGATGACAGTGGTGCTTTTTCAAGTACGGCATGTGCATTGGTTCCTCCAAACCCGTAATTGGACACGCTGAGATATTTCTTGCGAGGAGGCCATGGCCGCGTCATCGTTAAAACTTTCATATTCCAGTCGCTCATAGGAATATTAGGATTCGCTTTCTTGAACTCGGCGTTTGGAAGCATTAGCTCTCTATCAAGCATCATGGCTGCTTTGATGATGGCAATTATACCACTGGCTCCCTCCAAATGCCCAATGTTGGATTTGACTGATCCAATGTAAAGTGGGTTTCTTGGAGTCCGATTCTTTCCAAGTGCTGCATGGACTGCTGCAGCTTCGATAGGATCACCGGCCTTTGTTCCAGTTCCATGCATCTCCACAAAACCGCATTCGTCCGGGTTGATGTTGGCCTCTTTGTAGACCTGCCGGATTAGCTCTTCCTGGGCCTGGCCATTCGGCAATGTGATTCCCTGTGTTCGTCCATCCTGGTTGACTCCTGAATGTACAACGACAGCTCGTACGGGATCTTTGTCACGCAAGGCGGCGTCGAGGGGTTTCAAAATCACGACACCAGAGCCCTCGCCTCGCGCAAAACCGGATGTGGCTCTCTCGTCGAAGGAGAAGGTTTTACCCTCATCATTAAACAACCTATATGATTCCAGACAGTCAGGTCATATGATCTCCAACTTGGCTTGGAGGACACGCAAATACATACTGTGACATGGACATCGAAACCCAAATATCTGGTACGATGTTAAGGTGACAACCAGCAACGAGTGCTTCCTTGGATTCCCCGCTTCGCAAGCTCTGTACTGCATAGTGGAGAGCAACAAGTGAGGAAGAACAAGCTGTATCCACTGTGACACTGGGTCCTCGTAGATCGAAGAAGTATGAAATACGGTTGGATTGCAGCGAGGCCGCACAGCCTGTAGCTTGGTGCATAGGGATAGTCTCGGTATCACGGTCATTATTGAGCTCATAATCAGCGAAATTACCACCCGCAAAGACGCTCACGTTCCGGCGAGCAAAATTCTCTTTGGGGATGCCAGCGCTCTCCAGAGCTTCATACGCGCACTCCAGTAACAAGCGCTGCTGAGGGTCCATGGCCGTAGCTTCCTGCACGGTGAGGTTGAAGAAAGGAGCATCGAACTGTGCAATGTCCTCGTCAAGGAAGTAGCCTCCCTTTGGGTTGAAGGAACCAATCTTGGATGAATTGGGATGATGGAATGCTTCGACAGAAAAACGGTCTTTGGGGATGGGTGACCAGCCACTTCGAGCTCGGGTACATAGCTCCCATAGCTCACTAGGAGATGTAACTTGCCCCGGCAGCCGGCAGGAATACCCGATGATGGCGATAGGTTGGAGGGTACCCTGGTCGCCATAGGACGCACCTTCCGAATCAGCACCCTTCATGTTTGTCATGGTGAAAAGTGCAGAAGGTGCAACTGTGACGCGAGTCTATATAATTTTGGGGAGCCACATCGACATCGGGGAAATCGGGGAAATCGGGGAAACCGACTGCCTAGGTTGTTATGGCGTGTTATATAGCCTTGCAAATACCCACCAGCTCTTCTGATACGGGTCATTTTGGGGGTGTACAGCTTCATGGAGCTGTCTCTACTCCGAAGGCGATCGATGCTCTGCTAGCATTGGGTGATCGGTGGTTATTCCCGAATTGGTGACTTTGACTGAAATGTTGTACCGTCCCACATTATTCGATATCCCAATTGTTTGTAGTTGGGAAGTTGATGCTCGGCGGAAATCCCGTGCTTTCCCAATCTTCCATTTGCTTTACACGACTTGTACAGCCCGAGCGGTAATTTATTTCCTAGTATATGTTGATTTCTATATTTTCTATAATTGCTCGTTACCTCTCCCATATTTTACTTTTCGTTCCCATAGATCATTACAGACTGATACAAGATGAGGTTCTTATGTCTTCATGGCGCCATTGGTAACATCGACGTAGGTGATCAGAGACACCATAATGGAAATCCATACTGACTTGCTTATCACAGAATATTAATATTCAGCTTGGTAATATCATTCACATTTGAGGACTCGAAGGGCCAGCTGACAATATTGCAGATCCCCTAGTGAAGCAGATGGCCACGGATGGTTTCGCTTCGTTCCACTATATCAACGGTCCTGTTCTTGTGTCTCCACCAGCAGGTACTGTCCTCCTGGGCTTAGACACTGATAAAGCAGTTCTGATTATCATATTTTCCTAGGGTTCACGGAGTATTTCGGTATCGGGCCGCATTACCGGTGGTTGGAGGATGGAGGAGTAGCAGAGAACTCAATGATCTCTCGCGTTCGAAAATCTCCGCATGGTTCGTGTCCCGAAGATGTGATGCGAGCTTTGGGTAACGGTTGGGATGGCCGTTGGATAAACCACCATCAAGTCATGGAATACCTCTATGATACACTGGAGAAGAATCCCGATATCGACGGCATCATCGGATATAGTGAGGGTGCTACGATGGCTGCAAGTCTAATCCTGGATGAGGATAGAAAGGCTCAGGAGACTGGTCGTCCTCGTCACATCAGATGCGCGATTTTCATCACCGGCTGGCCTCCTCTTTCCCCTGAGGAAGACGTGGTCCTGGCAGATGAAAGCGACTATACTCTGGACATTCCGACGCTTCACGTGGTTGGTGCAGATGGTAATTTTGACGTCTATTGCCCCTTTCAAACTATATACTCACTGTTTATCTTCGGCACAGACCCCTACCGATACGGCGCATTGGCCTTGTTCAATATTTGTGATCCTGATACCGCAGCGATGTTTGACACTGGACGGGGCCACACCATTCCTCGGTCTGGTCCGATCATCACAGAGTTGGGAAATGCTGTGCGAGACCTAATCGACAGAGCATATCAAGTATAATTGAGGCCTGTGGTTCATGGGAAGCACGAAGCCTTTCTGTGCGCGGTATGACAGCAAAAGACCCGTTGAAGAATACACAAACTCGGGCTCGAGGCGTTCCAGATTCTGAAAGGCCATATTCTGCAAGATAGTTTGATTTGAACTTGATATATATAGTAATGCATCCTATATAGTTATTCACTCAAGTGTTATCTAGCGTTGCCTCTTGCCCTCTTGATGGAGTAGAGCCTAAGCCGAGTATGGCCTAATTAGGATGATGTGCTACCCACCAGCTTTCCCAAGCGATAATATTCTCTCCAAAACATGTATTGTCGCAATTGGAGACTTTCCAACTAGAATTTTACTCTCCCAAAGCACCGGTATGGTTCGTCGGGTGTACTACCGGGAACTCTGACTGATTGCGCTCCAGGTCAAATCCGAGCTCTAATATCTAGCCAAGGTGAGACGCAAAGCCTGCACTGCAATTAAGCTGAGATATGGAAGGCCAAGGCTGTAGATCGTACTTTCAAAATGGATATGGATAGACACTTCGACATTCCGTATCATTCTCGAATATGTACGAGAAAAGGTTTTCATCTTATCACCTACAATTAGAATTTAACATAACACCAATCACATATAAAAAACACATCAGACCGCGGCCTAGAAAACCCTCTGATGTATCGGTACTACGTAGGCTCGGAGGGTTAATAAAGCAACGGTCAACAAATTCGGGCATTTCCTCATTCAACACCGAAGTCATAAGGAAGGAAAAACAAGCAAAGAAGTTCAAATGGTGGCGTATTCTTCAACATATCATCAGTGACGTCGGATCTCGAGTGTGGCTTCAAATTCTCCAACATGTACAATATGATCCTACAGATCGTTTGGGTACTGTCAGCTGTCACCCTGATGTTGATACAGACTCACGCACAGTCTGTGTCAGAGGATAAATGTGCAACGGGCGTTCATGCTATTATCGCTAGGGGGCAAGGCGGGGGCGATGATCTGAATGTAATGAGCACTCTTTCAGACCTGATCCTGAAGCAGATCCCCGGCTCGACAACCCTCGGCTTACCCTACGATCATGGAAACGTCTTAACTAATTTGGACAAATTATATACTGTTCACGACGGTACGCTTCTGATGCAGCAGTTTGTGCAGGAGTACAGTGAAAGCTGCCCCCAAACTAAGATCGTGGTAGTTGGATATTCAATGGTGACATCGTATTATGGCAATCAAACATGCAAAATGCCAAGGCTCACTACCACATAGGGAGCAGTTATCATGATGGATTCTCTGTGCGGAACCAGTGAGGTTGGAGTCCTCTTCGTCGCCCCTCTTGCGCGGACCTACAACTCGACTAGTACGTCATGTCGAGGCTGTCAGAAAACACGAGTCTGATCAGATATCTAGTCATAGCTGCGATTGCGTATGGTGATGAGACATACTTTCCTGGTATGCCGTGGAATGTGGGCAATTGCACACTGGGTATAGGCGTGAGTACCAACTCATATTCAAGTGCTGAATTATAATCTAAAGCAGATGTACCAGCTTCTTCCTCGGCTAAACCCAGCCTTATGTGGACCATTTACTAGCTCAATGCACAGCTATTGTGATTACGGTGATGAACAATGCTGCTCACCATACCCCGAAGACGGAAATGCCGCACACCACGGCTACATATGGAAATACAATCAGGACGTTGTGGACTTCATCAAACACCGTCTGGCCACGATTGATTAGGGATGATGTCCGCTCAATAATGGACACTGCCAATAATAGGAGGTAGAAGAGAAAGATATGTCGCTTATAGCTGTTGAAAATCTTCCTGCGGACTTGGCTGCTTTCCGAATTATGCTATTACCGGCATTCTTAGTGTGTAGCTCGAAACTTCAAAGGATTCCACAATATACGTACTAGCCGACGTCAAATTCCACCAATCAAGTTTATAGAAACCACTTGATAATATGAGATTGACAGGTCAGAATTTATCTCTAGCATTGGTGAATCCCCCTTTCAATGTTAACTACTAAAGTGCAGACGTACATACGCGGTGAGTCCTGAAAATATATCTCGGCATGTTTCTTAGACCTGGGTTGGCACAGCCGCTCGTCCGTAACCCAATCATAACTATAGTATACCGCTAAGACTGCACAGGTTTAAGATATCTTAAACGAAGGGATACTACCCCGGATGCTAAAAAAAGGGTGGTACTAAAAGTTGGGACTACGTGGACAGAGAGCATTTTGTCTCAAGACATACCCTCTACCTAGGGTAACAATAGCGAACAGCCCCGAACTATGAGTACCAGGTTATTGTTCTATGCAAAAGCTGAACCTTGGTGTCACATATGTAACTAACTACTCCGTACTATGTAAGTACTAAGGTGATGGATCGGATCCGAGTTTCATACTGTTCTAGACCTAATTTCAACTCACCTTGTTCCTCCATTGTACGACATATACTTGTATATAGGAGGAGCTCACTGATCTAGTAATCTATTGGCATGTATGAATATAAACAGTTGTCATCATTATGTATTACCTAATATCACTGCCCAGATCCATGAAGCCGAAGCGTACCGCATCGAGGTATACAGATCAGCTAATCCCGTTTCGGCGATCCCAACTCCTTTTTGATTTTACCTCCTCAACAACCACAAGCCTCCCTCTTTCTCTATGTTCTCTCTAGCCCGTCAATTCTCCGGAGTCCGCTCCAAGCCTCTCGTCCTTACCAGCCAGAAATTCACCCGATCGACTCAGGTACCCCACCGCCTGTACTCGAATCCTCCGAGATCTTCGCCGCCACGCGCACCCTCCGCCCCTCAATCCAGCCGCTCCAATTTCCCAATCATCCCCATCATCATCATAACCGCCATCAGCTCCGGCGCCTACGTCTACCTCGTCAAGTCCCGCACCGGCGTCCGCACCTCACGTCCAAACTAGCTTGAAGTAAGTCCGGAAGGCCTAGCGTACATTTAAGGAAAAAGCCAACTAACGTCCGTTTCCAGTCAAGCCACACCGACACAATCACCCCACAAGCAACCTCGACTCGAACCCCAGTCCTAAACCCCCTTTAACTTCATCCCTATCTCCTTCAACCCCCCCTCCCAACTAAACAAGCACCAACCACCCACAATGGCCACCCCCCGCTTCTCCACAAACGACGTAACAGTCGTCTTCTTCCTCGGCGGCCCAGGCAGCGGGAAGGGCACACAATCCGCCAACCTCGTCAAAGACTACGGCTTCGTGCACCTGTCCGCCGGCGACCTCCTGCGCGCCGAGCAAGTCCGCGAAGGCAGCCAGTACGGCGACCTGATTCGCGAGTACATCCGCGAAGGCAAGATCGTGCCGATGCAAGTCACCGTTGCGTTACTGTCGAATGCCATGGCCGACTCGCTGGCGACCTCGCCGCCTCCGGCTGGCACCAAGGCCCGCTTCTTGGTCGACGGGTTCCCACGCAAGCTTGACCAGGCTGTTTTCTTCGAGGAGACTGTTTGCCCCTCCGAGCTTGTGTTGTTCCTTGATTGCCCTGAGGATGTCATGGAGGCTAGATTGCTGAAGCGTGGTGAGACTAGTGGCCGTGATGATGATAACGCGGCTTCTATTCGCAAGCGCTTCCATACTTTCGTCGAGACTTCTATGCCTGTCGTTGATGATTTCGAGAAGAAGAATAAGGTTGTTTCGGTCAAGGCTGATAGCTCTGTTGAGCAGGTCTATGAGCAGGTCAAGGCCGGTATTGAGGCTCGTGGTTTGCACACTCGCTAAGCGGGATTCTTGTGTTTGTATCGATGTATATAGTGTTGGTGTCCCTTTAGGGGGAAGAGTTGTGTGATTTCTCTGCTCGGCTTGAATATAGAGTATAGAAAGCATTTTTAGACTTGAACCTGAAGCCAATGAAGTTGTCAGTTGACTACGGATATGAACCATGACCAGTCTAAAGAAATATAATATTCTTTAAGCCGGAATAGAAAAAAATGAACAAACGGAAAGTCATCCCTCCGGAAAACATAAAACAAGACTAAGATTGACATGACATGACTCGTGGGGTCCCAAACATCCAACGGGGGCAGTAAAAACCCAACCCTACAACTGGCCAGGGAAAAGAAATGCATGAGGAAAAGACAGCAAGATTTCCCCTCTATTAACTGAAAGATTTTTGTGTTTTGTGAACTTTTCCATTTATAAAAAAGGACACAACTATTCGGCACTAGCCTCAACCTCACGCGTCGGCTGCGAGAGTTGAATGCGTCGGCGGTCACCGTTACCGTTGCGATTGGCGTTGGCTTCTTGGTCAGCCGCGGCCTGGATACCCTCGCGGGCGAAACGCTCACGCTCGGTGCGGATCACGTTCAGAACGCTCTCGAGGGAACGGCGCCAGACCATCAGGCGGCCTTGGACCTCGGACCACTGCTTCTCGCCGAAGACGCGGTAGGTGGCACGGTGCACAAGGAACTCGGACTTCAGCTGGGACAGTCTGCCCTCGACGAGGCCGGCACGAATGGTGTCGATGACCCACATCTCGACATCGGAGGCGGGAACGCGTAGAGCAGAGGCGATAGTGGCGTAGGGAAGCGAGCGCGAAAGGGTGGAGGATGCCAGAGAGGTGAGAGTGAGGAGACGCATCTTGGTCTGCAGGGCATCGGCGGACTCGGCGAGCACGCCGCCAGAGATGGAAGCGAGCGGAGTGGCAGCGATGAAGGTCTCGTAGGCATCGAGGGTGTCCGAGGTGAAGATCTCGAGCAACTCGAAGAGAGTGCTGTCGCTGGAGCGCAGGGCCTGCACGGCGTCTGAGGCGGTCAAGGGAGTGAAGTCGAAGACGGTAGAGCGACGCAGAGCGGTAGCGAGAGCGCGCACAGCCAATTCGCGGGCTTCGGGCTTGCTGGCGTCGGAAGGGTCGATGGTCTCAAGCGCTTGCACGATGTGGGTCTGGGCCAGATCCTCATCGCCGGCAGCGGTAGAGGCCTCGGCAATGGCGATGTGCAACTTCCGGGTGTCATCGTTATCCAACCCCCACGCTGAGAGCCATGTGGGAAGCTGGGAAGTGAGCTGAGGCTTGAGGGCTTCGAAGGCAATTCCAGATCCAGACTGGCGGATCACGGCCACAATAGCGAGGAGAACGTGGTACCGGCTCGCGTCGTTGGCAGACAGAGTGTTGAAGATGGTGGTGAGAATGGAGATGGCGAGCGTAGGGCCGAACTGAGGGGAGGTGGTGATGGGCTTAGCGAGATAGGCGCAGATGCGAGGAAGGAACACGTCGGTGTCGGAAGACTGGTGAACGAGGTGGATCAGGAGGTTGTAGGCGGAGGTGATCTCTGCATTTATGTCAATCTATGTCAGTTTTTGTCCATCAAAGATCCAAGTGCCAAATTCCCGACTCTGTCTGCAGATCATTCTTTGACACTTTTTGTCCACTTACCCTTCTCGGGGGCACTGTTCAGAGCGGTCGCAGACGACACGAGCTTCTTCAGGACTTCATCACGCTGCTTAAGGTCGGCCTCGCCTTCAGACTGTTCCTGCTGGCGGAGAGGTTCGAGGAGCGGGGCGATCTCGGACTGGAGGCTACCCTCTTTGCGGAGGGCATCGATGTACTGGGCAAACTCGTCGGCGAGCTCGGTGAAGGAACCCTCAATGAGGAGGGTGTTGGTAGGGGCGGGCATGATGTTTGATGTGGGAAAGGGAGAGGAAGAGCGAACGTGAAGTTCTTGATGGTGGAGTCTATCGATAAGTTGAGAAATTTCAGTGTGTGCCAGAAAAAGTCTTGGCGAGAGGAACACCACAAAACATCTCGACTGATGTGTGCCTTTTGACTCTTTTACTTGATTTGGAATATTTTATGTAGGTGAAATAACAAATATTTACACTGCAATCGTCACTACTCTCATTCTGCTGCCCAATGGGTTGGAAATAATTGGTGATATTACTTTGAATCGAATAGTTAATGCGCGAAATCGGCACCGGCGCAGACAAAAAATGAACTCCGACCCAAAGCAAAACAAGAAAGGACAGGCGCCGCGTTCATAAACATGCGGACGATCGTAATGTGTCAAGCCTATTCAGAGGGGAATCGAATGTCTCGAAGGAAAAAAAGCAAATGGCAACGCGATGAGTTAAGGGAATACAACAAAGAGGACGCTATGCGACCTAACCATCAAGTGGTAATTAACTGCCCAAAGACCGAAGAACATCGTCCCTTTACAGGATCATGCGCGCAGCAACGAACATGAGACCAGCCATCAGACCAGTGGAGTACTGGGTCAGATCACCGAGGGCCACAGCAGCGTTGGTGGTAGTGCTGGCAGCAGCGACGGAGGAAGTGGCAGTGGTGGAAGAATCGGTCGTAGTGGCCAATGCCAGAGTGCTCGTAGCGCTGGCCGAAGTCGCAGCAGCAGAAGAGGTGGTGGTCACCGCACTTGCGTTCTTGGAGCCACAGTCGGCCGATGCCTGCTTGCAGGCGCGCTGGCCCTCAGCATCGTTGGGGTGCGAGTTGATGCACTGGCCGTAAGTAGCCTGGCAGACGTAGAAAGGAACGGTCTGAATGTAGGAGGTCACATTTGGGGTTGAACCATCGCTGCAGACACAGCTGAACTTCAGGGTGGTCTGTTCAAAGCGTTAATCTCCCGGTCGTATGGACGCGATACACAACAACATACCGGGTCGCAAGAGTTCAGCTTGGTACCACTTGAGCAAAGATCGGGGCAGGTGTTGCGCTGAGCAGAGCACCAGGAGCCTACTTCATTAGCGCTTCGTCGTGTCAGAATTGGTCGGGGTACATACTCAGGGTGCCGCTATCCACCAGACCAATATTGAAGCCAGCGGGGAAGGTGTAAGTGTCAGTGGAATTGTCAGCCATGACAGCAGTAGCCAGAGCTGAAAGGAAGATAATTGAGGAACGCATGATGGATAAATTAGAGATGCTGTGTACAAGGAGAAGAGAAGAGAGAAGAGAGAAGAGAGGAGGGTTTGAGGAGGGAAAAACAAGAATGGGCAGGTGCTTTGTATCCAGGGTATTCCAAGGTATCCAAGGTATTTCACGTTTATTTTTATTTTTTTCGAAAGAACTTCCCTTGGCAGGTTCGGCCCTGACCCCTATAATTGGCATGCCACGGTGGATAGTGAACTCGTGCTATTGTTTTCATATTTCTATCTTCGTTGGAGAAAATAGGAATATTCGCCTTGCACAGGGGCCCTGTTTCCCCCGTTTTCCCTGTTTTGATAGCTAGCTGGCCCAAAAGGGTCTATGGAAAAATGATACCCAAATGAAAGGGTCCTTGGCTGTGCTACTAAACCCAGTCAGGCTAAGTTGCCCCTGCCGCTAGAATCCGTACGAATCATAACGGTCTGTTCGGAGATTGCTGAGTGCACTAGCAGGCGCTAAAGTGATACAGGACCTGAGATAAGTCGCTTAGGTTGGGACTATGTTTATCCTCGCATTCTTGTCCGGATTCCCAGATTCCCCCATCGGGTCCCTTACGGTCAACTACCGGTTACATGCCGGGGGTGAGACAATGCATTGTCTGTGCTCGAGACTGGCATGATTGGTTCTTCAATTCAAGGAAAGGGAATACATACAGATATCTATGTACTTCGAAGCTTTTGATGTTCGCTCCACCGCAAATCAATTTTGCAAATCCATTGGACCCTGGGTGATTTGATCCAATATATATCCACGTGACTGTTTATCATGTCCCGATCGGTCATAGCCGGAGCCGAGGTCAATTTATGTCGTGACACCGTTGGCGCCCTAACATACTGCTGAAACCGCTGAAACACTTCATGCCAGGTCCTTTAGCTGCACCTCAACTATGACAATTGCAGTATAATCCCCGAGACCAAAATACCAGCGAAAAAAAAAGAAGAAAGAAGAAATGGCTGACCCGGCCCCCGCCATCGCGCACCTCCGCTCCAACTCATGGGCAAATAATCTCATTTCCTCTGCCGAATATACACCAATCCAAACTGACTCACGACGCCCAAAGCCTACAACTGGTGAAGATGGCTACTTCGCACAAACCCTCAACACACCTACCACAATCCCCCACTGTCTAACCCTGCAACGGCGCAATCTCACACCCGCGCCCGCCGAAGCCCCCACCTGGCTCCCCGCAACAAAACAAGATGCGGCATCTGTCGCGAAGCCCACCCCGGGCCTGAACCCTGCGGACATCATTATGATCTTCGACCTTAGCAGCCCCGGTGTGTCTGGCCACCCATCCACTGCGCACGGCGGCATTGTCGCGACGCTGATTGACGAGGCCATGTCCCTCGCTGTCGCGGCGCATACCAATGCGCCCACTACGCCCGGTATGGCTGAGGATAACCCGCGCGGGAAAATCTTTACCGCACAACTGGATGTCAGGTATAAGAAGCGGGTGACTACGCCTGCTTTGCTGGTTATCAAAGCGCGAGTTGTTGGGAGGCTCGGCAAGAAATTCTGGGTCCGGGCGCAGGCGTTGCAGGAGGATGAGGAGGAGACTGGAGGACATTTGGAGTGGACCAAGAGAAAGGTCGTCAAGGCGGATGCCATGGCATTTTGGATTGTGACCTCTGACTCGAAGTTGTGAGCGTCCTTTTCTTTCCAGGCTCGAAGCTTGAAGCACAGACTAGGGGATCGACTTCCCTGATGTACATGCGGGGATGTCGATCCCGTACATAAAACCCGATTTGCACATACAGAAGTGAACAGATAGATCATATATAGATAGACATAAACTAAGCCTGCGTTGAACACATAAAATCTATTCTCAAAACATGTATATATATATCGGTAAAACGACTATCTACAACTTCTCCATCTTCCTAGTCCCAAGGTTCCGACTAGCACTAACAACCAACCCAACTTGCGAACTTAGCGCAATAACCTCTCCGTCCTCATCAAGAACCGTAACATCTATATCTGTCCGCCCATCCCTAACAACTTTAGTAACAACCCGACTATAAAGCCACTCTACCCCCTCAGCAGGAAGATGCTTCTTCATATCCACATTGAGCGTAACAGTGGGATACCAAAACTTCGCTTTCTCTTCATCAACCGAAGTCCCACTCTCCTCCGCCACAGCAGTAGCAGACATAGTATCAAATCCATCCAACACCATAGGAAACATATCAATCAGATATGCCACCGCAGCCTCCGTCCAGCGGCCATTCACATCACCCCCAGGCCGGAACCTCGCCCACTGATCAATACCCATATTCCCCGAGCGCTTCTGTTGCGTCGCGCCAGCACCAGGCCCAAACAGCTCGATCTGCGCCGCAGCCTTACGGAAATCCGAAAAAGGCGTCTCGAGCTTCGTCCAAACGCCGTCAGTGCCTGTGCGGCCCAGCGCTGCTAGATCAACGGACCCGTCCGCCCGCGAGCCTGCCACCGGAGCAGGGTACGGTTTCCACCCTGTGCTCGCGCTAATTCCGACCTCGGCCTCCGGCGGACTGACAGTGATATAGCCGGCGACCATGGTGTCCAGCTGGCCGGGCTTTTTCTCCGAGGGCTGTAGTAGCTTTATGTGGATTGTGCTGGTGCGCGCGCCTATCTTGACGTCTTCAACTTCGAAGGTTGCGGGGCCTGAGGCTGTGCGCCGCAGGAAGGAGAGTTGGATTGAGATTGGCGACGCGGCGCTTTTGTATTGCGTTGGGTGGGCGTGCGCGAAGTGCGTTAGCGCTAGTTGGTAGATTACGGCCGTTGTGTAGCCGCCGTGTGGGACTGGCGGGGTGTTAGCTTGGGTCAATGGGAGAGGGTTGTTTACGTGGGTTCTACTATACCGATTCCAATGCACCATTCTGGCCGGAGGAAGGCGCTGTATTTGTTGTGGCCTTGCGGGGTGACCTTGATGGCTTCCTGAAAGGATGGGTTGATAGTGGACATAACTGCAGTAGTGTTTGATATGTACGGGGGTTAGATGGGAGGGTCTAAAGGTCTAAGGAATGTGATTTATATGATCTGATATTGAACCTCTTCCCCACAGATACGACATCGGCGAACCTCGGCTTATTCCCCAGACTATGGACAGCCGAGAAGCTGAGTCAGCCACTCATAAGCCTTGACACGTGGGTTTTTCCAAAGTTTCATAGACATTGAAGTCAAGAGATATATAATGGCATAAATTTGTGGCCGACGTAAGAGGGCTGTGCGAACAACAAGGGATCAAATTTAGCAGGTCCTCTGGTATAGATGAGACCTTGCGATAGGCCCGATCGGGAAACAATCGAGATATTCTGGGTTGGGCTATGCGACATTACGCTTGGCAGCTCGCGTAAAGGGGCCTGTGCTAAATCTCCCTTCAATAACCAGACTACAAAATGAGGCAAATTCCTTTCTTAGCGTGTTCATCGGCACTACATAGAGAAGATCTGACCCTGTTGTGCGGCGAATCCGAGGGCTGAAAAGATGGTTCACTACATCACAGGCACCGCACTTGAACGCAGCTCTCCAGGGCCATCGTTTCAGATCACTAATGGAAAAATAGCACGCTCATATGGCTATGTTGACCCCTACTTTCCAAATCCGGGCGGCGAAAATGACACCCCCGTGATCATCTATGGCTACACTCCTTCCATTGCCCTAGCTGCCTTCGCAGCCGCGTGGTTTTTTCTTCACTTCGTCTACCACACGACTCAATCTATCAAGAACCGCAGCTGGTGGTGGATGACCTTTTCCGCCGGTCTGGTTTTCGAGGTTGTAGGGTACATTGCACGATCCCTCTCCGCTAAGAAGGATCCCTATCACCTCATCTACTTCATCCTCAACTACTTTTTTATCGTTGTGGCACCTGTATTGCTTGCCGCTGGCGTCTACACGATTCTCTCGGCACTGATCCCACGAGTAGGGAGCCAGTACTCATTCTTACCTCCAAGGGTCATCCTAGCCTTCTTCATTACTTCGGATGTCATCTCAACAATCGTCCAGATCGCCGGTGCGTGTCTCATTGGCGTTACAGAGTCGCGCCGGGAAGATCCCACAACGGCGAACAATATCCTCCTGGGCGGCCTCGCATACCAGGTCTTTGTCATGACTATCTTTGTTATCGTGGCGGCGAGTTTCCAGTTCCGAGCTCGACTTGCTATCAGAGCGAATGGGCTTGGGCTCTTCTGCTTGGCTTTTTCAATTTCGACCCTCATGATCTATTTGAGAACTATCTTCCGTCTTGCGGAAACCGCCCAGGGTCTCATGGGAGAGCTGCAAACCAATGAGGTCTATTTCGCATGCCTTGAATTCGCGCCTATTGCGTTAGTGGCTCTTCTCTTTGCCGTCTGGTATCCCGGCCGCTGTGTAGGTGCCGCGGTGCTGGTTAACGATAAACCATAGCTTTTGATTGGAGTAAACATAATACTTTTTTTGTCTCTGGAAAAGCTGCATATCCTGAACTCGTATTTCTCACAAACGCTAAAATAGGAGTCCTACCTGTATTTGGGGGGTACCTGCCTATTTGCTCCTAGCAGTACATGACCACCTCGGAATTCTTGAAGTTTGATGACAGTGAAGGCTGAAAATAGGGAAGAGGTGGGATTGATTCTGGCTTGTTATCCTATCCAACCCAGTCGGGGGCCAGAAACAATCATACCTCGCTTGGTTGACATCCATAGATGCTTCATATAAAATTATAGAATGTCTTAAGAGGACTAACCAAATGACTGAGCTTTAACTGTTCGCAAGAAACCACCAGGAAAGTTCCCTGTTGTTCCAATCATATTTTTTTTCTTCTTTTCTAAACTTTAACCCGAAATTATTAGAAGATGCAATGCAAATATGTCTTCCTGTAGAGCCTCCATATCCATGTATGTACTGTCTCAACTTGATCCAAAATGCGCCGCAATAGTATGCTAGCACCAAATCATAGTTGCTAAAGAAAATGAGAACTCCGGTCCGTTTTGCTATCTTCGTGTATTCGTCTTCGCATGTTCATGTCCTGGAAATCCGAAGTCAATCAAATTCCTCACTCTCGCAATGGCAGTTTGGTTTGGGCCTGTTGTGCTGCCAATTGTTGCAGACAGGAAAGAACGCCTGTAAAAAATTAGTCAACCGAAATAAAAATAGAATAAATCCAGACTTACCAGTAACTCCCTGTGTCAAGGTTGCCTTGGCCTCAGTGCTGCGCGAGCCCAATGTGACAGTCATAGCATAGTCGACGGCCTTTGTGCTGTGCAGTTTATTAGCCCACCGGAAGACCGGCTCGTCCTCGCGATTATCGCCGATAACCAGCAAGAAGTCAGGTTTGATGAAATCCTTCTTTTTGTCGGCATTTGCCATATACCACTTCCAGGCATGTGCGGCCGCAGATGCCTTGTTGGTGTGAGTGGTCTCCACGATCAAAGCACCCTCAACGGGAATCGCATGCACACCCAGGTTAGCGCACGCATCGTTGATGTTGCCTGCGCATTCAGCGGCAGATCGAGCCGCAGCTTGGCGGTCTTCGGCGGATCCATGGTGGAAGACTAGAGAGCAATGGCGCTCCTCGATCCAGCTACCCTCGACGCGAGCGTGGAAGTATGCCAGGATATTAGACACGGATGCCTTCCATGATTTGACATGCTTCTTGTCTGCAAGCTGGGTCCACGAATCGGCGTTCGGCTCGCGCACGAAGGACCCGTTTTCGGCAATTAGTCCCAGATTGTTGACTTGCCGGAACAGCCGTTCCATTTCCTCTGGCATACGCGCACTCATTACGTAGACAACGTTAGCGGGGTCTTCGGTCAATTCATTTAGAGTTGTGATTGCGCGCTGCGGCGTGGTCAGAATGATGCTGCGCGGTGATCCCCAAGAGGCGAGCGTGTCTTCGTAATCGATGATCATGAGCCGTTGCTTGGACTGGCGATATCGCTCGGTCAGCCTGGATACGGACAGTCGAGGTACTGCCATGATTTCTCGCGAAGACTGTTCGTTCCATACACGGGTGAGCGTTTCATTGAACGATTTCACCCAATTGGCAGTCGAGTTCTTCAGGACCGCACGGTACATTTCCTCCCAAACCTCTTTCCGTTCCTTCTCATCGCGAGTCAGTGCTGTGTGAATTGCTTCGCAGCACTGGCGGTAATCCCAAGGGTTGACCAAAAGAGCACGATTTCCAAAAACAGATGCGCTGCCAGTGAACTCGCTAAGAATTAATGACCCGTAGGCTTTGTTGCCCCATCGACCATCTTGGCAGTAGACAAACTCATGGCTAGTCAAATTCATTCCCTCGCGTAGACTGGTGATCATCAGGGCATCTGCCACAGTGATGAGAGCAAGGTACTGCGGGAAGGCCAAGTCTTGTTTGAGGAATACCAAGGGTTGATGAGCGAGGGTTGAGTGTGTGGAGTTGATCCGCATGGCAATATCAGAGATAGTCGCTTCCAGCTCTGGTTGTTCCGTGGTGCTGGTGGCGACTTGAATCAGCACAACTTTATCAGCCCATTCTGGGTAGGTATTGAGGAAAAGCTCATAGCTAAGAAGTTTTTGGCGAATACCCCGAACAGAATCAATCTTATCGCGCGAGACGATGAGACGCTTTCCTTGATAGCGCTCCGAGATTGCATGGACCCATCGCTCCACATCCGTTGCCCGGCGGCGCTTATCCCAAGAAGTTGGGTCAATGCCGATAGGGAACGTGCCGACGTTGACAAAACCGTCTTCTAACTGGATTCCTTCGGGTGTTGCTTCCACACACAAAATCCGACTGCATGTCTGCAAGAAGTGCCGGCAGTATTCATCTGTCTGGAAGCCAATAAGGTTGGCACCAAGCATGCCCTGGAGGAGCTCCTTGCGTTGCGCCAAGCACTTGAAGACCTCCGACGAGGGGAAAGCAATATGCAGGAAAAACCCGATTTGTGCATCTGGCACCAATTTGCGCAGCATAGCTGGAACCAGTAACAGATGATAATCCTGAACCCAGATCGCATCACCCCGCTTCCAATGCTTAGCAATGCGATCTGCAAAAGCCTGATTCAACTTGACATAATAGATCCACGAATGGTCCTCGTAAGCTTTGCTCTTCGGGTTATCTGGGATCTGATAATGGAACACCGGCCAAAGAATGGTCTTGCAGTAATGCGTGTAGTGCCCATCAAAGTCGCTGTCATTTACAAAAACCGTCAAAGACCCGTACTCATCTTCCAATTTCTCCGCGATGTCGCGCCGGGTGTGCTTTGCCAACGCGTCAGTGGGCATACCCAAGGTGCCCACCCACATCATGCTATCCAAGCCTCCGGCGTCTGTTGCGGATCGCACTGCATTACGCAGGCCACCATTGCCCTGCTCCGCGGTCTCGATGGTCCATTCAGCTTTCGAAAATGATAATTTTCGGCTCGCTGTGCTGGCCTTTCTTAGTCTTGCATAGGAAGCAATGGTCTCAACTGCAGGAGGCCGGTGCGTAGGTTCCTTGGCGGGGCGAGGATCTTGGTGCTTGAGAATGGATGGAGACGGCGACATGACCGCCGCCGGCTTTGGTTGATTGAGCGAGGTTGTGGCACCCCATACCGGGGAATGACCCTCACTCCGTGTGAGGAGCCGGTTATCCTGCTCGACGGCCAAAGGGAACGGGTACCCGTTTGTCTCGTGCTCTGTCTTGCCTACCTGGGCAGCAAATATGCGCTCATGATCCGTTGTAGCTCCTGGTGTAAGACCCGGTGTTTGCCCTGGAAGGTTCTTCTCAAACAGGCTAGCGGTAGAATTGGGGATGGGTGTGATCCCCTCAATAGTGGGGTTCACGGACGGAGGACTTGGAGGACTTAGAGGGGGAGAGCGGGCGCGCGAATTGTTGATGTGGAAATCGATAGTGTAGGGCAAAAATCTATATAAGAAATTCGCCGGTTAGCCATATATAGTTCCAGGTCCAGTAATAGCCACATACAGAGATGCTATGAAGACCGTCATGGTGATTGAGCCGAGCCTAAGCGGATAGGCAAAATAATATCAAAAAGCAATATGAGATAGACCTTCTTGACAATAGCAATGGATAGGTGCGGCCATCAAACGAGGGGTTAGAGTCCTAAAAACCGGGGGCTGAAGAAAAAGAAATGTTAGTTACACGATGCGTTTCTCATGACTACGTCATGTGAAAGTGCCAAGTGATGGAGAAGCAAGTTTGCCCTGTGGATTTGCTAGGACAAATAAGAAGAAACAGGCAAATCTAGATGCCCGAGGGCTAGAATCAGAGATGACGATGAATATCACTTAAAAGTCCTTTGAAGCCAAAAGGATATCGCGGAACCGAGGGAAGACAACAACTTATCCATTCCCTTGCTGTGACATACCGCTTTTACCCCACTTGAGGGTCTGGGTGTTCCCGTACGGTATTTTTGGTATTTGATTACAGAACTATGGCAGATCGGCTGTGATTGGCGGAATATCTAGCTGTCACCTGACATAAGGCAATATTTCTCTCCGAATCCGTTATGCATAGTGAAAGGTTCACACACCCATGCCATGACCTTACGTCTTACCTCCGCTCCGGTATCTGGTGTCAAGAAACGCAAATCCTCTGCTCCCAAACCCCGCGCCTCGCCCTTTGCCGCCCTTGCGCGCCGAAAACCTACATATGGCGGAGGCAGCCTAAAACCGACTGCAGATCTAGGTTTCGATGACCCGCTTCCAGATGTAGGCGGGTCTCATTTCATAGCGGAGACTGCACCGGTTCAGAATGTGCTGCAGGCTATTCAATATATCCGTGATGGCATGTTCGAAGAACTTCCGGCACGGGCAGGAATGAACAGCACGCGTATCGCAGAAGTCCTCAATCTACGCCGATCTTTGCCTCCCCTCGCCTCTGTGGCACATGTCCATACCCTTCTAGAGGCACCGACACAGGTGGAGAGGGAAATCGTCGAACAAATTCAGGCTGGTCGGATTCGGCGACTCATTATACCGGGTCGAGGCAACGACGCGGCAGGGCTGGGCGATTGTTTGGTGCTAGCAGAGGATTGGGACAAGCTGGTGCAGGAAAGCCCTGCATTGGAACAACCAGTGAAGGGTGAGTTTTGGAGTTGGGATTCTTTGGACGTCGCCAACTGACAAGTTTGCAGAGAAATTCCTTGATATACTGAAACGGATTGGAACATCCTCGGCGATATCGCAGGGGGTCTTCACAACGGATGAGTACAGGGCGCTACTACGTGCCGGCTTTATTGTCTCGTCCTCATCTTACACACAGGGCACATTAAGTATTGCATCACTTCCTAATCTACCTCAAATGGCGACTTCGTCAGCCAGTCGAAGCGAGTCTATCTCGCACTCCGAGCGCCCTGTGCAGTCAAATGCGCAGGCTCGTGCGGCAACTCTGTTCTTGTCTCTTCCTAACACGGGAACATATCTCCGCTTGTTAGGGTCAGGTCGTGCACATCTGCTCGCTCTTCTCCGGCGGTCCGCTTCTAGCGAAGCCCCTCTGGGTCTGTTGAAAGATCGATGGGATGGAGCTGTTGAAACCGACAAGAGCTTTCACTTGGCCAAGCGAGCCCGTGGCGAGTTTGCAGGGGTCTTGCCGGGTAGGACTAAGAAATGGAAAGAGCTATATGGGATGCGCTTTCGATGGGCGCTAGAGGAAGCACTAGGCGCGGGACTTGTGGAGATGTTCGAGACTGGCAGCGTTGGACCTGGGATCCGCTGTCTATAGTCTCTATAATATTTATATAAATTGTTGCCCAAGTTTTAATTTGATCAATAAGATTCACTTGACAGATGATTGATCAGGTCTTCACGAGAATATAGTTGTGTTCCTGGGATCGTCTAAACAAGCGACTAAACCAGCGACTAAACAAGCGACCTTCTATTCTCACATAATCTTGAACTGCGCAAACAAATAAGAAAGACCTAATTGTATTAAAATTTGATTTCCTTTCTGACTTCTTCTTTTCACTACCTTTCTCCATCTGTACATCTGTACATCTACTTCATCGCCAAGCCTTCTTCCCTTCATCCCCTATCATGCCGATAATCCAACTAGAGCCACATCTGTTCACTAGCCTCCCTCGTCACCCAGATCTTCAAGGGGATGCCAACACCCCAGATCTGCGGGAGTTCATTCACGCCATCCTAGTTGAAGCTCAGCCTCTCCTAAACCAGTTTCCATCGACGCTGAAACCAGACTGCAAGCTGCGCTCTTCTCCACCCTCAAAGGCAAAGGTGAAGCTTTCACGGGGATGGCGAGCACTGCAATCCCCCCAAGAGGACTCAAAATCTAAAAAGGAATTCTGGGTATGTCGCCAAAGTGACCACCAAGACTCCGATCGTTTGCCTGGCACAGTTTCCCTATGGGAATTCCACGACGGGCTGCGATACAACCATGCTGAGCACGAGATGGAGTACACACCCAGTGTGACGAGCGTAAAGCAACTGCTGAAGTGGAACGAGCCGAGACACTGGGATCTCAACCAACCACTTACTGTTGGAAACATCAACTACAAGCATTTCGAGGTCGAACGTATGTATAAAAATCCCGAAAACTCATGCACAAGGACAGCCTACTAACTCCCAAACTCAGTCAATCTTATTGTCCACACCTTCCACCCAAGCGCACTAATCCGGCCCCGGGCCTTCATATCCTGGACTATGTCGGCGACTTTCGCCAGCTCATACCCAGCAACCCAATCCAGCCCATGCCACGGGTTTATGACTGTACAGGTTCCTTTCTATTTGCCTAAGCCGAACATGCCGGGATCCCAATTCGAGGGACTGTATGCCCAGATCATGGATATCGTTCCCCAGCGGGCAGTCTTCGCTTACTATGCCAGTCTCGAGCGGGTTGAGCGTCTGCTGCTTCCTACTCCGGCCTCTTCGGATCCGTCGTCTACGGCAAATTTGAATACCCCTGCTACTTCTACTGATCACTACCTTCGGTGGACTATGTTGACGACTTCTGAGGCTGGTGGGAGTATTCCCAAGTGGGTTCAGCGGAGCTGGATGCTGGGTGGAGTTCCGCGGGCTGTTGTTTCTGATGTGGGATTGTTTATTCGGTGGACTATCCAGCGTAGAGAAGAAACGAGGTTGGAGCAGGATTATCAAATGGAGGAGGGCTAACTTGTTGTTTGTCTGTTGGATGCCTTTCTCGACCTTCATCCTACTGTCATCTCGGAAATTTTCAACAGCTGTGGATTATGATCATGATTCATCAACATACTAAACCTCAAAAATCAAAAGCAGACGAGTGCAAAAGCACGATAGATCTCTTTGTAAGACACCCAAGCTCATCCGATCGGCCTATAAGTATTCAAACATATATTCTCGATGATTTCACAGGCAAGCCTTGCCAACGCTGAAAGCCTGCAACGCAGCAGATATACCAAGGACAATGGAAGTATCAATGATAATCCGTGTCTTCCACAAGGACATATAGTTGTAACATGATAGAGGTCGAGGAAAAAAGAAAATTGAGAATAATTGCTATGTTTAAGATAGTATCCGTCTCCCGGGGGAAGCATCTACCTATAAACAATTATACCGTACCCATTCATCTGACTGATTGAAGAGTATATTATCACTAACTAAATCGGTAATAGCAGCATTACGAATAAAAACTCCAAATCCAGCGTAATCCATGCACATATCCAAACACAATCACATGATTCCATCTTTGGTATGGAATCGACAACAGGACAGAGGGGATCAAGGTCGCAGTTTAATGAGAAGTAATGTTCTCCATTCCATCGCGATCTCAGATCATTTTTTTTTGTTTGACACGCCAAACTCCTTCGGCTGCTCAAAAAAAAAAAAAGGAAGAGGGGGAAAAAGGACACACTTTGCAGCGCACTCCAGGTATGAATAAAGTAGGCTAGAACGGAAAGGCTCTCCCGGATGACATAACTCCGGGGGTAAAGGGGGAAAAAAAGAAGAGAAAGAAAAGAAAGAGAATAACGGGGCATAGAAAACACCAACGCCGGCAACTGTCGGCAGGGTGATCATGAGGGCATCAAGTTTGACCCTCAAACGAGGATGGGATAATCAAGGCGTATGGACAAAGTGGAGAAGGAGGGGAGGACATAACAACCAGTTCACGTGGCTGATGGTCAGCCACGCCATATCGTACAAGAACCACCCAAGGACGTATCACCGCGGTCCGGAGTTATTCAAGTTTACTTCTACCGGAGCCGGGGGCATCGAGTTGGACGACGCAACGTGCGCCCGCAAAGCCGCAACTTCAGTTCGCAAGCCTGTCAATTCGTCGTGCATTGTTCGCACGTACGCCCAAAGCTTATCGATTTGGCTGGCGTCACTGGAATTGGCATCCGCCCCATCGAATCCCTTGAGATGAGATATACTGTGGGTACTGGAGTGGCTATGCGAAGGAGTGTGTTTGGTTGCAGCTTGCATGCCAAATCGAGCATCCGGGGAGGTCATACCCGGCGGCGGAGGCAGCTGCGGCGCGCCTGGCTGCGGCAGAGTCAATCCTAGTGTAGGCGGTGCGTGATTTGAAGATTGATTTGCTCGTCCGAAAGAGGACTGCGGGTGTGGCAAGGACTGTCCCATGCTGGGAGAGTGTGCGCGATGTGGCGGTGCACTATCATGTTGCGATGAGAGCGCATTCGGGGACAGGGGCTTAGGGCTATCACTGATACTATTGGTAGGGAAGATAGAGGAGCCCGAGGTGAGTCCCGCAGGCGGGAAAGTCATGTGTGTAGACTGTGAAGCCGATGTTGACACGCCTGATCCACCATGATTTGCTGGGGGTGGGAAAAGGTGGCTGGGACGACCGGCGGTAATTGGCGGGTAAGTGTTTGACTGGCGCGAGTGAATTGAATCAGATCGAGCGACTGTATCTGCCTCGTGCTTGCGAATGCTCGGCATGGTCATTCTTCGCTCGTCCTCTTCGTCCATGCGCTCAGGCTCTGCTGTGTACATCAACCCATCCATGTCGTCGGTTCCCCCATTCGTACCATCGCCATAGTCGTCATCTGCCGCAAAGCTGCCCATACTCGCGCGTCGACCTGCGCAGCCCCCCTGTCCTTTATTGTGCCGAGCAAGCGCATCACCTCGGGCAAAACGACGTCCACATTTAGGACAAATGTGTGGTCGCTCGCCGGTGTGCAGCTTCGCGTGGCGCTTCAAATCGTGTAATCTTCGGAAACGTGACTGGCAGGTTTGACAAACGAACGGCTTCTCCTGACTGTGGGTGAGCAGATGGCTCTTGAGATTATGTTGACGAGTAAATTCTGTCGCGCAGTATGGGCAGCGGTGTTTCTTCGCCGACGGAGAGCGAGGACTGCCTCGATGGTAGCCTGCGGTCGGTAGGCTCAGTCCGCGACGCGGATCGTTAATGTTACCCGTCGGCATCGGATATGAGAATGATTTGCCATCGTGGTCGATCTCGGAGTTATCACGCGACCGGCGATCTCCATCTTGAGAAGCGGATTCCTCAATAGGACCAGGGCTAGCTACAGTCGAAGTATGCATTAGTGAGTTGTGGTGATGATCGTTTGATCCGTATGGGTCCGATGATGGTTCGGTCGCGTGTGAGTCGATTTGCATCTGCTCCGGGGATGCATGGACTGAATGCTCATGGTTCGGGGCACCTGGCGACTTTTCACTTGCACCTAGAGCCTCCCGAGCCACCTGTGAACTGTTTCGTTCGGCGTCCTTCTCATGCTCCGGCCGATCCGCCGGTAGTGATATTGGACTTGTCATCGGAGGAAGTTGATCTCTTGATCGCGAGACGTGTAGGCCGGCGCTGGCAATCGAGCTCAGGCTTTCGGGTTTGGAAGACTTGAATAAAGAGAGGGGTTCAGAGCTGGTAATAGAGTTTGCGGATAGCGAGTTGGAGACAGTGATGGGCTCGTTGTTCGACATCAACGTCGCCATGGAGAAAGAATGTTTCGCGCCAGCCTCAAAGGGTGGACGAGCAAAGGCGAAAGCTACTTTAGATGCCATGTTAGGATAATGCAAGGAATATTGGTGGGGGAAATGAACTTGACTAACTTTCATCCACCGGGATATATCAAAGATGGTCAAGCAGACGAGGTTGGGGGGGAAGAGAGCGAAGACCAGGGCGTGTGGGGCGTTTCTCACGAGTGTGGCGCAAGCTGACGAGTGGTTTCAGCTTCAAACTTGTCAAGATCCACCTGAATGATCCCAGGGGCTTAGGCCTTTAAAATAGCGATCGGGGAATGAGTGGATGAGATTCAATGGCCATCTGAAGGTTGGAACAGTCGGGGCGCAGGAACGAAATAAGACCAAGAGATGGAAGAATGTGAGTGGTGAACAGAAAAGTGGATGGTAATGAACTAGTTCATACCATTTACACTCATCTATCGTCTAAGATCCGAAGGCAAAAAAGAAAAGACACAAAGAAAGTGAGCGTGAGAACAGAAACTGGGCAGGGGATGGATATGTTTGGTGGGGACTGGAGAGTCGAGGCTCTGGAGAAATGAACCCTGAGGTAATGAGGTACTGAGGACTTGATATTACAATACAGATACTCTGTATGAACAAGTACACAGTACTTAATTAGGATTGAGGCTGTGTAGACCGCTAACACTTTGTGGCTGGCTCGTGGGGCATTTCCTGCGGCTGACCTCCCTCTTCCGTCCACGTTGCCTTACAATGCAATTGCATTCACTTACATTCATTAGAAAAGGTTAGAAATCTATCTAGTAGGATCGACATCTTGAGGCTTAAGTATAAACGGTATGAGATCATCTCACTTCAAACCGGTATTTCTCTATTACTACCATGGTCTTGGTATGGAGTGCATATACAGGGGCAATCGGACTGATGTCACCCCGGAGACCCGCGTATAATATATTGTATGTAATACATTCTAATTCTCAATTCAGTAGAACGCCTGATCTTGTGGAGATCTGTAGTGCCGATGTACCCACTAGGTACTACATACAATACACGCAAGTTCTATGTAATGTACTGACTTCTTGAACAGCTTTAATTACTTTATTAATATGTCCATGCCCATTGCCCATGATCACCCTGGTGGCACAAGGCGCAACACACTTGCTGCGCCATGTTTCAGGCAGTGTACTTATAACGTTGTACGTTTTAGGCGCCTCAGGTGGCTGGGGGATCGACCTCGCAGAGCCCCATGGCACAGTACCACGCCGGTCATGCTAACTACATACATATATACTATGTAGCTAGTCTCCAAGGCACAAAGGTCCATGAGCATCTAGAGAGTACCGTTTCTTTTAACCTACGGTGATTGACAGCTGTATCTAATCTATCATGCAACGCATTATATTCAGAACCAGGGAACCCCTGTGGAGTGTTCTAGCGGCCTTCCAAGGTTGTTCAGTCCTTGACGGCTGCGTACTCCACTCCCAAAAATAACCTGTGGCTGGTACTTGTCATCCATATATTACTCTAGATACCTGCATGAAACGGGAAGCTTCGTGGCCAAGTCTCCGATAAGTTAAAACGTTTCTGTCAGTCCATGTGGTCGAGAGGATTGATATTCTACCGACAGTAGCGTTGAGATCAAGCATTAACTATATCATCTCTTATAACAGATACGACTTCCCATATATTCTCGTTATGCAAATTATCATCCTAAACATTGTCTTCTCCTCGTAGGATAGATGTTCACGCAGTTGCCACTCTTGCCACTCCCTCAAGCCCCTCTGCTGGGAACTTTATGACTGTCAATGTATCCTGACCATCATAGCAGGTGTCATTCTTTGGTATCATTGTTTCTCGAGCCAATTATATTAGAACATCCATGGATACGTTATGTAGAAACGGGGTCCAGGGGCTGTTGAGGTTTGGCACGGACAATATCTCCTGATCCTATGAACGACCACAGTGCTTCTGAACATCGGTCTCGCCACCCTAATGCCAAGACCAACTATAGACTATTTTAAAATAGTTCTGGAATAATACCCTTCTTGTGAATTTGGCAGATACCCCAACTAATACTACTTCTTGTACGGAGTACATACTCATGTCTCATTACCTAGTGTATGCTTGAGGTACGACATGATTGGCCAGTGTCCCAAAGCAATCCCGCTTATGGAACACAGTTGCTGCCTACTCATCACCTCCGTGGGCAACACTCCACCTCTTAAGTCGCCTCTCTCACAATGCCGGCTGTTGTATTTTAATCACTCCAAGGGTGTTTCTAAGTATTCCGAGGCACATGTTGCCATTACAACCTTGGCATTTGAAGATCTCAGCAAGTCTCATTAGACTGCAAATACAGCATCTGTATCCAATTTGACAGCAAGAGGTCTATCGGTCTCTTATGCTCGCTAGGTGCAATAAAAGATGCGCGGCTTTTTTCGCCACTGATGACGTCAAAGTCTTTTTTTAGACAAGTCATCTTTAAATATCAGACATACGGAAGATAATTTCAGTGATGAAACGATTATAAGACTCTACTTCGGGTGCTTATGTTCAGTGAAGTGGGTTCTCAACAGTTTTGAGGGCGCAATCTCACAGTCTTCATCGTCTACATCATAGCTCGCTTTCTTAGTCTCTAATATACTAGGGATCTCGACGGCCATAGGTCTCTAGATAGTCGTTGCAGAGCAAGGCGACTGATTCCAACTTCTAATGCTACGCAAAGCCACCCTCTGACTGGCTTATTCTCCCCCCTGCCTGTAATTTCAGTACCGCATTCACAATTAGCATATTTCCTGTCATATGATAGTAGTAAGACAGTAGGTACCTACAATTTGTATGTAAACCACTAATAAAATTAAGTCCCTTTTGTCATATCATTATTAATTGCTTCATCGTCAATCACTTGAGCAACTACTTAAGAAACTAAGCTTGGGCAACCGCTTATATAACTGCTTGAGAAACTGCTCTGTTAACCGCTCGAGCAACCGCCTAAGTATGTCACGATCCACATGGATCGCTATCATTATGCTTCATGTTTGCTTGCTCGCTTACTGTTTGCATAATTTACTAGTTTGCATTCCATAGATTGTTTGTTAGTAGCTAAGCGAGAAGGTTGGTTGTTTGCAACGCTTGCAAAGTGGTCAGCTATAATAACTGGCTGCTTCCCACTTCACAACTTACTTCTTCTTTCTCTCCTCATCTTAGTTATTTTGAATTGAATGCACTCTTTCTTGTAAGACCTGGCACGTTACACCAGGGGGTTTGGGCTCGGATGCCCCGGCACGTTCGCAGAGAATATATTGCCGGCATGTGGTGGCCTTTTGGATCTAAGTGTTGGTTATACTTGGAAAAGATCCCAGGTAACCCAAATCCACTCCGTTATTCCAGAGGTATCGTATAGAGCAATACATCTAACAAGAATCAACAGATTTTCGGTTTTCTGGATTCAGTATTGGCAACACCGGCACCATATGGCGTGAATTCGGCAGATCAATCTGAACTGGCTTAGATCGTACAAAAGATAAGATCTCTCAGGTAATTGACAGCAAATCCAGGGCTAACTTAATGCGCCTACGAATCATACCGTCTCTAACCGTATCTTGGCTTTATATAGTCTACCCAATGGGGCCGAATTCAACTCCCCAAATCTACAAACTCCCCAGCTATATCTCGGACACTGAATCCGTCTTGGGTGGCTGGAAGCTCTCTGTTCAGATCACGAGAGCCCAGTCTTTAAATAACATTCCAGGTTGGGGTGGTATTGATGCCATGGTTGTAGTAAAATAATATAATTGTATAATCCTAAAGAGTGTAGGTGGTGAATTCCGGAAGTACGTATTGTACCAATATGTCCTGGAATGCGCACCTGGGCAGGGGCCATGTATTAGCCATCAACATGAAACGGCCAATACTGATCAGAGTGTTCATAGTACTCTCATGATGAATCTTATTGGCGGTATTTCTTTGCCCAGTCATGATATCAGAGGCGCTTTTCAATTCTATTTTGAGATCATTGACTCTGGCTTCTTTTGGCCAGCCAGTTATCATAGATGCACCTATCTCTTTCGGTGATGATGAAGAAAACATCAGTTGCTTGCGAGCTTGGCGCCTTTCTAGTCGGCGGTTAAACCGTTCCTTTATGGAGCATCCCATCATACAGATATTCGATATATGGCTGTGATATGACTACGGAGTAGTTGACTGAAAGCGACAAATTCACTGGATTCTTTTTCTTCATGAAGCTGACAGACATTGATAGAGGGGGAGAACTGGAGGTATTAAGAGAAGAGAATGCGAAAGAGAGTACAGGGATACCGATACCGAGGTACCTCCAGGGCTCTTGACTGGGCTGACGTGATATGCACATCTGCAGCTAACTAAATGGCGTTCCCGTCCGGGCGGCTACCTATCTTGGTATTCACGCATAGGAATTATCGTGCTCATCATATAAAACTCGGTAGATTCTATATTAAGATCGAAGAGCTTGGGGAAGACGGGAATAGGGTATGACAAGATAAGTGGACAATTTACTTTCTATAAAAATAAGACGGAATACTGGAGAGATCCCCAGAAAAGCTAGTCGGCAGGATTGAGACATATGCATGAGCTAGGGCACTATCACTATCACGAGTGTGACACGCTCTGCTTCAAGGCAAAAATAGCAGAGCGTGCACAGACCCCCTCGGTGTTTTCCCCTCTCCAACATCCCAACATCCAAGGGTGCTTAATCGACGTATGTGACTGGACCTCTATTTTGGGTTGACCTCCAGTCACAACTTCCCTCGGACCGCTCATTCATCTCTCTCACACACTATTACGGAGTAGAGCGGTTCTACATTCTGTGTGGTTGGACGATCGGCGGATTAGCGCCGGGCTGGGGGTGATGGACGTGATGGACGTGCATCGTGAGGAGTGAGCATGGCCGCTACACAATCTCACTGGCCGGTTACTCCACCGTGACAAGCTTGGCTGATCACTCCCGTCGGCCAGTCACACTCCCCTCTCAAGCATCGAGGTACAGTGCACTTGCAGCAAGAGGGCTTGACAGGCTTTGCGTCTTCCAATCATGTCCCTGGTCGCTGTTGCAAATTCCTCCTCGGCGCTTACGCTGGCCCAACTCGAGTGATGAGAATCAAAAGCCTGCATTTTGGTCCCCCGCCTCTCGGGCCATGCCTGCACTCGAACATTATTGATATTCTAGGTGCCCAGGCTGGTTCCTGTCACTTTCTGATTATCTTGGTTTTTTTTTTTGTTTTCGATCATCTGCTACTTAATACTCGTGTACGCAGGCTTCGCACACGGTAGCGGTGATATAGCTCAGCCGTTGTCCCACCACACTTGTGATTCTTGGTGTATCGACTTTAGGGTCGTTCTATTCCCAACAATCAGTCCAGTGGTCGTCAAGAGCTGGTTCTCTTGACCTAATTGTTTGATTTATTTGCCTGCATTGCTCATCCATTCAATGGCGGTATCAGACGATAGCCGAGACAACTCCCCTCTGACCTACGAGCCAGTTGTTCCTACAGATCTCACCCGTGCCTCTTACCACAGTGCAATGGGTCCTCCACCACAACACACCGTGCGAGAGACTCGCAGCGACTCTGATACGAGCAATGCTTCGCTCAAGAGCCCGCGCACTGCTCGATTCGCCGAGGCCACATCAATTCACTCTCCCATTGATCGCACAGAAGCTGGACGATCACCTTTCGCCGACCCTCCCAAGTCTCAGGCGAAGGGAGATGTTGGAGATGTGGGATTCGGTTATGTGGCAGCGAACAATGAGCATGCGAATGACCAGGTGCCAATGTCGCCTTTCCGACCTGACCTGAAGGTGCCGCAGACGGCCAAGTCGTTAAATCCGCTCAGTCCAACTTTCCGCGAGGAGTACATGCTTGAGAAGCAAGAAAAGAAGGCTGAAGTCGAGAATGCTCGAGACCTGGTAAGAAAGCCCACGATGCCAATCGATACTATTTACTAATCGTCACCAGAGAATCAAACTCCGCGTCAGAATCGCCAAGATCTTCCTGCGTTGCGTCAATTTCGGTTGCAGTCTGATTGTGCTGTCTCTGTTAGCCGTGACATTGACTGTTTTTAACGCAACCAAGCACCTGCCGACTCGTAACAGTCTTCCTGCCTGGGCAGAGGGAACCAACCCATGGGCTCAGTATCTCCTTCTGGGAATGTCCTGCGTTTCCTTAGTCGCCTGTCTCATCGTGTTCTGGGCCTACCGAAAGGGCGGCCACGGACGCGCCGAAAAGGCCGCCGTCTACTACACCAGCTTCTCGATCGCCTTTTTCGCCGTGAACCTGATCATGTGGGTCGTCGGCGCGGCAATTTACCAGCACTCGAAATCCACGGGAAACACCAAGGACATGTGGGGATGGTCCTGCGCGCAGAACACCCGCGAGGAGATCTACCACAACAGCGTCGACTATGCTCTCCTTTGTCGTCTACAAGACTGGGGCCTCGTCTGTGCCATCATCGAAATCGTCATCGAAATCCTAGTTATCTTGATATACGTGGTAGTCTTCTACCGCGTCTGGAGCAAGCGCAAGCTGATGAAGTCCATGGACACCCGTGACAACGCCCGTTCAGATCTATATCTCGCACAACTGCGCCTGCAATCTGCCCCGAACACCCCCGGCTTCACAGGTTTCACTTCCTACCCTCCAAAGACCCCAATCTACGCCGTCGGCCCTGTGGACCCCTACTCGGCTGCTGAGAAGGGCATGGCTCAACCCCAAACTACTCAGTATGCCTCGCCGCGCTCACCTACCCGGCCTACCCCGTCGTTCCAACTCCAGCCGCCTCCTATCAAGGTCCAGCAGCCAACCCCCCAGACTGCCCAGGAGGAGTTTGCTCCTCCTTCTCATTATTCGCCGTCGCCACCTCCTCACAGCCAGCGCCAGAGTCCGCCTATGAAAAGGGGTTCTCCTCCCAGTGAGTGCACTTACGATTCCGTGCCGATTCCCGGCGCGTATCAGGCTTCCACCGTCCCGGTGTACCCGGCCCCTGCACGCAAATAAATGTGGATGACTGCAAGCTTGTCTTTTATATCTTTTGACTTAGGGTGTTTTGCTTCGATTCCATTTTCCCTGGTGGGGAATGAAAGTGCCCAAGAACAACGAAAATACAAAAAAAAAAAAACATGGAAAATCCCAAAACTACAATTCAGGTCGTCATCTTCGATCGATCTGCTTCACAATCGGACATTTGTTCAACATTCTTTTATTTGCTCTCTCCTCGTTATGGAGTTTAATGTACACCCTAGGACGCGTGGAGTCTTGGTGTGAGATACAGATACCTATTTGGACTTTGGTACACTGTTGTGTATTTACTCTCTTTCTATTTTTGATTTTTGTCCAACAAATGAATATATTGCAATGATACATATGAATGTGCTCCTCAGATTTTCATCCTAGCATCGGCAAGTGTTCGTGCCGGCATACAACACTTGAGGTGACAAACTAATCCTACTTTGACTTGAGACCATTTAAGCATTATACCAGAAAGTATATGAACTTCTTTGAATTCATCAAAACAAAAGAAGTAATTCCAGGAGGCGAAAATACCCAAGAGCGCCATTCACTGCGAACAGGAAAAAGCAAAACCATAACGCCGCAAGGATCTACCAAGTCACACCGTCCTGTTCATCACTCGTGACCAACATGCATATCGTAATGCTTCTACCCGTGTCAACTGTACATGCAACTGAAAAAAAGAGCTTTCACATCCCTCCTCCCTCTTCGATGATAGCGTGCGTATCCCTACTTACGAAGATCTCCTCTAGGGTAGCCGCATCATTGCCCATCTTGCTAAGATCACTCTCCAGCACGAGGCCCTGTTCGTTGGCAAGATGCAGAAGACAAATAAACCCGAATGAGGTGCTGATATCGCGTAGAGTCTCAGTCGGGTAGACTTCCTTGAGGGAGTTCATAATTTGCGTGAACCGTAGCCGACCACCCACCTGCTCTGGGCTTTCACCCTTGGGTGTAGGCGGGACAGGGGCATCCGATTCACTCTCGGGTTCGGTCGGAGCATCACTGGACACGGCTCCTGGCTGTGAAGCTGAGGCAAAGTCTACGGCATCAACCAGGCGCTCACCCATGCCCTTCCACATCTCGGTTTTAAGACGCCGAACGTCAACCTTCTTTGCCACACGTGCATACGCCACGTAGTCTGGTCGTGCACGACGACCGCCTTGTGTCACCAATTGCGATCCGTAGCCACCAGCTCCCGGTCGGCCAGGCGTGGCGCCAACCATATTCAAAAGCGCGCTGAGTCCAGTTGCTCCACCTGCTTCTCCAGCCGATGTGCCTGCAGTCCCGTCTGCTGGCGGAGAGAGCATCTCCCGGGCATCCGCGAATGGTAGATTGTCGTCGTCATCGAGATCCATGCCGTTCGGGAAAGCAAGACCATCGTCATCAGCAAAGAAATTGGCATCATAGGCACCTGCGGCACCTTCCTCGCCGGCGTTTTCTTCCGGCTTGCGATTTGCCCAGAATGCCTCGTCCATATCTCCATTACCAGCCGTCAAATCCTGCCGGCGGCGTTTGCCCAAAATCTTCTTTGAGCCCATCTTTGCCTTCGGCTTGAGGAACAATGTGAGTAGGTTACGGGAGTTGAAATGCTTGTCATCGGGAAGAAGGTTGCGACCCTTTGTTTTCCACTGCGTCTTGGGTAATGAAACGGCGGAGTTGGAGCTGGCCGGGGTGTAGATCAATTCCGCGACAGCAGGATCCAGAGGGGCAGCGAAATCAATCTCAAATGGCTCTTTTTCTTTGCGCTGCTTGGGCGCCGACGTAGCGGGTGTGGCATGTTCTTTGATTCTTCGAATCTTCCAGTGCTCTGGGCCAGCCCAGTTCTTCTGTAGCGCGTTGTCAAAGTAGCTAAGAATATTCTCGTGGTCGTGACTATTAGTTTGATGAGACATGGAGATGGCATATGCGTCTTCATTGCCATCGTCACCCTCACCATCATTATCCCCATCGTGGGTGGTCCGGTGAACATTCAACATTGGTTCCAAGGCGGCTTCCCGAGCCCATACCTCTCCTCCGTCACCAAACCCAGTGTCGCCGCTGAGATCAAATCCGGCTAGGGTAGCATCATCGTCATCAAACCCGACAGCGTTGTCGTCGTCCAGCATGATACCAGATGGGTCATCATGTGCTCGTCCATCTTCGTCCATCTTGTCTTGCCGCCATTCCTCTGGCGCTTTGAGGAGAGGGAGATCCAGCGACCCGCTGGGGTCACCCAAGTCGAGGTTTTTAAGCGATGGACAAATATCTTGTTCATCTAGGCGATCTAGATCTGGGAAAAATCGGCTTGCTAGTGTAGCAAGGTCGATCTCCGTGTTATTCTCAAATGTGTCGCTTGCGGGTTTCTGGTTTGGTTTTGCTTGGTCATCGGTCTGCTGGTCAGGATCCGTAGATTCTTGACGGTCATCTTCGGAGGTTTTTGCACTATCATCCACAGCATCGTCGCTGCTATCGAAAACAATTCTTCCATGGCTATCAATAGCAAGGTGGTTCAGAAGTAAGCCTTTGGCGCCTCCTTCATCAAAGTCCGCCGATGCTTTTTTGAATAGAGGGTCCACGGCGAACTCTAGCTCGAACTTCTTTAGTTGCAATGACGAAAATGACGGCGCGAGGGTAGCCTCATGGGAACGTGTCTAGACACATCTAGTTAGTCAAAATCCCAAATCTCTGACACCGTATAGACCATACCTTTTTCCGCGACCTGCGAGGCTGACCATCCTCGCCTTCTTCATCCTCATCGCCATCCTCTGCATCCTCCTCCCCGCGCCCTCTCTTGTCGCGACTATCAGCCAGTCCACTCAGAAGTTTCCCCGTCTCTGTTGCAACACTGTCCACTCGGCTGGTGTAGATTTTAACACAACCGTCAAGGGTGCAACTAGCCTTTTGGAAGTTTACACCATCTCCTTCCTTCAGTAATGACATGTCGTGAAAATAGTCGATCAGCGCAAAGTTCCAGGAGTTATTCGCATTGATTTTGTTATCAGTCGCCATCTTCATCCATTCTTCAAAATTAGCCAAGATAGGCACGCGCTTCATCGGTGTCACTGCACGGCCATTGACATCGCTGGTGCGACTGCGATGATGTGAGGCTCGAGGAGTTACGGGACTGTCGCTCTCTTCACGATCGAGGGTGTACCGACGGGGTGGCATAGGCGTCTTGACTGCCGCTTTAATCTGACTCATTTGGCGATCATGAAGTGCTTGACGAGCCTCCATACGCGCTGCCTTCTCGCCCTCATCATCGTTGAGGGGTATCCTGATATAATTAGTTCAATGCGATAACCAGGAGATATCCAGATCCGTACTTGACCGGTGTGTTTTTGTGCGGGGTCGAGTTGCCGTTAGAGCGGCGATGTACCTTGTTTGCGACACGCGGCATGGTTGCGGTTGCCCCCGATAGGGGATGGCGATAACAGCGTTGAAATGGAAAGTTCTATGGAGAGAGGGGTTGATGTCGATGAGACAAAACAAATGGGGAAGTCAACAAACATACGGTGGTCCAGATGTACCGGTGACGCACTATCTATCACGTAATCCTAGACCGTGGATGCCTGGAATATCAGGTATTACTTTTGTACCCAAGCTGGGCTTAGCTTCGGTCCATCCTTTTGAACCTTCAACGGCCAATTCCTACTTTCTCACCCTCTTATCTTGGACTAGTTACAACCCTATCTGCGATCGACCCTCTTAACCTGTTTCCTCAGTGCAACAACGATCGGCGGACTAAGTGCATTGGCCCACTCCCGAGCTCCGCCACAGCTCCTCTCAGCTGACATCACCGCACTCACCGCACTCACCGTGCCATATACAAACCCACATCTGTTGGATGCGTGAGGTAGATATTGTACATGCATTGAGTATTCAACGTTGATATTTCCGGCATAAGTTTGTCTACAGCATCCAAAGTCTTCGGCTCACGATGCCGCCATACTTCTCGTCATGATGAACCAGCTGCTGTCCTTCCTGCAGCCTGCCGTCCGGAAGCCACGATATTCAATCCGACCATTTTACACCACGTTGTTGGTGTTTACACTTATTGCAATAACGAGTTGGTTCCTAACTGGTACTACAAATGAACATGGGCAGTTTGCGCAACCTGATACAGGGCCGCATATAAACCTGCTCAAACGAGAGGGCGAACTAGAGGTATCTTAACCTTCCCGAATCATTTCCCTGTGAGATGGTGCCAAAGGCTAATTGATGTTCTGTCACACGATGATAGTGTCGCTTAGTTCGCAACGTCAAAAACCAGTGTGCATACGTCCGCGCCAACTGCCCCGATCACGAGGATGGTCTAATCTCCTACCTTCAATTCTACTATTGCGGGCTGGCCAATGCAAAACCGGTAGCATTCGCGATATTGATCCTGTGGTTATCGATGCTCTTCAGTACCATAGGTATCGCGGCAAGCGATTTCTTGTGTATCGATCTGAGTACATTGGCTAGCATTCTAGGATTGAGCGAGAGTCTCACTGGCGTGACATTCCTCGCATTTGGCAATGGAAGTCCTGACGTGTTTTCCACTTTCGCCGCCATGCGGTCGAATAGTGGGAGCTTGGCAATCGGTGAGTTAATCGGCGCGGCCACTTTCATCACGTCCGTTGTCGCGGGCTCCATGGCATTAGTTCGGCCATTCAAGGTCGCGCGGAGAAGTTTCGTCCGAGACGTGGGCTACTTCATAGTGGCCGTCGTTTTCAGCATGTTTTTGTTGGCCGATGGGAAACTTCATGTATGGGAGGCAGCTGCGATGGTAGGCTTGTACGCCTTCTATGTCGTAATGGTGGTAACGTGGCACTGGTATATGGTACGGCGACGCAGAAAGCACGAGAGAGACCTCGCAGCGCGAGCTCACTTTCATATACCGGAAAACCAAGAGCTGGAGATCGAAGAGACCATCGAGGACGACGATCCCGGTGTAGCGTCAGAGTCACGAAGTCTGCTCCGCGGAGCCTCAACTGAGGATTTTGATATTTTGGAGCGTGCTGAGGCTGTTCCTCTATGGAAAGAAGATGACGAGGAGGACGAGGAGGATGACGAAACACGAAACCGGTACTTGGCCGAGATTCGTGATAACATGCACGTCTATCGGCCCATGCAAACGAGGCGTAATACAATGAATCCCATTCGGGCAAGTCTTGTCGGGGCATTAGAATTTCAGTCTGTTCTACACTCGCTGCAGAAATCGAGAAACACGAATCGCAATACGTCAATAAGCCTGAACAGCTATTCAGACGACTACGAGTCCGATTTTGACACACGCTCAGTGGCATCGCATCCTCGCGCCAGTCGACCATCTGCCACTAACGACCGCCTGTCGCCGTCTAGTGCAGCAGGTTCCTCTCGAGTTCGAGCTGTATCGGCGAACGATGCCGTGGGATTGAAAATTGACTCCAGTGTTTTGGAGCCCCGACCAACACAGGGTCCACTGCTTACAGTGAGCAGACCTTCTTTTGAGGATACTTCGGGACAAGAAGCCATGCGGTCGCGCCATCTCCCTCAAATTGATACTGGGATGGCGCTGGATGTGTCGCGTGCGAATCGGTCGCCAAGTCCTCAAACTCCTGACCGGCTCGCCCCATCAGACGTTTTTAATTCCCCCAATTACAACAACGGGGGGATAAATGAACGGTCCCCAATGTCAGTATCTCCCAGGGGCAATACGACGCGCCGTCATTCAGGCTTTGGGTTAGAAAGCCCTTCAGTGCCCTTCCCATTGTATACTGATATACCCTCCATGGAATTCTCACGACCACCCAGCATTCGACTTCCAAATTCAGCTAGTCAGTTAGAACTGCTACAAGTTCACGACGGGTATGACGATTTCGCTCATGTAGGCCTCCCTTTTCCCAAATACCTGAGGAATTGGTGGCCTGACTCGATCCCCCCTCCCCAGCAGATTGGTTGCACGCTCTTCCCGACCCTGGCGGGCTGGAAGTCTAAAAATGTTTGGGAACGACTGCTCGGTATTATCGCAGCTCCTAGTGTCCTGCTTCTTACCATAACGGTCCCCGTCATTGAGCCAGAGGCACCAGAGTCGGTGGAACTGGATCCCATACCCTCGGTGATTATTCAGGACGTCAGCGATGTAGACCATCCCTCCCCAAGGGTTAGACTTCCAGCCGATAGTCCAGTGATTATGGCCCAGGCACATGACTACGCCGGGTCAGCTTCTAATGCGCCGCCAACGCACCACCATCGAAAGTCCTTTCATGAACACACTGGTCGCCCGCGATGGGACTCGGAACTCCCGGCAGTGCCGAGGCCAGCTTCACCTTCTGCGCATCCTGTACCAACAAAGGACTGGAATCGCTGGCTGGTTTCCATCCAGCTTTTCACAGGTCCCTTCTTCGCCGTGCTCATCACCTGGACGACCGTGGACGAAGATCGTCGGCTGCGCAACCTCATCCTCCCCTCCCTTGTCTCCCTCTTATTCTCTTCCGTCTGTCTCACAGCCCTGATCATAAGCACTCGCCGTCAACGAAACCGCCGTCGTCCCAGTGAAGATCTTTCCATCCCTTTCCTCCCGCGTACATCCCAAACCGACATCCTCAGCCTCCCACCGCAATGGCGGCCCTTCCTCTCCCTACTTGGCTTCCTAGTCGCCATATCCTGGATCGCGACGATCGCTACAGAAGTTGTGTCTCTCCTCAAAACCATCGGAGTTATCCTAAACATCTCTGATTCCCTACTTGGATTGACCATCTTCGCCGTCGGAAACTCGCTAGGCGATCTAGTCGCTGATATCACAGTCGCCCGACTCGGATATCCGGTCATGGCTTTGAGCGCCTGCTTCGGTGGACCAATGCTCAACATCCTCCTGGGTATCGGTCTTGGTGGTCTGTATATGACCATCAATGGCGGGAACCAGAGACACAATGAGGGGCTGCAGGGTATCGCTCCTGTGCAGGCCCCCTATGATATCGCCATCTCCAAGGTGCTTGTTATCAGCGGCGCGACGCTTCTGGTCATCCTAGTTGGGCTCTTGATTGTTGTTCCTTTGAACAATTGGAGAATGGATCGCCGGATTGGGTGGGGTCTTGTCGCTGTATGGTGTGTGAGTACCCTAGGCAATGTGATTGCGGAAGTTGTCTTGTGAATTAGTGTTGGAAGACGTACGCACCAATTAAGAATGCGACTTATTGGTCTAGCGGTTATGTTGGTTTGGTTTGGAGTTGGTATTGGTCAGTCATTGTGTCGGTGTTTTTCTTTCTGCGTTCCAGTTTGTACAGCTTATCGCATGCCAATAGTATAGTCTTTGTGTATGCGAAATAATTATGAAAGAGCTATGATATACGAAATGCATCCTCACTCAACTCCGAGTTTCTGTATACAACAGCTTATACATTTGGTTTTACTGGCGTCTCATAGCTTGGGGTGTATCCTATTGCAGCTTCCAATTCCGAGAGTTCAAGATCTCCTTTAGGGGGATTGTGATGCCAGAATGCCTTATTTTAGCTGAATTACTACATATGCCCCAGCCTCTTCCAAGGTTGAATAACTTCATAACGCGTGTTTACCTAAAGCAAGCGCCATCTAATAGTCACAACTTCCCCCACTGAGAATTGCTCTGGCCAGTAGTTATGCCAAGCCAACCAAACAGCTTACACTCCGTACTCCTTCCAACTCCGTGCCTAGTTGGGGTACTCATCTCCACTTCCATGGCTCCAGACGGGAGCACCCTGATAAGTATCACTCAATCTAACCCAATACATAGTATGTACAGATATTCTCCATGACTTACGGGTTGGCTCACTACTAGATAGCTTATTCACTCGTTCATTTCAAATCCCAACATATGGCCGCTTCTCACTAAAAACCTCTAATTCACAATACTCGTAGCAGGAACGATAAGTAAACCATCCAAACCAAGCATTTTGTAAGCTCCGCTTTTGTCGTCGCGGATGGGCTCAGGCTTCGGCATGTTGGCAAGGCGGCTTGTAAATCCATGGGAAAGCAAAAGGCCCACAATCATTGCAGATTTTATTGTTCGGAATGTCTCCTTCTCGAGACCCCGAGTGTCTGCGGAAAGGATATTCCAAAAGTTGTTCAAAGTGTCATAGTTACCATATCGAATCCAGCCAACACCAAGGCGATATTTGCTCATGAACTGCTGGAGAGAATGGAGGTTCGTTCCGAAGGGACCAATCTCTGCTTCGGCCCAGTCGATAATTCCGACCAGATGGTTATTGTCGGTATCAACCATGATATTGCACATTACCAAAATCCATGTGAAGAAGGACCATAGGCAGCGAAAATATAGCAGGTAGAGCGTCAATCGATTGTTGGATGATTGGGTGGAAGCGATCAGGTAGAGCAGCTAAGAGCCGCCGTAGGTCTTCGTCATATCTTTGATCGAGGTTTTCACAAAAGGATCGGTCGACATTCTGCGGGTTTTTTCCATGTGAGAGCAAAGAACCTTTCGGGTTAGATCATTATTAATAATATAACCCACTCACTCTAAACATACCTAGCAATCTCGAAGACCAGATTCTCTCTCCAGGTAAAGTACTCTGGCGAATTCTCTGGGAGGTTATGCGCAAGGATAAAATCGAGATGGCTAATGCCTTCCACCCGACTCATCACATAGACAGAGAGAGATTCCTTCCCACTGACATCATCTCTCCCAATCTGACCGTGATAAGAGACGGAGGGCACTAGGGTCCCATATACATTGCGGGCAATATTTGTAATTTCTGTCTTCAGCCCAAGAGACCTTAGTCGGAACTGAACCACATACTCTAGACCTGCATATACAGAATAACTGCAAGCGCCTTGCACTGCAACGGGGGTCACAGTGCCTCCGACAAGTGTCCGTGCTCGATCATCACAGGACGAGCGGTCGGTGGAAGTCTTTTGAAAGAAAGAAATAATATCTTGATCAACTGAGTATTCCTGGTTTTCGATACTCATATTGAAGAATACCGGCGTTCGAGCAGATGAAAAAGGGCGAAGACGATAGCTTCTGTCCAAGCCAAGAATAAAGCGCAGAATGAATGCAGTTTGGCAGATATTAGTAGGTAGTTAGGAATGCCTGCTAGACCGTGGTGATTGGGCGATAGGGCGAACATATTGGTGAATGATGCTAGAGAGGGGTAGCTGCCTATTTTGTAGACAATAGTGTGTCCGTATCATTTCCCTGTAGCTTTCGGTTGGTGACTTTCGCCGACCAGCTCCTCAATCTCGTTCTCAAAAGCTATACCGATAGCTCCTTAGGCGCAGTTGTAATGGACGTCACAAGTGTGCATGTCAGCAGCGTGGGTCAAAAAACCCAGGTGGATCTGGGGACATTGCGGGGGAGCTGAAGATCGAGGCGAGACGTCTTGCAAACTTCTCAAACAACGCAAGCATGGTCATTGGCCAATGGCTACATGCACAGACCCTGCCAATCGACTATACCTGATACTAGTGTGTATAGTTGTATGTATTGTGTATTTTACTGCGGGCAAAATGAGTTGGTTGAAGACTGCCGTAGCAGGTAGTCACAATTTATTTCAGACCACATCACGTAGGGCAAGAGGGTGTCCCGCCAGTCTTACCAGATAACTTCTCCACTAAGCCAGCCCTTCTCCGAAGTCCTCAGGCCCGAATATGAAATTGTCAAAGTCAAAATCAAAATCTTTGAAAGGGTCATTGGAAGGAACTCCCAAAGACCCTCCACCATCAAACCACACCCACTGCCATTCAAACTAGGGCAAGGCTTACCCGTGATCCTGGCTGCGAGGGTCTCAAATGTCCAGGGACACTGCTGAACATACGGACTTGATTGTTTTTTTTTATCTCATGCTGCCCTCTTTCGTGATCACTGCTCGCAGTCTTTGGTGAAAATGATTAGTTCAAATAGAACTTACAGCTTGAACAACGATTACCCCTTGGCGTGGCACAGCTACCGTAAACACCTTGCTTGGTTGGTGTTATGCAGCGGCTCCGTTCGTTGGGCATGGGCATGGTGTGATCCAAGCTGCGGCACTATGCATGTAGGAACATCGTGTTGTACTTTGATAGGCTCCTCGGGCCCTCTTATCGTTGGCTCCTCTACTAACGCAGCATCGAGTCTCACTATCCCCCTCCCTCTCCCAAGAAAACAAACAAACAAACATGTTACGAACTGTAATCATATTCACATTAGCGTATAATGCGCAGCTTTCAACTTCGCGTTCATGGAGAGCCGCTCCCATTCAATGGGTTTGAGTTGGTACGTAGCGGTTCTCTCTAACACAGAGTCACAGTTAGACCTTGGTTTCGAGCCCTAAGGACTCTTAATCAATGTGAATAAGCTGATTGATTGGAGAGTGATAATCTACTCGTAGTATGCACAACCAATATATGCGCACAGACATGATGTGATGCAAACTACGGCACTATATATGTAGGAACGTCGTGTTTTACTCTGATAGGCTCACTGAATCCTCTCACGGTTCTTCTGTCATCAGCGTTGAGCCTCATTACCCCTCAGCTTAGGTATTTAAAGTATAATAATGGCTTTGTGTGCTGACTGAAGGAAGGCAATATTCGCAATGGAAGCCATTGGAGCGGTATCATCAATATTCGCGATCTATAACCAGCTAGAGAAATGTGGTAAACGATTGCACCGCCTCAAGCATACCTTCCAATTCGCCAAGCAAGAGGTCAATCTTCTCGCAGATGAGGTATCCGCTTGCAAGAGCCTGTTTGGGATATTCAGCCATATTAGTGGCCCTCTGGACAACAGGGTCATGAAACTCGCTCGCCAGCAAAAGCTGGAAGAGACTCTCAATTCCCAAGCCACTTTCGCTTTTGGACAAATCGGTGAAATTTTTCTGAAGCTTGGGCCTTTAAGAAAACAAAGCAATGCTAGTCGATTTGAACAGCTTATCGCAAAGCTTCGGTGGCACTGGATGAAGGATGAGGTCCAGCTTCCCCTTATCACGCTGGCCAGTTTCAAAATGACGCTAACAGCGCTTAACTGTCTGCTCATTCTCGATTTCCGTTTGAGAGAAATGAAGAAACCATCTGTCTCAAAAAGCGAAATGAAATCTCTCAAGATGCAAATGTGAGACCCATGTTTTCGCAACGAATACAGAGTGATATAGTCTAATTCTACTCTAGGAAACAGCTCAGGCGGGTGATAAATCGTCAAGAGAGATGTCTGCGACGATTGTCTGAGAGAATGAGTGAATTCTCCGGTACCAGCACTCAGCCAAAGTTGGTCGTGAATACAAAATCGATGGTCGTCACCATAAATCAGATCAAGCAAAACCCCCTTTCTGAGGCTCAGAGTTTGATAAATGAAGACATTCTGGACTCTTCAGCTCGCACATCCACCCCATCATCAGAAAAGAAGTCTTCCATAAAATCGAGAAAGACTTTTGTGTCACCTCTGTCAAGGACACGAACAGATATTTCTGGGCCATCACAACCTGGCTCCAATTCAGAAGCAGATGCACCGGTTGGAGAAGAAAATGTGCAAGAGATACTTGTGTTTCATGACTACGGCGATGGAAACAGGGAGATTCATGAAGGGGGCTCTTCCATAAGCCACAGCAGTCCCAATGAATTTCCAGATTCAATGAAGTCTACATATGCGCCTATGCCTCCGTTTCGCTACTCCGATTTACGATTACGAAAGCAGGGGAAACGAGATGATTAAAAAGTGACCTAGTTCACTTTGATAGATACATGTTAATTAACAATGGGGGTCGTTATCAAATTTCGAAGACCCGTGGAAAGAAAGTAATGAATATGGAATTATAATATGCTTCAATTGGCCAATCTTGGCGTGTTTGCCATTTCTAAATGTAAGATTCATCGAGGTCTATGTATTGAGTCTACATGGCTTAGTGGCCGGTGCTATAGGTCAAGTCAAGGCTGCGGTAAACCCGGATGATGTTTTCCATAACCAGCAGAGTGTACGGCCTCTATCTTAGAGTATCGGTGCCGGGGTTCTAAATCAATACAAGCGAATGAAATGTATTTGAATATGATAGTGATATAGAGGGTAGAGATGTTGAGGCAGTCGACAAGGAACAACTTCCCTATACATAAATCCCAACAACTAGGAAAGGAAAATCCAAAACAGAAGGCTAGATAGACTAGAGTACCTCCGGGACTATCTTTGGAGTACTTAATCAGTCGGATATGTTGAAGGATTCGGGTGAACAACCCCTAGAATGAACGCGATTTGCGGCGCTTATAGACAGATTGCTTCCAATGTTAGGCCAAATGATGATAATAAACAAAATCGATGAGTATTCCAAGAAGAGTACAAAAACGCAGCTAACTACTCGCTTACTACACTACCATTATCCATAGACCTCGTCACCTTACTCCCCAATCATGTAGGTACGGCCATGTCTTTCCCCTCGCCACTGTACAGTATGTACTCTCAAAATAAAAATAAAGACTTTCCAATTCCCTCTTCACAGCACGCGTCCTGCCGACGAGCTTGTGCTACGATCATTCACTTGAGTCTTCTTTAGGGTCCTGCCTTGCTGGATAGACGCAAGGAGGGCGCCTCGGCCAGCTCCAGCGCCACCGGCCGCGGCCGGGGGAGCAGGTGGAGGTGGGATGCCAGCTGGCGGTGGTGGCGGGGGAGCAGAGGGGGCTCCGCCAGGAGGCGGGGGCGGGGCCATAGAAGGAGCACCAGCTCCTGGGGGAGGAGGCGGAGGTGGAGGTGGAGGTGGAGCTCCTGCAGATGGCGCGGGTGATGGGGATACGGCATCGCCAGGGCTTGGGATAGCAGGAAGAGGAGGCAGAGTTGCTGGGGGTGGGGGCGGAGGTGCAATTGGACTTTCTTGTACCGGGGTAGCAGATTTCGAGGCAGATTTGTCGTCGTCCATGGCACTCAGAGGACGTGGGGGTGCCATAGTGCCGAACAGGATGCTAGCAAGTTGTTTGGCGCTGCCGCCGGTTGGGCGGTCATCCTCATCATCAGATGAATCGAAGTCAGAGCCCGCAGCGGACCAGTCGTCGTCTTCCTCCGGGCGAGCACGAGTCTTACGTTCCAGGGGGGCTGCGCCAGTGAAGGTGGGCTTGATAGGTTCTTGCTGGACGAAGCGGTGGAAGGGATTCGTAGACTGAGCTGTGGCAGGTGGCGAGGTCGCTTGGATGGGGTCGGATGGTTGGCTCTTGTTCTTGAAATACGGGTTTTTGGACTCAGCGTCGGGCGTGAGCCCAGGAACACCACGGCTGCTTTCGGGGGAGCCAATCTCGCTAGACACGCTTTCGGGGACAGGTGGTTCAGGAATAGCTATCGTGGGGACAGGAGGCTCAGGAATAGCTATCGCGGGGGCAGGAGGCTCAGGAATAGCTATTGTGGGCACAGGAGGCGGGGTAGGGAGGGTCTGGCTCTGCGTCGGGGTGCTGTACTGAGGCGTAATATCGGCAGGGCCTTCGTCATCGGACGATGACTCGTCAAGTCCCTCGAGTTCGCGCTGCAGCTGTAGCTCACGTTCCTTGGCCGCCTCCAGTTCAACGCGCTGGGCTGCAAGAATGGCTTCCTGCTCTTTGGCCTGTCGGCTAGCCTCTTCCCGGCGGCGCTTCTCTTCCTGCTTCTTAATCTTGCCTTGGCGGACTTGTTCCTCGAGAGCACGAAGTCGAGCAGCCTGAGCATCCTTCTCGCGTTGGAAATCCAACTCCCCTTGGCTTGCCTCACTCCTGTAAATGTATTAGCCAAAACCGCTCATTTTGTCTCTACCGGCTGTAGATTACTCACTCTAGACGCTTAGTCTCGGCTTCCTGCACCTCTTGTTCTTCCTTAATGGCCTGCTCGCGGGCAGCCTGCTCCATTTTAGCGGATTCCTCTGCCTTCTTAGCATCGGCTTGGCCGGCACTATCCGTCCGAGCCCTGCGGGTGGGCGGCGCCGGTGGGGGTTTCTTGCCCGCAGCCTTCGGGGCTGCATCACTAGGAACACCTCGTTCCTCGGCCAAGCGACGCTGTCTCTCCTCTTCCCGTTTAGCATCCTCTTCCTCGGCGCGTCTGACACGATCTTCGCGCTCCTTCTTCTCACGCTCCTGGCGTTGCGCAAGAGTCTCAGTGGAGTCATTTGGCTTCAGACCAGCAGCTGCCATGCGCTCAGCAATGCGCTTCTGTGCACGCTCCCGAGCAGCCGCGACACGATCTTCATGTGTGTTACCAGGAAGAGAGCTTGACGAGTGCACGGATGTGGGCATCGAAGGGCGCGCAGCAGCAGATTCGGCCGCTGGGGATGCTCGAGAATGCGCATCTGGGGAAGGTCTCTCTCGTCTATAATCTGTCAGCGTTGAATACTTTTCCTGACTGATAAGAATAACATACTCTTCTTTGCGAACATTTGCTGTTCGCGCATTGCGGCTCAGGTCATAGATGAAGTCGCGGATGACGTCTTCAACTCCCAATGCATCTTCCCAACGACGCTTCTCATGCTCACGTGTGGAGTTTTGGCCCTCGTCCCGAAGACTGTCCTCCAAACTGCGAGCGAAATCACGAACACTTTCTTCGACATCACGAGTCATAGTGTCGTTGCGCTCCCGCTCCATCTTCACGGTATTGCTCTCGGACTCTAAACGACGAGCCGCTTGGCCATCGTCATCTTCCGTTGCGGGTGCGGGACGCCCAGAAAGCTCGGCAGCCCGCGCTTGCATACGCGCACGCGCGCGAGCCTTGATGCGATCTGCCTCAGTCACAGTGCCACCAGGGCCAGTACCAATGATATTAGAAGCACCACCGGGGTGTGCCTTGGCGTCCTTGAGACGGAAGAGCTCAAGCCTCGCGTCCGCGATTTCACGCTCGAGACGACGCACATCAGATGCAACCTGAGGAACTTGATCTTCAAAAGACTGCAGCTGGCGACGAAGAGCCCTTCGATCTGCTCCGCTGTCCACTTGACGGAATGAGGCGTTGGGGTGGGTATCGAGATCGTCCTGTACACGACGGATACGGTCCATGAGACTCTCTGCCTCGCGGCGATCCTGGCGGTCTAGAGCGTCATCATCCTCGGCTCGGTTCTCATCCTGGAAGTCGGCAGCATCAATCATGACCTTGGCCTCGTGGATCTTCTTTTTCAGCTGTTCCACAGAGTACTCCTCCTCGGATGCGCCAGATGCAGCCGGTGACGGGGTACGAGCCTCGTTAGCCACGCGACGGCGTGCACTAGAGCGGTATCCACCAGCGGAGTCATTATTCTTGAAAACCGTCGCATCCTTGCGACTGGCCCCAGAAGAGCCTGCTGCACCACCACGGAAGGAATGATCTTTAAGATAGCTGACACCGGTCTTCTGTGGCTGCAGGAACGCGCCTGTAGCCTTGCGGTTTTCAGCATCCTGGGATAGGAGATACTTGACTGTACCGATAGAGTCATTCAAGTGTCTTGTAGAAGGAGGAACAAGCTCGGGTGGTAGACGGCTAGGAACTGGGTATCCGTTCAGAGCACGGTAGATCATGTGCATAGCCACGGCGAACTCATCCATGTTCAGCCGCCCGCGGTTATGGGGATCAGCCAGGGTCCAGATCCGTTCCAGATCTTTTCTATTCAGACCACTTTGGCCCATGATCTCGATGGCAGTCTCGCCACTGATGAAACCCTTGCGGAAACCGTCCCATGCACGGAAAAGATCATCGTAAATCTTCTTCTCCTCCTTCGTAATTGCCCAGGCAACTGTAGCATTTCCCGAAAGACCAACAGCACTGAAACCACCCTCACGCCCAGGCTGCGGCATGAGTTGCTGCTTCATAGCCTCGATATTGGGCAAACCTTGCGATGGTGTGTTGATGAATCCCCATTGACCTGGTATGCCCGTAGGTTGCGGTACCAGACCCGTAGGCTGCACACCCAGGCCTTGCATCCCACCGGTCTGAGCAGGGCTGAGGTTCGAGCCGTAACCAGTAGGCATTGGCGGCATCGGAGGCCGAGGGCCAGTATATCCCGTGGCCTGTGGATTCGTCATGAAACCGGTTTGTTGAGGCTGAAGAAATTGAGGCTGATTCTGGCCAGGGAAGCCAGTCGGGTTAGCCTGCTGTATACCCGTCTGCTGGGGAAAGAATCCAGTAGGCTGTGCTGTCAGCTGCGATAGGAGCTGGGCGTTGTTGGGTTGTTGCGGGACAGGTTGCTGAACAATTGGGGGCGTCGACTTGTTCTCCATGAGAGGTGCATCAAAGTTGGGGACGTTTGTCCGCTGTTGGACCGCCGGCTGTGTGTCGGGGACATCGAACGAGATGATGTCAACCATACTAGAAACCTCATTCTTGACCGTCTCGGGTAGGGAAGAAGGGAGCTCGCGGCCGGTGATACGAATATTACAGAGGTACATGGCCAATGCAAATTCGGGGAAGAACAACTGTCCAGATTTGGTCGTATCAGACAAAACCCAGATCTTAGAAAGATCACCGCCCGTCAACTTGGACCGTAACAATAGATCTCTTGCTTTGTCGCCTATTGTGACCAGTCAGTACTGTATACAAGCCATATCATATATTGAGTGCGCGGGGACAAACCATCCATTGTCTTGCTATCGCCAACCGCAGACTTAAAGAGCTGCTCGAACCTCGCCTGGTCCTGTGCCGTGATAAAAGAAAGCCGAATGTTTGGGATCTTTGATCCTGTCTTTGGCGGCACCTGAGGGGGCGCCCCAGAGCCAGCGGCATCTTGGAAGGAGTTCGCGATATCGCTGGAGGTCTTGAATCGAGTTGGTATCTGCGGCACCGGAGGCGGCTGCTGCGCTTGGTTCTGGGGAGGGTATCCAGTGTATTGTGTTTGGAAGCTTTGCGCTTGCTGCTGCTGAGGTTGCTGGGGCGCGGCGCCGGGAAAGCCAGTGAATTGCGGCTGGAGCTGTCCTGCGGGGAATCCGGTGGCTTGAGGCTGTAGCTGCGAGTTACCGAACGGGGAGGGCTGGCCGGCGAATCCGGTCGGCTGTGGAGCGAGACCAGTAGGCTGCAGAGGAAATCCAGTCGATTGGGGTTGGACTGATGGCGACATCTGGCCTTGAGGGAATTGTGAATAGGGGGGTTGTTGTTGCTGTTGCATGAATGGTGCCTGGCCGCCACTGGCACCACCCCCGAGGAAATTATTCGACGAGGAAAACATCACAGACACCACGCTCGCATGAGCCAAATAGATGCAGAAAAGCCAAAAGAAATTGACGAATGCAAAATTCTAAGTGAGTTGAGTCTCAGGAGGATGCGAATGACGCCGCTGCTGGACGCGGAGGCACCTACGCTAACCTCATCTGGTGCTTAGTCATTCGAGATATTTTTGGATCTACAACTGGAATAATTGGTTGATGGATACAAGTGATGATTAGAGCTTCAAGCTTGTAAATTTGTAGATTTGTGGGTAGCAAATAGCTGATGGTATTGAAAAAAAGAAACATGCCCGCGCAAAAAGGAGCCACCCTTAAAGATCGAAAACGAAAAGAAAGCAAACGCAAGGCATAAAACACCATGACTGCTCCATGCGCCAGATTTTCAGACCAGTTAAAACAAGATGGATGATAGCTGGGTGTCACTCATAACCATTTACTCAGCGGTGCTTTGCTGCTGTTGCTGATTGGCGGCGTTGGCAGCCTTGCGAAGCTCGAACTCCTTGGTGAACTCTCGAGACAGGATGCCCAGGTCCTTGATCAGAGCCTCGGAGGCGTTAATGACAGCCTGACGAGGAGTGACCTCACCATCAGTCTGGATACGCAGCTGGAACTCGGGGGTGAGCGGGTGAGGGACCTAATGGATTGTTGTTAGTATCTTCCAAGAAGAAACACCATGCACATAGAGCAGGTTGCTTACGCGGTAGGCAGCAAAGATCACATGGGCAGTCTTGAGGAGACGGTGACGCAGCATGTTGCCAAGGGTGTGGTCTTCCTTGCGGAAGGTGAATATGGCAGCAGAAGGGAGGCCTAGAGAGAGATGGTTAGTGAGGTTGTGTCGTGTACACTGACCAGCATGACTTACGGGTGTCGACCTCAACATCAATCTTGCTTTCGCCAGGAGCGAGCAAGATGGCTTCATAACTATATTCATGAGCTTGGTCAGTTTATGGTCCACAGATGAAAAAGCAAGATGAGAATGCAGAAGAAGGTCAAAATCAGAATGAAGCAAAGGCCTTAATCCCAGAGTTAATGACACTGACACATCAGGGGCATCGCTGGGGTTCTGAGGGCGAGGGTGACGCGAGTGGCGACCGCGACCACGGCGACCAGCACACTCTCTGGCGATAGCCGCAGTGGCCGTGATAAATCCAGGGCCCTGCATGGCTGCACAAAACAGAACGATGAAACAGGGATACACAGTAAAAAAGAGGGCGACAGTGTAAACAGGATCACAGTCCACGGGTAAACAAGAGGATGAAAGAGGGAAGATGTGTTGACCGAGGAGACGGTATAAATAGGCAAGATGAGATGATTGCCAGGGCAAGAGCGGTGCGAGGAAAGTGCCATCCTGGCTATCCATGTCCATAGCTCCTTCCCTGATTGACAAGATATGAAAAAAGGAAGGCACAATTTAACCCAGAATCTAGGAAATATGCTCTGTAGTACATATGACATCCAACAACCAAATTCACCAGAGCAGCTGGAAATGAACAAGACTTTGGGGATTTCAAAAGAGAATCTGCACTCACCGATCTGGAGCATTCATTGTGGCGAGAAAGCTGTTTTTAAAAAGCCGGAGGGTTTGAGGGCAACCTTGGAAGATACCTATATCGGTATGGATGATATGATTTTATGTATGTATCGAAGAATTTGTGCAGTTTCAGAAGAGAGAGATTGGTGAGAGGTTGAAGGCTGGGTGTAGTTTCAAGGCTTAATTATAGACGAGAAGTAGTTCCGTATTGACCTCTGAAGACAATAGGGAATCACAAGACAATAGCGATCAATGGCGTGTGACTTCGGAATACGCTATTGAGGGTGCTTATCAATAGCGAAAAAATCCCGACAGAGGATCTCAATGGAGATCTATACTTTAAACCGTTTTTTCAGGCCCTGCTGTCTGCTTGCTCAAATTTTGACGTTGAGTGATGAAGATATCGTGGTCGATATCGATATCGATATGGATCATGTGACCGCTCTCTTATATGATGTCACGTGACTGTATACATATTTACTTTATCTTCATCTCACTTCAAGATACACTAGTGTTAGTTCCTTCAAACCCTATGTTCTTCCACGATTTTTCCAATGAATTTTAATAAGCCTCGGGATTCCGAGACATGTAGCCTACTAAACCAAGCCAAATTCATGCTTGGACACCATTCACACGACGTAACTTCTAAGCTATACGCACGCAATCGATCATCTTGATATGAGATAACATAACATATATTAGCCGTAACTACCTAGTGCATGGAGATCCCTTCCTTATCTCGACCCAGATCTACGCTATCGTTAGATATACATCTCCATTGAGGTAGAAAACACAAAACCTAAACAGAAGAAAGAAAGAAGGAAAAAGGAACCTTGGAAAGAGCCGAGATAATGGCCACAAGACCTGAAATATATTAAGGAAGTCGCTCTGGCGAATAGACAATGCAAAACAGACAGAATACAAGATGAGAAAGCACAAAGATAGAAACCTATCAGATAAATAACGCCATGTCTCTTCCCGTGCCGATATCATGAGAAAGCGAGAAAGGAACGCAGAAGACCGAGCTCAAAAATCGAAACTAGAGTAAAAGCACAAGGAAAGCATATGTATTCATACTTGTAAATGCCAAATCTCTCTGCCCAGACCGGAATGGCCATGACACGATGATACAAGGAAACCCGGGCCCGGGAGCGAGGAGTGACAAACAAGATGTGAGATGAGGGCTGGCAATGCATTATCGAGCCGGCATATCCAAATGGCACGGCAAGCCCTTCTCTGAGTTGATGGTATGTGCGTCATATGTCATGTTGTAGAGGAAGCGGAGGATATTAGGAAACGGAAGCGGGCATGGAGATGCAGAGAATAAAGGGACAGTTTATACAGCGTAGCACGGACGGAGTTCTTTTCAAATGCAATGCAAGCACGCTTTCGTGGTCGAGTTGAGGAATAAAGAAAGAAAGAGAGGAAACGGAATCAGGGACTCAGTGCACGGCGCTCAGCAGATCCCCGAACGAGGATGTCCCTCGCTTCATCTTCCAGCTGCTCTTCTTTTTTTCACGTTTCTTCGCCATGTCAGCCCAGGCCTCGTCATCGTCATCTTCGTCCTCAGAACCGGGCTTTTGATTTTCCCGTGAAACAGGGCGGACGGTTACAGTTGCGAGATGCGATTTCGGAATGTGAGACTGAGGCATCGGCATGGACGGATTGTGATTTTCGTCACCGAAAGGTTTGTTTGTTGGGGATGCCACCGCGTAATTAGATTCGGGCTGCATGACTGATACTGGCCGGTAACGAGGCGCCATGCCCGCGGTACTGCGCTCCGACGGAGCGATTGAAGCCGCATATCCGGTGTTGGGCCGGAAGGAATTGCCGGACAGATTCGGCATAGGCGAGCCGGTCCTACGGGCTGAAACGTTAGGGTCCAGCATGCTCATCGTGCGCTGATCGACTTGGGGTGGAAGCGAGGGCGGCATATTGAGAAAGGATGTTGCGGGCATGGACATCGGCCGGAAGTTCGGATTGCCAGCCATGGACTGGGGTCCCGATATAGAAGGAGGGCCCATGGGAGGCATGGACATTGCTCCACCAGGCATCATCATAGGAGGCATGCCTTGCATCATAGGTTGACCTTGCCCACCTTGCATTTGCATCACTTGCTGCATCCACTGCATTTGCATCTGCATCATGTTGGCCATCTGCTGCGACAGCTGGATAGAAGCTTGTTCCCCGGCGGTAACGTTTTGCTGCTGCGGCGGCGGCATTGTCGAGTATGGCCGAGGCACCCCTCCCATTTCATGCATTGCTTGTGTATTCGGGCTTCCTCTGCGCAAGGCCCGTGCCCGCTCCTCATTTGCTATAACACCGACAAGACCTCCAGGGGGAGGTGCGGGGGACGACGATCCCCCATATACCGAACCACCTCCGAACGCCAACGATTCACGGTTGGCGTTGTTAACCAAACCTGCACCGAAGTAAGGATCTCGTGGCAAGTTCCTTGCAAAAGGTGGCAGACTGCCTCGGCTGCCGTTCGGATCGGCACCTGAAACAGAGTTGGAAGATGATATATATGGCGGTTGCATGGATGCACGAAGGTTGGGGTTGGAGCTGACGTTGTTCAGGCGGGTTGGCGGGCGGTTTTGACCAGGGAAACCGTGTGCGGCCAGAATACCAAGCGGCACATCGTCATCCTCTTCCTCGCTGCTCTTCCCACTGGTGGACTTCTCGCCTAGTGCAGACAGGCGACTGGGGAGCAAGTTGGGCGTGCTGTTGCTAGCTCCACTCATCACCGGGCGTAGCGATTGCACGGGTGCTTGCTGGCCGGTGATCTTCATCATCTGCTGACGATACACAGAGAGATGAGCCTCCTGCCTTCGTCGTTGGCGTTCCGTCTCCCGTTGCTTCTCCACCTCATCTTGTTCGTCGTCAAAGTCGTCATGGTCGGACTCATCATCGCTCTTAGTCGCATTGCTATTAGAACGTCGAAGTTCCTGTTGCTGGCGATAGTGCTCGAACTGAGATGGAGTCATCACCTTGTTACCCGGCGAGGATGACTTGGGGAGACTATCCGCATACTGCACAGCCAACCGTGCATGATCCGCAATGGAGGGGTCCAATCTCTCGGCCGGAGCGGGCGAACGGCGGTATTGGAACATATTATCGGGTTCTGGGTTCACTTGGCCAGAGTAATTAGGTGCTTTGCCCTTATCGATCAATGGGGTTCCACCGGAGGGGCTACCCTCAGCCCAAGGTGGCGTGCTTTCTTTGCTGAACAAGACAGACTGTCGAACCATTTTGGCATCTTCGTCGTCGAAAGATCCGGATTCTTCCTTGGCCGAATATATCCCACTCCTCCGCAGTCCTCTCCTTTCCGATCCCTGGGGGCGCTCTAAGGAACGATGTGAAGTAGTAGCCTCGGCAAACTGATTGGGAGACGGCGAAAACTTCCGGAAACCAACAACTGTATCGAGGGTAGACTGGCTCTGATTCAGCGGCGGAGAACGCGGGCCACGTAGCAGGCCCTCCTCGGATGGGCGACGATCCCAGGAGTAAGGGGGTGACTCAATAGTAGTCGATCGGTCTGTATTAATCGCAGCGGGTGCGGCAGCTCTGCTGTTTTGAAACCCGGACAGAACATGACTCGGGGGAGACGAGGAATACTGCGATTCTGTCAGCACTGCATCCTTTCCTGGACGAGCGATTGCAGCTCTTACCTTGCCCGGATTAGGGGATGACCCCCGTATTGCCGAACCCTCTCGAGCACCCAGGTTATCAAACATCTTGTTGAAGTCATCCTGCGAGCCGAGAGCGAAGTCTGTATCGGGCAGCTTGGGTGGAGTGGCCGTGCTGTCGGTGCTGCCCGTCACCGGGCGATTCTTCGCGGCATCTGGTGTTTGTTGCCGAGGCACTTGTGGTCCTGACCTGCTGAATCGACCACCGAACGAGAAGGTCCGTCCTGCGGCACGCAGCGCACTCGTGAGGGGTGGGGGAGCTGGAACATCATGGATTCTGGAATGCGGGGATAAGGTCTCCTCGGGCGGCGGGACCTCGGTGGACGATGGGAGGGTGGATGACGAGCTTAGCCTAGTTGACGTAGAGCTTTCGTAATTACCACTATCACGGTTCCCAGTCAGCCGTCTCCTGAGAGAATCCATGGTCGAGGGACGATCGTACCGGCTCTTGTCCAGGGGTCGCTCCCTCTCCGCAAAGATGTTATCAGAATCCTCCGTCATCGGCACCGTGTTGCCCTCACTCAGCGGCTTGGTCAGGGCTGCTCCATCCGTCATGGATCGATGAGGCCCCGGGCGCTCAAAGACTCGAAAGGAGGATTGGTGAGGAGATTCCACCTCCTCTAGAACGTTGCCGGACGATTTCCGCCTGGTAAAGCTCTTGGGCAGTTTCATAGGGATGGAAGCAACTGTTCTGAAAGATCGGGCTGATAATTGAAGAACCGGCCAGTGCGCCTTTCCAAGTCAGCTATCTCATCAAGCTTTGGACTATCCTGGGGGGGTGTGTCGCCCTTTGAGGGTGATGTGTCGAATCCAAGTGATACCCGAAGAAGCGATCAGTCCGATAGATAGGTATAACGATTGACCGAGGGAAAACAAAGGCAAGCTGAGCTTAGGGGATAAGCTGGAGAAGAATTGAAGTCAGTCAGAAGCTTTCAGGGAGAGACGAAGCACAACATGGGTTTGTTCTAGCGGCCGATCAAAGGCCCGGCAGGAATCCACAGAGTGGGTTGTCTTGTGTCTGTCCGATCCGATAGCATCTCACAACGAATTGAATAATTACTCCCAAATTCCTTGCGGGCCTTGAATATGTGCTCTTTTTTTTTCTGGAAAGAATTCGAACCCACCATAAGTATCGGGTGAGACGAAGAAATGTCCGTTTCAGCTCGCTCAAAGAAAACACCAATGAGATCTGGAGACGCGGGGAGTGGAGAGACCCTAAGAAACCACTAGGGAGTAAAGAATGAAAAAGAAAAGAAAGAAAAGAGAGAGAGAATGCGTAGAAAGCGAGGCAAAAAAGACAAGACGCTACTGACAGCCTAGTCCCTTTGGTATCCGTAGTGTCCAGATATGGGCTGAGGAGGATTCCGTATTAGGACTATTATTGACATTCGACTCCGTTGGTATTATGGCGTATTACTAGATTACTATATTACTATCGTGGGTTATTATTTAGGATCCTAAAACTCGGCTACTGTCATGATCTCATAGGACAATGTGAAACCGTTTGCTATACATAGCGAGTAGGAGGTCCCTTTGTACATAAACAGTGGGCTGTTTTTTTTTCGCGGTCTAAAAATAACCCCAATTTATAAAAAGGCAAATGAATTGGAATGTGGGAAGAGAAAAGGGTTAGGCCTAGGCATCTGCAAGATACATAAGACATTCATATAACCTTTTGAATAAAAAGAACAACGTCGTCAGGCCAGCTCGTCAAGGACGGAGTATCCAACGATGAAATCTCATCTGCTCCAATGCGATGCGCACATGTCACCGATCGTCGATCACGTGAAGTCGATCTCGATCGACATTGGCACATTCTTCTTGCATCGACTCCTATCTACTCCGCGTACTCCGTACCTATCTATATCTCGAACCCTAATATAACAAGGCTGGATCAACGATCGCAGACTAGTTTGCACGGTCGGCTGATAATCCCGTGCCACCAATTGTGACACAGGACTCGACTGAGAAATTCTGAACATGGGACATTGAATATGTACTACATCAAGATGGAGAAAAAGAGGACTCAAATGGCCACACATACATGCACATACACCATGGTTTCAAATGATACCAACGACTGATATCAATCCTCCCATCGCGCAAAAAAAAAAAAAAAACACATTCTCTCTACCCGCCTTTTATCACGGATTATAAGTTATCTTACAAAAATTGTGAATTTGAAATTTCAGTTCGGCCCATCGTCTCGAATGGGTATTGTCTCGCGGATTGGGCCTCCTTGGCCCAGCGACGAGCTTATTTGGCAAAGTGCAGGTCGTAGTTGAGCCACTTGCGCGCATTGACACCGGCCACATCGAGGCCGGGGGTACCGTAGGTCAAGGGCGCATAGAAGATGAAGCCCCAGATGGTGGCAGCCAGAATGATGAGAGTGGCAATCCAGCCCGCGATGAGCGACTTGCAGCCCATGCGTTCCTTGGCCGTGATGAACCGACGCAGGCTGCTGACCGACCGTGCCTTGGACTTGCCCGAGGGATCATCGACAGGAGGAAGTGCAGTTCGGGGATCGAGCGGCTGCAGGTTGAAAATGAATTCAACCAGTGCGCCACAAACCATTGTGGAGGCCAGGTGGGAGGGCAGGTAGTGATGTAGGAAGCGTTGGCGACCCATCAGCCAGAAGGGGAAGTAGTGCGCAGCCCAGCACAGGAACAAAAACCCGGTGCTGTTGTACAGACGCGAGCGCGTACCGGGACCCCAAACTAATGAACGTGTGTTAATTGCCAGAACCAAAAAAAGGGATAAGAGCAGGATGTTTGGTTTTTCGACTCACTTTCTTCCAATGCATCAACACCACGGCGAAGCGAGAGCTGGTCAGCACCAACAATGCCGGCAAACACGGCCAGAATACTGCTAGCAATCCACCATCCAATGGGGTTACCCAAGAAGTAAATCTGCTCACGGGTATCGTTCTTAGTCCAGAAGCTCACGCCTCGCAACAGGAACGGCCACTGGAAGGGCTCGGTGGCATAGGGGTGGCTGCTGGTCAGAGCGTTGTTGTGGTGGAACATGGCACCCTGCAGCTCGAAGTACTTGCGTAGGAAAGGCAGTGTCTTGACCTTACGCTCCTCCTTAACAAGACGAGGACTATCCTCTTCCAAGTTTTCAATGTTCTCAACGTACCACGCGTTGCTGGATTGGAGGATATTCTTGTTACCGTTAATTTCGGCCTGCTTGTAACCCCATTCTGGCAGGGGGGTTGTGTGTGTCCACAAAGCAACCCGAGTTGGAACGTGGACCAACTTGAACAGGCTGGCAAGAGTACGGAACTCCTGGGCAGCCTTGCCTGACTCGATCTTGAGCTCGAACAGGGTATCGTTGTGGCGCTCGCCCTCAGCCAGTTCCTGAGAGACTGTAGTGAACTCCTGGTTGGTGGGGAATAATGGAGACGCAACATCGTGAGTCAAGAGATAACTCTCGGTTCCAACGTGGCGGAGCTGGATGATGTCGCCGTTGCGCACGCTCTTGGACTCGGATGGATCAATGAGAGGATCGGCCGGCAGAATCTGCCACTGGTTGTTGGTGTCGTTGTGGGGATAACCGGTGACCTGCTGGCCCTGGCTAGAGATACGGCCATCGTCGTAACGCAGGGGGTACTTGTCCCAGTGACTGTGGAGGAAGACCTTAGTGTCCTTGTGGCGCATAGTAATGGTGTCGAAGTATTGGATTCCGACGGACTGAGCGGTCATCTGATTGTCACTAAGAGTCTCCTGGAACTCGGGTGTCATGAAGTCGTCGCCGGGGCCGGACCGGTTGAGAATAGCGAAGTGAACCTGGAACCAAAACAAGTAGAACATGAAAGGAATAATGACCAATCCAACAGCGCGAGCCATGAAATGCTTGCCCCAGCTGATCATGCTCAGTGCTCCCTGCTCGCGGTTGATATCCAAGAGGTTCCACAAGTCAACGAGAACTGCGGCGCCGATGGTCACGAAAGTGAAGAAACCAACGTATTTGGTAGAGATGACACAGCTCATGCAGAAGCCGGTCAGGAGAAGCCATTTCCACCACTTCCGGCTAAAAGGTTGGTGACGCAATTTGTAGAAACGGACGTAGCACAAAATACTGAGCGCCATCGACAGCACGAGGGTCGAGTCCAAAAGGATCAGGCGGTCCTCTCCAACGTGAGCGTTGTCAAACACCATCAGACCGGCAGCCAGCACACAGGCTGGCAGAGAGTATCCAGACTCCCACATGATGAGGAACACCACCGGAATTGTCAAGGCGCCGAGAGTAGCCGGCATGGCACGGAGGGAGAGGTAGGGCACATTATTGTCGATGTAAGAGTCGCCGATGTTCTCGAACAGGAATCTTCCATCAAAGCCCACAAGCCAACCCATAAGGGCAAACAACAGCTTTCCAAAAGGCGGGTGCACATCGAAGAAATAGGTACGTTGAAGGTAATAAGAAGCGAACTGGCCGAGTAATTTCAATGTCAGTCAAAGGGCCCCCTTTTTCATAAATTGTGCCGCTACAAAAGGTATTCGACTTCATACCTTGCCGAAGTGAACCTCATCAAAGACAACCTCGTTAGGGAAATCGAGGCGGTAGAACCGTGTCGCAAAAGCCAGGAGGGTAAGAATCACTATGGCCAGCCAATAGTCCCATTCCGACTTCTGTTTGACCGGCACCGACACGGGGGCCGGGCCATCCTCAGAGGGCAATGCGGTGTAAACATCCTTTTTTCCGCCTCTCTTCCGCAGAGAGGGCGAAGGGGACGACATGTTGAAAATATGAAATGTAGAGAGCGACCGAGAAACTACCTATAGCCAAATAGACTTCGGTAGTTGTCAGTAAACATCAACAAAGCAGAAAAAAATTGTAATAGAGAGGAAAAGGAAGCTTACTAGAATCACCAAATAAGCATGGCACCCAACAATTGAGGCCAAGTAAACTATGAGAAAGGAAAGGAGATGTAGAGGGGGATGACAGTAGAACGTTGCGTGTCTTCTTCCAAGGTTAGTTTCGGGGCAGGGCGGTGGCCCCAGGCGGGATCTACGTATACAAATCCACAAAAAGTGTACTTTGAGCACCAACTCCTTGTTTGAGAGTCGAGTACAGGTTACATACAAGAAATTGACCCTTGGGAGTTACAAGTGTGGTGTGCTATCAGTCTTTTCATGACGACGCAATGGCTACATGTGATATTTCCTTTGACCACCTTTTCGTTGGTTGGTCTGGCATCTAATTGGACAGATATATATGCATTAAAGTTCTGGTATTCTCGTTAAAATTACTCTTGCTAGTTGACAAAGAATCTTCCTGTTTGCCCCTTGTCAAGTTCAGCCAAGTCTAATATAGACGGTGAACTGCACATATATATATATTCACATATTAACGTCTTTCATCCGTCTCAACCTCCCGAATAACAAGCCACAAAGCCTTCCTAAAAGGAGCCTCTTCCTGTGGTGTCTCTTGGATGTAAACATCGCCTCGCCTACCCATGCCTCTCTTCTCCTGATATTCCGGCTCATTATACTTCTTCAACGAGGCGTTGAACCGGGTCAATCTAGACTTGGAAGACCAAGGTAAGATATCAAATTCAAGCTCAGCAATCCAGGGCTGCAAAGTCGATATCCTCTGCTGCAAATCAAGTTCCTGTTGCTGCCTTTCATCGGTCCCAGGGTTCGCCATGGACACCCCATCCTGGAGTTGTAGAAACAGAGGCGCCTGTCGATCGATTTTGCCTTGAGAATCCAATATAGGGAGCTTTGCAACATGTGCCAGGGCATCCAGTTTCGCAATTTCAACCTCCAAGCCGCGCGGACGGAATATGTCCCTATTCGCTTGTTTGATGGAGGAGTCCGTTCGGCTTTTGGACATGCCTTGGCTGCCCATGTTTGCGAGTCCGCTGACCACACCGCCAATCCAGTGCAACGGGAATAATATCGGGACCGACTTCAAGATCCCGCCCGTTGCATCTAGGACTTGGAGGGGCGGACTGGCAGCTATGTCTTTGTTCAGTTGGTCGAGGAAGCTGAGAAACGATTCCTTGGGAAGTTGGTGGTTTCTTAGAATGGGTGCATATGCACGGATGAAAGGAGAATCAGAGGACGAGGTGATGGCTGGGATTGCGATTGGTTTGTGGCTTGTTTGATGAGGGGCTTGTGCTGGTGATCGGCTTGGTTGTATTGCGGGTCCTGCTATGTATGCTGGAGGCTGATCTGCTGCCTCTTCCTCATGATAGCGTCCTCTGTCCTCGGATGGATTTTGGTTCTTTTGATCGTGCATTGTGTATGAGTGAAAGAGAAATAAGCTGGTTCTTCTCGTAAACGTCTTATGGGGGCCAACTCTTATTTAAGTTTGAGGGCGGGGTGAGCTCAGCCTAAGACATTTCCAAGGTTTATTCCAATTGCTTGAATTGGTTAGAACGATACGATGTACATCGATTTAGGCAGCATCCATGGTCTCTCGAAGGTTGGTTTTTGGGATGCGCTACGCCTAATCGGGTATGCAATGCGAGATGGCGTCACCTGTGCAGGATTTAAGGTAGTGTGGAGTTGTTTATTGTGGTTTATGTATTTAAAACAATATCAGATGCCCAAAGCAAACCATTCACTCCCAATGATGTTTATGGCCAACATATGCAAAATTATGATTCATGGGTATCACTCAAGTATTTTAGCCTTAATCGTCATCCGTAATATCCAAAAGCTCCAATTCCATCGAAACCAATGCCTGGAACTCCCCCCGGGACATTCCAGTGACCTTTGCCAAACGGAACAAACTCTTGATGCTCGTACCGATATGTTGTTTCACTCCGACCTCGCAGGTGGACCGGCTCTCTGCCTCGTGTTCCAGCTTAGCGATAGCATCAGAGCTACCGGAAGATGCAGAGGCCGGCCGTGGGTGGTTCAAATCTTGCGCAGCCTTATCACTGGGGATATGGTCTGGGGCATATCCGTTCTTGCGGGGTTCGTCATCTGAATTGACTCCGTTCACCTGTCGTCGCAAGAGATTGGCCAGCATATCTCCGTTGAGCGATGATGGACCAACCTCGGGTTGCTCCTCCGTGGGATCATGATTATCCATGGCCGGCTGCACGTCGCCATACTGCGAGAAATATGACTGCTCAGATAAGTGAGATGGACCCGGCTTTGATGAAGCAGCAGGCGGTGCGGGTGTCTTGGCTCCGGGTGTGGAGTCGTACTGAGCCCAGTAGTCATCGTCGTCGTCGTCGTCGTTCTCCATGCTGTTCTCCGGGGATTTCTCTTCCTCGGCAGCCTTTAATATATCAGCCAGGAGCTGGTCCTTTGCCTGAACGTTTGCTTCCCAGATAGAAGAAGCCCATTTATCGTCATCCTCGGCAGCTCCCTCCCGCGGCAAAAGCTCTGCGACTCGCCAGCCACGACCACCTCCCTCCTCGTCTGTCGGGCACCACAAATAGACCACCGTCAAGCTGTATTCGGCGAGCGGAACTTGTGCTTTGAGAGTCTCATCGTCGATCCGTTTGTATGTGACCGGAAGTTCATCCGGAAGCTCAATTTCGCCCGATACGGGGTGTGGTTCGAAGGTGGCACCGTCAATGACCCTCTGCAGACGCTCTGCTTTCCCAGCCTCCCAGCACAGAAGTTGCAGCCATGACTCGGTGGAAGATGTGGATAGCGAACTGAGAACCCCGACTCGTTGGCGCAGGATAGGGGAGAGAAGTGGTAACAGAGCTGGGGGTGCGCGGGGTGAGACAAAGGCCAGGGGGAGGCATGCGAGGAGGGGAGGGAGTAGTTCGCGAGTCTCGGGCGGGTTGATGAGTTCGACCATAATGGGTGTGTAGTTTAGTTATGAAATGCGGAGAGAGAGGAAATCGAAAGTGTGGGGGAAGTCCAAGGCAATATTTTGCAAGCTCCCCGGGCTCCATTCGACCGAACGTGGGGCAACAAACAGAGCAATCACCGGGCCCACAAAGCTTACAGCGTCCCGTGGTTCAATCGGGTTGATGGCTCAATTTCCGTTGTACCTGGCTTATTATTTTATTTCGATGTGTACCTACAGATGCATATTGTCTTTAGTTGGTTTGGGTTTTCCTATTTTAGCCTAATCGGTACGCTAACTGCAGCTCTAACTTAAATCTTCTTGTTCCCATTGGTTCTTTCGGATCTTATAGAAGAACGCCTATAACATAGGCATCCTGAACATGATAATCTCATTGAATAAACTCACGCTTCCACGGAAGTTCCACATTCCATTCCACATCCTGTATGTAAGCTGTCAGCCCGGGGCACATTCGGAGTAGAATCAGCCGGCCAATTTGGAATCCTTTCAGTACTGCGATAGTACGGAGTAATAATAGATAGAAAATCAATTAGCGTGCCCTTGTCAAAATGGACAATGTAACCTCCCCTAGTGCTGCACAATATTATCTTGCTCTGGCCCTTAAGCACGAGCTTCGCTGCCAGAAATGTCTCTGTCGATTAAATCAAATTCCTTCTCCATAGCCTCCATTCCAGTCCAAACCCCCGAGCTTCGAGACGTCCATATCATTCACCCAGGTCTCCATACGCTGCTTCCAACCTTCCATATCTTTTCTCGAACTCTCCATACCCGGTTTTGATATCTTTATAGACATTCGGGACACACTTGTTCTTCCTTCAGGCCTCCATATCCTTTCTCATATTACCCATTTGCTTCTTTGCCTCTTCGTCTGCTCTCTCGAACTTTCGATTGATCTCCTTGACGTATATATGCGATCCCTTGTGGCTTTTAAGTTGTCGCCTATGACCTCGGGGCATTTCTAATCTGGGCCCTGTTGATCAAACAGGTTTCGGACCAGAGGTTGATTATGGATTCAGTAACATCCTCCTGTATTTCCTTTGAGATAGTATTGTAGCATCGAGGAGTCGGTGAAGTCGGATGTTTTCTTCCTTAAGAAAGGCATTTTCTGCTGCAACCGAAGCATCGGTCGTTTGATTCGTGACGGACACGATTCATCGGTAGATTGTAATCACAGGTAAAATAAGCGTAAACTGGGGGTTTCAATCATGAGTTAAAGCCTCCATGTATGCGACTTTTCAGAATTTATCCGTGCAGCGTGCAATATATATTGTGGGAAAGAGGGGCCATCTCACGGAGGGCCAATTTGGAATGTGCCCGGTCACATGCTCTCTGTGGGAATTCAAAGTATGTACGCATCTACTCCGTACTAGCCTGGGCGATTGATCATAGACTGGCTTGCCTGCACCCTATAAAATGCCACATCATGAGAAAAATACTCCGAAATATCTGGATTGATAATCCGACCTCGGGACTAGGTCCGACTTGCGCGCTAAGAGACGCACTACTCGGCCGATTTCTATCACGTTCTTATCCTGGAATGTCGGAGGAAAAAAACAAAAGAAATATTGGATTAGCAACTTAACTTGCGACATATCTGATTACGGAAATCGAGGATTGGCCTGATCCTTCAGACACTCAGTCAAGATGGTCGATTCAGAGAAGGGCCAATTCTCGTTCACTTTGACACCAACGGCCCAAGACCTGCATACCTTGGAGCCAGTGGTTCAAGAGACCAATGCACAGTCCGACGGCGTGATATTCGACCAGGCTCCTCCTGAAGATGGTCAAAACAGGCTCAACGCAGAGCGCGGGGTCGAGTGGGCCGCTTTAGAGAAGCGGGTACGATGGAAAGTCGATCTCCGCCTGTGTAGCATCGGCGGGCTCTTATGCAGTCTCAATTTGCTAGACTCGGGCATTTTGTCCTCAGCATCGGTGACGACGATGCTGGATGATCTTGATCTGGGCCAGGGCAACCGGTTCTCTGTCTCCATATTTATTTTCACAATTGCCAGTGTGATCTTTCAGCTGCCGTGCACAGTGGCAGTTCGCTTTGTCGGTCCCCGAATCTGGTTTTCGACAATCACATTCACCTTTGGGCTGTTGACGCTATGCACTGCTTTCGTGCGCAACTGGCAGCAGATGATTATCCTGCGTGTGCTGCTCGGTATCGCCATGTCCGGTATTTACCCGGGTCTGACCTACCTGGTTAGCGCCTGGTATCCGCGACAAGAGCAGCAGCTTCGGTTTGCATTCTTGCAGTCCGGGGAAGTTGTGATTCTTGCGACTGGCAATATTGTCAATTTTGGTCTCAATCATCTGAATGGCGTGGCCGGGTTGGCGGGTTGGCGCTGGATGTATGTTGTTCAGGGTCTCATTACTTGTGTCCTGGGTATTATCACCTACTGGTGGATGGTCGACTTCCCCGAGAACGCCCAGCACAGCTTTTGCTTTCTTTCAGACCAGGAAGCGCGCCTCGCAACGCGCCGAATTCAGGATGATCGAGCTGATGTTATCCCGGAACCGTTTTCCTGGGGCACGCTTCTTGCTAATTTCAAGGATCCGAAAATCTACGGCTTTGCGATCATGTTCTTCTTGCTCAATCTCATATCGACTGCCTTGTCGTATTTTCTACCCATCATCTTACAGTCCGGTATGGGTTTCAGCTCAAATAAATCCATTCTGCTCTCCACACCGGTAAGTTGATCCAGAATATAAACGCCGCATTCTCTAACTTCTTTATTAGCCTTACTATTATGCCATAATTCCGGTTATTCTCACATCACTGGTCGGAGATTTCTACCGCGTGCGTGGGCCGCTGATCATCTTCAATGCCCTTGTCCTCATAGCTGGGTTCCTGATGTTCGGTATTCCCGTATCTACCCGGGTGGCAGTGCGTTATATTGGGACCTTTCTGGCGACCGGTGCTTATATCTCGAACTGGGCTGCCCTCAATGCCTTCCAGGCCAACAATATCGTCGGCCAGTGGAAACGAGTGGCCACCGCGGCGGCGGTCACTGCGTGTAACGGACTCGGGGGTGTAGCAGGCAGCTTTATTGTCCGCCAGCAAGAAGCCCCGCAATACCAGACCGCAGTTTGGGTGTCAATTGGGTAAGTTTCAGAAATTATTGAACATTGGGCTTCGGCTGACAACATTACCAGGTCTCACATTCTTCTCATTGCCATCGTCGGCGCATTCACGATTTACTTTTACATTGTCAATCGACAGCAAAAGCGAGGATTAAAGATTCTTGAGGGTGTAGTGAGTGTGCTTCATCAATGGCCGGCCGATTATATCTTGCTAACGAATGAAATCCAAAAGTCTGGCTTCAGATACACTTACTGACCAAATGCAAATACGAAAACTCGGCAAAACCCGTATTCATTGAATACAGATACCGCTTTCAAAGCTTTTCAAATGTTATGATATATAGATAAATTCTGGTTTACGACAAGCCAAGGTACACTTATGGGGGGCTTCTAAAATTCCATTTTTGGCTCATTCATTATACACTTAAGAGATAGAAATTATTTTTTTATTAATGAGTCCCCGCAACCGTTTTATGAGAGCCACTCACCTCCTCGTCCATAAGGATTGACCATCTCTGATCCTCCAAATCTGCTAACGAGGAAGGCGAGGAAAGCAAGGACGGCAAGCTACTCCAAGATTTTTTTTTGGGCAAACTAACCTCTTTAGGACGCGCAATGCCTTCCTGGCTTTCACTATTTGTGGGTATTCTTCTCAAATACCAGGCCAGGTGTTGAGTTCTGCGAGAGGTGGAGCGAGAGAATGTTGTGTGAAAACGCCGGGGCATGACTCGCCGTGGCATGACCTGAGTGAAAAGGGGCCAAATGCTGATAATGCAAGCAGCGATGATAATCAAACCTCCCTCGAGGACCGTTAGGATACCAAATTTCGCCGCGAACCCTAGTTTGTTATAGATCAGTCCTCGTTTCGATCCAAGTCCGGGATTGGTTCTTACACGTCGGGTCCTCCTTAGCGAGACCTGATTCGGCAAAGTACATCACCATTCTCAAGATGCTGGCCACATTTCCTCTAATGTCCCATCAATACTATGTATTTATTTCAAGCGCAGATGATGGCAAAGTTTGAATCACTCACAGTCCACCTAACAGAAAAACACCCGTCAAGGCCAGTTTCTGTTTTCTAGATGTATGCAATTTCCACACAGTCGGAATTGGCATAACAAGGATTAACACACCAGTGAGGACATTAAATGGCGCAAGAATCCGATAAGCGTCGACTGGATCGATGCACGATCCGCCGGGGATGCTTCGATTCCACATGTACGCGAATGGTCGACATTGGAGGAAATTCTCCAGAAGAACGCTGACTCCCACCGCGAGAACAAGTGAGCCCACTATGTAGACGAGGATCTGGAACTTTCGGGTTGTAAAAATGCGTAGATAGAAGCATAATAGGGCCATTTTGGCCATGGTGATGTTGAGAGGGTAATCGAGGACTTCGAAGGCAAGGATACACTAGATGCTGTCGTTAGTGCAATTCTCAGAGATCAAAGGATTGGGGTAAGTACCTTTCTCGTGAGAGCCACTTTATCAGGCATCCGATATACGTAGTCGAAGTGGTACCCAACTACGCCGATCTTGGCCACTGCATGATATGTGAGTTTCGTTGTTCTTCGAGATGGGTGCTGAGACCGTGCACCTACAGACAATAAAGAGCACTGATTCTGCCAAACTTGTAGCCTAGATAGCGGAGATATTAGTATGACTATATTCAAATAGCTATCTCCGAGCGGGACTTACCAGGGCAAGTAGGATCAGATAGTCATCGATACCAATTTTCATCCGTTGCATAAACCGAGTATAGAACCTCCCTGCAACGAAGACAACTTGCACCGCAGCAATGGCGGCAGTAGCTCCCACTATGGAATTGCCATTATATGGTTGTTGGCCACCCGGGTTCCAGTCGGCACCCATGATAACGAGGGAAGGGAAATTGAAATCTTCATCTGTAGGAAATTCTATGTTCTATAACCGGGCGAGGAAAAATGGACAGTATGGTATATTAAATAAGAAAATTCTTCAACAACGAACCCTTAAATCCCCGAAATACACCCACCGGAGATATATGCATATGAGGCAAGGGCCGTAGTCGACCATTGGAACACGTTTAAAATGGAGAACACATAGCAAGAGTGGTGTTCCTTCAAATCAACACTAGGCGCATGGCCGTTGAAACTCTATTATTTTAGAGTTGAGATCTTCCATGGAACGCAAGAACCGACTCTGTGGGTTTGGAACATATCTTGGAAGAGCCCTTCCAGAAATCTACCCGTGGATTCGTCCCTTTCTCATCCTCCATCTCGCCTCGAGATCGCTCCCAAATGGCTCAAAGGGGCCCTCGAAGTCAGATAATGTGACATCATGACATGTCCTATTGCGGGAACATGTCCGTGAAATATCGAAGCTGACAGGCTTTGGTTCACGCGGAAATTGTAGCCCATACGTATGTACATGAGGTAGCTATGGGATAGATTAGGTTTACCAGAAGCTTGGTTACCTCCCGATTTAGGCAAACGGTCGTGAACTGGTCTGGTTCCACATTGGCTTGCTTTCTCTTTTGGGTTCTGCCTCGGGGGTTTTAAGGTTTTTAGAATTATGAATAATCTCGCACCGATCTCGGCATTGCAGATCGATATTATCCACCAATGGATGGATTGAAACTTTTGATATCGAACAAGAATAGACACATACATGTATACGCTGACGTCTTCACGAATCCTGGATAGAAGGGAACTATGGACAGCCTTTTCATGTATTATTCGTTGCCTTCCAAGGCTATTGGTTCGATCTTGTCGGTCGAGATCTTCAAGACGCACAATAAGTTGTGATCATATTTGTATAAGAGTAAAGAAATAGTCAATGACGAAGGTTTGACTAGCTTAAGATACCAAATCTGCAGACTTGGCTGTGTACTGAGTATCATCGGGGAAACATTCTTGGCAGCAACGTCTCCCCCAAGGTGGTGTCTGATCTTGAGTCTGCCAGTAGATTGTTTTCACATATTTTTTATTATTATTAGTCTTCACGATCTTCATGGTAAAGGTCCAGTTGGAGATGAAGAGGGGATAAGGATCCAGGAACATGATGACGTTTGCAATGGCGATGAGATACATACACATGCACAAATTATGTGACCGAAGGGAAGGGGGTATATGGCAAAGAAGGGGGCCTCGCGGGGAAAAAGGTAGACGGGGAAGGTCGGCCCGCAGAAGAAAACTACATCGACAATCATCGGAAAAGACACAAGCCATTGGAGTGGTAACTCTAAGCCACTCGATCCTTATCTTTCTGTTCCAGCTTTCCCACAAGCCGCTTCATACCCATCCATTCGTCCGCCGGCACTTCCTCCGATAGGCCACACAGACCCTTGCCAACTTCAAAGACTGTAACGACACCATTGAGGCCACCAGTTGCCAGGCGGCGTCCTTCACGTTCGTCCCACGCAACCTTGTTGAGGCTTCGGGACATGATGTTGCCATGGGTATTGTCAACAACTTCACGCGCGACTGGCACTTCGGTATCTGAAGCGAGGTCCCAGACTTCGACGTTGCCGGCACCGTCGACAAGAGAGAACACACCAGGTTTGGTTGGGTGCCAGCGGGCATCGTAGACAACATCGTCACGGGTAATGTCGAGTATGGGCGAGACGACTTGCGATTGGGCCATGCCGGATGTGGCAGAGGCAGTCGTCGCAGGTGGCCGCACACGCCAGAGCTTCACACTCCAGTCCAGACTGGAGCTCAGCATAAGATCGCCAAGGTCTACGGGTCCACGACCGGGGTGGAATGCGGTAGACATGATTGGTGCCGTATGTCCCTTGTAGGCTAGACGGTGGTCTGTGCCCGACTTGGCACCGGCCCGATCGTACCGATGGCATGGGTAGATGACTCCCTCTTCAGTACCGACGATAAAGAACGTTGGATCAGTGTGGGGGAATGACATGGTGGTTGGAGCTAGATCCTCGGTCTTAGATGGGGGAGGTGTAGTCAGTTCCACACGATCTTGTGGGTAAGAGAGCATATCCATCGTCCAACCACAGACCACACCGTCCGTAGAGGCGGTCATGATATTGTGTGCATTCTGTGTGCCAACAATCGAGATACTGTAAACGGGATGGGCATGTCCGCCGCCCGATAGTGGCGTCTTTTGTACTGGAGAGCCTCCACCGGCGCGCGAGGAACGAGTGTCCCATACAAGCACTTGTCCCGAATAGGAGCCTCCAACAACAAGGTTTGGATGGTAGGGAGAAAATTTTGCCGTAAGGATATCGGATGTCGAGTGAAACACGTATTCCGGACGAGTTTGTAAGTGCTGATTCCAAATCTGGACAAGGCCATCGGGTTCGTGAGGAGCAGAAGTATTCTTGGTGTATGACGCAAGCAACAATTCAGGGAACTGAAGTTAAGGTTAGCATGAGCCAAAGCACATGTATTGGAAGTAGAAACTTGCCTTTGGAGAGAAGCTTAGGTCACTGATAATGCGGTTCTTGCTCCATCGTTCGTCCCAGAAATGACACACTTCATGCATTCCTCTCCTTTTCTTGCCAGTCTCCTCATCTTCTTGCAGATGCCCATCAGTTCCACCCAGCTCATAGTCTGCCAGTACATCGTAATCTTCGTCCAAAGCTCGCTCGATGACCTTTGAAGAGCGCTCCACAAAGTCTAGGAAATCGTTCGATGATGTGACTGCCTTTAGTTCGTCATCGTCGAGTTTGCGAAGGGGATATCGCAGCTTTGCCGACTGTGCAGCTGTGTTCTCATTATTATCGGTCTGACTGGTAGCTTGGAGCTCTTCCTCAATTTCCTTGCGAAGCTTCTGTCGGATTTCCTCGTCCCGCTCCCGGTCTCGTCGACTGAGACGCTTGCTCGACCGCGCAGTATCGGGCGACTCCTCATCATCCGAAGCGACAGACCCTTCAGGGGTCTCGGGCTGGAGATCTAGTCCGTCTGTTTGCACAGCTTTGCTATAGGTGACAACTTCCGGTTTGGGTGTAGATTTGTATTCGGGTTCAAGTTCAGGGGGCTGCGGGGCTTCCGTTGCAGATGAAATCCAAGGCTCATCTGTTGTCTGGACGGCAATGGACTGGGATTGTGGTCGCGACGGAGCTGCATATGTATCTGTATTCTCCCCGCTTAATTGGCTCGCGCTCAACACGGAGGTTGGCCGACTTCCTCTCCGCGACAGGCCATCGACGCCGTGGCTGAGGGAGGCCGACGCTGGGCGGTCGACCAAGCGAGAGATCAAGTCATCGAGATCGTGTCTATTCTCTGCGCGGCTTGGTATCGGTGAGATAATCTAGGAAGGTTGTTAGACCCGGACAAGCTCCGTAGTTCATTTACATGCCGCATTTACCTCTGAAGCATCCCCGACGCTGGTTCGGGAGGTGAATTCCTTCTGGCGCAGCTCCCGCTGCTTTTTGAGCTCGGCAAGCTTGGCCCGCTTTGCGAGAATTTCATCCTTGCGCTGTTGCATCGACATCTTGTACAATTATAGAGGGTTAGACCAGATGCGTCCACGTCCAAGTGTAGTACCTCCACTGCGCGTTTATTTACGGGGATGACTAATCTCCGTCTTCGGGAACTCTGGAGCGGTCCGGAAAAACTCGCGCGCGCAGAACATGAACTGAACCTCGCCATTTAACCAACCTGGAGATTTATTGCCATTGACGGTTGACACCTGTTGCACGGTTCCTTCTTCTTACACACATTATTCCCTCATTTAATTCCCGTCTTCCGGAAACCTCGCAGAAATGGCTAGCCAAGGTGTCAATGTGAGTACCGGCTAAGGGTTACCCTCTCCCCCGACGGCCGTTAACCACGTCTCCCAACCTACAGGTCCTCCGTTACTCGGCTCTCGTTGCTGGTCTCGTTTACGGTGTTTACCACCAGTCCTCTCTCAACTCGGTTACCAAGCGCGCAGAGATCGAGCACGAGTATGCTCGCAAGGAGCGCCTGATCGAGCAGGCCAAGGCCGAATACAAGAAGAAGACCCAGCCCCAGCAAGAGACCAAGACACAGACCAGCGGACGTACGTTTGATTCCCCTCGGATGATGCAATTCAGACAAATGCAACGACATCCGGAGCCGCCGAATATCTTCAAAACCCGAAGTACTGACCAAAACTCCATAGTTATCACGAATTTCGAGGACCCCAAGTTCGACCTGGAGGCCTTCTTGAAGGCTAAGGTTTAAATATGATGGATGGCATAGAGGAGGAATGCTATGCAATGATCTCTTTGCGGGAATCGCACCTCCCCCAGGGTATTAGACATGTTTTGCTCAACTCAGTTCCATCTTATTGTACGATTGTTTGGGTTTGATCTGCCCCGAGTTGTGGCATTGCGAGCGCAAGATGGAACGATTTTTTGTTTCTCATTTTTAGACGTTTTATCTGGGTCCTGTACATACCCTGGGCTGCCATGCGCCTGTACACTACAGTTGGACCACAAGCAAGAGCAAAAGATCGTGTTACATTCCGGCGTTACCGGTTGTCCCAGTATGTATCAGACCAATATCCAAAGTTGGTTTTAGCGTTCCTCTCGGTCCTCGCATCCCCACCGTAGGACAGAGGACGTAGCCATTGTAGTCCAGGTTTGGATCTACCAAATAACTGACATTCCTTCGTTGTCCAAGCAAGATTTACCCTGCACGCGTTCCCAGCATTGCCATTGCCTTATGGATCCCGTTGGAAGACTGAGGCTCCGCGAGCGATACAACGATAGGTTTGGTATACAGCAGCTTTGATTCCGGATCCCATGTCCATCCATATTTCGTGAAATTCGATATTATGTTTGGATCTTCCTCTTTGGCAAGATTTTGGTCAAGACCAAGGTGGGTTGCTGCTGTCGCTAGTCGTATAGCTTCGTAGGATCTGCTCACTGCGATCAAAGTCTTGTCTTGGAAGAAACCTAATTGCAGAATCATTGGTCAATTTAAGATCCAGCGGAAAGAAGAAGCTCATTTCGATGAGAAACATACTCTCATATCTCCGAACCAATGGCTGCAAAACGTCTGGCCATGGTAGTCCTCGGAGTACCTGGTAGACCTGGCCGTGTTGAGTCTGCCATACCGCTCGCAGTAAAGTCAAGCAGTTCTGTAGAGAAGGATCCTGTTGCAGCAGTGCTTCAGGAATTCGTTTCGTTAAGGCACGAGCTTCAGACCTGGGACCCGAGCTTCATTAGCAGTGTCGTAACTACCAATAGTACTCGCTAAGCAACTAACACTTGGTCGGTAAGAAGATGGATGAGAAAGAAGCTCGAGTAGAATAGGCTCAATAGTGTAGAGTCACTACCGCCTGTGTTAGCACTGTCACCCCTGGTAGAAATGAGGCATGCTTGAAGCTCATATCGCGACAGGGCCTCGAAGAGTTGGGACGGTGGAGCGTTGGAGGCCACTAGCTTTGAGAGATGCTCCGTGGTCAGCAAAGGCAGCTCCATGTGGGCATGTGAGGTGTAGATGAAGTGTAGATGGCTGTAGGAATACTGATGTACCCAATAGTGGCAAGTATATTGAGTCAAAATCTAGTCAAAAGAGCTCTAACAAATATTAGTGATGAGTCGTAGTATTGCGGGGAGCAATCGGAGGTGGCGCCTTTGGCCGGTGCCAAGACCTTCAGAAGTGACCACCTTGCGCAGCTCTTGCTCTTCCCATCCTTCTCCACGGCCCTCACCACTGGCATCTCAGCCCAATTCATTCCTTGATTTCATGTTTCTATTTTGATTTCTGACCCTGGACTTCGCTCCGTTTTCAAGGCCATCATGGCCCCGTCTTCGCTTGATGTTGTGTTGAAAGGCAGCTCCGGCCGCAATACGCGCGGTCTATTGCGGGTTATCATTCTCTGTACCATTGCCGCCGCCGCGGTGTCCAGCCGCTTGTTCAGTGTCATTAGTATGTCCCAATTGAGTTCCTTTATGATCAGTATGCTAACTATATTTTAGGATTTGAAAGTATCATTCACGAATGTATGATTTCCCTATGTTGCTGCACTGAATGCGGTGGCCACCTCGATAACCCCCGAAACAAACGAGATATTGATACCGTCTTACTCTAGTCGATCCGTGGTTCAACTTCCGTGCGACAAAATACTTGATCGAAAATGGCTTTTATAGCTTCTGGGATTGGTTTGATGACCGTAAGGCCCCTTCCCCGTGATTGCACGTCCTCCGCATGATACTATAAATGACATTGGGCTGATGGGAATGCTCGTGCTATAGGAACATGGCACCCTCTTGGGCGTGTCACTGGTGGCACATTGTACCCTGGCCTGATGGTGACCAGCGGCGTGATCTACCACATCCTTCGTCTCCTCACCATCCCCGTCGACATTCGAAACATCTGTGTCATGCTCGCCCCCGGATTCTCTGGACTAACAGCCCTGGCGATGTATCTCCTTACCTCTGAGATGTCCGACTCTCCTTCCGCAGGTCTTCTCGCCGCTGCTTTCATGGGAATTACACCCGGTTACATCTCACGGTCTGTGGCAGGCAGCTACGATAATGAAGCCATTGCCATTTTCCTATTGGTGTTCACATTCTACCTCTGGATCAAGGCTGTGAAGAACGGCTCGATCATGTGGGGAGCCTTGACTGCATTGTTCTATGGATATATGGTTTCTGCTTGGGGTGGATACGTCTTCATTACTAACCTGATCCCTCTGCATGTCTTTGTTCTTCTGTGCATGGGACGATACAGCACCCGTGTCTACATCAGCTACACCACCTGGTACGCCCTGGGAACATTGGGAAGCATGCAGATCCCCTTTGTCGGTTTCCTGCCTATTCGCAACAGTGACCACATGTCTGCACTTGGTAAGATTTTTTGGATTCTAAGCCATATCGTTGTCTCATTCTAACTATTTGATAGGTGTCTTTGGGTTGATTCAATTGGTTGCGTTTGCTGAGTTCATCCGAGGCTACCTGCCCGGCAAGCAGTTCCAGAAGCTCCTCACTTCTATGGTCTTACTTACGTTTGGCCTTGGATTTGGTGGTCTTGTCCTGCTATCAATCTCAGGGGTAATTGCTCCCTGGAGTGGTCGCTTCTACTCTCTGTGGGATACCGGATATGCCAAGATTCATATCCCAATTATTGCCTCCGTCTCCGAGCACCAGCCCACCGCCTGGCCTGCCTTCTTCTTTGACCTGAACTTCCTCATCTGGCTGTTCCCGGCCGGAGTGTTCATGTGCTTCCAGAAACTCAAGGATGAGCATGTCTTTGTGGTCATCTACTCCGTCCTTGCTAGTTACTTCGCTGGTGTTATGGTCCGTCTGATGCTCACCCTGACCCCCATTGTGTGTGTTGCGGCTGCTCTGGCCTTGTCATGCATCCTCGATAACTTCCTGGTTGCATCGACCCCTAGCACTGAAACCAAGGCTAAGGCAACTACGGATGATAAGTCACTTCGGTCAACCCGGAATCCTGTTGTCGGTATCTATTCCTGGTTTTCCAAGTCTGTCGTGGTAGCCTCGGTCACTCTTTACTTGCTTCTGTTCGTTGCACACTGCACCTGGGTTACTTCGAACGCATATTCCTCTCCCTCTGTGGTTCTGGCTAGCAAGCTTCCAGATGGAAGCCAATTCATCATCGATGACTACCGTGAGGCCTACTATTGGCTCCGCCAGAACACCCCGGACAATGCCAAGATCATGTCCTGGTGGGATTATGGATACCAAATCGGTGGTATGGCTGACCGCCCCACCCTGGTCGACAACAACACCTGGAACAACACCCATATTGCTACTGTTGGCAAGGCAATGAGCTCGCGCGAGGAAGTTAGCTACCCTATTCTCCGACAGCACGATGTCGACTACGTCTTGGTCGTGTTCGGTGGACTACTCGGCTACTCAGGTGACGATTTGAACAAGTTCCTCTGGATGGTTCGTATTGCCGAGGGTATCTGGCCAGACGAGGTGAAAGAGCGTGACTACTTCACCGCTCGTGGCGAGTACCGTGTCGACGAAGAAGCCACTCCCGCCATGAAGAACAGCCTGATGTAAGAACCTCACATCTTAATTATCCAAGTTACTGCTAACCCCATCAATAGGTACAAGATGTCTTATCACAACTTCCAGTCGCTCTTCCCGGCCGGTCAAGCCATGGACCGTGTCCGTAACACAAAACTTCCCAAGGAGAGCCCACAACTCAACACACTGGAAGAGGCATTCACCAGCGAGAACTGGATCGTTCGTCTATACAAGGTCAAGGACCTGGATAACCTCGGCCGTGATCATAGCAACGCAGTTGCCTTCGACAAGGGCCTCAAGCGCAAGCGTGCCACCAAGCACAAGGGCCCTCGTGTTCTGCGAACCGAGTAGAGATTTGTTTTCTAGATTCACGTTGAGTTTTCTTGTCTTGTTGGCTGTTGTGATTCGCTCTGGCATAGCTATGCTTCAAAACCATACCAATATACTCTAGGTCTAGTTACCTAACCTATATATCAATGCCTTTCTTCTCAGAAGGCTATTAAATAACTCTGCCTGTCACCTTCACTACGTGACATTGGCGATTCAGAGTTGGAGTAGCGAGGAGAAGTCGGGGTTTCTTTTTGGAGTTGGTAGGGCACATAGAAATAACATCCGTAGCCGAAATTCATTGTACAGCCTATATTCCAAATTCCTTCTGTGCACGGCAGCACAAATGCTGATATTATCGCTAATCCTACAGATCTGAAAAACAAGGTCTCCCTGAAGACTCCAAAACCCCGATGGCAGCGTTAACCGATCCCCAAGTACCGGTATGTTGGGTGTGCTTCATTTCTTGTCGGCGGGGGCATCGGGGACCTTGACATCGGCAAAGTCTTCTTGGCCGACAGCCTTGAGGGTGTATGTATCTGAAAATAGAAGCCGTATTAGCATGAGGTCCTGTCTCTTGTAGATATCGAGCCCGCTTCTCAGCGGCCAAGTCCTGGTGGCATGATCGTCTGCGGTTCGGAGATAAAGCAGCGCTGAAGCGGAAAAACATCGGTATCAGACACAGGGTTTACTCACAGACTGCAATTGTAAATGCGAACAATCCAAAGCCTGTGAGGGTATTCTTAAACAGATATGGGCGGCGGGCGCGCAGGAGGGCGGCACCGGCCCGGTAGTCCTTGCCGTAGTAGGTAGAGTTGAAGCTGGCACAGAGCATGATGTTAGCAAGATGAGACCTCTCTGAGTCTATAGACACTATACATACATTCCGGTAGCCATGGTGGGAATGTTTGTTAAGAGAGACGTGAGAGACAAGAAAGTTGAGGGCATAGAAGGCAGATCCGGAGGAAAAGTCTTGGCGTTGGAGGCCCAGACAACGTGATGCGAATTTAGATGTTTCTATTGAGATTAGATCGAGACTTTTGATTGTAATTGAGACACTGGCTGTATTAAATTCCAAGCAATTGAAGCATACAGAGACTTTGAGCTCGGTGCATCAAGTTTATGTAGAGATACGGAGCTCACATACATCGGAGGCTTTGTTAGCCGCCCTTTTGAGGCCTCGCAGCTTTTGTCGCATCTTTGACGACCATCAACTTCACTTCCCAATCGCCCCTCCTTCAGCACCCATCGCATAACCACTAACACTCTCCAACTTCGGAGTTATTTTGCCGCTATTTCCTAGTTCTGAGAACGCAAACCCAAGCTTATGCGCGTTGCTTTTGCAACTGCATCCGTGTTCTCCATCCACCCATCAACGTCCTCCCTTCCCCCAACACCTAGTCTACCAACTCGAATCCGACACGTCCGTTGCGTACCGGATACCTCCTCATTAGAGCTAGAATGGCTCAGCCCATGGACAATGTCATCGACCAGGTCGCCCAGCTCAATGCCGCCCGCAGTCTCGTTCTCGGCGATGCCGCCTTCTACCCGCAGATCGTCAACGGTATCCTTCCCATCGTCGGAGCTAGTACACGGTTGGAATTGCGAAGATGGGGTGCAAACTTCCTGGCAGAAACCTTTGCTAGCCCAATGTTAGCTGTTGCGCAGAAGGAGCAGCTGGCACCGAATGTCCTACAGACCATCCGCGAGATTCTAGAGTTGCCGGAAACAGACACGACAGTCCTACAGAGCTTGGTACAGACTTCAGCTAGTTTGTATCCTCTTGTCTTCAGACATGTGTAGGTTATTCCCAATCTTTCGTGGCTGCGACGCACGAGCGCGTTACAAACGTAAACCTCGTGCAGAGCTAACAATACACAGAGTGAACCATCCACAGGATAGCAAGTCATGGGAGACAATGACTGCCATTAAGCAAGATATACTTAGGAGAATGGACTCGTTTCCATGCCCGGTTAAGCTTTGCTGTGCCAAGTTCATCCAGCGTGTGGTCCAGGTTCAGACGCCTGGATTGATCTCGGACCCCAGGGTATGCTTGGCGGGTTATACAGAGTTGGATGTGTCGATACTAACTTCAATCAGCGACCGGACCAGAACGAGACGTCTTTGGCCGTTGTTCCCCGGAATCATGCTCTTCTGTCAATACCGAACCTGGAAGCGGAATCCTCAGGTCTTCTCGATCGACTACTTGGCGTTTTCCAAGAAGAGACTAGGTATGAGGATCAATTTATTTTACGAGTTGATCAAGATGCTAACACAAACCAGTGATGCTCTTCTTGTGAATGCGACATTAAACTGCCTCGCCCCTCTCATCCGGACACGTCAGTCCGTAGCAAACAAGATAATTAACACAATTTTGGAGTTTTATCCCGCGAAACACGTCCACGCGCCGTTTACTCCAACAATTCGCGTCAGCGTCAAGTCCATGGAGCGCACAGCTCGAGCTCTGCTTATCAATATCTTGAAAAAGTATGTTGTCATCCTGGCTGCGAAAGATGTGGTTTGACCTGACTATCATAGGAACCCGAACCACCCCTTAGCGGGTCGGATGCAAATGTACATTGAACGTCTAATGCAATCACGACTTGAGGCCACTGACGACGCTTCGCGGAAACGTGGATTGCCAAATGAACCTACCGACGGACTTGACAACGCTAAGAGGGCGCGTCTCCATGCTTTGCCTCCCCCGATGCTCAAGATTCCTCCAATGGCACCGGGGCCTGCAAGCTTTGACCGACTCTTCACCTTGACCGAGGACACCGGACTTTCCTCCTTCGACGTAAAACAGCTGCCAATTGATCTAGTCCTCAAGATTGTTGTACCGCTCTTGTCGCAAGTACATGATTCAACACTTGCACAAGCTGTCGATGTAAGTACCTTCATAGGAGTGAAGCCTTATCCTTTGCTGACATGACCTAGGCTGTTCGTACTCGATATCAGACAATCACAAAGGATCAAAACTTGCAACGGCAGCTACAACAGAGAGCAGCAGCCCAAGATGAGGATGATGACTATGAGCCTGAATACCAGCCCATGGACGTAGCATCTGTTATTTCAGAAGAGGCCAGTGCTGTTGCGGCGGAGGTAGCAGATCTACAACCAGAATTGGTCTCATTGGGTCCCTTTGTCCTGCCACAACCACCTCCATTGAGCGAAGAAGAGGCTGGAGAAATCGGACGGAGTGCTGTTGCGCGTGTGTTCGGAATGTTGAACGCAGCCGAAACATCGCCTGCGCCTGCCAAGGGTCTAAGCCAACAAAAGCTCGGTTTCGCTAGATTAGCAGGGAGTACATTTGACCGGGACGCATGGTCTGTTCTTCTTGCTCGGCTGGCTACACGGGCACCTGCCGGTCTCGAAAATGACCAGCCAACCAAGGGAGACGCCGTACGTAGGCAAACAACTATTGCCGACTCGATCCGCGAAACGCTCTATCGGTTCATCTTGGAAGATTTCCGAGGGCGACTTAACATTGCCATTATCTGGCTCAATGAAGAGTGGTATAATGACCGAATTCAAATGAAGAGTGCTGCCAATCAACGGGATGACACCGAGGAAGACTCGGAGCCGACTGTAGCTCTTAACTACGATACCTGGGCCACCCGACTTTTGGATGGTTTCCTAGCTTATTTGGACTCTCGAGATATCAAGGTGCTGGTCCGCTTTCTCAGTGAAGTCCCTGAGATCACAATTCCTATCACTCAGCGGGTGGCCAGCTTGGCCAAAGATCCGGAACGTGTGAACCTTTGCGTTCAATCATTGATGTATGTCGTCTTCCACTTTTTCCACTATCATGAACTCCCTTGCTGACTTCCTTTTAGGTACCTGATTATGTTCCGACCTCCAGCACGAGAGATGTGCTTGAACACAGTAGAGGATGTCTACCAGACTTGTAAATATACCCCCTCCCTAATATCCACTGGTAATATATATATCTAACATGCGACGAACAGACGAGGAATCCCGACCTGCTGCGGGCAAGGTCCTCACCAAGTGGCGCCCGCAAAGCACAGTGCTGAAGCCAGCAAATGACGCACCAGAATCATCTGAGTCAAAGCCTACTACTTCAGATCCATAATCTTGTTATTTGTACCATTCGATGAAAAGAAGATGATGACATGAGATGAGTTCTTCATTTTTCTGCAATTTGAATGCCAGGTAGGATTCTTCGGGCATTTTTATCTATATTGCACATGCCTTCGGTTTGGTGCCTTTTAGTCCCCGTTTCATTATACCTCTTTTCTAGTGTATCCATCTTACGGGTTTAATCTTCGAATATGTGACATCTACGGTGCCTCCATCTCCCTCACTTTGTCTTTTGAGAGAATGAATATCCGTTTATAGCTTCACTGCATTTTATCAAGACCTTCAATCTCATGCGGTCATTGGTAGCTATGCTTCATCTTGCAAAGACCGTCTGCCACGAGTATACTATTTTCCAGTCAAATAGAATTTCGGATAAAATCGCTTTTATACATCTCAAGAAAAACCTTTGCTTTGCTAGACGGGAAGTTCTTCGTTATAAACGAGATAATATATACATTCTCTATTCTCATATACATTCTATTCTCAAACCAATTGCTGTTGCCTAAGCCTGTTACTTAAACATCTATCATCTATCTATGCTAGGATGCTCTCAAACATCCGCTGTTGCCAATGTCTCCGTCTTAGGAGGCCATTTCACCCTCTTCTCCGCACGAACATAGAGGTTATTGGGGCGAATCAACTGGAACATGGGGTCATACTCGATGGGGTCATTGCCCTCCCGAGTGAATTTGTACCGGAAGATGAGCTTGGGGAGGAAAACCTTAACTTCCTGCAAGGCAAAGTTGAACCCAATGCACATACGCGGGCCGGTGGCGAATGGAATATACGCAGCCTTATGTCTGTTCTTGACCGCCTCGGTGTCCCAGCGATCAGGGTTGAACTGGTAAGGATTATCCCACAGGTCGGGGTTGTTGTGGATGTGGTGCAGCGCCGGGAGAATAACCGAGTCCTTGGCGAGCTTGTACCCTCCCGGAAGCACTAGGTCGACCTTAGCGGTTCGTCCCGGTTGGAAACTCGGGTTGTGGCGACGCTGGGTCTCCTTGATGTACTTATCGAGGAAATCGAGACGTTCTGTAACGTCTGCTGTGATCTCGGTGTTTTCGTCGATGCCATTGTCAACGAGTTCTTGGAGTAGCCTGTCTTGCATTCCTGGGTACGTGACAAGGCCGTAAATGAGCCAGGAAAGAAGTGAACTGGTCGTCGTGAAGCCGGCTGCGGTTGCGACGACGAGAGCCCAAATCAAGCTTTCCTGGGGCAGCTTCTCACCTTTATTGTCGGTTGCACGGATGGCATAGTCTGAAGCGTTTATTAGCATCCATGGATATAAGCAGGGGATTTGGTGATATATGATAGCCACTTACCGACCATGTTAGACGCTGTCAGCGCTGCATCTTGAAGCGGTAGGTCTTCAACACCACCACGTGCAGCTTTCTGAATGGATTCCTCCACCATCTTTGCAATTCTGTCTTTGATCGTTCGGAGCCGCTGTGGATCACCGAATGGCAGTTTACCATACCAATCTCCCTTGGATGCGACTTTCTTATTGAGAGAAAGAAGTTCAGCAATCAAATGCACCATCTCATGCAAATTCGCGTCCGGAGAGTCAAAGTGGTGGAAATCCAAGCCAAGCGTGAGCTTGCCCACTGCTTGAGCTCCGAGCTTCAGCATATACTGATACACATTCCAGGCTTCACCCTGCTCATCAAATTTATCGAAAACATTGAAGGCATCCTCCACTGTCTTCTGCATTGTTGGTGCATAGTGACGAACGGCCTTCGGGCCGAGAGCTGGCGGTAAAAACTTGTGGGCGACTCTCCACTCGGGAGTATCCGTATCTCCAAGGAAAACACCAGCGCTAGGCTGCTTTAGAGGATAGAGTGGATGGGCCTCATTAATCTTCTTTGTGAAAAAATCAGATTCGGCAAAAACAATCGCGGAGATAGCGGGGTCATTGGTTTGATAAGTCGTGCGGCCCAGATTGACTGTCTTGATGACCGGTCCGTATTGTTCGAAGAGACGCTGGTGGTTTCCAAGATGGTCTGGGTAGACTTCGAAGAAATTTCCGACATAGGGGAGGCCCTTCGGGCCAGGAGGATCACGGACCGCTTGTCCATCGATGGTGATGGCGACGGGAGTGGTGGCTGAAGTGATCTCCGAGACTTCGCTCAGCTGGGAGTCTTGAGCTTCGAAACCGATGCCTATCACGCGTCAGTAATTACCACATGAAATCAGAATAAGTCCTTCAAACTTACCATTTGGCTCAACGATTGCGAAGTGAGCTGCAATCAAATCCTTGAGTTCACCCAAATCACTTTTCGGGTCGACATCGATGTTCTTGGCGGAGGAGACTGGCTCTCCAAGGAGATAGAATTGCTTTGCAGACATTGTGATTGAGTGCTTTTTGTCTAGCCAGTTCAATTCAGGACCCTAAACTTATATATCAACTGCACAATGGTCATCACGACAGATCCCGGCCGTTTCATAGATCGGGAATTTATTTCCTCGGGTTGTGGGTCTAAATGGGCTTTTCCGATTGGCTCTTTTCTATCTCGGATGTCTCCCGTGTACCTCGGAACGGCCTGGTTCCTCGGTGATCTGCAAAATACATTTAGCTCAATATAGTTTATCTATTTTCAACACTCCGTCTGTAAACCAGACATTACTCATCTTCGGAACGTATGGACAACATAGGTAACTAGGTAGCTGTCAACTGTGGATCTAAGCAGAATATATCCCTATTCAGTAGCTTTCGGAATCCAAACCAGCTACAGAAGGCACAGGATCCCACGGAACATTTCGATATGGGGATGTGATCCCGAAATGATATTATTCTCTCTTCCGACTCCACTCTAAGTACAGACCTCTCGAAAAGTCTAGAACGAAGAAATACAAGAGCAAGTGGCCACGTATGTGACACCTGGCTATACTTGGAAGGGATGGATGTTACATGTCCTAACACTCCGATGTCTTGCTTTGATGCTTTTTCTCAAGAGTGCTTTCTACATGTAATTGTTTAGAGATTTTCCTTATAATTTAAAGGATAATGGATAATATTACGGAGTAGACATGTCACACTCCGCAATATAAGTAAAAATCATAAACTGTACAAAGGAATTTCCTATGTATGACAAGGGACATGGTGTATGAAACAAATATATCGATGAAAGAAGAACTTGGCAGCTATGGCCTGTGGGATAATCGAATAAGGCTACAAGTAGTAATCTACACGCAATCGACTTATATACATAAGTTAAGATGAAGCATTTTCAAAAATATATCAAAATAGAAACATATGAAATTCACAAACAGCTCTAAGTTCCTCTAACTCTAATATACAACATCTATAAACATGAAACAAAAAGAGAGATTATGTAATCAAAACACTCTCCAGGGCTAGAAGCAGAAGATCTGATCGGTCATCTTTCCGACAGCACTAGGAGCTGTGAAGCCCGCAGCCACCAAACTCTTCTTTGAAGCATTCACCATACCTGGTGGTCCACAAAGCATGATCTTAGTATCAGATGCTGGACCAGGCAATCTAGCAGCCATGACTTCTGCGGTAACGTATCCCTTTCCGTATTTCCAATTCTCATCGGGATGGTCAAGCATGTACCAGAGCTTGAAGTTCTTGGGATATCCTCGCGCAAAGGCTTCCAATTCGCGACGAAGAAGAATATCCTCTTCAGTCCGGTTGGCGTAGATCAGACTGATTTCAGTCGTATCACGATCATCTTCACAAATCGCCCGGATAAGTTGGTACATCGGGGTGATTCCGGTTCCACCGGCAATCATACCAATTTTCTTGCAGAGACCATTGTGATATTTCATCCCGCCTTTCGGGCCCCGGAATTCCACTTTGTCGCCGACTTCTAGGGACTCAAGGTATTGGCCTGTGAGAATGCCATCTGGGTAGCATTTGATGACTAGCTCCAGTTTTCCAAAATCCAGGTTATTGGATGTCGGAGTATAAGATCTTGAGACAGCAGCTCCGTTGACCATGGCTTTGATAGCAACATGCTGGCCGATTGGGAGTCCAATCACATCCCGTGGATTGGCTAATTGAAATACGAAGCGGTACACATTGGGCGAAAGTTGATCTTTTTGGACGAGCGGGAGTTTTTTGTAGACTTTGGGCTCTAGGAAACCCTTCACAAGATGCGGGTCTTGCTTCTTGATTGTCGATGCTTTCATGTGGGGAGGGTACTTGGTGAAACCAGAGTCGACTTTGGTGAACTTTGAGAGTTGGTTTCCAATAACACCGCCAATAGTCGCGCAAGCCAGAGTGGCAGCAGTGACTCCACTGAAGAATCCACCACGCAGAATGTTTCCGAATGGAACACGCACCTCGGAGATCCGTAGGGACGCCGGGGAGTGCTTAGTGCAGAAGTCGGCCAGGGTTCGGTGATTCTTCGAACAGACGTAAACCAGTGCAGTTGCAGCAAATGTGGCAGTAATTGTGCTCGCTGTTTTGAGGGTGATTGATGACTTCTTAGGTGTCTCCGCAACGGAAGAGATTGGCTTGATTACACGAACGACCTTTTTGGGTTGGACAAATTCGTGCGCATCCTTGATGTTGCCGACCAAGTATGTGTCCAGGATCTCAGATGCATCCTCTGAGTGACCGACATCCTCAAACGCAACTGTTGCATCTGTACCGGCGACATCTACCAACAAATCCGCACCACCGGGATGGTCTCGCACATAGTCTGTGATGTCGTACACTGGGTGTGTTAGAAGATTGAACAAGGTAGCTCAAGGAGGGAAAGATTACCTTTTCCATGAATGATGACAAAAAGATCGTTTTTTGTGTTGTGAGCTGCTACTTCGCTCGCCTCGAATTGTTTCAAAGATGCCATTTTGTATGGAAGGATGCAATATCAATGACGGTTGTGCTTTCAGCGCGACAATGAACTAGAGGCAAATGCTTTATATTGTAGTCTTAGAGGAACCATACGCGCCATTTATTCTTTTCTATCCTATCAAAAATTTCTAATTGGCATTAGCCCCCAGGGGATTCTATATGGGTTCCGAGGTAAACTACCTCGGGATCGTCCTCCATAAGATAGTGGATCCCAAGAAAGAGATCGACTTGGTCCACACACACTAAGCATTGCCTTAATGACGCCTTGGGATTATGTAGATCCACCTGCACAAATCCTCTTTTGATGAAGAATTTCCTTGTTCATCATATTTCCACGGCCCGGGAGTTTCCGAGGATCAAATTAGGATACCGATCCTCGGCCTGCTGGCGGGGCCGATGTCCCCTTGATCTTCCTTTCGGTCGGGATAGTGGATACTGGTATTCCGAGGGTGGTACAAGATGGCAAAGTGACAATGGCGGCAACGATAGGGCATATAAGGAACCCATCCGCCACTGGGATTGAAGATACCAACTAGGCTACTTTACACTTTACACTTTACCCTGTATACTTGGCACTTGACATTTTACATTTTACACTTTACACTTGATGAACACTTTGCGTCGCAGCATGGCATCACACTGGGTACCTCCGAGCAACTACCGCAACCGCCCAGTCACCATTCTGGGTGCCGGCGTACTCGGCCGCCGAATTGGTCTGTATCCCATCCCACGTGTTATTCAATGGATAGAAGTGTTGACAAACTTCGGCTATTAGGTTGTATCTGGGCTTCAGCCGGCTACGATGTTCGAATTCGAGACCCTAGCTCGCAGCAGCGAGCAGACGGAATTGCATACATTCAGGAAAATGTCCAATCCTACGCCGCCAAAACAAAGCAAATCCCCGGATCCTTTGAAGCCTTCGAAGACATGAAGAAAGCCGTTGAAAACGCCTGGCTTGTGATTGAAGCTGTTCCCGAGAAGCTCGAACTTAAGATCTCCACTTTCGCTGAATTGGAAGCCCTCGCCCCGGAGGACTGCATCCTGGCTTCCAACTCATCATCATACAAATCTTCTGAGATAATCAGTCAGATCTCGGATGCCACCAAGAAGCGTGTTCTGAACATGCATTATTATATGCCGCCGTCGTGTATGATCGTGGAGCTCATGACCGATGGACACACTGCCCCAGAGATCTTCCCTTTCATGGTCGAGCGCTCCAAGGAAGCCGCCACAAGTCCATATGTTGCGCGAAAGGAGTCCACTGGGTTCATCTTCAATCGGCTGTGGGCTGCTGTGAAGCGGGAGGTCATGACTATCTTGGCTGAGGGTGTTTCGGTTCCTGAGGAAATTGATTCGATGTGGAATGAACTGTTCATCAAGGGAAAGAGTCTTCCCTGCCGGACAATGGACAGTAAGTCCTTCACTCGTCTCCCTAGTTTTGTGGGAAGTTGTTCGCTAACATAAATTGCCTAGATGTTGGCCTAGACACCGTCGCCTTCATTGAGAGTCATTATGTGCAGGAACGTGGGCTCTCCCCCGAGAAGACGGTCGACTTTTTGAAGGCCAATTACCTGGACCAGGGCAAACTGGGAACAAAGTGCTCGAAGGGTGGCCTCTATCCTGCTAGCGAGTCGACTTCTACTCCCAAGACTCCCGACCTTTTAGTGTTGGACATTGGACTGTCAGCCATCAAACCCGGCGTGACATCAGGAGAGATCGTTCGCTTTGCCGCAGACGGCACGCTAAAGAACGTGGTTCTCAAGGACCAATCCTTGCCTGATGGGCTCATCATAGACCCGATCTCTGGCCGCATGTTCTGGACTTGCATGGGCGCTCCAGGGAAGTTCGACGGAGGCGTTTACTCCGCCAACGTGGATGGAACCGACATCAAAACACTCATTGCCCCAGGAACTATCAATACACCGAAACAAATAGTCCTCCATTCCGAGGCGAAAACTGTCTATTTCTGTGACCGTGAAGGCTGCCGCGTCTACCGTTGTGCCTACGACGGCTCCAATCTCGAGGTTTTGATTGATAACACCGGCGGTGAAGCGAATCCACAGCACCGCATCTCCGACTGGTGCGTCGGAATTGCTGTGGTGCCAAATTATGGTAAATTCTATTGGACCCAGAAAGGACCCTCGAAGGCTGGCAAAGGCCGGATCTTCTGCGCCAATATCACAACCCCTGAGGGCGAGTCACCAGATGCTCGAAGTGATGTCCAGGTTGTTCTGGCTGATCTCCCCGAGCCGATTGATCTCGAGGTGCACGAAGCCACTCACACACTTTACTGGACCGATCGTGGTGAACTCCCGATCGGCAACTCACTGAACAAAGCTCAGTTGAGTGAACAAGGTCTCCTTCTGCCAGCTAGCTCCGCTCTGGGATATGATGTCATCACCAGAAATCTGAACGAGGCAATCGGTTTGATCTTAGATCCCGCCAATTCTCAGATCTATCTTACTGACCTGGGCGGATCTATCTACCGGACCGATATGGATGGCAACAACAAGGAGAAGATTTACTCCAATGATGACCGGGCCTTTACTGGAATTGCCCTTGTGTAAATCTGATCTGATGTACTATAGAAGTTTATAGAGGGTATATAGAGGGTATATAGATACTTTTTGCGTTTAACTTGAATATATGTTGTTTGAAGATTGTTGAGACCGTTGTTTGCTTCAGGTACAGAGTAGATAGGACCTGACTTCCCCACCTGGACTTCTCTCTCTCTTAGCTAGCGAATGCAACAGGTTTTCTTTCCCTCATTAAAGATTATTTTGAAAAATTTGCCTAGGTCACGATTCCTCAGACATCCTATATAACTAACAAGTCTCTGAAGATATATCTCTAACCTTTCAAATTCGATCTCCTCTTCCTTTCTTCTCTGTTCTTCCGTCTTTTTCGTAGTAAATACAGCCCCCTTTCCCTCTCTCAGGGTCATTCATAATTCTTGGGAAAAACTTACCTCGGAACTCCCGGGAAGAAACGGATCTCGGCTACCTCGGATCATTTTTAATTGACAACAATTCGGCGACCCGACCTTCTCGGCAGACCGATAGATCAATACTTGGCTTCGCCATGTCTACACGCCGCTATAGATCGGCCGCTGCTTGTCAGAATTGCCGTCAGCGCAAAGTCCGCTGTAGCGTGACAGTTACCGGTATTCCGTGTATAGGTTGTACGCAAGATGGCAGAGAATGTAGTGTTCCGCCGACGAAGACCCAAACGTGAGGTTTTCTTTCGATTTGGTAGAAGCTTATCGCTGACAGATATAGCATACGCGAAAGGCACACGCGTCGAACCGCGTCTGTCATTAACAGTCCACCTAGCGCAGGTTCTAATGGATTGATATCACAGTCTGCACTCCCACTTGATGCATTCCCAACTGCACCGCCTGCGCATAAAGACCGCCCTGAGCTGGTTGGGATAAGGAGTGTCTCTAATCCCCCGGATTATTCTCGGAGTCATGATGAAGAACAGACTGGCGTTGAAATTGCAACCAAAGTCCTCCGGAAAAACAACTACAAACCTGGCCAAGCGCCATTCTACACAGGTATGTAGTCACCGCGCGAGTGTTTTCACCCAAAACTAACCTGGAACTGAAGGTGATGTGCCTGGGTTTGGCGCTATCTTCGATGCATGCTCACCTTCACAGCAACCTGCACCAAGGCATATCCTGCTCACTTCCAAAACATCCGTTTCGCTATCTTCCGAGGATAAAGCATACCTGCAGTACAAAGGATGCTTCAATATGCCCCGAAAAGAGATCTGCGATCAACTTCTCCGGGCATACTTTCATCATGTGCATCCCATTATGCCGGTGATCGACGCTACGACACTTCCACACCTTTATCCCAGTGGAGATGGTCAACCATACAATCTGATATTACTATGGAGCATTTTCTATGCTGCAGCGAATGTAAAGCCTACCTCCTCCGAGTAGAACTGCAGTCAAGCTAATGCGGGATATAGCATCTTCCGGCCGATACTTGGAAATCAGAGGGCTTTTCGTCTAGGAAAGAGATGAAGGAATCTATGTACGCTCGTGCAAAGGTAAGCGCAAGCTAGCAAGCTAGCATTCTTTCTATTTCCGAGTTATGCTTGCTAATGGCCTGCTCTTAGTGCCTGCATCATAATGGGGGTGAAACAGACAACACAGTTCTCCTTCAATCAGCACTTCTCATGGGATTTTACCACTCCGAGGCTGATACCTACACCCAACCGTGGTTTTGGCTTGGTATTGCCATCAGCCTTTGCCAAACAATGGGTCTGCATCGTTTCTCTGCCTCGGTCTGCGCCAATTCCCCTATCACTGGGCAACAACAGCGTCTTTGGCGCCGTCTTTGGTGGATCTGCTTCTTTCGAGACCGTTGGCTAAGTCTCACAATGGGTCGTCCATTGAGGATCAACATGAATGACTGTAACACTGTACCGCCATCTGCGGATGATATGTTGGGTGATCTTGTCGGCTTACCCGAATCCATATCAGCAATATATATCCCGAAGGACCTACCGCAGCTAGCAGACTATTGGGTGACAATGATTCAACTCACTCAGCTTCTAGGGGAGACTCTCACCTTATGCTACCAACCCTTTGGGGCCAGTTCGTCTTTCCAACAGGTTGAAGCCCTTGAGCAAAAGATTTTGCGCTTTCGAATTCCCGAAGATCAGGAGACAAGACAAAGTCCACTTGCAACCTTTTCCTTGTATCACTTGCAGCTCCATTACCAGTGAGTGCTGACGCCATATCCATCCTTAACTGCTTCTGACGGTCAAAAGAGCATTCATAATCACCTTTTACCGTCCTTTCATAACAAAAGACCCAGAAGGGTTGCCCGTATCTCGCCAAGACACATGGCAAACCCACGTCCGCAATCAGATCAACATGGCTGCGCTACAGACCAATGCCATCCTTGATAGTCTGGCACAGGAGAAGCTGTTGGGATTCTCAGGCTCTATGACGTGAGTGTGCAACTCTTCTGCAAATGATATCTTATCTGACAATCACTCCAGGGCACCGCTGTTGGTCCCAGCAATGCACGTCCACCTCCTCAACTGCAAATCTCCGGATCCCGTTTCCCGACGTCTGGGTCTCAACAAAATTGAGGTCTGCATGATAGTCTTGGAACAGATGCAACACACTCACCCCTGCTCTTCGGTCTTCCGAGGTATTTTTCTCGAAGCCATCCGTTACATTTTCCCCAACTATACTCCTCAAACAGCGCTCCCTCAGTTGGCATCCGAATCTTCTCCACCGCAAGAAGTACCGACCGAGGATCCTATAGCAGGAATAACAATCGGCGAAGATGCCATTGATGCGTTGATGGATGAGGTGTCGATTTTCAATTTCTGGGAATCCCTCAACAATATGCAAACCTAGGCTTCTGGAAATATATAGAGAGAGAGAGAGGGTGTTCATACCTCCACCCGCCCCATAGATCACACCACTTCCCTTCGGTCAGACCACCCGGATCAGACCACTCCTTGCCTGAAATATTAGGTGCACCTTCCTAACTGGGAACCGCTCCTGCCCGGTTCTTCCCACCGCTACCCCGAAATTAGCAGAACAGTAGCTACCTGCATGTTGTATGTGAAAACCTGACTAAAATAAGTCACTCCTGTCACATCTTATTAGCTACGTTATCAACTGCCTGCTTCATCGTTGAGAGTTTAAAACCCATAGGACCCAGAAGGATGTATACTTTTTATGATAGATCTTTTAGCTACGCGAAAACCAGTCTACCATGATGGAATAATTTTTACTCTCTCTCGGCTCTAACCTTGAATGCATCCATGAGAGCTTTGAGGGTCAAGCGAATCAGTGAAGTGAATCTTAGCATCAGATCAGCTCCACTTAGGATAGATAGTGGCGCCGCCATGGTTCCAACGTTCAGCCCCGCTATATATAGATCAGTTCGGTCGCAACATAGACTACAAGGAAGTTTATGATATAAAATAAGAACGTCGTATGTACATCATTAGACAGAGCAGATGACACTAGAGGAACGAAGAAAATAAAAAGAAACTCCAATGCAAAAGATATCTCTCTACCGCACGCATAAAAAAACAAATTCAGACCTTATACACCCCATCGGATGATAAAATAATAACAGCTTTAACCAGATTCCGTTCCATTCAAATAAAGTCTTCGAATCCAAAGTGAGAAGTAATAACAACAGGAGTACCCCACATGTTAACGCTGTTGAAACTCAAGGACAAGACCCCAAATTGGTATTCCATTCATGCAACACGCGTGAAAATGACAGTCAAGATACATTTGCTGCTGGAGCAAGAGCTGGAGAGTAGAAAAACACAGGATTTATCACAGGAGAAGAAAAGTGCACAAGATGCATGAAAGAGGAGGGTAGGAGACTCTCGGGGTATTAAGAAGGGTGCTGACGGGTCATTTCAATAAGAATCGCCAAAGGTAATCGATTATCGATTAGGCATATGGTTTGAACCAGGACCTGTGGATATTCCGGATTGATGGGCGCGGTAATGTACATCAACAGGTTTAGACGGGAGGGATGGCGAGGTCTCCCGTTGGGGAGCGGCTGAAGGTTGAAACAAGCCTTGGCGTGCAGAAGGCGGAGAGAATATGTGATTGTGGGATGGTGCGTCGGTTATGGGAGAACGGTGTTCGAGGACATGGTTGATATGCGGCTGTGATTTACGCACATCCAAGGGAGATGAACTTAATGACCGGAACCCAGATTTGCGATGATCGGTGTCATAATCTGGGTTGCGGAAGGGCCCTTGCGTTTGACGGCTTGGATCTTGCTCCATGCCGTAAGGGGTGTTGTTGGCTGATGAGTTGGCAGCAGAGGCGTTCTCGGGAATGGTGGATGCAGATCCATTAGGCGCATTGATGTCTACTACCCGCTTTTGAGCGGCTGGCGTTGCATATGATGATTGTTGCGGATGCTCAAATGTGCGGCCTTGTAGTCGAGGTGGCTGCGAGTGCTGTTGCTGTTGTTGCTGATGGATGGGATGTTGTGGGTTTGCCCAGGGTGTTTGTTCTAGAAATGCTTCTTCTGCGGCCGAACGGAAAGCATTGGAAGACATGGTAGACATGGTGGTCCGTGACGGTATTGCGGATGAGTGCCGTGGTGCCGAAGCGCGAGACTCGATATGAATCTATGACCTGCTCTCAGCAACTGACCAAATAGTGAATGTGAATATGACTTACCCCCATCTTTTCAAGATCGTCATCAAGTTCGGTCGGCCGTGCACCCATCAAGGACGGGGCAGCCGGGAAGCCAACATACTTGGCCACACCGGCCATAATTGAAACCTCCTGGTTGTATGCGGTCTGATGTGCGATTTGCTGCGAGCGGCGGGTGGGGAATGGGATGATATGGTGCGGGCTTAGCTCGTCTGTCTTGAAGCGATCATGCTGAATGGCATAGAATTGTTTGCTGACTGCACTTGAATGCCGCTCGCGCGCATCCCGAATCCGCTGGTAGTATGTGCTATGAGCCTGTGTTCGCTCGGCCAGACCCTTGTGCATGAGTGACTTCATGCGGTGTCGGAACAAGTTTTGTTCGTATTTGATCTTGGCGTCTCGGTAACGTTGCACACATTCGATCTGCCGCAAGTACTCAGGATGCGTCGGGTTCGGACCGGTAAGCATCTCCAACTCGCGGTTGAGTTTGGATATCCGTTCGTCATAAATCCTATGATTATTAGCGTCGAAGCATGTGAGAGATGGGGGAAATTCCTTACTTGTCACGTAACGTTGCAAATTCTTTCTCCAGTGTCACAAGGGAATCCATAGCAGACATCTTTTTCACCGCTGAACTAGGCATCAGTATATGTTGCACCCAAAAGGTCCATAAAGGGATAAACTTACACTCTTCGGCTCGAAGAATCGCCTCTGCGTCATCGGGCTCATCTACTCGTTCCGTAGGCTCCTCGTCTTCTCCACGAATCTCATCAGCAACATACTCTATTGTGGCCTCGACCCCGGCTTCTGCTTCCTCATCGCCGTCTTGGGCCCTTCTTCCTTTCCGCTTACCCTTTTTGCCCTTTTTGCCTTTGGAAGGCGGGGCTGGGAGATCCGACTCAGGAACTTCGTCAACCAGTATGCCATTTTCATTGATATCCATGGGATTACCGAGCGGCTCAGGCGATAGGGGGGTATCATCGTCTATCGGGTCACTCAAGTCACTCTTGATTGAGCTCCGGCGTTTCTTCGTGGGCTCTTCGTCGCCTAATTCGGCGACAGTTTCGTGTTTTCGTTTTTTGAGATTATCTGGCAGCTCCGAATCACCTAGGTCGCCTAGGTCTGGGATATCCTCGGTCAAGCCATTGTTTTTTGAAGACCGTCGCGGTTTGCTAGGAGAATCGTCTGCCACAAGTGCTTCATCGTCAACATCATCGAGTGTTGTAGATTGATGAAGCTTGCTAGGGCTTGGTCCGGCACTAGCGGCGCTCAACACAATGTCATGTTTCCGGATATTGTGTGGAGAATCTTCGATGCGCTCGGTTTCGGCCTCCGAATCATTCTCCATTGGCTTGTCTGATTTGATTGGATCCTCGAAGTCGGACGGCTCGTTGTCCGAGACATCGTCGATCTCACTCAAGCTACTTGAGCGTCCATCATCGTCCATGAGCGGGTCATCCAGAAAAGGGTTCCGCTCGCCATTAGGGAATGTAGACTCTGCCCCCGTTGTGGGACCAACGGAGGCCTGTTCCCTGCTCTCGGCTACCTCCATGGAGATTTATGCAGCTAAGAGAGCTGGCGCAACACGATGTGAATGAAGACAAGAAGGTTTGAAGGGGAGAGTATAAGGTGGTTGCTTGCTTGCAGCGAGGTTGAGATTAGCCGCGGGCGTGAGAGGAAGGAAGGTCACCGATCCACCAGATGGTGTTTCGAGCGAGAATCTGGAGAAACCACAGATAGAATTAGCTCAATTGCCATATCAACTCGGCAAAACCAGTTAAAAACGGAGTTGGTGGGCAAAAAGTGGTTGGTGGGTGCGAGATAGGTCAGCGCCCCCAGAAGGCGGTGGTGCGGAGATTGATCATCGAACGCCCCCAGATTCGGTAACAGTCGCTCAGCACAGGGACTAGAGGCCGCGCAAAGCAAGTGTACCGATCACAGTAGTTCCAGAAGATATAGAGACGCTCCCTCCCCACGAAAATGACCAGATGAGGTCTGTGGTTGATGTAGAACCTCAAGCGACGTACCGTTTCAACAATGCGCCGGGAGCGACGCCGGTAATGAGCACAGCTGCTCGCGACCGAGCACGATTCCCAAAACCACCGCGTTCCTGAGACGCGATTTATGACGGAATTCCAGGTCCACGCGTATCACCACTATTGTAACCGGTAAAAGCTTTCGGTCCGACGAATCCTACGCAGACCGACTCTGGAGGACGAGGGGAGGATGGCTAGGAAGCGGACAAGACGAGGGTACCGAGTCGCAGAGGAGTTGGCGTCATGAAGAAGTGGCTAGGGACGGTGATCAAGATCAAACCAATGATCAGGGATGGAAAATCACAGCGGAAAGAGGGGGTTTCAACAGACAAAAGCAGCAGATCGCTAGATGGGGTGCAGCAACAGAAGCGAGTGACCGCCGATTCTGCCGCGTTGCGTTCCGGCGAGGGTAAAGCTCACCGCCCGAAGAAAAAAAAGCAAGTCACGTGATATAGTATCTGACGTAGTTGGAAAGAGACAGGCCATCCTGTAGAATAATATGTTGATACTGCATTTTTATGCCAGAAGGAAGGAATGAAGAACAAAGAATCTGTTCATCAGTCTCACTAGGTTAGATGGTTTATAAGTGCATCATACATCCACAGCTTACCGCCCGGTCCCAAATAAGAACCTCCCAGCCTGGAATACATAGACAGAGTGAAGTACTTGCAGACAAGAAGAATAAGTAATACAGAAAGCATGCATATTTAATATTAATGCATATCTAGCATATACAACGTCTGATATACCGCATACTGTAGGAACATCTACTCTTGAGTGTATTCCTGGTCACGTGATAATTATCTTTCCATGCCAAGACCCGATAAGCAGAAACTAAAGGGAAAAAAAAAGTCGGAGCTATCATCGGCGCAAGTGTCAATCGCAACAAACCCACCTCCTGGCCACTCGATTTTAGACTATAATACAGACCAAGAACATCAAAATGGGCAAAAAGTCAAAGTCTTCGTCCAAGACGGAGGAGAAGACCAGCACGTCCGCTGCCACTCTTCCCTTCGGTGGTGCATCTCTGGACCCAACACTGTCCTCGCTTTTTGCGCAGAGTGTATGTCTGTCTTGAGGCGCAATTAACAGACTTTGAACTGACCATATATAGGCTGGTCCTGTGCAAGCACCCGTGATCAAGTACGTCAAGCCCACACAACAGGCAAAAAATGACGAAGATGATGTTGCCGAAGAAGATGAATCATCTGCATCAGGCGATGAATTAATGGAAGATGCTGGCGAAGAAAGCGATTCTGATGCTGCAGAGGAGGAAGAACAACCTACCGATACACAGAACCGGAAGCGCAAGCGTGGCAGTGCCGGGGAGGATGTCGAGGAGACATATATGCGTCGCATTGCAAAGGAGGAGGAGAAGGATGAGGAAAAGAGGAAGTCCGAGCAAGCAAAGCGTCAAAAGCAGACCGAACAAGAAGGTAGCGAAGACGAGGAAGGCGAGGAAGGCGAGGACTCAGACAAAGCATCGGTATCAGAAGACACCGGCGACGAGGAGGCCGCTCCTGCACCTGTGCACGAGAGCTTGACTGGTTCCGCCAAAACCGATGAAGTTGAGAAGTCCAACCGCACTGTCTTCCTGGGCAACGTCTCCACCGAGGCTATCAGATCTAAGACTGCCAAGAAAACACTTCTCAGGCACCTGGCCTCTTTCTGTTCGACGCTTCCTGAATCCACCGGCCCGCACAAGATCGAATCGATCCGCTTCCGCTCTGTTGCATTCGCCAGTGGCGGTGGCATTCCCAAGCGTGCTTCCTTTGCGAAGCGCGAGATCCTCGATGAGACCACACCCAGCACCAACGCATACGCTGTCTACACCACTCTCCACGCCGCACGCAAGGCTCCCGCCGCCTTGAACGGCACCATGGTCTTAGACCGTCATTTGCGAGTTGATAGCCTTGCTCACCCCTCAGAAATTGACCACAAGCGCTGTGTCTTTGTCGGCAACCTGTCTTTCATTGACAGTGAGACTCCCGAAGAGGACGAGAAGACCGGCAAGAAGAAGAAGGTTCGCGCTCCCGCCGATATTGAGGAGGGTCTCTGGCGAATTTTCAACGCCCACACTGGAGGCAAGGACAAGAAGGCCATCAAGAAGAACGTTGAGTTCGTGCGCGTGATCCGTGACAGCACCACTCGTGTTGGCAAAGGATTTGCCTATGTCCAATTCTACGATGGCAATGGTGTTGAGGAATCGCTTCCGCTCAATGGAAAGAACTTCCCGCCTATGCTCCCCCGCAAGCTGCGTGTCACTCGAGCCCGTAAAATCGCTAAGAAGCGCGAACCCTCCGGCCCCGAGACCAAGAAGTCTCGTGTAGATGAGGCCCAGAAAACGATGCAAGGACGTGCCAACAGGCTATTGGGCCGAGCGGGTGCGGCCAAGGTGAAGGCCGATGCTAACAGTACCATTGCCGGCAACTCTTTCGTGTTCGAGGGTCACCGCGCTACTGAGGGATCATCATCCATCAAAATGAAGCAGAAAAGCCGTGGATCGAAGGCCAAGCGAGAAAGCAGAAGCAGCAAGCGGGCTGCCGCATACAAAGCTGCGGGTGGCAGAAGGGGCTGAAAATAAAAGAAGCCTTATTGTATCTCTCATGGGCGTTAGGAAGGGCATTTGAATATATTGTAGGAAGAATACAAAATTCGAGACCAGATATGCATAATTTGAGCATCTACGTAGTAATTCCAGCCCTGGAGATAGTTAATCTATGCAAAGTCAGCTAGTTATAACTGGGGACACTGACGTCATTGTCAACAATCAACGTTCACGGGTAACTCCGTACAAGTTGTCGACCATCAACTGTTTCCTTTCCACCATCGGATCCATATTACTCACGTTGAACATCACTTTACTTTGAATCCCGTTCAACGAAATCAATAGCTTGAACCGCCCAAAGTGAAGTACTTTAGTTCCAGCCTTATTTATCCATGTGGCATGCGGGGTGAGGTGCACATACGAGTCGACAAAAACAAAGCCGAAGCTAGCTCCCGAGGCTAGGTAATACAGAGCGAAAAGAAATTTCATACGTATCGACGTCTTTCTATTCAAGTCAGCACCTAGATTTCTCATTACTACCATGTTACCTTTCGGAGTTCGCCCAGGAAACTGCCGCCGGTCCCATGGCCAACCCTCTGCAGACACGAACGGCACAGATTCTGATGGGGTGGATACGTGTATCTCGGACCCAGGACCTCAAGTTTTCAATCCCAGCATAGCGGATGTACTCAAAGTTCGGAATTTGTTGCAACGGAAGGTCCCACGCGGTCTGCCCGAAGAACTCATTGATATGATCATTGATGCTGCGGAATATTGGCCTTCAATAGAGCAGAAACTGGAAGAACATCGGATCATTCAAAAAGATTGTGATCAAGTTTTGCTGAAGACTGTTCCCCTCTGCTACGATCGGAAGGTATGCCTATCTGCTCCCAAGTTAGCTGACGGCCGTGTTGATATCTTTCTAGAGCTTGGAGCAAGACTCGAGTCCTACCCCGTTACCTCATCGCGGTGCACACCCTTGCCGCAAGATAGTCTTCAATATCTCATCTCATGACCAAGGCAGTGGGAAATGCCGTGACAACATGTATGAATTTTCATGGACCTGGTTTGACATCGAAGTTATTCACGGAGCGCATACGAAGAACATGTATGCCAATGGAATTGAGCAAGAGATCCTCGACAATGAGCGTGGACAAGTCCGAAAACACTATACCGAGGAAGATGCGCTGCTGTTGCCGCGCCACAACAAATTGCAATCCAATGGTGCCCACGTGAGCGAGATGCAGCACAATATAATTGTTTGGGACTATCGAGATGATATCCAGGCAGACTCGCCCGAGGCACTTGAGATTGAGAAGACTCTGGGTCGTGGCCGGCTTACTCTTGATGGACATGAAGTGCGTGAGTTAGAGATTGGCGATTCGATTGCCCTTTGGGCCCGGGCAAGGTTTCCCGGCTGGTCAAACCACGTTCATCAAGCGAGCGTGAGGATTTACTGGGCTGTATGAGGGGATGTATATATGGATGTTCTCTGATATCATGTTTTCGTTTTGTGGAGTATTAAATGCCCTTTCAGAAGAATATCATAACTAGTCAGTTACCACGTCTTAGCTGACAACTAGGATTGTACTCCGTATGGAGTACAACATACAACATACATCGTAACTAACCAACTAAGTTGTATACAACAAACTGACTAACCGATGATTGGCTTTGAAGCCCAAAACTGATCACGCCATTTTGCCAAGGCTGCCTAATCGACGCCAAAACAGCACAATATAAAGCCGACGGCCTCCTTAGCTGCTTGACTTTTTTTTTATTTCTCCCTGCTGCTAGTCGTCATGCAGTCCAACCGCTGATCTGCCCTGAAAATGGTGTTTATCCCATGAGCACCTCTTCCTATACTAACTGAGCACGACCCTGCCGACAGGCCGACGGCAAGCGCACAGTGGGGCCCAGTCGCCGACTCAAACCCTCCCGAACGAGTCGCCGAATGAGTCGCCGTCTGAAAGTCTCGGGAGATAACCGCCAACTGTGAAGCCAATTTTAGGTCAAAGATCCCCACCTGCGGAACAGGATGGATTGGTCAACACATGTCGATAGAACGGCGACCCATCTCGTCCGAGAGCTACACATGTGTCATGGGATATTGGGGGAATAATGAATGTGCCCGCTCTATAGCGATGTCCTGACTGGACGCTGGTTGCGTTATGTTGCGTTATCTGTGTGAATACCACGCGTCCTGTCGCCGATGATGCGTCCTCTGGAGTCTGGGTCTTAGCCGACTGTTCCCCCTTTTTAAACGTCGCGCACCCCCGTCGCGATAGCTACTACGGTTCTGTTTATTTAGTAGCTCAAATCACCGTTATTTTTACAACTCTTTTTTCATTCCACACCTTTGAATCGCTTCAGTCCTTTATTCGCTTTCCCACTCTTACGCCTATCTTCTAAATCACCACCCAACATGGCTACTCGGAAATGCGCAGCGGTCGTCGTAGGAGCCGGTCCGGCTGGAGTCGCTGTCATGGGAAACTTGTTGGAGCGCCAGCTGGGCTCAATCACATGGGTCGATCCTTCTTTCGAGGCCGGGCGAGTCCATAGCAAGTATCGCGAAGTTCCTAGGTTTGTACACTTCTCGACATGAACGCAGACCGGAAGATACTAACAAGGTACCCTTCAGTAACACCAAGGTTGCATTATTCCAAACGTTCGCAACAGCCACACAGCCTTTCCAGAAAATTATCGATAATACCAAATCACCTAATGCGTTCACCAAATTGGCCAAGCTTGACCAAGAAGCTACCTGCCCCCTTGGTTTTGCAGCGGATATGGTTCGTGGCCTGACGGACGGTCTATTGAAGATGGAGCAAGTATATGCATGCCACGGCTTTGTCAAATCAGCCAACCTGAACGAAACGGTTAGTGGTTATTGCACATCTCCTTGTCTATCATGAAGGCTAATAATAACATCACAATCCAGACCTCCAACTGGACCATTTGCATCAAACAGAATTCATCGGAAGATCTTGAGACTATCGAGACTACCCGCCTGATCCTCTGCACAGGCTCCTTCCCCACAACAGCCCCCATCCCAGTCCAGGGACTGGACATCCAGCGCTTGGACCTCGACCTAGTGCTCAAGCCCACCGAGCTAGCAAAAGCCCTCCCCTCAGACAGACCCACCTCCGTCGCCATCGTCGGCGCATCCCACAGCGCCATCCTCGCCATCCTGAACCTCACCAAGCTCGCCCAAACCTCCCACCCTCTCCTGCGTATTAGTTGGTTCACCCGTCACCCCCTCCGCTACGCAGAGTACAAGGACGGCTGGATACTGCGCGACAACACCGGTCTCAAGGGCCTGGCTGCGGACTTTGCTCGCTCCGAGCTGGAAGACGATAAGCTTCCCACTTCGCACGCAGGCCAGGTTCTGGCCAAGATCGACTGCGCTGGTGGTCAGGAGATCGAGTCTGCTCAGTACCATAAGTACTTGCCCGCGTGTGACTATCTCGTCCAGGCCGTCGGGTATACCCGTACCTCACTCCCGGCTCTCTCGAAGAATGGTGCGCCCCTTTTCATGAGCTTTGATCATGATAAAGGCACGTTCCACGAGCCTGGTCGTTCATCTGACATCCCCGGGCTGTTTGGTGCCGGTATTGCGTTCCCCGAGCGGGTTGTCGACCCGCAGGGTAACCAGGAGTACGCGGTTGGGTTCTGGAAGTTCATGAAGTTCCTGAAGCGGGTTCTCCCATCGTGGGTTGCGTGATGGTCTCGTCTCTTGCACCAAATGCGTAGATTGTTTTGCTTTTTCGTCCTAAGGGACACTGACTACGGTGCCTGTGCTTTTTCTAGCGGGAGATAGTTCCAACTTTTGATACCGATATCTACGGAGTAACTGGCGTTGTTCTGGGCGGTTTCGGGGCATTTTCATATCATTTCATAGCTGCTCTGCAGGCTACAATTGAGAAGCATTGTTTTTTTCCATTTCAGATTAATCGCATTCGCAAAATATCCTAGCCATTCATCACCACCCGGCACCACCGTAATTCGACCATTTCCGAAGATATCAGCAACACTAGGGCTGCGATATGAGAAAGGAACTTGTGCATTGGATGTTCGTATTTGAGTAGTATCCAGTCCTCCCTCCCCATCCACCGGCATAACCAACATGACAGCTATTGCAAAGTAGCCATGCAACACATAAGCTGCGAACGCCACATACCATTTCCATAAACCGGTCATATCACATCATGAATTACCACAAAAACATCAACTTCTCCAACCCTCCACCTACCAGCACAGTCCATGCATACCTTTTATTAACCACCAAGCTACAACATAACAACCGCAAAAACACCAGCCACAACAGCGCCAACACCACCATTCCTCACAGCCCCAGCACCACTATCAGCAGTCTGCGTCGCAAACGCCTGATCGGTCCCGGTAGCCGTAGCACGGTACTCACTTTGGCTAGAAACAGCCTTGAGGTCATACCCAGTCGCGGTAACAGTATAAGTAGTCGACACCTGAGACCAAGTGAGAACAGTACCGCTAGGAGGCGCCGTAACCGTACCCCCAACCTCGTACAGGGTCGAGGTGCCATTACTTGGGAAATCGCCGGGCTTGTAGAACTTATCCGTATCTGTGAAACCCAGGTCCTTGCACGTCGTATCCTTGAGCGTCGAGTCGCAAGACGACCACGCCCAATTCGGCAGGGAGGTGTATAGATTGGGTAGATCGGAGGGGAAAAATACTCCCCACATGTCTGCGCCGGCGAGAGTAGGTTCGGTGTGCGGGCAGATATCCCAGGATCTGGGGTTCGGGGGTTAGTTCGTGCTTTGGAAGAGTCGCGGGTTTGGTGTGCTTCACTTACGCGGAGATACTAGCGCTAGCTCCGCAGCAGGCGCAGTCTGAGGCGCGGTTGGCAATGTCGAGACCGTTGTTGAGTTTCGAGAGGTCTGGGATACTGCCGATGTCCGCGCTGATGTTGTCGGTGACGTTGCGCATGCATTTGATTTGCTGGTTGCGCGATGAGAGCGTCGTTTGAGTGACTTTGCCTAGATCGCATGAGCAGCGGTTTGGCGCGTTGTCTGGCGGTGGCCAGAAGGGGATTGGCTCTTTGGCGCTGGGGCAGATGGCGAAGTACTGCTGCACGAAGAGTTGGTATTTGCAAGAGTAGACCTGAGGATTAAGATATTGTTAGCATGGATTTATGATAGACGTTGCCGGGTGTTCCTTTGGACCAAATTGTATATAAAGTCATACCTGGTTCCAGCACGACTCCGCCATGCAGTTGATATACTTCTGGTGAGAGTCGCAGCCACAGTCCACGACACAGTTACCATTGCCGTTACAGCCTCGGAGACAGGAGCTCCACTTGTCCGCGACATCCCTGTTGCACTTTGAGTACTCGGATGAGGAGGCGCAGTCTTTCTCGGTGATGTTTGTCTGGGCATTGGCTAGGCCAGCGAACGCCGCGACGGTCGCAGCCGATGCAAGAAAGAATTTAGATAGCATAGTGGACCCTCTTATCATTGGATATATCTGACAAATGCTGCTCTGCTCTGACCTGATCTTTGAATGGCACTACTGAGCAAGCAAAAACCTTCCAATCCCTATATTGTAGGGAGGATGCAACAGCACCTTTATAATAAGCAAATTATGCAGCATAGCCCGGATTCTAGCGAAAATAAATATCTTCATCATCCTCCAGCCCTGAATGGGCTCTGCTGCAAGTTAGGGGGTTCGATCATTGCAAACCCAGCTGTCATGTCATCGTTCGCAGCAACCAACCAATAACCGATGTCATCTTGTAGCAACGTGACACAAAAGAACAAGCTGGGCCATTCATGTTTCAAAAGAAGGTGGATAGCGAGGACCCCGGTTTCTGCATGTCTTCTGCATCCATTGCATATAGGCAATCACATTTTTCTTTGGCGAAGGGCATGGATCAATTGATAGATCAGAGCCCAGATCCATAATCCGCCCTATTGATTGACCGGATGGACTGGATGTTTCAAGATTTCCAGCAAAAGCCCTTCATAGTGTTAGGAGCCTTGCTTCCTCTGCAGACACGAGGTGGAGTGGACTGTTCCTGCGATAGATTTGTGAAGACCCTTGCTTGGAGCCGAGCTTTTGATGACGATGCCAGGGTGCTATTATAAGAATGAGCGACGTGGTTCATTTGCTTGGGGCTCCCATATTGCTTATGCGGTGTGTCAAGAGCCATGCATTGAATGGGGTTTTTTATGCCAGGGTTGCTTTTTCCATAGCGCTGGTGCCTAGCATAGCAAGAACTGTTAGGGAGTAAGTAGACCCTGGAAATATTGGAAACACATGGTGTGGTAGTCCATCTGGCAATGACATCGTTCACGGAGAACTGAAACGTCGAGTCGCTCAGCAGATTGACATTTCATCGCAGAGAGCCTGGTACCTGGAGGCTGGTGCCTGTGTGGTCACGAGTCAGGCACATGGTCAAGTGGGACAAGCCAAGGACTTGGTCAAGACAATGTCGTAAGCGATGAGTATTTCTGAGTACTATATAGTTTTATGTGCCTATGAAGGTACATAGGGTGTCCATGTCATGTACTTCGTGAACCTTGCAAGTATTGCGATACACTCGCCCACAATCCGCGGAGATCGACTCGAGGCTTGATGATACAACAAGGTTCAAATCGCCACAGGAAAATAGAAGAGTTGTTGCTAGTCGGAGCTAGTCAAAAACCAGAAGGAGAATAACCCAAAGTGCTTATCAGACTTTGCAAGGTACAACAATGATGTAGAACCGCAACTCCAACCCTGTGGAGACGAGAAAATCCCTACTTAGTAGGGAAATTTGCTTGGTTTTTTCAAGGCCACCGTCTCCACCGATGGACGATCATTATTTATGTCCTTCGTGAGGAGTACTACTCTGTACTTCGGTGAGAGAGGCCCCTTACTGGGAGGATAGCCTGTTTGAATCTGAATAGGTAATGTTCGCGGAGTACATATATACTCCCCACAGCTAGAGATCTATTATATGTGATTCAACTGTATCCAAGGTCCTTCTACCAGCGAGATTAGACTACAATTAAAAAAGTGGACGCGGGACTATCCAAATTAATTACTTCCCCCACTGTCTTTCTGACAGATTCATTCGGATGACTCGGATGACTCGAATATATCATTCAGATAAAGGGAATACACAATTATAAAGTAGATTGTAGGGAGTATACAGTCATTACCGCTGACGGAGACACAAATAGTATACCAAATAATAACAAAGCCACAATCCCGACCGTAGTCAGAGAAGAGGATGTTTTGTACAGCTGCACCTCAGAAAAGGGACAGGCAATAACACAAATTGATTGGCTGTTTTAGGAAACAGCCAATCGGAGAAGTGAAGAAAAAAAAAAAAAAATATACATCAATAAAGCATGTCAACGTGACTTTGCAACAAGGTCTTCCTGACAATATCTGCATGCATGGCAATCTACAGCATCAGAGCAGCGGCAACGAGGGCAAGCATGCCACCGGAGACACGGTTGGCGATGCCGGCGTTGGTGGTGGGCACGGCGCTCTGGGATGCGGGCGTGGAGCTAGCAGCGCCCGAGGAGCTGGCGCTACCGCTGGCGCTGGCGCTGGCCGAGGTGGACTTCGCCGAGGACTCGGTGGAGGAGGCAGAGGTGCTGGTAGCAGTGCTGGTGGCAGTGCTGGAAGCGGTGGTCAAAGTAGTGGGGGAGCTGGTGGTGGCCGAAGAAGTCGAGGTCGACTTCTCCGAGGTAGTGGTGTGGGTGGTCGAGGTAGATGACTCGGTGGATGACTGAGTGGAAGTGGACGCGGTGGTCGAGCTGGCAGTGGAAGAGGTAGAGGTGACCTCGACGGTGGAGCCCTCGACGGTGAAACGGCCGATGTAGTTGTAGTCGTCGCTATCATCGTCCGAGACGATCTTAATGGTGTAGTCTGGCTGGGCGGCCAGCTTGGAGGGCACATCCCATGTGTAGCTGCCGTCGTTATCGATATTCGCTGGTGATAGTCAGACTCGGTGCCTTATCGGGGAATATTAGTCATTCGGATGGATCCCCAGGTTGCTTACAGGCAATGACAGTGCCGGAGTTACCGCTGATCACGGCTCCCCACTGCAAGATCAAACTGACAGTGCCGTCGGTGGTAGGCTCCCACTTCAGAGCGGTAGGCTCGCCGACCTTGAAGGTGTAACCCTCGACGGGAATGCTGAAGGGGTTAGCCTTGCTGTTCGCCGCGGCGACGGCGGCCATGGCGGCGACAGCGAGAGAGATGAAGAAGCGCATTATGACTGGTATATGTATATAGGTTGGGAAAAACGAATGTTCAAGTGGGAGATGCGGATAAACGAGTGAAATCACAAGAGCCTCAAAGGAGTGGAAGGCGTGTGAAGAGGCAAATATAGAAGAAAAGACCGTCGGGGATATTTGGTCTTAGCTTTATAACTAAGAGGGCATGTGCCCCATGGATAAGGAGCTAGACACAGCCGGCAGAGTCAAAGGGACGAGGAAAAACAAATACAAAGGAAGCAAGGCGAGTGATTGGCCGCCGTCCATCCCAAAGAGGGCCCGCGAGGCCCTAATAGGAGACAAATCCAGGGCAAAAGAGGGAAAACCGATAAAAAAGAGAGCGTGGCGGTGATCCACGAGTTTTCGGACCACTGACGGCCATCTTTCCTCGCTTGGCAGGGCATCTCCGGCGTTGACTGGTCTGAACTCGACGTGACCTTAAATGACGATATCCACTTTGGTCGGCTACAGTCACTTCGACGAGACAACCCTCTCTTGGGGGGATAAATTTAGATCACATCATTGGATACGTCGATAATTGGCTAGGCAGAATAATGGGGATCAGATGTGATTCAACGTAATTTTTGGTATGTTTTTGGCATGTTTTTTCGCTTTCAATTCCCTGTCGCTGACTCTGTACTATCGGAGCCACGCGACTGAGGGTTCGGGTATTCATCCAAGTTAGAAATCCGACCAAAGCCCCCTACGCCTCCGAGCTATGACCTTTTTCACTTCATCCTTGCGCTTCAATGTTTCGTAGTTCCAGTTCTAACGCTAATTCATTGGGGTATCGTGTGGGGCATCCAGCATATTGTTCTGACCGAGCCAGAATATCACTTCCATTGCCCGGCGGTCATCGTCTTGCTGCTGTCGGTCCAGCAACTAATCCCAGTCAGTACAGCTTCAATACGAGCAAAATCAATAAATAAGGCTCTCACAGCTTGATAAAGTCCCTTGCGTTTCGTCTCTTTCTCCTTCTTCTCCGTAGGCTTTGCCCTGGCCTTGGAGGGTCGTTCAGAGTCATTCTCATGGAGGAATTTACACTGGTCGCCACGGTTACAGTGGCCATTACGTGCAAAATAGCGGCAGACGGTCTTTTTGCCTTGGCGGGGTGGCGGTGGCACTCGCTCTGGTCCCGTGCGACGTGAAGTTACTTGCTCTGGCGCAGAGTCATCGCTGTCAGGGTCAGAGTCTGTATCTGAGCCAGAAGCACCCGAGGAGGTCCAATCACTGGCCCCGTGATCGGATGCGAGCTCCATGGCATCCAAGTCATGGTCGGTGGGGTGCTCGGTCTTGATTGTGTGCTCGAGATGATGGGACTCGAACAAAAGCCCAGGAACGCCTTGCGCATCTGTCGCATCCCCGCTTTCCACGGTTGATTGCGCGGGCTCTGGAATTGGGCCATGGGGCTCGATTTTCATGGTCGCCTCCGGAACCGCGGTCTCTAGTTCAGTCTTAGTGGCTGGCTCCGTTACCGCGTTTTCGGATTCGGTTTTCATAGCTGGCTCTGGCACCGCGGTTGCGGGTTCAGCTTTGATAACCGGGGCCGGTTGCTCGATCGTGCTACCCGTATCTTCGTCTTGGTTAAAGTCTTCATTTAGGCTCAATGCCTCCTTCTGTAAAGCTTCCATTCGGAGGCGAGCAGCTTCGGTCTCGGCCATGGCCTTTTGGATTCGTTTCTCCTCTCGTTCAAGGTTGCGCCGAATCTTCTCTCTGCGCTGGGCGTTTGTCGTTGCATCTGCAGCGGGATCTGTCTTGTGTTCATTTTGTTTTTGTGTATGCTCTTTTCGCTTGTCCTGTTGCTCCTTTTGCTTTTGTTGGCGAGTCAACTCGCGGGCTGCCTTTGCCTCCTCCATTGACTTTTTCTTTTCTTCCACCCGAGCTTGCGTGGGAAACTTCTTCTTCCGTTCTGCAATCCAAGCGGCAATATCGGACGGTGTTTGTAATGTTGCCGTTTTCCCTTTGTATGAGACCTGAAGTGGTGCTGCGCCAGATCCACTTTGCGCCAGCTTCGATTCTTCGTCTTCGTCAACCTCTTCTTCGCTTGACTCGTGGTCCTCGGTATTAGGGGTCAGTCCAAGTTGATTGTGCTTCCTTTTTCTCTTCTTCGCCTTTCTGTTGGCGGTCGAGTCTGCAGCGGGTGGTGGCTTCGAGGGTAGAGGGTTGCCGAAGCTTGGGACGGCAGGCGCTGCGGGGGTTCGAGGCGCAGTTGATTGAGGTTTGTTGAATGCAGATGAGTGATCCCGCTTTGGGGTATTCTTGGGTTTCGGACCCTGATTGCCATACGCATGGGGAGGTCGTGGCCCTCGTGCTTGCCCCGGTTGAGCCCCCATGTATGGCACCGCACCTTGCATCTCATTGCGCCATGATATGGGAGGCATCATTGCTTGGTTGTTTGGTTGATGGCCATGCGGAGGTTGTAAACCTTGCATGTATGTCGGAGTTGTGGGAGGGTAAGGTGTAGGAAGGTTGGGCGTGTTGTAGTGTTGATAATTCCCCGGAGCTACCGACTGGGGATATTGTTGAGATGGAAATGGAGGTGGATTTTGAGGATGTTGAAAGGCCGGCGTTTGTCCATGATGGTAGGGTTGGGGAGGCATATAAGGTGCTGTAGGAAGAGGTTGGGGATATCCGCCGTACATTGGTTGCGCGTAGTTGAAACCTGTCGGGGGAGGATATGACGGCGCTCGTCCACTTTCTGCATGATTTCCTCCTCGACCTCGGTTTCCCTGTCCTCTGCCACGTCCCCTCTGACCTCCGCCATGTCCACCGCGTCCACCCCAACTCTGTCCATGTTGGGTCGGGTGGTGAGCCGGCAGTTGGTTGGTCGCTGGCGGCGGAGGCGGCGGGGGAGGGAAAGAGAATCCCTGCGAGCTCATGACGAGAGCCTTGGTTTGCTGGAGACTCCAGCACCAACACAAGAATAATCTCTTAAGTTTAGTTTATTAGCGGAGTCGAGGTTGAAATTGAAAGCTTCCGTCCCGGGGTCACGTGTGGGCGGGATTATAGGCGGAGCAATAATCTCAGAAGGGTTTTTGATCGTTGATTGCTTCGTGACAATGGTAAAACGGGAAAAGATATTTAAGCCTTTTCACTTCGTCCTCGCCTAGTCAGACCGATCTTCTGGCTACACCTTCCTCGCCGCCACCATGTTTATCCTAGTAAGTTTGACGCCCATATATAAGACTTTTTTCTAACGCCGGCAGACCACCATATCGGACTTGATTCAGATTTCACCTGAGGATTTCTCCAAGTTCAGTGCAGTTGCACTTGAAGACAACATCAATGCAAAATATGCCAATAAAGTACGCAATTCAAGCTTCTTCCTTTCAGTTTCTCGAACCTTATCCCGCGCTCTAGGTCATTCAAAAAATTGGCCTCTGCATCAGCTTCTATGACCTACTTGAGTCTTCCGATGGCCTGATTGGCCACGGAACGGGGTTGGTTAATGTCAACGGTAGATGTCACCCCTTTCTCAAGTATGAGCTCTTTACTGACTATCATAGTTAAATTCCGCATGATTGTTTTCCGACCCTTCAAAGGGGAGATCATGCTTGGAAAGATCGCTAGCGGCACAGAACATGGAATCAAGAGTGTGTTTCCAGTATAAAAACTCAATGCTCGTCGAAACTAACGAAGTCCAGTTGGCATCGAATTCTTCAATGATATTCTGATCCCGCCACAAATGCTTATGGAGAAGTCCCGATTGTGAGCTGTTTCTCACCTCATGTCAAATCTCAAATGCTAATGTGTCTTGCAGCGACTATGCCGAGCAGGTATGGATCTGGGAGAGTGAAGGTGGAACGGAATTCTTCTTCGATGTAGGAGAAGTTGTACGATTCCGAGTCGAATCAGAAGAGTGGCACGACCAAATCCCCAATGCCCCAGATGTTGCAGATGAAACCCCACAGGAGAGGCGCCCTCCGTACTCCATTCTTGTTGGTCTCTCCATGTTGATTTTCTAGCTCTCACTAATCATCTTCTAGGGCTCGATGCAAATGGGTGGAACGGGACCCATCACTTGGTGGTAGGCTGCTGCTGCCAGCAAACCACTATTTGATGTCTCATTAGATTGTCTTATTGTTCGCCTATCGCGACCCGTTCTCAGCGCCCATAAAATTTGTTTTAGAGTCAGATCAGATAGATACCCATACGAATCAATGCCAATGAATATAAAGATACCTGATAGACCATGTGTAATGAGCCGAGATGACAGTGTAAAGCTATTTGACATGGAATACACCTGGGCAAGTGTAACTATATACCTCCGAAAATAACGGACATGCATATAAAATATACTGCATAACTATAGTATCGTACACACCAATTAGGAGATCAATGCGGCAAGTGCCGAACTCTCCGACTGTCCGACTCATCGGCGTATCCAAACGGTTCTCCGAGCAGAATTGCCGGCAGCCGGTGGAGCTCCGTCGGTGTCTCGTCCAGTCGAAATCGCGCGATCCATCGTCATCTGCCCCCCAAGGTTGGTAGTATGTAAAAGGATTCTGATGAATTTTTTTCTCCCTCGGTTGAATTTTTCAGCACGAAAACATCCAAAAGCAGTCATTGAATCTGTTATTCGCCATCGCTCCTGATTATCAATCAGATTCGCAATCCGTGTCTCATTCCGGTTTCAGACAAGTCATACAAAGAAAGCGGGTGATCTCATCTTATCGATAAACATATAACCTACCCCTCGCCTCTTTCAATTGCCTTGAAATCATCTTCTCTATACACAATGGGCTCCATTGAAAACGGACACACTTCTGAGCGTGGCTTTGGGACACTGGCTGTCCACGCCGGCTCGCCTCATGACCCAGTGACCGGCGCTGTCATTGCTCCGGTAAGCTCATCAATCTAGGGAGAAGAGAAAGAAAGACGGCATTAACGATACCTTGACTAGATCTCTCTGTCGACCACATATGCTCAGACCAGTGTCGGAAACCCCGTTGGTCTGTACGAGTACACGCGGAGCTCCAACCCCAACCGGTCAGTCTATTAGTCCAACGGTTTGACACATCGATCAGGCGGACTAATACCCCCCACAGTGATAATTTCGAGCAAGCCATCGCGGCTCTTGAGCATGCTAAGTATGCTCTGGCATTCTCCTCCGGCTCTGCTGCTACGGCCAATATCCTCCAATCTCTTGCTGCTGGCTCGCATGTCATTTCGGTCTCTGATGTTTACGGCGGTACCCACCGATACTTCACCAAGGTTGCTTCGGCGCACGGTGTCCAGGTCACCTTCACCCCCTCCATTGAGTCGGATGTGGAGAAGTTGATCCGCCCCGAGACCAAGCTCGTTTGGATCGAGACCCCCTCCAACCCGACCCTTGGCTTGGTGGATATCCGGGCTGTTGCCAACATCGCCCACCAGCATGGCATTCAGGTTGTTGTCGATAACACTTTCATGAGCCCCTACGTCCAGAATCCATTGGACCACGGTGCCGATATTGTTGTTCACTCCGTAACTAAGTACATTAATGGCCACTCCGTGAGTTCTTACTTCCAATTTACGCATTGCCAGTATCAATTCAGCTAACTTGAACCTAGGATGTCCTTATGGGCGTGGCTGCTTTTAATTCCGAGACCCTTAAAGAGCGCCTCGGCTTCCTGCAGAATGCGATTGGCGCCGTCCCGTCCGCATTCGACTGCTGGCTCGCTCACCGCGGTCTAAAGACCCTGCATCTGCGCGCCCGCGAGGCGTCAAAGAATGCCACTGTCATCGCCAAGGCCCTTGAATCCTCTCCCCACGTCATCTCCGTCAACTACCCGGGTATTGACTCCCACCCCCACCGCGCTATTGCCCTCAAGCAGCACCGTGACGGTATGGGCGGTGGTATGCTCAGCTTCCGTATCAAGGGAGGCCAGCAGGCTGCACACGATTTCTGCAAGTTCACTAAGATCTTCACCCTTGCGGAGAGTCTGGGTGGTGTTGAGAGTCTGTGCGAGGTGCCTTCCAGCATGACCCATGCAGGCATTCCCAAGGAACAGCGCGAGGCGGCCGGTGTCTTCGATGACCTTGTGCGTATGAGCTGTGGTATTGAGGATGCAGTGGATCTGCACGCTGATGTGTTGCAGGCTCTCAGCTTGGCTGCAGTGGCTCAGAAGGCTTAAACGCAGCCTATAATTTAAAGTTCACGTCTTCGGCTTGCATTTAATATTGGAATAGACAGCATCAGTTTCTAATCACTTGGATATGGCATTATGAGTTAGATCATTACAAAATCATATTATAGTTATTACAGCCCGACTCTAACAGTTTCAAAATAGCATTCGAATCCGTTGTCTCCAAGGTTTGTATAAATAATAATTCTTTGCCTAGGTAAGGCCCCGTGCCAGATATCCGCTTAGTCATCATTCCACCATGCAATTTTTTGTACGGAGTATTGAAATCAGATCACAGCATCTGTGAAAAGAAAGCCTCGGAACTAAACTACTATTTAATCGGTTCGTCCTTACCTTTGAATATACAGTTCTTGCCAAAACTGGTGCAAGTTTGTCCACAACCTACAATTTCGACGAATTCAACATCTGGGCCACTTCAGACAACCCACCTACACAATACTAGGTGTCTTGGAAGGAGAGACAGCCGTCTTATTCACGTGAAGATGGCCTTCAGTTTCGGATTCTCGGGGGATGATATCGACATTGACGATTCAGAGATCAATCAAGATTTCTCGGATATGCCTTCCCAGCAAGCCGTGGGCAATTCTCTTCCTGAGCTCGTGAAAGCGAGTAGGCATGATATGAATGAATGGGTAAGTGATCAAGCAAGATATTTCATTCTCAATTATGCGTATTATATTGTTTGAGTTGGCGAGTACATTCTAAATCCCAATTCGGGCCGAAGAGTATCATCGACGAGAGCATGAAAGCATGAATTCATTACTTTGAAATGCATCATACCTTTCCACCAGAGTCAAAATCTAATCAAGATGGCAGCTTTCAATTCTCCCCTCTCAAATCTTCTACAATAAGCTCTCAATTAGCGATACGCCTCTGGTCGTCGCTCGTCGAGAGATCTTTGACATTCGCACCCAGCTCATGGCCGAAGACAGCGCAGGCCACGATAATGAAGAGCTTATTGCCGGTATTGAAAAAGGCGATATCACGCCCAATTTCTATGAAGGCGGCTTCAAAACCTGGGAATGTGCCTTGGATCTAGCCAAGCTCTCCCTCAATGAGGACATTCTTAACGAATCCTCCGATAGCTCGGCGGACATCCATATTATTGAGGTGCGTAAATCATCCGCCATTTGGAAGCTTTCTCCCAAATTCCACCTGGCAGAAGAAAGCTAACATGAATGAACAGCTCGGCGCAGGCACAGCAGTTCCATCATTGACACTGTTCGCCCGTCTTCTCAGCCAAGCCCAGCCCGGCCAGAGTCAAATAAAGACACTCTTTACTTTTGCAGACTACAACTCTGACGTGCTCCGTCTTGTCACGCTCCCGAATCTCCTTTTGACGTGGCACAATAGCCGCCCTCAAACCGCTGTCTCAGCCGTGTTAACTGCACGAGGGCAAGACGAGGAGCTGGATATCACGCCTGAGCTGGTTCAAGAATTCAAAGATGATCTTACTCAGCGTGGGATCTCGGTTGATTTCATTTCAGGCGCTTGGTCGCCCGGGTTTGTGGATTTGGTCTTCTCGTCCGGTGATGGTGCTCGCAAGACTCTAGTTCTTGCTAGTGAGACCATTTACTCACCCGCATCGCTGGCTGCGTTTTCCGAGACGCTTTTGGCGCTGCTGCGCCGCTCGAACACTGCATCGGTGAAAAGTCGGGCTCTCGTCGCGGCGAAGAAGGTTTATTTCGGAGTTGGTGGTGGCGTTGATGAGTTCCTTGCCGTGCTGGGTACTGTCTCTGCTAATGAGCTGGATGTGCAGCATAAATTGGACGTCCAATCTGAGGGTGTGGGCAGAGTAGTTTTGGAGGTTGTACCGTCAAGCGGGCCTTAGCGAATTCGGTAATAAAATGAATATCCAAAACCAGCATTCAACCAATATTCAGCAAGGATCTGGGCGTTAGGTCAAAAACAAAAGAAAATCCAATTATCAGGTGCTGGATTGAACGTCAAGTCCCAACGTATATGTACATGATTTTTCCTCCACACATGTCTACTTAGACAGTCGACTAAAGAGAAAAGATACCCCCATTTAATCGTAGAGCGACACGACCTTGCCGTCCTTCGTCCGCGCGACCCGAGACTCCTCGATCTCCTGGTTCTTGCGCTGGTAGTGAGCCACGACATGGCTCAGGTCGGCCTGCGAACCGGGCGAAACGTTGAACGGAGAGCCAGCGTTCAACATCCTGGGGAAAAAGAAAAAACAGTCAGCAAGACAACAATGAAAAGCATTTCCGGAGCAACACGATGACATACTCGGGCTGTCTGTGGGCAAAAGCCTCGGCTGGGCCTTGACTGCCAAGCAAGTGGCGATCAAAAGCAGCCTTATCCATGATAGCGGTGTGAATAGCATTGCGCTGCTCGAAGACCTCCTGGGAAGGCGTCCACTTGTTAATGAGGCCGGTCATCCAAGATGCCTCGCCGGATTCCTTGATGGACTTGGAAATGTGGTAGAGGACGAAGGCGGAAGCGATGGTGCCAGATGTGACGTAGAAGCTGCGCTGTTAGGTGTACACGTAAGGGTTAGCCAATTACTCGTGGGCGATCGAGGCATATCTTGCTCTGCTTCCAAACTCGGGTCTGGTCGCGGTGGGCGGGGGAGAAGAGCTTACGCCGAGACCTTCGTTCACGGGCTCATGGGCGGCGTGAGAGCCCCAGCGGCGCTGAGTGCGCAGCAGCTGCCGCGTCGAAGGAGCAGATCGTCTGGCAGCGAACATTGTGTGGAGGGAAGCAATTGATTATGAATCGATGACCCTTTGGGGAGTGATGATAGGGCGAGGCGGAAAGTGAAAGTCGATGACACGTGATGTCCGTATTGGGTTTAGGGTCGCTCCCTAACTATGTATGTGGTCTAAGATCTTCGTTTATTAGTTAGCTTATTAGTTATAGTTAGGTGTATTTAGGCTGGCTATTAAATTGTTATATGGACTCATGTTTCAACTGGAATCGATCTGATATTTTCATTCTCTCATGTCCAGGTGTTGAGTGGAAGGTGAACCAACTCAGTGTACTCCGTATACGTCGTATGCATTCAGTATCGCATTGCAAGACTCCCATGATCAATAGATACATCAGTACTATATGCAATGCAATGCACTCTGTGTAGTACTATGTACAGATACAAAACACCAAAATAAAACTGAAGCCCGATCTACTTGGCATACAAAGTACGGAGTAGACAATCTGCATGTCCAATATGGCCGTATGTTCGAAGCCTCATCTAGTAATATGTGTTGTCCGATGGCAGCCTCACTATTGCCAGTTGACCACACTTGGGCGAGACGCGTCCTTTTGCTATATCGCCTCATTTCAATTCCCATGTCTTCGGGTCTCGATCGGACATGTCAGCCTGTCGGTGTCGAATTCCCCACCTATCTCGATCGCCCAAATCCACAGTTTGATGCCCAATGCCATGGCATCTCCCAACTGGTCTCGCTTGAGTTCAGAATGGAATACGAGTGGATTCGGATCTTGTTTTTGCCCCCAATAATTCCCGGCACTGGCGTCTAATTGATGGCCCTCTCGCACATTGGGAGGTTGGATGGGTATCAATACGCCAAGGGTCGGTCCGCTGTTGTGCTCAGACAACGTTGGGATGCAAATTTCGAGAGATTTTTGCAAAATTCGATCGGGTTGGTCTTTTTCTTTCCTTTTTTTCCTTCCCTACGGTCTTTTGGTCTTACACCCCGAGAATATCTACGCTTTCGTGGGTCTTCATTCGCGGTCATAGCCAAAGAGTTTAGGTCTCTGCCCGATCCACCGAAGTCACTTGGCTTACGCTTTTAGGTATCCCAAAGTTCTAATACCTCTTAACTATAGTCGATTTTTGGGCTATATCTTGAGCTATCGCCACAGGGCTTGTTGCAAATGTACAGTGCATTCATCCCATATGATCGGAACTATCACTCATGCTCCATTTAGCACATTGATCCTATTGGTAACACGTCTGTCAGAAGCAAGAAGTCTTGGGCACGCATCACTCTACCGCAATGGCCGCGGGCAAGAAGAACAAGGCCAAAGACAAAAATGGCAAGGCAGCCCCCAAGAAGGTTAAGAAGGGGAAGAGCCCAGAGGTCACAGAGACTCAGACAACTACCACTACTCCTGCTCCTGGCAGCCCTGAACTCAAGGCGCAGGAACCAGAGCAAGTAACAGAAGAGTCTACTGCTGGCAATACAGACGTTGAAGTAACGACGCCACTTCCTGTATCAGCGTACGAGGTACTCGACGACGAGAGTACACCCCAAGACAGTTCCAACCCTGTCCCATCTGTACTCGACAACCCCGTATTAGCATACGAAGTGCTCGACGACGACAATCCACCTCAAAACAGCTCCAACCCTGTCGCAGATCAAGAATCACCTGTACTCGACAACCCCGTATTAGCATACGAGGTACTTGACGACGGCACTCCACCCCAAGTCGTCTCCGACCCTGTCGTGGATTCAGTATCACCTGTACACGAAACCCCCGTATCGGCATCCGAGGCGTTAGACGACAAGGCTTCACCCCAAGACATCCCTGACCCTGTCGTGGATCAATCATCACCTGTAGTCGACGAGCCTGTCAACGAAGTACCACCCTTGGACGAGCCAAGCTCAACTCAGCCCCCCATCGAAGAAACTGAAACCAAAGAGCCGGCCGTGGAAGCAAGCTCGGTCCAGCCTCCCATCGAGGGCACTGAATCCGAGGAGCCGCCTGTGGAAGAAGCAAGTGTGGTTCAGCCTATCCCGGATCTTGAAGCAAAGGAGCCCTTGAACGACCATAACAAGCAAGACGAGCCCAATCAAGCTGAGCGCCCTGAAGAGACGACTGTAGTCTCATCACTACCGGCGGACCCATTCTCCCCTGTGGCCGCCTGTGTGCCTTTGCCTTCCCCATCCTTGACTGAAGCACGGTATATGTCAAGTCCTTCCCAGGATAACCAACATTATTATCCCGGACCATCGGCGTATTCCCCTTACGCTTCACCTGTCCCCTACTCTGCGCCACCACCTTACGTGTCGCCAAACCCCTACGCGTCGCCAAACCCATACGCCTCACCAAACCCCTACGCTTCGCCAGTGCCGTACGCAGCCTCCCCGGTGCCGTACGTCTCGCCAAACGCCTATACTTCTCCGGTACCCTACGCCTCACCGGCGCTTTACGCTCCAGTGCCGTACGCTGGTTCCCAAGTGCCTTACACCTCATCCACACCTTACGCTGGCTCTCCAGTACCTTACAGCTTACCCGGACCCTACGCAGGTTCCCCGGCACCTTACGCCTCATCAGTAGCTCACATTGCCTCACCGGTGCCCAAAGTCAGTAGCCCGCTTGCACGATCCCACTACCCTCAAATGTCCCCAACTATATCACCAACTGCAACTCCTCCACCTCATAATCCACCAGCCGCGCCAATGCCTCCCCATGAACCGCCTTCCACCCGGAATGGAACGTATGCTCTTCAATCTCCTGTCATGAGCCCTGCCGGAACGATGCCTCCTTATGGGCATTATTCTCCTCAGCACCAATCGGAAGGCCATTATAGGAGCTACAGCATCCCAGATCCATCATATGCAGCATCATATCAGGCCCTTCAAAACCTGTCCATGGGCAATGGCCAACCCCATGAGAATGGATCTCCCCCAGACAACGACGGTGATCACATTGAGCTTCTTCAACGCATCCAGTCGGCGCTTCCAGATATCAACAGCCTCCTTAATGGGTATCGTAACACCCACAGCAAGCTCTCGAGCCGAGAGGCTGAGATGAAGCATATTGAAAACCTGCACGAGCAAGCTCTAATGCACAAAGACTACTATATCGAAGCTCTGCAAGCTCAAATGATGAAGACAGCCAATGAAAGTGCTGAAGAAGATACCAAGTTGAGGCACACCATCAGTGAGTTGCGTCTCCAACTGGGAGATCTGCAGGAGAAGCAGAAGGACCTTGAAGATGGCATAGCTGTCCAGCAGAAGTCCAACGAGGAGCTTTCTGAAACTAGGGTCGAACTCGAGGGACAAATCAACCAGCTAAATGAAAGCATCCAGGAGTTAACCGAAGCCCACGAAAAAGCGTTGGAGACTCAGAAGGAGGAACAGGAGAAAGCTCTTGTGGCACAGAAGGAGGAGCTCACTGAATTGTTTGAGGAGATCAAGGCGGAGGATGAGAAAACGGCAGCTGAGGCTCTAGAGAGTCGTGAGTGCGAGCTTCGCAGTGAACACGAAGCTAGTCAAGCCGAATGGGAGAAAGAAAAAGCCCAATTGCAGGAATCCTTCGAAACCCAGCGCACCGAGCTGGAGGCTACTAAGACAGAAGTGGCGTCGCAGATCGCTGCTTTGGAATCCAAGGAGACCGAGCTGCAAGCCCGACTTACCGAACTCTCATCGACACGTGAGGAACTGGCAGCCAAGCTCGCAGAGCTGGAGGAAACCCACCAGAAGAACGCACAAGAATCGGAAGAACTTCGAAAATCCCATGCTGATGAATTAGACTCCCTGCGACAAAGCCATGCTGGTGAATTGGACTCCCTGCGACAATCCCACGACGAACAACTCGCTGCTGCTGCCAAAGAATTGGATGATAAGATCGCAGACCTGGAAGCTCACTTCAATGAGAAAGAGCAGCTCTGGACCACAGAGCGCGCTGCCTTGGAGCAGCAAATATCTGAGAGAGATAGCGAGCTTTCCAGTGCCGAGCGAGAGAAAGAAAAATTGGAAGGAGACGGTATTGTCAAGGAGCAGCACCTCCAGCGTGCAGTGGATGGGATGCGAACGACCATCGATAACTTGGGCGCGGATTGCGAAAGGCTGAGAAAGACACTGTCCAGCCTGGGAGAGGCCACTGACCTCAAGAATACGAAGGGCGATCAATTCTTGTAAGTCAGTCTTTGAAGCCCTGTGGATTTTAATTTTTCGGGTCCTTTTTTTTGTTCTTCTTTTGTTTTCGGTTTTCGTCTTTGTCTTCAAAGACAAGTCATTCATTCTCTACCTTTCCTTTGTTTGGCATCGGCGCACGGCGGGCATATATTATCTTAAAAGATTCATGTTGATAACGATAACGATTACGATAACGATTACGATAAATGGACATGATCTAATAAACTCTCTCTTTCTAGTCTTGACTGCTTCACAGAGCTCTCGCAGCTCATCCACAATCTATCCAAGGAGCATTTCGGATATCTCCCCATTGATCCCCCCAAGGACATCCTTTCCAAAATTCCATCCGAACTTCCACCTTTCCTCGACAATACTCCAGCCTCCCGCGAACTACGATGTGCTTACATCCAGCATATCATCTCAAAAACCCTAACCTTCCGAGTCTTCCAACCCTTCCTCTTCACCTTAGGCCGGCGATATGACAAGGCCGACACCTTCTTCCAGATGCTATCTATGGACATCCGGCGCAAGTCCGTCCGCCGTGAGGCATTCTGGCGCCAGCAGACCCTGAAAGCAGCCTACACCACCTCAGACGCCAAACAATCAATCAACGTAGCAGCAGCAGTCATCGTCGACGAAATCATCGACCACATCAAGCACTTTGCCGATCCCAAGCACCTCGACTCCCTCCTAATGGGCGTCCGAAAGATCGTCAAACTCGCCGCCGAGACATGGAGACACGCACGGGTCGAGCGCGAGCTCGTCGTTGCCAATTTCCCCGCCCCGGACGCAGAAAGTGTCTCGAACGAGGGCTGGCTGGAGTACGCTACCAGCAAAGATCAGAAACACACCCCGTCGAGCGAGCCCACTCGCCATGTCGTACTGCGCACCTTCCCGCGTATTACGCGCGAGGCTGCTCACGAGGACTTCGCTAGCGATGAAGAGAAAGCTACCGCATGTACTTACTCGCAGGGTATTGTACTGTACTCTGATTCCCCGGTCATTATGGGTCGGCTTCAGGAGTTTGCGAAAAGGTCTACCGATTCTCTGGTCACGACACCTCCTAGGTCGCCCCTGGCCACCAAGGCTATTGAGAAGTTGTCAATCGATGTTTCCTCTCCGAAGGTTATGACTGTTCGATCGGCTCCCACGAGTCCGGGTGTGAAGGGTCAGTTTGTGACGGTTTGATTTGGTCGGTGACTTCAATATATTGTTTCTATAGCGGTCGAGCCTTTTTTTCTTTTGTTTTTTCTTTTGTTTTTTCTTCTGTTTTCATCTTTTCTGTTTTGGGATCTTACGGGGAACAGTTCAGCGGATTTGGATTTGATTCGTCTTATGTTGTTTTTATATTTGATTATTTATTGAAGATTGTATGTGAACAGCAACAATGTTAGCGAGTTAGAGATACGACTTCATACCTACATCACTCCATATATATTGTACATTGTATGTCATATTGGAATCGTTGATCTATCACTTCGACTTATGCCTCTAAATTCTGGACTTTTATATGGACCACTATAAAAAGAGATTGAAGACCTTCGTAGCCAAATATCCCCACTCTTAAATCTGACAGGTGAATCAAGCCTACTCCTCTTTTTTGAAGCGATGTATGACCTATTTGATTCTATAGGTGGCATCCATTAGCTGATAATTAATGCTTAGTTATAGACAGGGAGATGTTTTACTAAAATATGTGCATTGAGATTATGACACGCAGGAAGAGCTAGATGTAGAAGCAGCCTGTACAATGTGTGTACATGGGTATCAAAAGGGAATGACTAGAGCTTTGCCTCAGCTCCAATTGCATTCCGGCGCATTTGCCGCGACGACACATCGGCAGGCACCGATGCCGCGGCGTTTTGGAACAGCTTCCGTCCAACGAGATCAGACATGATAAGAACGCGGGAAGAAACAGTTGCACCGTCACGACGGTTTTTGCTGTGAAATGTTAGTCGTATATTGGCAGAGATAGTCTGAATAAAATGAACTCACCCCTCGCGACGGGAATGTGCAATCAATTCAACAAAGTCCCACAGTCGACCGCCAGCTAGAACTTTTCCAGTAGCTTCGTCGCGCTGGGGTGCCCATTCAGGAGCCAGCCTAAGAGACGGACCGACACGCGATCCTCTGTTCTTCGCAACTAAGATAATACCCTCTTCTTCAAATCGTTGATAAGAATTCTTGAGGGTCTCCTTGTTGACTGCCTCGAAGTAGGAGAGATCACCTTGGTGGTATAACGTTTTACCAAGCTGTGAATGTGAATATTAATACAATATTCGGTGTAGCATGGGAAATATAACTCACGACTTGAGCACTATCTTGTGCTTTCTTCGAATCGATCCAAACTTCCTTCGGACTATCGAGAGGCGGCGTCAATCCAAGAAGAGACACCGAGCCAAGCCAAGAGGCCTCGATGAAAGGCCAGATCAAGAAGCAGTAGAAGTCATAGTTCTCGCGACCGCATAGTCGCTCAGACTCGCTCAATTCAACATAAAGTGGTGTGCTGGATTCATTACGAGTGATCTTGATCACGTCATCCTTCTCTAGCCCACGCAACGTTTTATCGAGGTTGTGAGTCAAGCCCTCAGGTGGAAAAATGAATTCACCGCGGAAAACCTGCGACAGGAATAACACCTGTTTCTTCAAATCCTCGTAGGTGATTATTTGATTGGCAGGCCCACCCCCTTGCTTGATCTTTGTGTACATAGCCACAGAAACCAGCGCTTCAGTGATGAAGAGGTGGATGAGCATGTTTCGGTAAAAGGATAGGTGGAAACGATCTACCGCATAGTAAGTTGGCTCGACTAAACCTGAGATCACACCAACGAGTTTGGGTCCCAGGACTTCTAGCGCACGGTCAACTACCGTCTCCGTTGGCGAGCGATAGAAGTGTGCGACCCTTCCACCTTTAGCTCGCACCCGATCGCAAAGCCAGTCCAGTCGGCGCACCAATTCGCCCTTTCCGACTCCGCGGCCGCGTAAGGTCAAGAGCACAGTTCCCACAAGGGCGGTTGGCATCATCACAGACACGTCGTTGATATCGGACAAAACCCGATAACCGAATGTTCTTAGAATGCGGCCTCGATCAGCATAGCTAAGTTTGTTGTTGATGTCGGTGCTGGGGCGATCTAGTCGCGTAAGTTGCTGGCCAATAAAGTCTCGGAGACTCCATGGCTCGTGGAAACGAACATCAACTCGGCCTAGCTTCAAGGTCAAAACCGAGGACGAAGAAATGAAATCAGCCAAGTTCTCCTTTGGCTTCGGTTGACCAAGAAGCTCGCTAATGTATGACCTAGAGAATGGGTTAATGCCAATGCTCATCAAAAGTTTAGGGTACCAGCGGGGTGTCATACTCAGTCTCAATGACCTTGTCGTATTGAGTGCTGACGGGACAGATGATGAGATCTTCAACCCGACCTGATAGTATACTGTCCATGATGAAATTCAAGATTCCGAACTTAGGCGAAAGCAGTTTCCCAGTTCTAGAGCGACCACCTTCAATGAAGCATTGGAAGTTGAAGCCTTGTTGAAGGAGGGTATCAATATAAGCTTGTACGACAGTATTATACAAGGGATCATTTCCAAAGCTGCGCCTAATCCACATGGCACCTAAAACAGGTTAGTGCTAGCTAAAAGCTAATAGGAAATTGTCTTGCAACGGACCTGCGTGTTGTAAGAAAGGGCCCAGCAATGGGATATTCAGATTGTCGCCTGCGACGATGACAGGAAGAGAAATGCCGAGACGGTAACATATGAGTTGCAGCGAGACGTAATCCACATGGGACTTGTGACAAGGCAGGAAAACAATGGACTGCTTCTTCTTGGTAGCAGTCTCGGCTACAGATCTTAGACGTAGGACTTCTTCGCTGGATACATGGATGCCTAAGGTGAATATCGTTTAGCATTGACTTGCGATAGAATGAGTATAGCAGGGAATATTTACCTTGATGGTAAGCACGAGTCAAAAGTTGCGTGCACATATAATAAGCGCCCCGAATAAATCTTTTGCTTTCCATCTTGCAAATCATGTTTTCCATCATTGTGTCCACGACTTCTCGAAGATTATCTTCAATCTCAGTCCGGCGACGGGCCCGTTTGTCGTCCAGCGTTGCACCTTCATTGATTGCTAGCAGTCCTTCCTTCTCTTCGACCATGAGTCGACGATTGGCCAATTCAGTAATCTTGTTTTGCAGCAGTAGGCTGCTCAATATGGAGGTCTTCATCTTTTCGGAAAAGCCAGAATAGTAAATCGGTTGACCGATAGGGTTGTCATATGCACGCCATCCCGTGCCGGACATGTATAGGCTCACTTCCCGGAGAAAGTGGAAGGGGTTCTCGCGAAATCGCGCCATGTTGCTGACAAGGTTGCGTTCGGAGATTTGTTCATGTTGGGTTTCCGGACCTCCAGTGAAGCCGGATGGATGTATTGTCAACTGTGAGTTGACGATTTCTAGATCGGGTGCCGAGTTGTCATCGGCAATAGCCGACTTAGGAGACGGCATTGTAGAAGGGGGCAGGGCGAGAATGGTTATACTTCAAGTCAGCTCACGAGAAAGCAGTTAGGTCCATGGGAGAAAAGAAGAGGAGGAGTCAAATGAGAAGCTTAGAGGAGAAGTGCGGGACCAAATCATAGCTTGAACCCCCAAGCTCTCAAGCGGCAATCAGCCCGCGGATCGCCCCCGGATGTTTTCTCGGATTCCCCAGAGATCAGCCGAGGCAGGTCACGTGGGCTTGACTGAGATGTGCCCGTAGCTCTCATCCCAGGCTCGTTTTCTGTTCATTAACCTCACACAAGATGTCTCGCTTGGTCAATGGAGCGAGGTCGTTTTCGAGTATGTCTCTTTCATGGAAATTCTAGCGCCAGATAAGCTCAATTTATCCTAGTGACGGCTTTATCGCTCTTTGCCGACGCGACCGCGGCTTCGCAATCTGTTCGCCGACCATCCAGCTTTCAAGTCTTTCGTGATGTTCCCTCGATCCGGGGACTCCGGCGCCAATTGTTGCAAAAGAACCGGAGTGTAGGCTTCGTTCCTACCATGGGCGCACTTCATGAGGGTCATCTTTCCTTAATTCGACAAGCTGCTCGCGAGAACACAGACATTTTCGTCAGCATCTTCGTCAATCCCACACAATTCGGAGTCACGGAAGATTTGTCCAGCTATCCCCGCACCTGGGATACTGACGTTGAGAAGTTGGAAAGGCTGAATGAGGAGCTCGAGCGGTTGGGCGAAAACAGTGCAAGTGCCGGGCGTATCACCGCCATTTTCGCACCGACTTCGAAGGTTATGTACCCTGGTCTTCCCCCGTCGTCGGAGGTTGATGGAAACGGTTCGTTTGTCACAATTACTCCGTTGGCTACCAAACTGGAGGGCGCTTCTCGTCCGGTATTCTTCCGAGGTGTGGCGACAGTTTGCATGAAGCTTTTCAACATCACAACCCCCGACCGTGTCTACTTTGGCCAGAAGGATGTGCAGCAGACTGTGGTCATCAAGCGCATGGTAGAGGATTTCCATGTTGGTACCGAAGTGCGAATCATTAAAACTACGCGTGAACCTGATGGCCTGGCGCTGAGCTCACGAAACGTCTACCTGGGCGACCGGAGACGAACCGTTGGGCTCACTATCTACAAGGCACTGAAAGCCGCAGAAGAAGTATATCTGGGCGGCAAGAACAGCCGGGCAGATATCCTTGGAGCTGCTCGTAATGTGACAGATTCCGTCTTTTCCGGACAAAAGTCCCTTTCGCCATCCGAGAGAGCACTTTACGAGGTCGACTACATTTCTCTTGCCGATCCTGATACCCTTGACGAGCTGGAAGTCGTTGACCCGGCTAAGGGTGCGGTTTTGAGTACCGCATTCAAGATGGCACCGCTGGAAGAGTCTAAGCCAGGCGAAGCTTGTGGATTGGGTGATGGAAAGGTCCCTGTGCGACTGATCGACAACATCATCTTGGATCCTCGTGCTTGATACTATATCGACCACTCAGTAATGAACATCTAACACTTTAGCATAACATGGTTTGGAAGCAAGCCGCTCACATACATTACTTAAAAGCAAGATAGACATCAAAATATTCAAATATATCTCCATTTACCTTTTGCAGTTCAACGTAAACAAAGTAGGGCAAATCCTTAGGGCGGAGAAAATTTGCCTGAGAGCCTGGAAGTCTTGGCACCGAAAAAAAGTCTCGAAAGCTTTTGGATCGCCGGTTCAACAAAAATCTTCACAACTCCTCCCCATTTTCATAGGGGATCACCATATTTCAAAATGGCGGACGATGGAATGCTTATGAACTTTAGCATTGGCGACAGTGTCATCAAGCCTGAGGCTAAGTTCAAGGGAGGAACATGGCGAGACCGACTCACCGCAAAGAAGCGCTCAGCCCACCGAGTATCTGAGAAAGAACCCGGAGATGGAGATGCAGCTGCGCGAAATGCAGCATCTAAGAATCCGAACCAGATCCAACTCGGTGCACGGCCCGTGAAAAGACAAAGGACGGAAGACTCAGACTCGTTCAATCGTCCTAGCGCCCCGCGCTCTGGCGGTGATCGACGACAACAGCAACACCCACGAGATCCCCGCCATTTTGTTTCCTCGCTCTTCAGTAGCAATCCTGAAGCGCGCAATCCCGAAGGACCCAAGGAGGAGAGAGACGCAGAAGACGCGAAACCGACTAATGCGCCGCTGATCGACGGACTGGATACTTTCACGAATCTGGGCCTGTCTCCCAATCTCGCAGCACATCTGCTCACAAAGCTGGAACTTAAGGCGCCGACAGCTATCCAGACAAGCTCAATTACACAATTGCTGAAGGAGGAAAGCGATGCTTTCATCCAGGCCGAAACTGGTTCCGGAAAGACGCTGGCTTATCTTCTGCCGCTAGTGCAGCGAATTATGGATCTCTCAAAAGCGAAGAACGAACATAACGATACCCAAGTCCACCGAGACAGTGGATTATTCGCTATTATCTTGGCACCCACCCGTGAACTGTGCAAGCAAATCTCCGTCGTGTTGGAGAACATCCTGCATTGTGCGAACTGGCTTGTTTGTGGAACGGTAATTGGTGGAGAGAAAAAAAAATCAGAGAAGGCACGGCTGAGAAAAGGATTGAACATTCTTGTCGCAACACCTGGTCGATTGGTAGATCATCTCGACAATACGGAAGCGCTGGATGTCAGCAACGTGCGGTGGCTCGTGCTTGACGAGGGTGATCGTTTGATGGACATGGGATTTGAGGAGGAACTGCAAGGAATTGTCAAGAAACTTGACGCTAGGCAACGCCCGAGCCGCGTTCCCGGTGTGCCCACGCGCCGGACGACAATTCTTTGCTCTGCTACGCTAAAGATGAATGTCCAAAAACTAGGAGAAATCAGTTTAAAGGATGCGGTACACATCAAAGCCGACCCGTCCGAGGAGGACGACGAGAAGCCAAATGAGGACGAGGAAGAGTCATTCCGTGTCCCCGCCCAGCTTAAGCAGTCGTACGCGATTGTTCCAGCTAAGCTACGTCTGGTTTCATTAACAGCCTACTTGAAGAGGACGTTCATGCGAAAGGGATCAGTGATGAAGGCGATTGTTTTCATGTCTTGCGCCGACGTAGTCGATTTCCATTTTGAGCTATTCTCAAGGAATCAAGACCGCGAGCAACAAAGGAAGAGCGACGGAGAAGAAAAAGACGAAAAGGATGAAAAAGATGAAGAAAAAGAAAAACTGTCACCCCATGGCACCATTGCTCTCGGTAGAGCATTCTCGACCCCAGCGAATCCGGTCCTCTTGCATCGACTACACGGCTCACTTCCCCAGAACGTTCGAACCGCCACCCTTGGCTCTTTCTCTCGCAGTACTGAGGCTTGTGTCATGATCTGTACTGATGTGGCTTCGCGTGGTTTGGATTTGCCCAACGTGGACTTGGTTGTCGAATACGACCCTGCCTTCAGCTCTGATGACCACACTCATCGTATTGGTCGTACTGCTCGTGTTGGACGAGATGGCCGTGCCCTCGTCTTCCTTCAGCCTGGCTGTGAAGAGAACTATGTTGAAGTACTAAAACGTGGCTACCGCGATGGAGGCAAGGCGCTCACCCGCACTGATGCAAACGAGATTCTCAAGCGTGGCTTTGGCGGCAACGACAACAAAAAGAAGAACTGGGAGGAGAAGACGACCGATTGGCAGATGGACGTGGAGCGTTGGGCACTCGATAACCCTGAATATCTGGAAATGGCTCGACGGGCATTCCAATCTCATGTTCGAGCTTACGCGACTCACACCTCAGCTGAGCGAAGCATGTTCGACATTAAGGAACTTCACTTAGGTCATCTTGCAAAGAGCTTCGCCCTGCGCGATCGACCGGGTAAAATTAACGTCCCCGGTCTGCGACCTGGACAAGAAGACACCAAAAAGGACTTCAAGGCAGCCCGAAACGGTGTTTCAGGCAATAAGAGAAAGGCCGATGACGATCCATCTTCAACAAATGTTACGGACGAGGCTGCTCGCAAGATGAGAGCCAAGATGAGGGAGCATATGTCTGGAGCTAACGAGTTCAACTTGGCTTGATTTTCGCTCAGTGGACTCCCTCAAAAAAGCATGGGCGCATGGTTGTTTTGTAGCATTAGCATTTATCTCAGTAGATATCCCATAATGAAATCTTCCCGTCCTTGGACCCAGCCGCTAGCCAATGAGTTTCTTGTACTTTTTGATTCCGTTGTTGCTGCACTGTTGCGAGAGAGTAGTCGCGTACGTCGATGACTGTCTGTCCTGCTGCGCCCTGGTCTGTATCTCGAGGTTCTTGTCTTGCAGACTCAGGCGATGAAGACATCAACGAAGACGTGCTTTCAGTGTCCCCAAACGCTACAGAATAACAACCATCCTTGTGCCACTTCAGCACAGCCAGCTCCTTCATGGTTTTAGCCGAGTATACCCGGATCCTGCCGTCCCAGCCAGCAGTAGCAAATACCTTTCCATCCGATCTGATCTGCAGACCCTGCTGACCCGAATGCTTTGTGTTGACAATCTTCAATGGGGATTCTTCTTTGTAGCCAGGAGTAGGGATATAACCCGCAGGCCCTATGCTGGGGATGGGATGCTTGACGATCAGAGAATCCGCAGAAGAAGAGATGAAGTATCTATGGGAGGGGGCGACATCTATGGAAAGAACCGGCTGGGAATGAGGGTGGCCAGCGTAAAGCTTGTCCCATTTCAAAGGGTTGCTGCTAATATACTCACGCTCAAAGCTGGCCGATTTGAGAGCTCCACGATGAACGAAGACCATCACATGGCCATCTTCATATGCAGAGGCGACGTAGAGATCCCCAGAAGGTGACGTGAAGAGATTTACAGCCATCAACATTCCAGTTTGGATAGATTGATCAGATGGGATAGTACTGATCCTGCGTTCAGATGGTAGGTGAAAAATATCGACACCACCCGAGTCTAAGGCATTGGGTACCGCAAAGAGAGTATTCTCTGGTTTTCCAGATTTGGATGGAGCTCCAGGAAGTCCATCCGCATTCACAAATGCTATTGAGAATGCGCAGAAATTGAGGGCATTCACGGGCAAGGAATGGAGTAACCACGGCTGGCTTTTATTTTCTGGCTGTGCGGACTCAGCCACATCCACTGGAAGCGTTTTATCAAGGAAAGATTCATCCTCTGGTCGAAGCTTCCACACACATAGTTTGTGGTCGCGGCCATGTCTATTGCAGATGTTAGTAGGATAGCCGATACCTCCAGGGCTAGGTAGTGGTGGATGAATCATCATACGTGTAAATCTCAGTCGCACCTAAGTCAACATTAAAGCCTCTCGCCTCCAAAATAGCCCCCTCGTGGGCCTTCCACCCCGTCACAGGGCGTTTGGTGACCAGGTCCCAAACGACGATCCAGCCATTGGCGTCGCCGGATACAAGCCGTAAATTCTGGCTGTAGATGTTCAGGGCATGAATTGGAGAAGCATGTCCACGAAGTATGTATACTGGGGTAGCTGGAGATTGAGCTTGAACTGATTTGGTGTCCATCCCAGATACCGTGTGGTTGTTGCTTGTTGATATATTCTCTTGTATCTTCGGCAGAGGTGTGTGGAATTGCCTGCCTACACCGCCACACTTGAGCCTCACCTACAAATAAGCTACAACACCTAGATATCTATGTTGGATGGCTATGACTGATAGAAAAAAGGGTTATATTCTTATATTCCAGAATACAGGGACGCAGAAAACAGGCTGGCCAAGGAGCTTTGTTTTTTTTCCGTTTTTAGTCCAGTTTTCTTTCTCGATAATAATGTGAATTGCAGTTATATATCGACTTATGACCGCAACTTTCGTCGACCGATTCGGCAAACTTGAACGGACTCCCTCGCATCGGTAATTTGCCCTTTCCCCCGGGGCCGATCAGATTAACTCGGTTCCTATACGATAGTTGAGGGATACACAATCTCCCGAGGTCCAGGCTGTAGTAAGCCTCCATATAACTTCAATCGCACCACTTCTTTCTGACTGGAGCACGTCTTATCAACCCCAACACCCTGAAGATTAGCGCTTGGACGATTTCCAATGTTGTTGATATCTACATACCTACAGAGCATAGTAGAGTACACTTTCATCGAGATTTTAGATACTTTAACAGGAGGAAATTCAACTGGTTTGTATTACTGCGTTTCGATATCCGCACAAATTCATAGATCAAGAACAATTGCAAATCACTTAAGGCTCAGCCGGCAGATCATGTTCACCTGGCCCCTCATTGTACCTGTTCGAGGTTCTAGGCTTTGCATGACGGAGACGGTCTCCTTTTAGGACATTAGAGTTATCGATTGCTTCGTTCTCGTCTCTCTCTATAGACGCTATTAGTTCGCTGATACTTGGATATTTGCCAAGAAATACAATATGGACTTACCAAGCTGCTGATCAGAATTTGAATAAGGTGGTTGTATTGGGTCATCAAATGGCTGTTCATCTCCCTGGACGGGGACTTGTGCTCTCAAGCTTGGATCGGTCTCTTCGACATAAGAGTCATCTGCGAAGGTTCCGGTCACGGGCGAAGGGTCATTGTCTCTTTCATAATTATCTTCTGCAATTCTTTCGGCAGGGTTCGACATATTGTAATCTGAGTAAGTTGTGTGTGTGCAATTTTCAAACTTTTCAACGCAATATTCACGAAAAGGAGGATGAGGCGTCCTTCAAATATACCAGTTGTCGGAAGAGTCCCGAACCTGTCGTTTAGACCAGAGCTTGGCCATGCTACTTTTTGCCCAATTGTTCAACGTATATAGTACGTAATTCAAAGTTTGTGGCAACCATACGTCGTTATGATCGGGTGTTTATTTAAGAACCGAGCAAGATGAAATATGAAGTCATAAGCCACGAGGTAGCGACTGTTGTGGCAAGTATTGCGCTCAACAGCAAGACCACAGTCAAAGCTAGCTGGTGTCATAATTCTCCAACATCGTTCTCTCTAGTCGCCAAGTTGTTGTGTTAATAAATCACGTTCTCAGATATATATCTATACATGGTAACAGTTCTTAAACCCCACCTTCCTGGCCATTTCTAAATTCAACAACTGAGATACATGCTAGTTTAATCGTCTACAACGCTTCATATTAGTCATGCAATACTGGAATAGACAGTGAATGTCCCAAAGTAGGTGGGAACAGCCCTGCCATGGAGCTTTTTTTTTAGCGAAACCTAGCGTTATTGTATTCACAGGGGTATAAGCAGTATGAATGTGAAGTTGGACAATAAAATTCATGATTCGTCAAAGTGTTTGAAGCATCAAATCAGATCAAATGACCCATAGTGATACTGATTGAGTGCATGGTGGTGATGTGGTGGCACATAGTATCCTTGATACGGGTGGCTCTCCAATGAGAAGTCACCCCTAGTCAACAAGGGATTGTGTAGACTTGGAGATGAGTCCGGGTGATTGGAGACTGATAGGGATGGGTCTAATTCATAGAAGTGGTTGTGCATCTGGGCTGGCGTCACCATGTGTGGGTGAGCTTCGGCCCAGCTCCAAATTTGTTTGAGATCGTTTTTGATTGGTTCAGCACTGCTGCAAGTCACTTTCGTGATGGTATCAAAGATGCCGAGTACCTCCTCTTGGGCTTCTCGTGTTTCTAAGCACTCTGCAGCGAGTACAAGAAAGTACAGGGATATATCCGCCACACTTCTGCTCAACTGGTTAGACAGATAATTCTAAAATTTTGGTCATGATTTGTACTAACCGATCTGTGGTGTAGGCAATAATGCCACAAATTTCGTGCGCATGGCTGCGTTGCATCTTTCGCATATCCTCATCGAACTCTGACTGAAAAGGGTGTGTTTTGGCCAGCATAATACGAGTCGCGTGGTAGAATAATTGAGAAACAATGGCAGATCGGTTGACAAGCCTACGAATATTAGTTGATGAACAGGTTGAATGCGAGAATTGAGGACATACCAAACTTCAGGAAAGACCGATTTGGAACTTGTTTGCCATGGCTGCAAATGACCAAGAGGTACAAGGGATCTAGGAATGGATTTCGCCCATTGGTCACACCACCTGTTGTGAGTGATCCATTCATGATCGTTGAGCTGGATAGCCCGCGCCACACCGTGAGATGGGCGCGAAGATGCTTTGAAGGTCATGACTCTCGCGAAAATATAAAGTATCCGATGATGCCATAGATCTTGATTGCCTCCATTTGCGGCTTGTGGATGATCCATGTCCATATCGATTCCCCATGTATTTGGATCCCAAGACAATGTCCAATTATATCGCATACAGTTCAGGAGTTCTGCGCCGACGCTGATCCTGAAACATGCTCCACCCAGCCCAGGGGTTTTGGCATTCCAGCCACATTCTCTGATCAAAGCCCGGGAGCCTGCGCTGTGATTTCCACTGTGGCTTGATTGGCTTTGCATGGTTTCGGAGAAGCCGAGGGCAAGGGCCGCTGTTGCGCATAGTACAGAGTCACGGTTAGGATCATGTACCGCATTCAGAAGATCCCGAGTAGCTGCGTCATAATAATGTGTCGCTTTTTCATCCCCGTAAGAAGGGTCTACAATAGAAAGATGTCTCGCACCACACGCAAGAAATGCCTTGAGCAATATGGGCTCACTAATGGCAAAACCCGGAAGAATCTGGGAAAACTGCGCTTTGTGAGCAGATTGTAAGAATGTAATGTGGGGAATTTTACTCACATGGTTCATTTCATCCATTATATCCAGGCGGGGACCGACCTCTTCCATGAATGTTCTGAGAAGAGATACTTGCTCTGGGTCAGTGAGAAAAGGATAATATTCATGTTTCCCAGCCAGTTTTCGCGCAAAATTTGACGTCCCGTGCGGAAGAAGTTCATCTCCTGGTACCAAGTGAGACTGGTGCCAAGTATCACTTCCAACAAAGTCCGTTGCATTTGGGTGTGGGATATCAAAGCTCAGCGGGTCAAACGAATGTGCCATTGATTGAAAAAGATTTGTCAAATCATCATCCCCTATAAAGTCAAAGTCATGTGGCGAATCTTGGTTCTCTTGAACAGGACTCTCTGGCTGAACGGGTGGGTATATCTCGAAACCTCCCACATACAGAGACGCGATCAAACGCGAGTCATCTCGAAATGTCACCTTCGATCCGTGGGGCCGAGCGATGATGTGTGGAGGCGCCACAGTTTGAGTATCAATGAAATTGAGACGGACACCACGTCGACAGATGCGATCCGATTTGCGACAATTGAGACATCGTCCCACGGCTTCGTCGCACTTCAAATGTCTTTGGCGACAAGTGAGGCAGCCTGTGCGTACCCTCCTAGCTTTGGTATCTGGGGCATCTGAGGATTTCTTGCGACTGGAGCGGCGGGGTGTGCTTTGTGAATCGCTTGCCTGGCTTTTTGGAGTGGATGTCCTCGTGCTGGCGCTGGGCGACTGCGGCTGCGTCTCCGCTTCTTTTCGGAGGTTCATATTTCCTTGATAAATTGCTGATTGCGATAGCTCTTGCTCTTGTGAGCGCAACTATGTTTCTAGTCCCCGGCGCCAACTGGAGTCCCAACTGATAGAGGCTTCCCGAATACACAATATGCCGTTGTAGGTTCTAACCAGATGGCCATATTCGTTGTTGACTGGCAAGAGGAGGTTCAGATAGAGAGAATAGGATTTCGATCTGATATTCAGGTGTAGATTTGAATCTACCAGCCGGCGGCACAGGAGGGGCAGGAACGAAGGGATCGGCGAATAATCCTGGGGCAAAAAAGGGTCAGCTGAGGATTATGGTCCTCGTGTGAAAGTACCGTATGAAATACTCACTGGCCCCTTGCTTATGTAGCCACACAGACTTCTCAAGTTGCGGAGAAGTGGATGTCAAGTTAAAGAAGTCAAGAAAAAAAGGTGGGTCGCATTGCCAAGATCGCCGATATACGGAGACGGTTGAGTACGGAGTATACGCATACATAATTTATATCAACTCAAACAAATACAGTCAGAATTAAAATACTTATAACACATTTTATCCGAAACATGCTGAGATTTGAAGCCAATATGCAATCTTCGGTGTCAAAATACCGAACCATCTCAGGGACACCGTCTAGGCCTTTCTCCCCAACCGCGGTAGTCGGACTCGACCCAACAATATTAACACAATGACTGCCCATAAGGCGGCAGATATGAAGGTCAGTTGAAGAGCGGCGGAATATGATAGAGTGACTGGGTGGTTATTAGCAAATCAAATCGGCATTCCAAGGGGATGAGACACACCTTCTCGCCGATGGATTGGATCCAAGTGAGCGATAGTATCAACAGATTTGCGGACAAGTGCAATGATATGGTTCTTCTCAAAACCAGTAACATTTTTGTTAAGCTGGTATATGAGACTGTTCTGAAAGATCCAGCTGCTGACAGCCACACCCATCACGGCGCCAAGGTTTCTCCACAGCCCCAGAGTGGTTGTTGCGACGGCCTGATCTTGTTTCTCGCTCGTGGCGAGGATAGATACCATCAAGCTGGGAAATGCGAAGCCCTGACCTAGACTGGAGAATGAGATGCAGATCATGGAGAGTGGTTGAGAGGTGTCAATCCCCATGGATGCAGCTGCACATCCACCTATCACCATACAACATACACCGATGATGACATAAGGTTTGAGACGTCTGGTCCAGTTAATCATGAACCCGGTGCTCACGCTAGAGATAGTCACAGCTATGGAGGAGGCCACAAGGCGTAGCCCAGAAGCAGTTGGGCTGGTCAGCTTCACCGCCTGAAAATACAGCGGAGCATTGAACAGCATGGTGTGTACAGACATGGAGGCAAAGAAATTGCCAAAGATGATACTAGCTCGAGGATCCGTTGCCATGAGCTCAATTGGTAGCACGGGTCGTGGAACGTGCAGCTCGTAACGTACCAAGATAACCGCTAGGACTAACGATGACACCAGGGAGATGATAATGAGTGGATGGCTCCAAGGATAGACATTGCCTCCGAAGTTCAGACCCATGATCAACAGAGTCACACATATAATCAAGATGATTGATCCCAGTATATCGATGCTCCGGACTAACTGCCAGACTTTCATGCGCTCCATTCCAGTTTGTTTAATGCCGAGATCTGCCGGGACTGTCCAAGCGGCTGCTATAAAGTAAACGAAGATGAAAGGCAGTTGGATGAGAAACGCACCCCGCCAGCCGATATGATCACACAGGTAACCCCCAAAGGCAAGGCCGAGGCTACCGCCGATGCCGAGACACAGATTGATGTATGATTGGTAGACACCGCGATACTCGAGACGTACCAAGTCACTAGAGATGATCTGACCAATGGAGAAGATACCACCCGCACCAAGCCCACACAGCGCGCGGGCAGCGATGAAACTGCCGATACTTTGCGCTAAGCCACAGCCTGCTGTCGTGAGGAAGAACATGGCGATAGAGAAGAGATAGACATGCTTTCGGCCAAATGCGTCAGAGATGCGTCCCAAGAGCGGCATAAATGCGGTCGATGTCAACAAAAAGGCCGTCGATAACCAGGAGGCTGAGTTGGCTGCTTCGAAGTAGGAGGTGATGACTGGATGGCTTGAAGCCATGAGCGTTGAGTCAAAGAAGCCGATCAGGTAGCCCATCATGATACCACTAAAGATGATCCAAAACCTTGTCGGTGATATATCAATGAATCTCGAGGCGTAATCCTCCCCATCTTGGGTTGAGATGTTCGGCTGTTGGTTGGGCGAGCCAGCCCCAGAAGCCGGACCAACATCGAGTCCTTCGGCAGAGCTTGCACTGGATATACAGCGAACGTTGGCTTCTTCTTCTTCTGTATCTCTGTATGAGCAGACTGATTCAACATCCGTTGCAGAATACGAGACATCGTGATAACTCGTTTTCCGATGGACCGAATTCTTGCGCAGGAGAGGGGTGGCTTCAGAGGGACATGATTGCCCCTCGTTGTCACTGGGCATTTTTTAAAAAAAATTTATGAAGACAAATGTATGAAAATGTTATTTCATGAGGACGAAGATTCTGCAAGCACGCAATGTAATTACAGCGAACGCCATCAACAGCGGCTCATGGGTTTCGAAAGCAGTGGTGACACAAAAATAAGGGAAAAAAGAGAGAAAATCCGGGCGTATGGGGATATGATATTTATACCAACGCTAGGGCTGCAAGATCCTTTTATTTGATGCAACACAGCATCAATTGCATTGCCGAGGGGTAAAAAAGGGCGATCCGCCGAAGGCTCATACTTTGTAGATGTTTGCCACATCGGGAATAGCGTGGTTGGTCAGCAGGGTCCGATCTCGGGGTCCGATAAGATAAGGGAATATTGTCTCGTCTTTCTCCAATTGCTACGGAGTAACTAACTAGATCTTTTTGTTTTATAACTGTATCCCATTGTTTGCAGCTTCAAATCATCCAGAACAATGCAACCCCCGCTCCGCATAGCCGTCTTGGAATGCGACACTCCCCTTGACAGCATCAACCGCCGCTATAATGGATATGGCGGGGTATTCCGCGCGCTCCTCAAAGCTAGTGTCAACGCCTTGAACGAGCCAGAAAGACTCGACCCAGAAACAGGACTGGAAATTACAGCTTGGGATGTAGTCAACGACGACAAATACCCGAAGCTGGAAGACGTGGATGCCGTGCTTCTAACAGGATCAAGTGCGTGTTGACTCGGTAGGCCCAGAGCATTGAATGCATACACTAATCACAGTAACCATAAGCCAGAACACAACTCGTTCGAAGACATTCCCTGGATCAATCGTCTCGTCGAATTCACTCAACAAGTTCTCTCGCAGGATCGGGTCCGCCTACTCGGGATCTGCTTCGGACATCAAATCGTTGGCCGCGCATTAAACAGCAAGGTCGGACGAAGCGACCAAGGTTGGGAGATTGCCGTGTGTGATATGGATTTGACCGATAAGGGAAAGGAGCTGTTTGGGAGAGATAAGATCGTGAGTACCCTGCGCCTGCGTCATGTGTAACACACGGCTTCATACATACATACCCATGCACCCGAGTCCATATGTAGACACTTGACCTGACCTTTCCTTCTCGCAAATAGCGCATCCAGCAAATGCATCAGGATATTGTATTTAATTATCCCCCGAACGTGGTTCCTCTGGGCTCATCCCCGCGCTGCGCAGTGCAGGGTATGTATGTGCCGCGCCACTTTATCACTCTTCAGGGCCATCCTGAATTCACGGGAGACATCATCACGGAGATTATCCGGACTCGGGCCGAGGGCGGTGTTTTCAAGGAGGAACAAGCTCAAGATGCTTTGAGCAGAGCTAATATTGAACATGATGGTGTCGCCATTGGGGTGGCGTTCCTGAAGTTCCTACTGGAGGACTAAAGGCACGCATACATATTTCATGCAACACAAGCGAACTGCATTAGATTTGTTTTGGCTTCTGCCCGGCTCTCTGCCGAATCCTGCTTGGTGTTCTTTTAGACATTCTTTTAGACTAGTATCAAATAAATATATCTTCATGTACATGACACGCACTAGGATAGTTACTTGAATGCCATTAGAGACGACGGCCTCGCAATACCTACATACATACATGTACATAGTGATAGGCGGTGAAGTGCTATTTTGGAATGATAATTAGGTCCGTTCTGTTACATGGAGTAAAACCTATCCAAAGTATGAGTTACACCTATATTCACTATATCACTAGGAAGGGCCTAGGGAATGAGTACGACCGACAGAGTCCAGCCAGAAAGTGGGTGTGACATTGAATAGCTGTATAATAATCCAAGCCACCAAACAGAGCTGTGAAAACAGCTCGCCACCGACGCTGGATATGGGCCAATACCCAGACTGAAACAAGAGAGCCGAAAAAGAGCTAAAGCTAAGGACTCTAAAAGAAGTGGGGAGAAAGAAACCCTGGTATCGTTATAAATAAGATCGTTGAGGAGTGCCCCAGGCAAAAACCCCATGGAATTCATAATCAGACAAAACGCCTCCTTCCGCAAGCCCATAGGCCGCGAGCCCCGCAGGGCTATGCAATATGCAAACCCAAGAAACCAATCGCTTCATCACTAACGCCGTTTTTTTTTTCGATGCAAGAGAAAGCGCTAAAGATGCTCAAAGGTCTAGCCAGAGAATGGCAAGAAACAAATAAATCAGCTCGAGCGCGGGCGGGAAAGTCGTCTACTGCGACGACATTTCTTCTCGCCCATGTCCGGTTGTTCCGGGTTAGTGTTACCCGGGGGAGTGCGGTCTGTGGCCTGACTGTCTTCAGTGTCGGAGTTCATCTATTGAACGAAACGTCAGTAAATATCCCATATGGAAACCTTTGGTTGGAGAACTTACTCGAAGATTCAAGGAGACAACCTCGTCATAATCATCCCTGAATGAGATACCAACGCCTAAGGTAAGATTGGAAAGGAGCCGTTTCTTAGGTCGGGTGCGTCGCGCGGGACGAGGATCTTCAGAGTCGTCGCTGTCTTCTGCGGACCGCTTGCTACCCGTGCTGAATGGAGAAGAAGAGCGTGAGGCCTGCAAGCTTGGTTTGATAGGAATTCCGGGGGCAGCTTTCCTATCAGATAGGACGTCTGTCTTCTCGTCTAGGAGCGCGGCGAATGCACGGTCAATGTCACCACGACATCTTTGGAGCATGTTCACAATGGTCTCCCGGTCATATCGGCCACCCAATCCTTCTTGGATAGTTTTGATATCCCAAGGAGGATATAGGTCAACAGCAAGGCTAGCATCGTTGGTTGTATAACTATCAACGGCTTTTTCCTCCTGTGAAGAGAATTGTTCATGATCGAAGTCGGCTTTGGAGTCTGGAACGACCTCGGACTTGATTCCCTCCTCGAAGGGCTGGAGAGGGTTTAGCTTGGTAAGAAGCCCTTCATGCTTGCCCTCGATACCCCGCACTGAAGAGTAGTGCTTGAAGTCCTGTGCTCGTTAGTGGCTTGATGACATTGTACGACGCTCGATGACATGTACAACAGCAAGGCACTTACATGGAAGGCTACGTGCAGAACATCCCGATATTGATTTGGGAGGGCATTGACATCCTGGAACACCGAAACACCATCCATGGTGTATACATTCAAGTCGACCTTGAAGACCTGACAAAATGCCTGGAGATGCTCGGAGCTACCCCACTCCCCGTTCTTACGGGTGGTAGCAATCATGCCTTGGAATCGCCGTTCCATGTCCTCCTCGGAGGGAGCAGAGACATCGGCAGATCGAGTAGCATACGCAGAGGCAGCCGCACGTTTAGGGCGGCGGCGCTCCCCACCTTCAGCAACGACAAATTGCATGAAGTAATCTTTATTGGAAGCCATGTGACTGGCAAGAAGCTGTCGAATTTCGTCTGCATGGTGGGTGTCGCCATACAGTTGGTCGGAGAGGGAGTAATAGAGACAATTGCCTGCGATTGGACGCGTCAGAATAAGTAAAACAACGCGGTGCAGCTTCCAAAGACCACTATAGAGCTCAAAAATCATGCAACAAGTGTAATTGGCTTACCATCTCCCTCCGTGGGGATTGCATAAAGGCCCCTTTGTTGGAGAGAGGGCATTTCTAAGCTCGCATGGTGCACGGGCTTGACCTGTTTGCAAGCTTGTTGGTCCTGCGACAGGCGGGGCGTGGTCGGTGTGGAAGGAATTGGAGTAATAGGGATGGGAGGAAGAGATCCGTCTAACAACGCAGACACCTCGAGGGTGGGATCGCGAGAATCAGAGCCCGTAAGTATGGGCACGATTCTGCCACCATTAGTGACGAGTGACATATTGGAGGGAACACTCGAATAAGGGTCGGCATTTATGGGAGTATAGAGGAATGGCTAAACAAATAGACCGATCAAGAAGGGAGAGAAGATGGAGAAAATTGAAAAATTGAAGTTATTGATCTAAGAATGGCAAACAAAAGGAGCCCGCCGAGTGAATTCGGGCCCTGCGGGTGGTTTGAAAAAGGAAATTGTTCGGCCCTTCGATGCCCATTTCAGTGTTGGGGGCGGGGCGGTGAGCCCTAATGCTCAGTGATTGGCCACAACTAGGCGTTTGCCCACTATGACATCGCTCGGGTTTCTTTGTATAGCAAGACTTCAGGGCATTCGATTCTATATTTAGCAGAACAAAGCTTCCTCCAGGTGTTCCTGCTCGGAAATATCTCAAATCAGAGTCATTTACGAGAACACTGACCGCGAATTGAGGTAATTGAAGAGCCCTGGCATATAGCCCTAGGATCAAATGTGATCGATCGGAGTGGAGTCCGGAGTGATGGAGCGGGACTTTACGGAGCTCCTTGCTGGGGTCCAGGCGAAGTCACTGATACCTTAAGACTAAATCAAGGGTCTAAGAGAGTTCAGAAACAAAAGCATTGAGATTGATCAAAGCTTTAGATTTCCGTTGCAACAATGCTTCCAATGCTTTGACCAGGAGCACATCACCTCCGCATAAGTGCGGAGTTGTCTTTTAAATCTTCGACCGCCGTGTCTCCACTGAAAGTTCCCAGGCCGTTTATTTCTTTTTTTTTTTGGTGGCATGTGATTGGATAAAGCTTACACCGCCCCGGTAGCACTTCCCGCAATTGGCCAAGTACAAAGTGAGGTAATCAGACCACCCGGTCCACGGGTGTCCACCTGCCCTGGAGGGCAACCCTTATCAGCTGAATGGGACAACCAGCTATCTCTCCCCTCACCCCGCTCGTCTTAGCCCACATTTAAGGACAGCGGGCCCCTTCCGAGTCACTTGTGCCGTGTTTTCCTAAGAACTTCCAGGTCAAATTGTCCATTATGACTAACAACATTGTGGTTCTGGGGTAAGATCAACCTCCCAAGTTCTCTAGCTCCAATTCTACTGGACCGCACTTCGAGCCTCTACTAACGGATGTAACAGCGCCGGTGTGTCTGGTTTGACCACCGCATATCTGCTGTCGCAAGACCCCGCCAACAAGATTACTGTTTTGGCGAAGCATATGCCTGGAGACTATGATATTGAATATGCGTCCCCATGGGCCGGTGCCAACTATATGCCGTATGATCGACTGAAACCGGCTGCGCGATAAAGTTCTGATCAAGTGGATGTTTTATAGGGTGGGAAAAGAGGGAAGTGCTCATCAGAAATGGGAGCGCGATACCTGGCCAGCATTGAAGGAAATCACCGAGAAGTACCCAGAAGCTGGCATCCACTTCCGAGGTATGATACCGGCCCAGAACTTGATCAGCATCCGCAGACCCTCTAACAGAATGTAGACACCTTGATCTACAACCGGAAGAAGGATCAAGAAACAGACACCGGAAGGTGGTTCTCGGAATTGACCCAGCCAAACCCGTGGTATAAAGATGTCGTGCTTGATGTATGTTTGAACCGTGAGATGGTGCCATAGACTGCCTGCAGACTGACATGATGATGATAGTTCAAAAACCTCCCTTCTGATCAATTGGCCCCCGGAATTGACAACGGCCAGGAATTCGTATCTGTCTGTATCAACACCGCCGTCTACCTGCCGTGGTTGGTCGGTCAGTGCGTCAAGAACGGCGCCGTGTTCAAACGAGCTGTCTTTAAGCATATCGCCGACGCAGCCAATGCCCACCACACCGGACAGAAAGCTGACGTGGTGGTCAACTGCACCGGCCTGTCGGCAAAGACTCTCGGTGGTGTTCTCGACGACAAGATGTATCCCGCTCGTGGCCAGATCGTCGTAGTCCGCAACGACCCCGGCCCCATGATGTCGATATCCGGGACCGACGACGGGGAAGATGAGGCGTTGTACATTATGACTCGTGCTGCAGGTAAGTTCTCATGTGCTGGTTTTATTGTTCGACCGTTGGCTTATTGCTTCTAGGTGGCGGCACGATCCTCGGTGGCTCTTATCAGAAGCACAACTGGAATGGAATCCCAGATATGAACCTTGCCAATCGCATCATGAAGCGTTGCGTCGACATCTGCCCCGATCTCGTTGAGAAGGGGCAGGGAATTGAGGGGTTGGATATCATTCGCCACGGCGTTGGCCTGCGCCCGCTGAGAGAAGGTGGCACTCGCATTGAAAAAGACAAGGTTGACGGTGTGGCCATCGTTCACAACTATGGTCATGGAGGATTTGGCTACCAGGCCTCCTTCGGCTGTGCATATACCGCCGTGGCTCTGGTCAAGGAGGTCCTGCAGAACATATCTCGCTCTAAGCTGTGAGGAAACGCGTTGTATAGATCAATTGTTGTACAGTGTTCGGAAATTTAGTCTCGGCATATAATTTAGCAAAGTCTGGTTGGCCCGTACATGCCATCATGACGTCAATTGATGATTGTTGAAACACTCGATTTGAGACTCAACACGAGAATAATTCAACTCCATTATAATCGTTTCATCAATTTCTCCACAATGTCAGCGCCTACGACCAAGGAAGCAGCAGATAAAATCAACAAAATCCTGAACGAGTTCGGTGTACCTCCTCTACATGGCACAGTACTTGCCGACCCACAAAATGCTAGCCCCGAGGTAGTGTTGGCGATGGTGCTGGACGCCATGATCAAAGCAAGGCCCATCTCGCACGAGTTGACACAGAGAACGATCAAAAAGCTAATTGAAGCCGACTACCATGACATCGACGTACTTTCTAAAAGCACATGGGAAGATCGAACAAAGGTCCTGCAAGAAGGAAGTTACAACCGGTATCGAGAGCAGTGCGCCACCAATCTCGGCGAGCTCGCCAAACTGGTTGTTGAGAGATACGGTACGTCCTCGCTTCTATCTGCGCGGGTGAATTTGCGATGTTATAGTTATACTGCACGTGGAAGTGGAGTCTGACGTCGTATGAGTACAGATGGGGATTTAAATAATCTCCTCAAGCAGGCAGCTGGCAAAATCGACAAAGCTAGAATATTGCTGAAGGAGGTCAGGGGCATGGGTGATTTGGCAGTCGAGGTATTTTTCAACAATGTTCAAGGCATATGGCCAAGCATTGCTCCTTGTCTCGATTCGCGGAGCTTGAAGACTGCTGCTGAGATCGGGATTGGAACTGATTTGGGTAAAATATACAATGTGCTAGAGCGGGACCCCGTGCGTATGAGTCGCTTCGCCAATGGTCTCTCTGAAGTCCGACTGGAGAAAAGGCAGGATGTGATTGAGGAACTTTGACAATGCATACTATAACCATGGGTCTTAACGAGAAGAATGGCAAAATCATCGGTCTTTCCCTCACGAACAAGTATTCCAGAAATTAATCTAAGATAATGATATCTCTTTACTAGACATTTGTCAGGAGCTCGCAACATAAAAAGGCAATGTCATTTTGGCCATCTTGTTCTAACTAGTGGAAAATAGGGAGTAGATATGGTGGTTTTCTTAGTTCTTCAACTCCCCGTCGTTTTCTCTCTCTCTTCCTGCCGCATTTTATCTCTGGATCTTCCCTATTTCACTTCTCTAGCTCGGGGTTCCAGTATCCTATAAACTAATCTTAACGTTTACCATCAAGTCGCATCCACCGTTCGAGGTATCAATGATACCTAAGTGCCCGATGTCAAGAAATCAAGGAAACACTATACCGAATACAGCATAGCACCCGCACTGGCCGGTGCCAGATCACGTGAGCTACCAGTGGCCTTGGCAGACCCGCTGCTTGCGACAGCGCAGCAGCTGTCGACGCCCTCATTTCCACTTTCCCCTGTTCTGCTTCATTCAAACACTAGCCAGCCTTTTGATCAAACGTGTGTTGCTTATTATAGCTTCCCTCAGACCCACTCTTCCATCTCAAAGGTGCGTTTCCCTTTGTCACCAAACCAGCAAACTGAGTTCCGAACTCTAGCGAATCTGACCTCCGTCATCACTTGAGCGATTGGCGAGACCAAGCGGTATCTATATTCGCGTCAAAGCTAACTTGGCACCTTTGAAGACCCGATTTAGTCATCCGACACCGAATCTTCCTTTGTCGAAACTTGGCAGCCTAACGACCCGCCCTCCGCATTACTGATTCGCGAGCACCCAAGGATCACTTTCATCTCATAAACCCTTCAACGAAGCACACAATGGATTTCACAAACATCTTGTATGTTGGCTCTTCGTGAGAGATGGTAGATTTGCGCCAGTACTGATCCTATGCAGCCGTATTGTCAACATCGCCGTGGGTGTGTTTATGGTGCTCGGTGGCATCAGTAACTTCTTCACCGGCACCTGGAGTTCATTCATCCTGGGCGCGTATGCAGTTGTCTTCGGTCTCGGTAGGTCCCCACGATAATCCGAACTCGCAACGTCAATAGTCAAGGCTAACATTATCCTAGTCGTTGGTGGACTGGAGTTCCTCCCTCACGTTCCGGACTACGCGTACCGTTATGCGTCGTTCCTCTTCTCATTCCTCGGCCGTGGTGTCTGTAAGTTAGACCTTTGCATGTCTGCAGATCCGAGGGGGAATTCGGTGGCTAATCACTTGCGCCAACAGTCTACATCTTTATCGGTTCCATCCTGCTGCACGACAACGTGTTGCGCATCATTGATGGTTCGGTGATTGCCTTCATCGGTCTCGGATACGTCGCGTTGGAGTTCATTCCATCTATCGAGCCTCCTTCGAACATGCGCGAATCTGACCAGGGCTGGGGTGCCGAGCAGGTCTAAATTGCCGCTTGAGTAGGCGGCGATGACGATCTTCTGTCGCATTGACACTGTGGTGGAATACTGTCTATTCCGGCAGTTTCCTCCAGCATGTGGTATGCGATGTTCGATGAGCGCAATGACCTTGGGATGTCCTTGATCTCGATTTGATCGAAGGATGTCATTATAAAGAAGAGAATGTGAGGAGAATGGGCGATTCTGCTGGATCTCGGATATTTTTGTTGATACCAGCGTAAAGGGACAGAGACACGTGTACTATATTTGGACGTGGGCTAGCATTATCTAGCAACATTGGCATGCTCTACGGAGTAATGATTGATCGAGTTCTTATTGGAGAAGCCGGTGAGAGATCATCTGATAAATAAAGGAACTAGTGCAGGGACTTCTTGGCTGTGGAGACTGGCATATGTACCGACCACACGGAGACGATGATGTATTACTCCGTGGTCGGGGCCAAGCCTGTACTTTTGTCGTCCGCGGACGGTCCTAGATTTACTCCGTATCCCAAAGTCCAGCGTGGCCACATCGCTTCGGCTTGTTCCATCTCCGAGCGGCCAATCGGAATCGCTAGAGTGTTGATGACAAGATTAGTCAGCCGCTTGCGACCAATCCGAGGCGCTACATATCTGATTGCCTACCAGGGCTCCACCGCAACCTCACTTGGGGATGTGTAATTCCCACTCTTTCCACTTTTACCACCGTTTCCCACCTTTTCCACTGTAATTTTTCACTTTCCAACTAAACTTCATCAGGCCATACGGTGGAGTCAACATGCAATCCTGGGGGAACATAGAATCATGCAGAACCGCCAGAGATTTCCTTGGGGATTAGGATAGCGAATCCCCTAGGCAAAAAAGTACGCCGTAAAATAGAACATGATTAGATGAGATTGATGCGATCCTCGGCAAACGATAGATAAAGTGTGATAGATTGATATGCCGTAGATCCTCCCCTTCCACCTTAGATCGATAAACCCCAACCCTCCCTTTCCTCGGCGATAAGCAATTCGGTCTCGCCTCTTTGTTCTCGGGTTCTCTCCTTTTCCTTTTAATCTTTTTTAGGGTTTCCCACTTATCTTTGACATCTCTTCCATCCCTCGAACTTCCCCTTATCGCTCCCATCACATCTTGTGTGCCCGCTTGCAGTGACGCGGAGTGATCACCATCTTGCAGCTCCCTACCCTTTTAGCCAATCCCTGCCTCGCTAATCGTCCTTTTGCATCGGGCCACCGTCCCCGAACGAAACCGTCCCCCACGATCGCCTGCCAGTCAGACCAGGCCCTGTGGTGTGCTGTCAATTGTCGCAATCACCATCACCTGACTGTTCCACGCCGTCGGGTCGCCACTATTCCATACAGGCCGCTCCATACCTTTTGGTGGCGGGTCAACTACTTTCATCTACTCGACCACTCGATTTCCTGACTCCTGGGTTGGCAGCATCCGACTTCCACTTCTTTTCGACCGCGATCCCGAGTCATCGTCCGCCCTGCGACTCCCCGAGCCTGCAGCATCGTGGCTGCATATCTGCCTGCTGGACTGACTTTCCCATATTTCTCCAACCCGTCAGCTTGACCGACATTTGGTTTTTGAGTGATACGGTGCATTCTGCTCTCGACTGTGGTGCGACATCGCCCTCACATCCTAGGATTATCACCCCCTTCGTTTTTGTCGTTTCGTTCATATTCGATCATCCCGTACTGAGACTCACGGCCGAAGGATTCCTGGCCCGGATCACATCCTGTAATGTTAGCGTCCATCCCACAAATGGAAGCGCTTCACTCTTTACCCCGGAATCAGGACGTTCCAATGCGACAACCGTCCGCGGAGGATTTGGATGCTGCGCAGCAGTTGATCTCCTCAGCACAAGCAGGTCGTGAACATCTAGCAGATCACTACCGGGACGATGGCATGGGGCAAGGATCGGGTCAATCTGGATCAAATCAATGGATTGGACACAACGAAATCCCGAGCGAGAAAACATCCCCCGGCAGCCAAAAAGACACAACTTTTCTAGGGCATTCATGCAGGTGAGTTTCGACTGGGCCTCGGTTGATACTTAGGCTATAAAGACTGACCCCGTCTCTTTTATTCAGTAATTGCGGCACAAAAAGTACTCCTCTTTGGCGTCGTTCTCCCACGGGAGCCATGATCTGCAACGCCTGCGGTCTCTACCTCAAAGCTCGCAATGTCGCTCGCCCCACGAAACGAAATCGGATGCAATCAGAAGGTGCCGAGAAGCCACCGCCTCCTATGCGGTCTCACTGTGGCGGTTCCTCGGAAGGAGGTTGCAAGGGGTCATGCCCTGGCGGTGGGAGTTGTAATGGCACCGGTGGCGCAGAAGGATGCGATGGATGCCCGGCATACAACAACCGGATATACAAGTCCGCCCCCCGGGGAGCGGCTGCCATCCAATCTTCGTGGGGCCGTAACCCAGCACAAGACCTTGAGCCTGTGACGCAAGAGGAGCCACCGGTGAAGGCCCCTGCTTCTGCCGATGGCACTAATACATTGGTTGCTTGTCAAAATTGCGGCACGACTGTGACTCCTCTGTGGAGGCGCGATGAACAGGGCCACCCTATTTGCAACGCTTGTGGTAAGTTTGAGTTTCCATATAGACTTGATGATCTGATTTCTCTAACACAAGACAGGATTGTATTATAAGCTCCATGGATGCTATCGCCCCACCAACATGAAAAAGTCCATCATCAAACGTCGCAAACGGGTTGTTCCCGCCCTACGAGATCAGTCTCCCACCGCTGCTACCCTTTCCTCCAATGGCTCATCGGCATCCCCGGAGGCATCGCCTGCCGCCCTGGCGCATGGCCATGATGATCACTATCGATATATGAGCAGCGAGCCTACGGATCACTACCCGATGATGCCTGGAAAATCCGAAGACGCACCTCGAGTTTTACATTTTGCGCCACCGCCGGTTGATTTCACTGGTTACAATGTTTCATCCGTGCCTCTTGCACATGGTCTCTCCATCTCTCACGGCCTACCTAAACCTTTGGGGGTGGAGCGGCTGGGGCATTCGCCCGCGCCTCAGTACGGGCGACGGTCCGCCTCTCCAAATTCCATCAACCTCCCCAAGAAACGAACATTGGCCGAGACTGCGACAGAGGCTCTACCCGCTCCATCTACATTGGAAGCAGGATCCAACCAACTGCCTCCGATTATGTCTTCGGCCAATCCTACTCCCCCCGGTCGTCTCAGCTCTATCTCGTCTATTCTGAACCAATCAGATGTTCGGGGCGAGCCTCGCTCGGATACCAATCTGGGACGTCCACCTCCTATTCACCATTCTATCTCCCCTTCACCTCACCCGTCACAGCCTTTGCCTGGAATTGCATCTCTTGGAGACTCGGTTGATCGCCGTGCCCGACTTGAACGCGAAGCTGAGCAGATGCGCGAGATGCTCAGAGCAAAGGAGCGCGAGCTGGCAGAGATGAGACGATAGATTCGACGCCGCCCAAGCAATGATGAAAATAATGATATTCAGATAATGTTTTGCCAATCGGTGTTTCTCGTGAGATCAACGGCGCACAAAGATACCACTCACGTTACTGGGATATCCTATCCCTGGCTGTGTTATTATTCTTAAAAAAGTGTGTCAAATGAATTGTATTTTAATATGAAAACGATATCTATTTCCACGTGTTCCTCAAATGCCTACAAGTAGATGCTTGAACTTCATGAAGACCGATGTCATAATGATCCAATGTCCAAATCCAACCTCGATCAACTCAATTGGAAATATATCTATCCAATACGCTCTAAACAATTCCAATTTCAATTCTTCAAACTGACCATCTCTACTATGTCCACTCCAAAATCCTTCACTCTTACCTTCACAGGCGACGTAATGCTCGGCCGCCTGATCGACCAACTAATGCCAAAGCACGTCACCAACGAGCAGGACGAACGCGTCGTCAAAACTTTCATAGAAGCCCACCCAACCTTTTTCTCAAAAGGAAACTACACACCCACTTCGCCATGGGGCACAGCCCTCCGCATCCTCCACTCCTCGACCCTAGCATGCATCAACCTCGAAACAGCCGTGACAACAGCCCCAACCCCATGGCCCAACAAGGCATTCAACTACCGCATGCACCCAGCAAACCTAGGTCCCATCCTACACGCCGGCGGTGTCGACTACGCCAGTCTCGCCAATAACCACACCCTCGACTTCGGCATATCGGGTCTCACCGAGACTTTACAAACACTACAATCGGCGAATATCGCCCACGCAGGCGCGGGCGAAACAGCCGATGGCGCGCGCAAGCCCGCAGTGCTATATTTGCCCAGGGCCTCAGAGCCCATAGAACAAAGCCAACACCGCCACACAGTGCATATATACTCAGCCACCGACCACCCGCACGCATGGATCAGTGTGCCGGGATTCAATCTGTTCGACTACACGCGCGACACGCGCGCTCGGCTGCGGGAAATGCTCGTTGGCGCTGAGGCGACGAAGCCTGCGTTGAAGGTGTTTTCGGTGCACTGGGGGCCGAATTACGCTTGGCATCCGGATGCGCGGGTTACGTCGCTTGCGCATTTCTTGGTTGATGAGTGTGGGGTTGATATTGTGCATGGGCATTCGTCGCATCATGTTCAGGGCGTGGAGGTTTATCGTGGGAAGCTTATTATCTATGGTTGTGGGGACTTTGTGGATGATTATGCTTTGAATACGGAGTATAGGAATGATCTTGGGGCTTTGTGGAGGGTTGTTGTTCGGGAGAAGGGTGGTGGTGGGCTTGGGTTGGAGAAGTTGGAGATCTTCCCTACGCGAGTTGAGCGGTTTCAGGCTCGTTTGTTGGATTCTGGAGATGCGGATCATGGATGGGTTAGTCATAAGATCCGCGAGCTCAGTGCGAATTTGGGGACGGCTGTTAATGCGGAGCTTGGGAGGGAAGGGGAGGTCGTTGTTGAGCTGTCTGGAGAATAGATTGAGAGGGTATATTGGATATGACATATATGGCCACAATAGACGGGGCCAAGTACGGTTTCACTCTGGGATTTTCAGCCTCCAAAGTGGAAGTTATTCTGATGCAATGAATCTATAAGGTAGATCTCGACCACCTTCAGATGCTTACCGTTCTATTGAATCACATGTTATATACGGAAACGTCAATTTGAATGTTTCACAACTTTTCCACCGGCCATATTCTATATTCTAGCTATGGGTTGACGCCAGAATCGTATATTGTATCCGGGGGACTGCACCCAAGAACAAAATCCGTAGTCTTTCTTGGTCAATCAGCTTGTCCGTGCATCTCAAAATATCCCAAGGCAACGAATATGCAAGTGACGCAGCTGTGGACAGCGTCTAGCAGTACATAATACTCCGTAGCCAGTCACTTTGCAAAGTCATGACAAGTTCTGTGCGCTGGTTCGCTTCATGACCCTTTTGCGTGGAGGTCATCCACTTCATTATTGAACTGTGGCGATCATTGCTTTGTTTCACAACTCAGGGACTGCAAAAGAAGATACTCCCGAGGCCATCTATGGATGTCTGACGGCTGACTTGTAATATGATCTCTCATGGCAAAGGAAACAGTCGAGTGAATGGACGAACAGAACATCATGAATTATTCCAGTATAGAATACGGAGTACGGAGTACGGAATACTGAATACTGAGGTACAAGACTTGAATAGTTCTGGAGATCAAAATAAAGGAGCGACCTTGGAATAAAGGGGACATACCCTAACCGGATTAGGAAGTGGCGCGGGAGATCCTCTGTCGATCCTACTTCTCCCTTTCTTTCCCTTTTTCTCCGTACCGAGGTCCTTTGTCCAATGTCGATCATGAATTGTTTCTAATGCATATGCTCTACTTTGGCTCTCGCAATACACGTAGAATGTCTCAACAATTCATGCCTATGCAATACAACACTGCCAGTCCTGACCTCGGGTCATCCGGCTTGCAACACAATATCATTAGAATGACGGCACTACGCCAATGCAACCCCACCTTGCACTAAATTTTCTTCAGGAAAGTGACATCTGCACCGTATACCCACCCAAGTGGGTCCTATGTACCGACACAGAGCCCCGTTCTCAACCTCCATTCCCAACGAGGAAACTTGAAATGATAGCTGGGGTTTCCTATAACGGAATTAGCAGACACATGTCAATCCTGACCCCTTTCAGTGAGCCCCTCGCAACATTGTTCGGCGGGAATCCCTGCCTATGGTGGAGATTCGGCGACCAGGTTCCCGCGCCAAACGCTTGTGTGGAAGTTTTGTCTGCAGAGTACAAGCCCCCACATTACACGGCATATACTGGACCTATCGCTTCATCGACTAAAGCTTTCTAGCGACCTAGATTGGAACATAGGACCGCCGGCTGGTGCGGCGCTATTGAGAGAGACTACTCGAAATAGGGGTGTTTCCTATGAATCGACTACCCAGATTGGGCAATGCCACGTGCAAATGCTTCTCCGCGCTTTGTGCAGACAATGATTGGCTTGGATAACATACTCAAAGGAGTTTGTCCCTGCTCCCTGTCTCTGCGACTGTCTCCGAGAAGGATTGTTTTCTATTCGGATATCACCCACGTTACTAGCACTCTCGATCCCAATTTTAGTGCAGTGAGCTGCATCTATTCGAGGCCATTACGCTTGCTGGACATGATCAATTGACCCAACTGCAAATAGCCACGAGTTCATTTTAACTACTCTCGCTATATTTGGTCCTTGACTTCGATATTCAATATGCACGGTTCAATTCACACATTGCTTCCTCGAGAGGATGATGATGGTGGGGCCTCTCATGGCCGACGGGCATTGGTGGTAACGGCAGTCCTAACCGCCATTTCAATTCTCATTGTCGGAATGCGATTGTATGCACGATTTGGATTGATGAAAATTGCTGGCCGTGAAGATTGGGCTATTCTGGTCTCTTTGGTATGCCTCTTGAAGCCACGTCTGGAGTTAGATGAGCAGCTCGCTAATAAAACATATGTTTAGACATTTTCCATTATCTATCTTGCACTCGTCGCTGCCCGTACGTTCATAGTGCAGAGGTGAATTCAGAAACCACCCCACTAATATAGATGATAGAACTACATTATAAAATGGGTGTCCACTCGGCACTACTTTCCAGTCATGTCTTACAGCAACAACTCAAGGTACACTTTATTCTTCACTTCTTTTCTTTGTTAGTGTAAATAACCTGACTTTCTTCTCAGTGTTTGTGGGCTGCAATCCCTATGTACAATGCCAGCTTGGCATTCAGCAAATTCTCCATTCTCCTCCAATATCTACGCATCTTCCCTGCCAAAAGATTTCGCCTCGCCTGTTATGTCATGATAGCGATCGTGGCTGCCTACTCGTCGTGGGCCATTGTGAGCGGCTTCGTGGACTGTGTCCCTGTGGCAAAATTTTGGAACAAGGACTTGCCAGGCAGCTGTCTCAGCTTCGAGGCTGTCTGGTTCTTCAATGCTTCAATGAATATTGTAACCGATATAGCACTACTAGTCTTGCCGATGCCGCTACTTTCCAAGCTACAGCTGCCCCGCATGCAGAAGATCGCCTTAATGGGTGTCTTTGCCATGGGTCTCTTGGTTGTAGTCACCAGCATTCTCCGCCTATCTAGTTTACGTGAAGTAGCAAAAAGCCCCGATACTTCCTGTATGTCATCTTCTTGTCCTCTCCAATCGACTCCTCAAGCTAACCTACCGAACAGACAGCAACGTTGCAGCCGCCTATTGGACCGCCGCAGAATGCAACGTCGCTATCATGTGCGCCTGTCTCCCGTTCTTGCGACCTATCATCAGCCGCATCTTCCCTAAACTGCTTTCCGGAGGTAGCTCGAATCCCTATGCCAATAAATCCGCAGGGACAAACCTCACGGGAACTCGCGCTCTGACACACCATACTCAGATGTTTACTTATAACCACGATAAGGACTATGAGATGTATTCGATCAATGTTAAGCTTGGTGACCACTCCAGTCACATTTCGCTCGGCGGTATTGAGGTTACCACCGAGATGAGCATGAGTATTATGCAGGAGGCAACTCCGAAGAATAGTACCAGTGAGCATAAGGTGGTTATGGATGCTTGATGCTTTTTTGTTCTCTTTAGTTTCGATACATGTATTCTTTATTTTTGTTTATTTACGATCTCATTTAGGCGGCATACTTTGGCGGCAACATGTCTTTTTGGGCTCAGTATTTTGATGTGTATATTTAGGGGACGGGTGGCTAAATGACAAGTCTTTCTTTTTATTATTTGCATATATCGAGCTCTAGTAGTATGATGAAACGATTTTATTACTGCAAAATTAGATATGGCTTTTAGAGCGGAAGGGGTAATATCTAAGGCATGATCTAAGACATGTATTTCTAAATCTAATGACAAGGTAATATTTAAATCAAGTAACGTGCTCCTTCTCCTCCTCCTTCGGAATTCGGACCCAAACAATCGTGATCAACGCAGCGAGCAACTGCGCTGCGAGGCCAAACCACCAAATAGCACGCAGCCCATCAAGACCAATTTCCCCAGACGGGCCTTTATCAACACGGGTCCCAATAGCATCGGCAACACTAGTCAGAATCGCTGACGAGAGGTTCTGGTTGGTGACCAACAAAGCACCCGCACTCCCCTGATAGGACCGTTCAACATTACTAGTAATGAAGATTGAAGCCGCCGCGAAAGCAAGATCCGGCCCGAATGTTACCAGAATAAGACCCGGGAACGAAAGCGCCCAGTAACTGGTGTTGGCAGTCTGCGGCAGGAAAAACGCCGGTCCTAACGTGAAGGCCAGCATAGATACCGCGTAAATATAGTGACCCGGAACGAGGTGTAAAGTGCGGGCGACAATCAATGTCGCCAGGACACCGACTAGCGCGTTGGGAATATTATACAGCGCGGTAATAATCGGACTAGCGTGTTGGATACGCAGCCAGAACTGAATTGCGTAGAACTGCCAGCAGCCGAAGAAGGACCCGAAGCCAAGGAAGTACGCGATCATCAACGGAGTGAAGCCCGGTGTGCGCCAGAGGCGGTTAGGGATGAGAGGGCGAACTGCATTGCGCTCGGCGAAGAAGAGCCCGATGAAGAGCCCAAAGCTCACGATGATTAAAACGTACGTGTAAGGAGACCAGGATGCCACGGGGCCCTGCGTTAGCCCGAACAAAAGGCACACGCAGCCGCCGGCCGCGCAGAAGCCGCCGATGTAGTCGAATTGCTTGATCGACGGGGCTTCCTTACCGGATGCATCTGCCATGGGTCGGAGGGGTGGAATAGCGAGCCAGGCAGCCACACACAAGATCACGGAGAGAATGGCGTTTGAGCCAAAGATCCACGGGAGGTGACGGGACAAGGCACCGCCTTGGATTGCGCCGAGGGAGAACCCGAGCGGGGCGGTAGCGGCCATTGCGGAGAACACGCGGTTTTTGCGAATACCCGGTGTATAGACGCGGCCGAGGATGCTCATGCTTCCTGAGACGAGGACGCCGATGGAGAGACCCTGCATGGCGCGCACAATGAAGAATAGGACGCAGCGAGAGGGCTGGAGGCTGAATGCGCCGATTAGGTTCCATATGGCGAGCCAGGCGAAGGCTCCAACCATCAGGAGCTTTGGTGGCAGTAGGTCTGTTAGCGAGCCGGAGATGATTACCGATAGGCCGTTGGCTGTGTTGAAGGCGCCGATGACCCAGGGAAGCTCGGCGTTGGTGATGCCCAGGGCTGCTTTGATTTGTTCTTGCGGTGCGAGCACGTCGCCCAGTAGGAAGGAGAAGAGCATTAGACCTACTGAGCAGACGAAGATCAAGACCAGTTCGGCTGTGAAGCTTGAAAGCTCGGGTGGGATGCCTTGCTTGCTGCGAATCGGAGATCCCGATTCTTCATCGGTGCCGGGATGAGGTCGGGATACCGAGTCTGGAAGTTTTCTGTTCTTCATGTTGCCTGTTGTATCGAGGGCATAGCTCTCGATTTCACGGTTGAGATCATTGATGGAGAGGTCTTGGAGGGCGATTTTGTCCACGATCTTGTGGCCCATCAGTGGATCGGGGGTTTGTGCCCCGGTTGCCGGTGTTGAGTATGTCCTTGTGTAGGACATTGAGGACCGGCTGGATGCTGGCGCTGAGTCTCCTCCATCTTGGCCTTGTGGAGGGGTAATATTTAGATCCTGAGACCCGCTGGCCTGGGGGTCTGCACCCGCATGCGGTTCATTTGACATTTTCAACTTGTCAGAGACACGATAGTTCTAAGGTTACTATGAGTGATCTGAGGCGTTGAAGAAGAGAAGAAAAATTATTCAGAAGAAGGCGAAAAACGGCTAAATTTGTGATCAGATGGAGTGGAGTTGGTGGAGTTTTCGATTTTATCCACAAAGATAAGGTCAGGCACCTACTTTGTACTACAAGGTATAGACGATGATCGATGTATGTCAACAACGTACAATCTACAATGTACCTCCTGCACATCGATATTTCATGACATCGTGGTGATCGGAATCCCTTGCGGAAGCTTGCGTATACTCTTAAATAGTCGATCTACTTTGTGTTTCAAGAACGACAGGTATGTATATAGTCATGTCGACATAGTTATACTTCTTTCTAGCAATTTCTTCTCAGCCACCAAGGTTTACAGATAGTAATTCCCTTGAGATCCTCTATTCGCTTCTATCTAAAAATGACAATACCGCAATCAATTGCAAGATACAAGATCTACCCTCGGGATTATGTTTGGAATGCTGGATGCCACTAGAGAATGAATTGCGAATCATATGTATATCACTGTCGTCAGCTTTGATCATCTGCAATTGACTTGATAATATAACTTGATGCCCAATCTCTTTCTATAGATTTTTCAACCAATCGGATGCACGGCATGGCGGAATATGAATTCCGTGGCCGAAGGTACACCACGGGGCCTTGCATCAGGCTAATATTCGGTTATTGTCAGACCGCTATTCCCGAGCTGATCGGGGAGACTCGTAAAAAGCTCGAGAGACCCGAAATCTCGGCATTGTGAAACAGAAGCTAGAGTAGGTAAATCCTTAAGGCTAACTAATGGGAAATAGCCATCTTGTTAACTATAGCGCTGTATACGGAGTCCTGGTGGTGTCAAATATGCGCCTGCTTCCTAATTGGCTAAACATTCTTACTAATCAGGCACAACCCCCGAGGTCCTGGATTTTTTACCAGAGCCGAACCTGGTTGTGCCTGCCCATGTGACGATCATTGAGGTTTCTGTGAGGTTTCTTCTGATCTGCACTTGATCTTCAGGGTCTCAAACTCTATGAAGTTGGATGTTCGACTAAGCTTTGTTGATCAGGATCACCTTACATGCAGACACGTCATATCGAGCATGCAGATCCTCCTTGCTGAGGTAGGGTTGGACTACGTAGTGCGGCCTACTATTGAGATTTGCACAATTGTCTTGAAACCGAAAATCCAAGTCATTGCTCTTTCATTCGTAAATGCTAGATTGCTAGATTGCTAAATTAATATGCATGCATCTATATGTGCTTATTTGCCGAACACCTTGTAGCGGCCCTCGATAGGAGCGAAGGCCTTCTCACCGGGCCCAGAGTTGGGAACACCGAAGACCAGCTGGGCGTCCAACTTCCATGAGGCGGGGATGTCCCAAGTCTTGGCAATCTGCTCATCGATGAGGGGGCTGTAGTGCTGAAGGTTGGCGCCGAAGCCCTCAGACTGAAGTGCAGTCCAGACTTGGTGATAGTTAGTTTCCAACCCACTTGTTTCTACAAAAAGGCCGGGGAAGAGCACATACCAAGGTACTGAGACATAGCATTCGACTCCAGGGCAAAGGGGTCGAACTTGTCGGCGTAGATCGCGAATTTCTCCTTGATAGGAGCAAGCGACTCATAGTCGACAAAGAAAAGGACCTGTGTTAACGGGTAAGCTGGTGATTCGCCATTTTGACACGGAATGGTGTCATATTGGGGAGGGTGACCATACAGTTCCATAGGCAGCGCGGAAGGCATTCAGCTTGGGCTTGGTGGAATTCTCGAAGGTTTCCTTAGGGACGTGGCCAGCAGCGACCAGACCCTCTAGAGCATTAAGGGCGATATCCCACACCTTCTTGTGCTCCTCCTTCAGCAGGAGGACAACACGGGAGGTCTGGGTGTTGAAAGAGCTGGGAACGTGGAGAACGGCGTCCTGAACAATGCGATCAATGACATCGTCAGAGACGGGGCTCTCGCCCTTAAGGTCGTAGTATGTGCGGCGAGCCTTCACCAACTCGAAAAGAGTGGAGGTAGCCGCGTTCTTGAATTCGGGTTGAGTGGAGCCCATTTTGAAGGTGTTGAGGGTAGACAGGTGGATTAGGAGCGGGGTGAAGTGGTATAGAGCGATTCCGAGAAGGAAAAATAGCAGGTGAGCTGGGATGGGGGCTTTATACATAATGTGGATTGCGAATCCCTAAATCCATAAATCCATAAATCCACGTCGTTTTTCTATCACTTTCTCCATCCCGCCATCTCTAGGGCTCCATCTCGGAGTAAATTGGCCAATCACAGCCAATCAGAGTGCCGCGCCCACCTCGGACGGAATTGACAAATCTCCGATCTCATTAATCAGCAGAGGCATTGCGGATTATCAATGCGTTACCAAGCATCTTTCTATTTTTAACAAGCCCTGGCGGAATTTATTCCTATGTTGTACATTGGATAATTGTAAATCAACTCCTCAGATTCAAACTATTCTGTTCCTCAAATCCACCGCATCATGTGGTTGATATCCAAATGGCAAAATCCATGTTGGTGAACATATTGACAACTCAAGTTCAAATCCAGAACATGACGCCAACTACCATTCCACACATCAATCCTACGGGCGTAGCCGTCTTGACTCCGTGGTTTTTCATCGCTATTGGGACAGTGATAGTGGCCTTAGTGGTCTGAATTCCTCTGCAGTCACATTCACAGTGACACGGAATAGAGCTAGCAAGAACAGTCACCGTAACTGTTGTGCCATTCCTGTCAGCCGGCGAGGTGCCATTGCCGAAATAAGTTGGTGCACCAGTTGTCATGGCTGTCGAATTCAGGAACCCAACTGAAGCTAAGCTGAGGGGATCAGTGGTTGCGGTCGCGGTCGCTGTCGAAGGTGCAGTCAAACTTGCGTCACTAGTTGAAACATGAGAATTGGCAGAAGGTTTGGTTTCAGTCGCGGTAAAAGGCACAGGGAAGTCTCCAGTGTCTGTCACGATCAAGGTTGCTGGGAAAATTCCGAGGGTAGAATCGTCGCCCGTGGCTGGAACAACCACTGTGGCCGATGTGATAGAGCTAGCTTCGTGCAAGGACTTTGTTTCTGTGCATGACGCGCTTGTGGGTGTCGGGGAGCCCATCAGCGTGCATCCCGAGGTGAAGTCGAATCTGTAGCCGTTGGCAATCATGTCGTATGCTATATATATAAGTCAGTATGATGTCCTATTTGGAGGGCTGCTATGTTCTTACTGCTGGGTCCGTAGATGACGGTCAGATCTGGAGTAAATCTGTGGCAGGCTGTTTGGTCCGAGAGACAGTTGATTCCGTAGGTTGTTGTTCCATCTTTCTGTATTGGTTGTCAATGATGTATCACAGGAGAGGCAGACAGGATACATACGGCGCCTATGGCCTTGCCCCCGTAGCCCTGGAAGTAATCAGGTGCATCCGTGATCCATGGGATCGTCTGTCTGTTGTTAGTTTCTTTGGTATCATGGTAATTTTGGGGAAGGTAAACAGACAATTGTCGCGTCTTGGTTAGCAAGCCCGAGAGCAACCCAGCATAGTTGGATCGCCAACGCGAGAAGATATCTGAATAACATTCTGTATGTAGATTACCGAAGAGATCTCGAGAAGCGTTCCTTGGAGAAGATAGTTTTCAGTAGAAGAGGTTTGTTGACACGCGAGGCTATAAATTGGAAACCAATGCAGGTGCGAGACAATGTAGTATAAACAATCGAGGAATATGAATGGAAAGAACAATGGACCAACCACAGTGTTGGAAAGAGCGAATGACAAGCTGGATGCCTGGCCAGCAAGGCATGTATTTCCTTATTTGGTATACATAGTAGAGGTCCAGGAAAGGTCTGAGCAACACGAAATAATTTAAGCATCCAGGAGCCGCAGACACAAGCGTAAGCTATCGATAATCTTCAATGCTCAAATGGAAAAAGGCACCATAAAATGAAAATGGAAAAGCGTAGAATTGACACTACACTAAACATAAAAGCTAATCATACCAGTCCTCTATTCTTATCATCCTTGTCAACGGTCTCAAGAGGGGCGCTATCAGCGGATGCCTCTTGCTGGTGGAATTGGCATGAGCTCTCCTTTGAGTGCGCAGGGGACATCACAGCGGCACGGCAAAATATGTTGACAAGAAGTCCAAATGGCCCTGAAAGGCTGCACGAATAGACATCCAAAACGTACGTTAACCACTGATATATATTAGATGAGATAATAGCTAACACGAATTTAAAACTACGTACCTTGGAGTCATTTGAAATCTTAAGGAAGCGGAAAGTCTCCCCGGTGGTTACAAGCCCGTATATGGTGCAGTCCTGCTTATGAAGACTCTTCCTCTCTCGGTGTACGCAGCCTATTGAATCAGTTAGCGTCCCTGCTCAGGTGGTTTACTATAATGGATATTGTCGACCACTTACCCATATAGCCTAGGGCTTGCGCTACGCCCGAATCCGAATCCATGTTCTTAGCTTTCACAATCACAACATTCAAAGCAACCTCTTCAGTTTCACCGTACCAGACTCCGTAGTCTGTCCGTGCCGAGAGCATTATCAACTTCCCCTTCAATCGTACCGGCCCATGCGTGTACGAGCTATCTCTCTGGACGATAGGGCGTGCAACAGGTGTGCGCTTTGCTGCGATTGAATGGGCATTAAGTAGCAGGGCGTCGATGGTCCAGCGCACACTGACTTCTGTGGAGGGCGATCGGTTCGATGCTCCATCGATCAACTTCAAATACTCCACTGTAAAATGTTAGCTCTGTGATACCTTGATCTTGATAATACCATACCTAGGAGTCGTGGGGGGGGGAGGGGGAGTAATAGGAGTAACCTGCTCAAGCTCTTTGTCTCTTCGGTCCAGATGAAGATTCAACGCATTCTCGACATCTTTGATCTCAAGGCTGGAAATGGCAACTGTTGGATACTTCTCCAGAGCGGTCTCGACCTCCTTTGCCATCCTTTGCAGGAGAGCCTTGTCTACCTTTTCTTCATGACATCAACCAGCAAGACCTATGCCTGATGGCTTCTTCTCGCTGCCGTCAGCATTGGCTGTTCTGCTGTATTTAGTCATTTGGACAAGTAGGCACCATGTGCATAAGGAGAATCAAGAGTGTTTGAGGAAGATGAGTTCCTGAGGGGGATCTGTCTGTGTTAAGAAGGGAAGGAAAACAAAACAAGGGTCCTGCCCGGCGATGGAAAAGAAACCGAAAAATTGGCGTAAGATATAGATATAGTATGACGCCGCATGATTATGTGAATGACCATAAGAAAAGCGAGGCCCGAGCAAGGATCTCTTTGCAAGTGTCTCATCTAGCTCCTTGGGCATCTTGGGTATCTCCGGCGTGGCGGTTTGGGTAGTCCGAGCGCATATCTATGCGCAACCTTGGGATGGTTTCCCAGTCGACTGCATCATTTCCTCCTGAAACAAATAGTCAAGCAGACGCATTACTTTTTGATCTTGTTCCATCGCTAGCATTCTATAGAATGTGAGCTAGAACATCCAGCTATATCAACAGTGATTGTCTTAGTCATCACGTTACCATTTACATTAAGCGAGCCTATATCGTTGTTTGTCTTATTTGTGAATAGTGGCATAAACCGACCGCCCTCAGGATACCTATAAGAAGGTGGCCCTGCCCCCAGAACTTCTTCTTCTTTTCTTCCTTCTTCAGCTCTCTTTGCCTCTGGCTTAGATCAAGTGTAGTATCTGTTCTTACCAGTTTAATCTCTGGTAGTTCTGCATTGCAGAACGTCATGATTATTCTAATATTTGGACCTCGCGACTTGGCCTCTGTGCTTGCACACGCCTCGTTGCACAGTGTCACTGGGCTTACACTACCCCCGGTCGATGCGAACTCCTTTTCATCAACTGTTCGGCTTGTCCGGGCGCTTGGAGAAGATGAGATGTTTGTTCATTATATCGTAAGTGACCCATTTAGGTTTAGCGTTCATAGCACCTAGGTACCTACAATTTGTATGTAAACTACTAATAAAATTAAGTCCCTTTTGGCATATCATTATTAACTGCTTAATCAACTGATACATCGTCAATTAATTTAGCAGCTACCTAAGCAACTGCATGAGAAACTGCTTGAGAAACTGCTTGCAAAACTGCTTGAGAAACTGCTTAAGCAACTACTTTAGTAACTAGCTGAGTTGATCTGGTCGTGAACAAGAGCCCCTCCCCCTCCATTGCCTTTGTTTCCCTCTTTATGCTCTTCCCCCGTAATAGAGAGTATCGTCTAGCTAGATTAGGCCTAGTCTATATTTATTCTGCCAGTTGGATTATTCTGTCAAAGTTAGCCGATGACATTTGACCGCATTGATTCTAATGATTTTGGAGCCCAAATAATAGAAATCGTCCCAATTTTTCAAAGTGCGTAAGGCTGGCCCACGACGAAGTGGTGCGGCTTGCACTGCATGTAGCAAAGTCCCCGAGCGTTCACGAACTCGTCGCCCATGAGGCTATGGGTTATTGAGAGCACTATGTGCCCAGAACCCAGGCTGGTCTTCATCCTCTCCAATCACGGGTGCAGGGAATGTTTTGGATGAAGACTCCATGGTTGATTGTGATGATATTGAATCTGAGTGCTGGGGAATCGCTTGAAGTGTACATGAGAGGGCTGAATGTGAAGAATAAAAGATAATCGCTAACAATGGGAGATCTCTGAACAAAATAATAACACGCTCCTACACAGGCAGCTATCTAACCTCCTTTGCTCTCTCTTCTCAACTTAACCTCGTTCACTCTCTATTTTCAATCAACCTTGACTCCTATCTCATCTTGACTCAACTGTCTCATATCCCAACATCATGCCACAGACACAGATACTCCCACTAACACAGCCCAGGCTTCTAAACCGGCAACAAGTCATTGTCGAAGATGACAGCAGATAGTAAGAATCCATCCCAGATAAATTCAGTTCAATGGCTAACGATGATACAAGCTGCCTGCCAGAGGAATCTGGCCGTCACGGGGTTGAGGCCCCAAGCCAAATTCCCACAGGGGAGGCCGGGAGTGAAGATATGAATCCTAGTCCCTGGGCAGACTACGCTATGACATTGCCATAGAAGACATTTTGAATTGAATGCCTGACCAGCAAGACATATATTTCCTTATTTGGTATATACAATAAATTTCTAGGGAAGGTCTTGATATTACTTCCGCCCATGCAACACAGCCCATTCTTGCTTTACTGAAATAATCCAGCCTCCTTTCTGCATCTGATCCATACCCCTGCTCTCTCCGGCTTCGAAGGAGTCCTCGCTTCCACGGGGTATCCCTCTCGTCTCTGGGAGGGTTTGAACTGCGATGCTGACCTCATGCTTTGGCCCGATTGGCCGTAAACACAGCTCACTCGAGTCATCCTGAAGCGGCCGGAACTCACTATCGCCAGCAGACCTAGACCTTCCAGATGGGGGCGAAGACTTTTTTGACGGGTGGGCTGTTACCTCGGGGGTGTATGTTGAACGCCCTAGGAGGGGCCGCATCATAGGGATCGAAGCGAGGATGACGGCGAGACAAGGCTCCAGACCACTGAAGATGTTGGCACGGGGAATCGAGTAGGTGATGTCGGTGAAGTCCATTGTGGAGAGCATGGAGATACGAAGGATGCTGATAATACATGTGCTATACATATATTCTAGGTCAGCAAGAGCCTCTTGTGTTTCTTTCACTGGTTGTGCAAATCTTACACGCCTCCCAGTCCGAAGATTGTGATAAACGTCACTTTCTTATACCTAGCCATTTGCAACTTATATAGCAGGGGCATAGGTGTCACCAGCACAACAATATCGGTAATAAGATTGATAACTCCGGTCACCGTGAATGAGGTAACCTGGTTACCACACGATCCTCCGGGAATAGTCTGGTCCCAGTTGAAAGCGAAGGGCCGACATATCAGACATCCAGCCAGGATTGTCCCAATAGTCCAGGCTACAATCACACCCATTGTTATCCAAGAGATTCGCACGACCCAAGTGACGGGGAAGATGCTAAGATATAAGGATAATATGGAAATCTTTGTACAGCTGAGACTCAGAACCCAGAGAAATTGCAATGGGACGATCAGCTGAAGGAGTTTGGTGATAGGCTCGGTTCCATATGTGCCCGCAATTGTAATGACATGGCCGTAGCCGATGCCTGCTTGTATTACGCCGGTGATGCTAATGGACTGGAGACCGACGGCTAAAATCTGTATTGGTTAGCATAGTAGATATTGTTCGAGTTGATTGGGCGAATACTCACACCGGCGGCAATTATCAAATAGTCACTCAATGTCCATTTTTTACGCGCAAGATGGTGAGATAGCAGTCGCAGACATACTGCTGCCACAGAGAGGATAGAGAAAGCGATAGCCACGCCCAAGACCTGCCTTTGGGCTGGCGTCTCTATAGGGAAGGTAACGACCATTCTCCATTGTCGAAGGGAACCCAGCGAAGCGAAATAGGAGAACGATGTTAAATAGGTAATTTGAATCCAACCTGCAGCTAACTAGCAGGGATGTCCAAGGTAGCCGTGGGGGCCAAAATCGCCCGACAATGCGTCTAGTTTCGGAACATCGATATCAGATAACCTGAATTTTTATGATTAATTGTAGTAACTGAGTAACTAGTAATTGGTAAATTCTGCGCAGATTGAGGTTGAGAGATCTAGCAATAACACGAGTATTGTCACGTTCAATGATGAAAGAAACAAGTCTCCCCGACAGTCTCCGGGATCCTCAGTCATTGGTGGGCCAAATGCCGCTTATGCAGTCACAACGAGTCCATCGCTTTCTTAGCGCGTTTTGGCCTCCAAAACCAATTGCAGGAGGTCTAACAGAGATAATAAAGCTTGGCACAGTAACCGAATATGCACATGTTTGCGCTATGGAAGACTGCGTCCCCTTTTTCCTCCGCAATAGAGCATCTGATATGTAAACTCCAATACCCCTTATGGCTGCAACTCCTATCACGGTTGCGGTGGTGTTAGGTCTGTTGACACTGCTCTACATCGTCACACGAAAAAGGGATGAAGAAAATAAACCCCTCCTCAAGCTTCCTCTAATCGGCGATCTCCATAGCTCCCCAATTGATAAACCGCTTTTGAACTGGGACTCATGGACGAAAGAGAATGGACCTGTTGCAGTACCGAAGCTCTTCGGGCTCATACCGATTGTGGTGTTGAATTCATATGAGGCTGTGACGGAGTTGTTCAGTCGCCGTAGTCAGTGGTACAGCAACCGTCCGCCCTCCGTCAGCATGGAAATGATCACCGGAGCTGAGCCCGGGCAGTCAAAATTTACTCTGATGCACGACTACGATGATCACCTCAAGTTCCACCACCGTATCCTAGCGCCCAGTCTCGGCGCTCTTGCCGCCCCACAGTACCATCCTTTGATGGAGCTCGAGTCCAAACAGTTATTATTTGATCTCTCAAATGCTACACGTCAGTTTCCCCAAGGAATCAGCACAGAAACCATCTATCCACTGCTTGAACGCACTCAATCGAGTGTCATACTTGCTCTGCATTATGGCATGCGTATCCCAAGCTTTGAAGAACATATCTTGCATGAGATCATCCACATCCAAACCCAGGTAACCCATCTTGCTGCGAACCCCGGTATTCCGGATATTATCCCGCCTCTGCGCCACCTGCCGGCATTTTTGTCACCCTGGAAGAGAGCGGCCGATAAGCTGTACGCCACGCAGGTGGACCTCTATATGCGCTTGTTCCGGCATGGGAGAGACTCAGCAGGCTGGAACTCGACCAAGCAAGCCATCGCCACAGCGGAGAAGTACTCCAAAGGTGGTGTTCCTGATCTCGACCTCGCTTTCACCCTCGCAACATCTATTCAGGGTGGTATGGAGACTTCACCGCGGCAGCTGCTGTGGTTGTTCATTGCAGCGCTGCACCAACCGTCATTCATGGCGCGAGCGCACGCCTTGCTCGACGAAGTCGTCGGGCGCGACCGCCTCCCCAAGTTCTCGGATCGTTCGGGGCTCGCTTTTATTGACGCTATTATGCATGAGCTTTTCCGTTGGCGGCCTATTTCACCGGGATCCATTCCTCGTAGGGCGGACCGGGATGACGAGTTCAATGGTATCAAGATTAAAAGAGGCGTCACGCTCATGGCCAATGCGTGGGCCATCGGTCGAGATGAGAAGGTATTTGATCCCAAGCTAGGCGACACTGGGGACTTTGTGCCCGAGCGGTGGCTCCAACGCGATGATGGCGGAGAGGAAAGACTACGAACAGATCTTCCGTTGCCGGTCTTTGGGCAGGGTCGCCGGATCTGCCAAGGAAAGAGGGTCGCTACCGATGGATCTTTCATGCATGTTGCTTGTCTCCTGTGGGCGTTTGACATCGAGCCCGCTGATGGGGAACTGGTGGATCCATGGGCGATGGTCGTGGCAGGATTCATGACAATGCCAAAGGAGGTCAAATTCAAACTCCGACCCAGGGGTGACTGGGTAATCAATGTAATTAATAAAGAGTGGGAGACGGCGGAGAAAAGTCTCGGAAAGGTCATGGGAACTGACGTTGATGTTGAGAATAATTGATAGTAATACTATTACATATATTCAAACTCGCCTTAGATCTCGCCAACTCAGATCTCGGGTTTCTGAAGGGCAAGTGGGTATTCTGTAATCCTTGGCGGGTGTCTTCATTGTCGCTGTGTGGGATGGGTAGGTGTTTTGATGGTAAAATGAATGGGCTATTGTGATGGTGGAAACCCCAGAAAATATAGAAAAGCACCTCTCAAATTATTCCACATGGCCAGGGATCGAACGCAGGATCTTGAAATTCAGAAATCCATCCTGTCGTCGTTCCTTCCGAAAATAGGTGTCCGAATAGCTTCGATTTTGGGAGTCGAATAGATGTACCCTGCTATCAAAGTGTTTATCAACCACCACCATCCTATGTTCGAATTAATTTGAAACTTTGCAAATAGCAGCATGGCCCTACCTAGACTCATAATTTCGTTTCGGAATCTATCACGAGGCCAGGAAGGTAGAGCAGTCGAAGCTCTAACATTCTCTAGTGACATATCTTTTTACGGTTTTGTCCTATATGAAGAATCCAAACACCAATATTACAACCAGCCCCCCCCAGTGGCCCAGCGGTAGTATGACCGGGTCGTCCCTTGCGAGGGGCGTTCTCAACGGGCGTTTGGCCTTAACGGGTATTGCTTAGCTCCCCACTGTCGGTTCGGACTCCTATGTGCTAAAGCTCTCAAGAAAGTCTACAAGCATTTCAGTATGCAAGGCAAACACCCTTGGGTCAGCGACAAAGCATGCTTTCGGCCTAGACATACGTGTCTAGGGTGTTTGGTAGTGCGCTCCCACCCTTGGGGGGATGCCGTATTCCGGACGGTTTGTGGAGGCATATAGGAGAATGGCCGGAGGAGATACTCCTCTCCTGAGGTCTAGGAACGGTCTAGATGAATGGGGATTTTTTTTGATGCTATACATATTTCTTCCTTCCTTCTTTTTACCTTGATGCTATTCCTCCTCCCTCTTACACGTATTCAGCAGTGTTCCTTCTTCTCGATGTTATTGATATACTATGTTAGTTTCATGCTTCTCCCCCCCGGTGTTTTATCCCTGAGGCTTTACCTTCTTTCCGATCATGTTCATTTCCCTCCTTCGCAACATCTTCTCCAGCTCATTTGTCCCATCCAACTACCGATGTTCACCTTCCCACATTCATTGCTCCATTCTATCATGAACCTTATGCTTCTTCACTTCTTTCCTTGCTGTACCAATTTCTTTTCCATCTTTTGAATGTTGAACCATACTTGCCTGTATTCCCATATTCTATTTGCATGCTGACGCTTCATCTAACCAGTGACACCATCCACGCACGTTTACACTATATCGATCCCATGGCGGCTGGTTTAGTATGTTGAGAAACTTCAACAACTCGACATTGACGCCTCTACAATACTCAATGATATAGTGACTGGCATGAAGTCCATCTCTACATACTTCGATTCAAGGGGAGTGGCCTATTTGCTCACACATAGCACCTTTCGTGGTCAGATCTGGGCTTTGTGACCAGTGCCCAGCCATGGATATTTCCTCTGTGAGCTAACAATCTGTTTACATATTAGGGATCGAGTCAATACCATGGGTGCATAGTACTCGACGCCATGTCTGAAAACCTGGAACTTGAAGTTTTGATTGAAGACAGGCTCTTCTTGTCACATACAACAGTCCTAAGCCAAAGGATGCGCCCCAACCTATCGGACGAGTTCTAATCTTACCAGCTGCCAAGAGGCTCGAATGCCACTGTATAGACGACATGGCAGTGGGATTCGTGCAGATACGAAGGACATCCAGATGACTGATAGATTGCTATTTTCATTATAGGCAAAGTGTATACTTTAGCTTGAGGTGTGTCAATATCATGTCAAAAAAGTACCTAGGTGTTTCCGATTTACGGAATGGCATTTTTACATTTAACTATCAATCTATGGCTTTTATTTCAAACCGACCGAAGAAATACAAGACAACACCGAGCCAGCACCGGTAGAGATGGATTCACATCGAGAAATTGGCTAGTCGCCTTGACTTCTATGAACAATGACTACCAATTCCATCTCGAATAACGGGAATATTTAGTCCAGAAAACTCACGGCAGGCCAAGGAAATGCCTTTTGAGCCAAACAGAGTAAGCAAACGGTGTTATATACAGTATATGTTCAAGCCCCGATCCATCAAATGTTCAGTAGACGTAACGGAAGGAATGATTTTGCTTATCAGTCAGCCCAGCCCACCGAGTCTGGTCCGCCGCATCAACACCGCTCTTAGTCTGATCTCTGCGGTGGTTTTGCCACTTGTAATAGAAAAAGAGGACGACAGACAGTAAAGCAGCCGCAGCCTGAGTTGCAAGAACAGCAATCTTGGCCGGTCGGTATTCTGGTGCATCGTGTGACTGGAATGTTTGTGGACCAATGATGTTTCCGACCGAGAAAGACCCAGCAACAAGCGCGCTAGCAAATGCACGCTTGGTATGTCCAGCGCAGTTGGCCATGGTCCACTGGTATAGAATCGGAAGAGTAGCTACAATTGCGTTGACAAGATAAATCCCGATCAGCACACCGGCTTTGTTGCTTTTGGGTAGGAAGGATAGTAAGCCCCCGCCGATGATTCCAGGAATGGTACAGAGTATATTCCATGCCCAGCGATTGGAAGTTCTGCGGATGCCAAACCCGACGAGAAGTGTGAAAAAGATGCTAACGATGCCCGACGGCGTGTTGAGAAGCGCCGAGATGGGACCCGAGAAACCAAATCCGGCAATCAATGTCGAGGAATATGTCGTCACCACACCACTTGACACGGATATCTATGCAGTATTAGTCAATAGAACTGCAGGGGATGTTGAAGCAAGGGGGCGAAAGGTGGAATGTGCGACACACCAGAATTGTTGTCACAGTTAGGAGCCACAGCTGAATATCGAGCACGGCCTCCCGAATTTGTTTCAGGTTCAAATTTGCGCTCCAGACTCCAGTCTGGTTTTCGCTGACGTGTTGAAGGAGTGCCACCTTTTCGTTATCAGACAGCCAGGTTGCCTTCATCGGTGTATCCGGGATGAAGAAAAAGGTTAAACCGCCGACAACAGTCGTCACCAATCCAAGAACAAGAAACATAATCCGCCAACTGTCTAATAAGGCATGATGCACATGCTGGAACCCAAAAGATATGATACCACCAATTATCTGTGCCACACCAAGACCCATATACCACACAGTGAACCGAGGGGCTTGTTCGCTTCGAGTGTAGTACTGGCTGCTAATAAGCATCAAGGATGGTCCCACTGTCGCTTCAAAAATGCCTAGGAAAATGCGTGCTGCCAGCAGGCTCCGATACCCCCGAGCGCCAGAAGACGCGGCAGCCGCGACACCCCAGAGGAAAACATTTCCACCGAGCCATTTGGCAGGCGGTACTTTCTGTAAGAAATATACTGTGAATCGAGGGTTAGCAGTGATGGTCAAAAGATAAATCATAATACTCACCATTGGGTACCTCCGCGATCAAGTAGGCAATGAAGAACCATGTGGCGACGTTGGAGAAATCATTGCCGACGAGTCCCAAGTCTTTTTTGATCCCCATAACAGCGGCATACTGTACATGTGCGAAATCACCCTTGCGTTAGGAATATGGCCCAGACAGCTGAATTGAAAGTCAAACTCACGTTCAGCATGACCTTGTCCAAAAATTGCAGTACATAGCAGCAAAACATATAAGGGATCAATCTTCGATCGATTTTACGGCGCAGTGCCCGCAGATTGACTGGAGAGTCGAGCGCCTCCTTTTCATGGCCTTTAAGATATACCACGGCATCATCAATCTCATCTGCGGAAGGATGTGCTACTACCTCGGGTTGGATTTCACCCATCGCAGCTGGGAACAATTGAGTAACCGACAAGGAAGAACGTAGTTAATAGGGAAGTTGGGGGGGAAATGAAAAAAAAAAGGAATTTAAGAAATGGTGGTGGGAAAAGGTGGGAAATACAATGGATTGATGCGGTAAAAGTGTAAGTAACGTCGCAATCACCGTGGGGATCGCGTGGCTACACGTTTCACAACTAGCAACGAATCAGAACCAATAGTCCAAGACCCTAGGACCTTTCCGTGTTGGGAGTTACATGAAGTTTATGAAGGGGTGAGCTAAAGGACAATAATATTGTAAACAACCCTGCAAGGCCGGGAGAGTACGGAGAAATGGAGCGAGGAGCACAGGGTACATGACTAGCATTATCGGTCTTATTTCCACCAAAGAAAGTCTAATGTAATGGTGATTTTTGGCATTTCTTTCACTTTTATCACTGTATGCTGTAATGATTTGGTGAAAGAAACCTCGGTATATCTATCTGCCTGCCCTGGTAGACGCTTGACTATGTCCTCGTCCATACTCTCCCTTGTATCCCTTCGCACAATTTCTTAGCAATGGGCTGGGTACATAATGCCTCCCCCGAGATTGAAGCTGCCTCGCAGTACCGTCTCATTCTGGGTGTATGTTTAAGTCTCACCATTTTGATGGTTTGCACGGTTTCCCTGCGACTTTTTCTTCGAGCGCGAGCCAGTCGATGGGCGGCGGCAGACTATGTGATGGTTGTTAGTATGGTAAAGTAACCTGCGCGTGATACAAGGGACCATACGACTGATTCCAGCAGGCTTTTAGTGTGATATACAGTGCACTCTGCATTTCTCGTAGGCACCTCCAGCTTTCCTTTTGCTGCAAGAAACATACTCACCATCGCAGAAAGCCGATATGGGCTAGGGCTGCCGTTGAAGCAACGGCCAGCAGCAAATTACTCTACATATACGAAGGTCAATATCTTCTCCCTTTCAGTTTGATGCCTTGCACTTATTACATTCTACCGGCAAGCTGACAAGAGACAACTAGATTAATTACGCAGGACGACCATTTTACCAGATTGGGATCGCAGGGTTCAAGGCTTCGCTTTGCCTTAGCTATCTGCGGCTGATCTCTGGAACCTCAAAGCGTCTTTACCGAATTGTGATCTGGATTGTGATCGCGGCGTCTACGTTGGGTCATATCGCTGGTGCTTTGAGCCTGCTGTTCAATTGCACACCGGTAAGAATCTCTCCCCACGAGGGACATACGCGACCACACACTGATAATCATTTGGCCGCAACAGATCCGACGATCATGGAACGCCCATGTACCAGGCACATGTCTTCCCGTGGGAGGCCTGTTCTACGGTCTCGCGATTTACACCATCATCACCGACGTGACCATCATCGTGCTTCCCATCCCATTGCTCCTTAGCCTGAATATCAAAACTGCACAGAAGGCCGGTGTTGTGTGCCTTTTCCTCCTCGGTCTCTTCACCACAGTCTGCTCGATCATGCGGCTAACTCAGATACAACGTGTGGCATTCGGAGATGGAAACTCAACAATGCTTGTGTTATGGGGAACGATCGAGTTCAACGTGGGCGTAAGTGAAAATGACTACTTACTACCTAAGTGAGACAATGGCTGATTTGTGTATTAGAACATTGTCACTTGCATTCCATATCTGGCACCTCTACTCAAAGGCTTCGTGCGAGGACTCGGTCCAACCAGTGACAGAAGCAAGAATTATTACTATGACAGCCAAGGCAAAGGCTACTTGATGGGGAATTGGTCGAAGGATCGGCATTCGCACATGCAGTCAACTGCTTCCGGCCGTCCACAGCTAAAGCGAACACCAAGCGAGGAGCTCATTTTGGCTAGTCAGGAGCCCGATCATGGGGGTATCGAGAGGACGATCGAGTATAGAGTATCTTTAGAGGGCAAGCCAACCAAATAGGAAGGAAGCTTGATCCCGCCGACGAACTCGCACAAATTTTGGTTTTTGTCCGGAGTCCGGTCAACACTCTTTGGACGCAATTTCGAATTAATTAATATCCATGTTTTTTTTCTTTTCTTTCATGCCTGCCCCTCCCGCTAGCACCGTAATCCCTACACCCCTTGCCTTTGTGGCTGACTTAGTGGCAATAATATATAGCCATGTTATTGCAACATCCGGCTCGCCCTCTGCCAATAGCCATCATTATTAGCCGACTCGAGAAATCTGCGATCGCTTTCCGTGCGACAGTATCCTTCTCGAAGATTTCTGATTCAAACTGGTTGTCCGAATAATGCCCCCAAATAAAGCGGGATCCACAGGATCAACGCGCTCGGGCGGTGGACCCCGAAGATCCCGCGTGTACAAGTACTCCGTACAATGCGGAAATGCGCCTGAGACATGAGTAGATTGAGTCAAGGATACGACGCCGGTGCCAATTAAGATGTAACTTCATTAAACCAACTCTGGCTAGCACAAGGCAACACCATCACCCGAAACTATAATCCTAATTGAGTAATATAGAGGATGACGTAAAATAAATGTCTTTGTCCTGGCCTCTCTCCTAATTAGGCAAGTCCATTTCTTTGATAAATCTGCCCGAGCTGGAACCCGAGCCGTCCCAGGGGCCGATGGAACCCTATAAAATCTTAATTGTGTCCTTTCGGGTTAGTTGGCCCCAGAAGGATCCGGATACTTTTCGTATTGGGCTTTGCGGACTTGCCAAGCGGTGGGACGACTCATTCGGTACGGAGTAAACTAGGGCCGGGGTTGTATAGAGAGGCAATCAAATCGTAGTGCTACTAGAACTGCGCACTGTAACATGCCCACCATGTCTGAATCTCCCATTCTGATTATCGGCGCAGGCATCAGTGGCCTCGTACTGGCCCAGTACCTTCAGCGCCATGATGTCGCGTTCAAGATCTTCGATCGCGACTCCGCAATTGATGCCCGTAGTGGTGGATGGGGTTTGACGCTGCATTGGTCACTCCCCGCCCTGCGTGAATTATTGCCGGAGCACCTGGTCGAGCGGTTCCCGGAAACCTTCGTCAACAAAGAAGCTTCCGCCCGTGGCGACGTCGGTCGCTTCCAGTTTTTCGACCTCAAGTCGGGAGACGCATTATATAATATCCCCGCCGCGGAGCGCATTCGCGTCAGTCGCGTTCGCTTGCGACAGTTACTGAGTACCGGCGTGGATGTTCAAGTATGTCCTGATATGATCGTCTTGGAAGAAATCTCATCTTTCTCATACTATCATAGCGCTAACACCGTGCTTTCAGTGGAATAAAAACCTTCGAAATATCGAGTCTACAGCCGATGAAATCACAGCGCACTTCGAGGATGGCACATCTCACACCGGGCGGCTACTGGTCGCATGCGATGGTTCACGGTCGCGTGTCCGCGAGATCCTCTATCCCAACGTACAGATGAACCACTTGCCAGTGCAGCTTCTAGGTGCCTCGACATTGTACAGCGCCGAGGAGATGGGCGGCGTTGAGTCAATCGATCCTTTCATCTTTCAGGGCTCGCATCCTGAATCGAACGTGTTTTTATTCTTCAGCTGTAGGTCCGCCAAACCCTCTATTCTCTTCTGCGGGTTGCTGATGTCTTCATAGTTCTGGATACTCCAAACAATTTCGAGAATAGTAGCAAGGACCGTTACCACTGTCAAATCATCATCTCCTGGGCGGATTCGAAGGGAATCCCTGTCCCAGACACGAATGCCGAGCGCCTCGCGCTCATGAAGAAGTTGACTGATAATTGGTCGGAACCATTTCGATCGCTGGTGCAAAAGCTTCCCCACGATGTCGAAGTGCGATCGATTCGCGTGGAAGACTGGATGTTCAGCCTGGGCAGGGCGCATGCGCATCCTCGGGCGGTGTTGATGGGTGATTCGGCTCACACAATGACCATGTGTATGTTTACGCGAGCGTGATAGATTGCGCATATCTAACTTCAACTAGTCCGCGGAGAAGGCGCCAATAACGCGATTGTCGATGTGTTGGATCTCGTCACGCGTGTCGATATGCGCCAGCCAAGGTATGAATCTAATCACCTCCAATCCTCCAAGTTTAAACTCATGTTAATCATCGCTTTTACCATAATTAGTTCCTTCGATTCCAAAGCCTTGCTATCCTCTCTCGCAGCATACGAGAACGATGTCTTCGCCCGAGCCGAGCCTAGCTTCCTCAACTCTAGACAGGCATGCTTGGATGCTCATGACTTTTCCAAAATCGAAGGAAGTCCGCTGGTTGGATTGCGGGATTTGAAAAAATCCGACTGAAATCTCTGGGGCGCGGGAACGGATTCGTAGAAAACTTAAGTCCAAATTTCCCACCGTGTGGCAATACTTTAAGCGACAGAGGGATAACATACACAAGAATAAAGTACCAACAACTGATGAGATTTAAGACCTCGGGATGTTGTGGATGTCCCCGGGTTAATAGTTGCCCAAATCGATCGAAGTGCTTATCAGTGCCAAGTCTCAGACTCTCCCGCCCCCAACTCTCACACATTCCACTTCTCCTAGTACCAACGGAAAATCTAGGTCTGGAGTTATCCAACTCATCAAATTGACAAAATAGAGGCAATCAAATGCAAGGCTGACGGGCAATGAATGACACCGCGTCAAATCAAGCGACCAGGGTCCGTGTATCGCAGCGTCAGCCGCAAGCCTGCCGAGGTAAATGCCGATCCTCTGCTGCGACTCGGGTCTCGTAGGCGACTGACATGATACAGAATGCACGAAGCGCAAGCGCAAATGCGACAAACAAAATCCCTGTTCGAGATGTAAACGCTTGAATCTGAAGTGCTCAATAGAAATCGTTCAGCTTAGACGCAACGCTGTGCAACATGGGTCAGAGATTCAATTTTTACATTCGCTTTTGGCGGACCTCGAATCAGCCCCGTCTGATCCAGTGCCTCTTGTCATTCAAAAGATCAAAAATCAAATATTTCGGCTGGAGACCGGCATGGATCCGGCAGAATCGGAGGTATCCGACACCACATCGACACAACGGGAATCAAGTACAACCGAGAACCATGCACTTGGCAAAGTGTCCCACAGTTCGACTGAAAATACATCACATCAAATTGACTCGTCCCTTCTCACGGCTATTGAACATCTTGCTTGGGGTCGTAATTCTGCCGGATGTTTCCCTCACAGGACGTGCTCGTGCCAGTATCGCAAAGATGGACTTCAATCTTTATCAGGGACGAGTCCTCTTCCAGTCTATGATCCTAGTCCGGAGCTGCGCTCTTTTTTCCCCAATGCGACAGATGCCCAGAAGCTGATCAAGTTTCATTTATGTCATGTGGCTTGGCATCATAACTGTATTCATGGTCCGACATTTCTCGAGCAGTGCGAGTTATTCTGGGAAACTGGGAAATTTGATGACCCTCTCTGGCCAGCACTCTACCTTTCTGTCTTGAGTTCCACCGTCAGCTCAATCCAGGATAGTACGAAAGTAAAAGAGAGTGTTGATGTCGACCTCCAGGGGATACAATCTACACATCAGCTGTTCTCTGCTATGGTGCAGACCCTCTACAATTCACATTTTCTCAGCAACCTCTCCGTGTACTCTGTTCAAGCAATCGTCATATCGACCGAGGTCGCTCATAATCTTGGATTGAGTCAGCTGAACGCGACTTTATTCAATGCTGCAGTGCGCATTGCCGAGTGCCTTGGGATCCACAAAATTCAGGATCAATCAACGAAACTTGCTCAAAACAAAGAAGAATGGGATGAAAGAGTGGAACGAGAAGTGGGGAAGAGGGTATGGTGCCAAATGATCATTCAGGACCATTTCGCTATTCCTTTTACCGACACCTACAGTATATCTCCAATGCATTTCTCGACAGGCCCTCCCATGAACGCAGATGATTATGACTTGACTGATATGCCTATCACAACTCCCACTATAAGCACTTACATCCGTGTGCTCGTGACTTTGGCAGAATTGATGCCCGGTCTAGTTGACGGACTCGGTCCGATGAAATCCAGAAAGCCTATGCGAGAGCAATACGAACACATCCTGCATATAGACCAGAAAATGAGGGCCATTGTAAAAGCCATACCCTCTTTCCTTTTGCGTGCGGATAAAACGAAGGAAGCACAAATCCCATGGCTGGCTATCGCTCGACGAAGTCTCGCTATCACGGCAGCCGAGAAGATTATCATGATTCATCGGCCCTTCCTCTTCCGATCTTTCAATGATCAGACATATACCTATTCAAGACGTACCTGTGTTGCCGCTGCAATGACAATTTTGCGTGAGCACGAGGTAATTGTAAGAGAAGGGGATATCTCGATATGGACCCATACAGCCTTTGCGATTACCGCTGCGGTCATTATGTGCTTTGAGGTTAATGCAACTGCAGAAAACCAAGCCACTATTGCTCAAAGCCACAAGGACGCAATAGTTGCGGCTCGCACCCGCCTTGCTGATCGAAGTAATGACGTGCTTGCTCAACGAGGCGTTGCGTTAATCGATGCAATTTTTACGGCCGATGCAGCCTCGGGTCCAGGACTTGGCAACAAAACCATCGATTTCGGTCAAATTCTGGCTAAGTTCTCGACTTTTACGAGAATGAACCTAGGTCCTGACAGCCCTAACACATCTGTTAGCAGATTCTCAAATTCCGGTCCTCAAGATGTGATCGGTGCCCATTTTAACGAAATGCAGCCGGCGTGGGATACAGCGGAAGATATCGATTTTGACGCATGGTTCAATGGAACATTCCACACTCTACATGACCCTCTTCAGTTTTGAGAAAAGCGAAAATTCACAGCCGTTCGAAGCCATTCTTTCATTGAGCTACTCTAGCCATTGGTACATCTTAATTTATGCCCTCACATAACCCGTGTCGTTGACTCCCTCGTATTCCCGGAAGGGCTTGGGGGGAGTTGTGCTTGTCATTGTACATTGCCAGAGCAATCTCCTCTTGTCCTCTTCTTCCTTGTACTTGGCTAGTTGGCCAGTAATGCTGTGCATTACACCCCTGTTGTGGAAAATGACCACATCACCCTCTTGCCAATGGTGGGCATAGATGTTCTCAGCGGCATATATCTTACTCTGCATCTTGTACACCACTTCTCTGACCTTCTCGACGTCATCCATTACCGTGATCTCGCCCGTCGCTGGGTTCCGCGTGGTAAGTTTGTAAACGCAACACCCATGCACCTGGAAGAATGGCCGGTCGGGATTCAGCGGGTTTCGCCAAACCATCTGATGAAAGTTGTCAGCCGATGCTCATTACTATTGGTGTGCAGTCAGAATAGCAACCTACCGGGTGCTCGGCGACTTTGCCCCACGCCCATTCCGACAATTTTTCCACCGGTACCTCCCGTCCAAAGTTCGGGATCGTCAAGCCATCGTCGGAAGCTTTGCATTGGCGGATATACTCGTATGCTTGAGGAGCATAGGTGACTGTGGTATTCAGAGCAAACTCTTGTTCCTCCGGCGTCAACAACGAAAATACGCGAGCGCCAGAAAAGACTGTATTCGGTAAGTGTGTGCACCTATCTGCATTTGTTCGATAAACTCACAAGCCGTGGCTCCAGCACCAACAGTCTTCTCTTTCCCATCAGGGAACTTGATCTTCTGATCCGGCACATTGGGAATGCGGATTGAGTGCAAGATGGTCACTTCGCCTGGCAGGCGCTCATAGAAAGGAGTATCCATGTGCCACCGGTATGGACGAGTATAGCCATCATCTAATTCCTCTTGACTGAGAGGCTCCTCGTGGAACAATGTGTGGTCCTGTATCACTGGTCAGTCAAATGAAAGTTTAGTACGTCGGTCAGACGGGGGACACGAACAAGATGCACCACCTCCAACTCCTTCAGCCCCTCGTAATCCTGGAACTTCCCCGAGCCAATGATTCCAACTTGTTGGGCTCTAGGGATTCGTCCTGCTTTGTATGCAGACAAGATGTTCTTGGGATCACTCACAGCTTTCTCCCCTGCGGAATGGACGTCGGATGCTTCGGGATCAAAAACCTTAGCGAGCTTTGGCAAGACGGTAGGGTCAATGCCCTTTTGGTTTCTGATGACAATGACTTGATTCTCGAAAAGAGCTTTTCGGAGAGTATCTTTGTCGTTGTCGGTCAAGCGGTCCAAATCCAGCAAGGGCATTCCTGGAGGCAGTTGGACTTCGGCGCCAATGGCGGAGCTTTGTCTGATCTCATCAGAGAGGAGGTCGAAGGTCAAACTTGTTGATTCAGGCATTTCGTGTTTTCGAACAATGTTCAGATTCGTTTCAACAGGTAATGTTGGATATATTGTCGTCGTTGAGCACAACGCTGCCTTTAAGCAGAGACGAGAATGGAGCAGAGCGGACGAGTCCACGTATGTGTACCACCATTTTTGATAAGACCAACGTCTCGGAACGTTCGGTTCTCAACGAATAATGCTTTTTGTATTATCATCTCGATGGATTGGCAATAATGGTGGGATCCTATCTCCGTGGACGGGTGAGCTGGGACGGGTGAGCCGCAGCATCTCACCCGCACCGTCCTGATTGGTCCTTGTGGTACTATGTACAAACAGTATAAAGCACGTACGGTCGCTCAGCAGTAGTATTCATATTGGTCTCATCCTGATATTTATCTCAGCTGATTTATTCAAAATGGCTACCATGACTCTTTCTTGCAAGCCTGTCACCAAGCCCGATGATTCTCGGGTAGACTTTGGGGCTGAACTCACCGGCTTCGATGTTGAAACAATGACAGGTAAGCAATACTCAAAACAGCTTTATTGGGTTCAAATTCTGATTCATATTAGATGACGACTTTGACTTTCTCCGTCGGACATTGTATGAGAATCAAGTCGTCGTGATCAAAAGCCAAGGCAAACTCTCCCCACGTGCCCAGTACGAACTCACTCGACGCTTCGATCCTTCCGCCGGTGTTTATAGTCATGGAAAATCAATCGACAAGCGCAGCGTCCTCCATGCTGACCTGACAACCATCCCTCATCAACCACAAGTCCAAGTTATCGGCAGCGGCTTGGTCGAAGAGTATGAGGGACTCTCAAACATCCGCCTCAAACACCCACACCACAAGACATTCCACAAGAACCCCATCTCGCCTGAAGAAGATCACGGTTATACACACTTCTACCGCTGGCACATCGACTCGGCCATGTACAATCTTGATCCGCCTTTGGTTACCACGTTGCTGGCTGTCAAAGTCCCCAGGGGCCGCCGCCAGATCTGCCGCTATGACGATGGCACCGACACTACACTTGACGTTCCCCTTGGAACAACGGCGTTTTTCAGTGGATACCGCCTTTATGAGATGTTGTCGGAGGAAGATAAACATTTCGTCCGCACCAGCAAGGCTGAGTACGCACCTCATCCATACATCTGGATGAGCAAGGCCAAGTCCCGCTCCAATGGTTTGGGGATTATATCAGAAGGGTTGGAGCTGGCCGAAGACCAGTTGCCTCCTTTTGAGGCTTCTAAGATCAGGGTGTACCCCATGGCTTGGAAGAACCCTGTTACTGGCAAGATCGCAATGATGGTTTACCCAACATGTGTGCGGAAAATCCATCTCGAGAACGGGCAGGTGCTGGATAATCTCACGGAGATTCGAGAACGGCTGTACAAGATGCAAAGACAGGCCATTGATCCTTGCTACTTGTATACCCATGACTGGGAGGAGGGCGATCTGGTGCTTTTCAACAATCATGGTGTGATGCATTCGATTGTTGGTTCTTTTGAGGAGGATGAGGTGCGCGTGTTCAGACAATGTAATATGGCAGCTAGTCGGCCTCCTTTGGCACCGGAAGATAGCGTCGTTGATGTTTAGTATTTGAATGAAACTAGATATATCCAGACGACTTGTTATATTATTGGACTTCCTGTCTCCAAGCTGCAATCCTAGAAGGCGAATGTTACTCGATCCTGTGAGTATGTTTTGCCTGGATGACATATATCACTCACTGACTAGAATGAAGATATATCTTCGTGAGAGTCACTGCTATCGGACTTAACAAGACACATTAGTGGAGTAAGTAACTCTCCTCCGAAATAGGTACTAAATTTACCTTTCGGATTACTCCGCCGGAATGGGCTACAGTAGTTAGCATGGGCGAATCGCATTCAATGGCGTACTAGTCAAGGTTATGTCCGATCGCTGGTCTACCACGGATCACTCTGAATTTAAAGCTGCAAGCCGAATATTCGAAGGTTCTATTGGAAGTATCAATCCTACAAATGATGCCCTTCTTGTAGTACTTCTTTCGTCAGAATATCGTATCGTTTCCCTCGAAAATGACACATTCCTATATTAGACTATGGGTGAATTTCCCCAATAATGACACCACTTCCTCGAATCCAATCAGCAGCTATCGTGCTGCTTTGATTGGTCTAGCGTTGAATCTAAAGGCACTGGAACCTCCGCAATATTGGTGAAGGAACTCAAACGAGTTCACCGCCCTTTTAATTCTGCCGGTTCTGCCGGTTTAAAACTCATGTGACTTACTACCGCATTGTATACTTGATTGGAAAGCGGTCTGTAAAGGCGGTCAATTTAGAGGTTACGGAGTGGGGATAAGCTCATCAACCCGCCTCGGCACGCCATCCATAATTTAAGCTCTTCCCACACCGAAGTCACACCGAAGATGTGCCTGTTGGTGTACTTGGCATGTCTTGACTGAGTTGTAACGAAAAAGAGCATTTCTACAAGTACCCTTTTCCAGTTATGGGTCACTTTTTACAATGTTATTCCTCCTTTGCCACTAGTATCACACTACTTGGAATCACAATATTTCTCATACAGACGGTGGAATCTCTTTAATGTATAAGACTAACCCCTAACTAGGTCAATGCGTCGTATCCCCGCACGGGGCCTTGCTGCCTTGCGTCAGCAGGTGTCTCGGCAAGTGTCCGTACAACATATGTTGTAGATAACTGGGTAACTAACCAGTTAGGTTCATGCTAACTGAGATAATAAAACCATTTGAACCCTATGGATTTGGACTAGCTTCAGCGCTTTGGCATTGTCACTATATTGGAAGGAACTTGTTGCCATTTTGAGTGGATCTATCGTCACATCTGCGTCCTGCCAGCTGCAGACAAATATTAAGAAATCAGCGTCCTGTCTTTTTTTATCTCTCATAACATCACTTTTCTTTTGTGCACATCCGGTCAAACGTATTTCAGCTATGGCGAGCTCTAAAGATCTTGCCAAAGATCTGAATATATCGGAAGTACCAGCGGCAGATCTCGAATCCGAGAACACTAATCAAGATCCGGGAGAGTGGCTGTACAAATCCGACAGAGCAGAACTCACAGAGCTCACACCAGTCGAAGCCTTCAAATGGAGTGTGGAGGGGGACCAGTCACCTTGTAGGTTGACCCATATATCCCAACAGCCGATTTTAACACTTCTTAGTTCCGGAGGTTGCGGCTTGTGTGTCCAACAAAGATGATCCCACCATCGCCTGCAATAGTAAGTCATTGACCTTCTCGGTTTGGCTGAACTAACTCTCCATCACAGCTGTTCGGGCCTGGATATTGATGACCGTTTTTGTCATCCTTTTCTCCGGAGTGAATCAATTCTTCGGCCTACGATATGTATGTTTCAATTAACTCCACTTGGTATTTACTAACATCTCCTAGCCTTCCCTCACAATAGGATATGTTGTCGCTCAAATCCTCGTTTTCCCGATTGGAAGAGCATGGGAAAAGCTTCCGAGGTGGAGGGTACCTCTAGGAAAACTTTCGTTCGATGTCAACCCAGGAAAATTTACAATCAAGGAGCACGCGTTCATTGTTATTGTGAGCATAAGCAAAGTTTCACGTTCTTATGAATTATATCTAACAAATCAAAACAGTGTGTCAATATCAGTGCTACCACTGCTTACGCGCAAGGTGCCTTGGTAGCGATCGTCAGTCCCGTATATTGGAACCGGGACCTCGGAGCTGGCTTCTCATTCCTGTACCTTTTGACGACACAGATGATTGGGTATGTGCATCCTGATTCCTCTATCCTATTCAGTCACTGATCATTCACAGGTTTGGTCTGACAGGTCTTACCCGCCGTTGGATTGTGTACCCTGCTGCCTTGGTTTGGCCTACTTCACTGTCATCCACTGTTCTTTTCCGAGCACTACATGAGCCAGAAAGCCGTACGTCAGCCAATGGTTGGACTATTACTCGTTATCGCTTCTTTGCCTACATTACGGCATTTGCATTTGTCCTATTCTGGTTCCCCGACTACATCTGGACGAGTTTGAGCGCTTTCGCCTTTGTGACGTGGATTGCGCCTGATAATCAGAAGGTCAACACGATATTCGGAGTAAGCTCGCATGAATTTTGGCAATCACTACATGAAACTAATCTCGTTTTGCTTAGATGAATTCCGGATTAGGTTTGATACCTATCAGTATCGACTGGACACAAATAAACTACGCTGGTTACCCCCTGATGACCCCCTTCTACATCACATGCAATGCTTTTGCGGTTGTTGTGTTCTTTTACCTTTTCTTATCGCCGATTCTGTACTACTCTAATGTGTGGTACAGCGCATAGTAAGTTTCCAGTCTGATTGAGGGGATTCCAATATGCTGATGTTGTAGCCTCCCTCTCCTCTCGTCCAGCACTTTCGATAACACGGGACAATCCTACAATGTATCTCGTGTGCTCAACTCAGCCTTGGACTTCAGCGAGAGCAAGTATAAGGAGTACTCTCCCATGTACATCTCAATGTCCTATTCTCTGACCTATGGACTGTCTTTCGCTGCGGTTACTGCAATCGTTGTGCATACATACCTTTACAATGGTACCGAGATTTGGGAAAGGTTTAAGAATGCACGACATGGAGGTGAAGATATTCATCGCCGATTGATGCGCCAATATAAAGAGGTTCCAGAATGGTGGTACGGAGTTCTCACGGTGGTGGTGTTGGGACTTGGTATCTTGACAACCAAATACTGGGATACGGAGCTGCCGGTCTGGGGCTTTATTGTGGTTTGTTTCGGATTGGCAATGCTTCTGATCGTTCCCGAGGGTATTCTGCAAGGAACAACCAACCAGCGCGTGTTCCTCAATATCATAACGGAGATGATTGCCGGATACGCTTGGCCCGGGAAGCCTATCGCTAATCTGATGGTGAAATGCTACGGCTATAATGCAGTGAAACACGGCATGGATTTTGCTCAGGATTTGAAGCTCGGGCAATACATGGTATGCCTGTTTTGTACTCTCTTGGTCGACCTTTGCTAATTATTTAGAAAATTCCTCCGCGTGTTCTGTTCTTTGGCCAGATCTACGCTAGTATTCTAGCGACAGCAACTCAGACTGGAGGTATGATGTTTTGTCAAATCTGTGTTACATTTTGAGCTGACGACAACAGTCTTACGATGGATGTTTGGACATATTACTGACCTTTGCGAACCAACAAACAAACAACGCTTCACATGCAACGGTGCTAAAGTGATGTACAATGCTTCCTTAATATGGGGCACTATTGGTCCGCAGCGAATGTTCCAGTCTGGACAAGTGTACAATGGCCTTGTATACTTCTTCCTTATCGGGGTAAGTTCTCAAACACTTTGATATTACTGCAGTTTACTGACTCTCCAGCCCGTTGTTACTACACTTGTGTACCTTATTTACCGCCGCTATCCCAACAGCTGGGTTCGCTACATCAATGTCCCGATTTTCTTTAATGCGGCGGGTAATATTCCTCCAGCAAACACTAGTATGTCTCTCTAAAGTTTCGTGGTAGGATTACTCGATCTGACCAAATAGCTCAATATTCCCTCTGGTTCATCTTCGGTTTCATTTTCAACTATATCATCCGCAAGCGTGCATTTGACTGGTGGAAGCGTTACAACTGTGGGATCCTACCTCGTCAAGTTTCCACTCCTGAGAATAAGTCGCTAATTCAAGACGTGGGTAGATTTGCTGCAAGCAGCCATGGATACCGGAACTGCTATTGCGACCATCATCATTTTCTTCGCGTTGGGCTACCACGCTGTCAGTTTCAACTGGTGGGGTAATACAGTGGGATCCAATACGGCCGATTCTAAGTCCGTTCCCTGGTTGACAGTCCCCAAAGGCAGCTTTTTCGGAAAGGGCCCTGGCGAGTTTTGATTGAGAAATGAACTCGTTGTTCAGCACGTGGTAATAAAGTGATCGGACATTTGGAATGTGTACAAGTTGATACTGGTCAATCTTGAAGTCTGCAAGTCGCGCGTCCGGGTTGACGATGTTGATGATCTCGAGAAGTTGAAATACCAGAAGAATTTATAGTGATAATTCTTGTTGACACGACCCCAGTGAAAAATATAATCCAACGCCGGATTGTTTCTCTGACCTAGTTCGAACGGCCATTTAGCCAAGGATCCTGTAATAGTTCCTTGGCCGTTATTCTATCTTCTGGTTTCCATTGAAGCATATCCTTCATGAATTCCAAGAACATCTCTTTATTTCGGCCACTCAGAAATTCTTCTGACTTGTGCAAGGACGCATCTTTCCGGATCTCAAGATCATTTCTCCAATGCCCCGTGGGATAATATTATAAGCCGCATGCAATGAAATCTTTTGTTCAGTCTACTAGAATCATATCGTGGATGACATACCATCTTTAGAGAAGAACTCAGGGCTTCGCGTCCCGCGCCTGATTAAAGTCAAAGGAGGCGGGCCTAGAATTGCGATGACTTCAGCAAGATGCGCACGCGTGGAATACCCTTTCCTATCGGGATCGTCCCCATTAAACAAGTCCTTGCCCTCAAATAGGTCCCACGCCTAGTTTCTCGTAGTGATGAAGTATTGAACCTAGTATCAGGACATGACAACACGATAAGAGCTTACCATAACACCATCGTTCCATATATCAATCCGATAGCTCCATTCTGCCTTTAGCATGGCTTCCGGTGCTTGGTACTTCTGTCGCAGGATATCGCCAATGTTAGGAGGATAGTAGTGCCCCTTTTTGAACCCTTCAAACCGTTCTTCTTCGAGGGTTTAAGATGGACTGATTGTTTCAAACCCGCTGGTTGGAAAGCGAAGAGGAGGTGAAGGGGCTCTTCTAGATACTACCTTGGCCCATTTGATCAGAGAAGCCATAGTTTTGCATTGTAAAACCAAGAAGAGACCATGTTAGTGATCACCGCCTGCGAAGGGACCATAGTTATTGGGGCCTGGCCTGGATTTAGACCGCCGGCACGGAATAGCCCGACCCGATAACCCTATGAACAAGAAGCTTTTGGCGCCATACAACATACAAATTCATGCATCCCATTTTGCCAGGTGGTTAACACTCTCTTTAAGATGTACAAAAACAATTAAGCAAGACTTCAATGAACTAATGACAGGAATCAGAGGAAATAGTGTCTAGAAAGATATATATGACGTAGGGGCCGCAGGAGTTGTCGGGAATGATTATATAATCAAGGCCCCTGGTTTCCGAGGTTTGTTCCCCGGAATCCGTTCGTTCTTATATTAACGTCCAACATGTTTAGGTGTAAGGGCATTTAATGGGATAGAAGGGATTTATGGGTCTAATTTGAAGAATGACTTGCATAATACGCAAGATCTCAAATTGAACTCGACGCAGCACGTGTGCCAAGCCAAACGTATATTCTATGGACCCCGCTCAGATTCTGCAAAGAACTAGATTTTGAACCTAAACTGATTTGTTGCAGGATTTTCTTGTTTCTCCAAATGATGATCCAATGGGCACGGCAAAGCCCCGAGTGTCAAGCCAATTGCGACAGGATTCTAAATAGATAGAAGTTGATCATACGGCCCGAGAAACGCGCAATTGCGGCGGCGATGTCGTGATACATGAATGGCTCCACCCACCTCGTCACTTTTCTAAAGACAGTATCTGATGCATTTAGGTAGAATAGAGCCTCGAGATCAGTGCTGTTTAAGTTAGCTACTCGAAACACCCAAGTTGCCCGTCAAGGCATCTATCGACATTTTAGATATCACTTGCACCCCTGTCAGAAACCATTCTGTCTCATCGCATAATAACCCCCTTGGAGACTAGCTGGAATCTTATATCCCCACTATGTCCATAGAACTCCCTGGGGTTGCGTATGTTGTAGGCCGTGGCTCCTATTATTATTGTGTAATCCTCCACATGGACCGTGCTGCCAGTCAAGCGTGCGGTTTTATAAAACTCTACCTCGTCCCGTCTTTTAATCTATCTTTAACCTTTTGAGTTCGAGAGACCGAGAAAAATCGACAGCATGGCCTCGCAAAAAGAAGCCGAAGTGTCGGTATCGCCTCCTATCTCATCAACCACCTCATCAGAACGGGACGAGAACTATGAATTTTATAAACAACATCACGGTCTCGAATACACAGCACAGGAGGCCAAGAAGGTTCTGCGCAAGATCGATATACGCCTCATTCCATCACTGTTCTTAATTTACATGCTGCAGGTGGGAAATTCGCATGTCTCGCTCATTGCAATCCAAGTACTAATCTCATGCAGTATCTGGACAAGAACAGCATCAACTTTGCGTCTGTCTACGGTTTAAAGCAAGGGACACACTTAAAAGGACAACAATACTCATGGCTCAGTGAGTCTTCGGTTCTGAAAACTTATAATGCAAATCACTAATCTGACCAGGCTCCATTTTCTACTTCGGATACCTCATTGCGCAATACCCTGCAGGGCTAGCATTGCAAAAGCTGCCCGTCGGCAAGTTCCTTGCGATTACAACATTAGGTAAGAAATATCCTATGAGGACTAGGAATGTGTACTCAAGAACCATGCTAAGAGAAACAGTATGGGGCGGCTTGCTCATGACGACACCTGCATGCTACAACTTTGCTGGAATCGCAATCAACCGCTTCCTGTTAGGAATGATCGAAGCAGTTGTAACTCCTGGATTTGTTCTTATGACCGGCATGTGGTACACATCCGAAGAACAACCCCTGCGATTAGCGTCATGGTACTGCACTAATGGTATCGCGACGATGTTCGGAGGGTAAGTGACGACCAACCACCCACCTCTATGAGACTACATTGGAATCAAGTCTGAAAGCTAATCAATTATAGTCTTATTGGCTATGCGGTCGGACATATCACCACTGGACTTCCACGATGGATGTATGTATTCCTCATTTTTGGAGCTTTCTCCATCGCGACAGGAGTTTTTGCCCTGATACTTCTCCCCGATCTTCCGTCAACTGCCAAATTTCTCAGCGAGCGTGAGCGCGCCATAGCCGTCGAGCGTGTTGCCATCAACCGCCAAGGTGTCAAAAGTAGTCAGTTCAAATGGTATCAAGTCCGACAAGCGGCTCAGGATCCGAAGACCTGGCTTTTGTTCATTATGGCGATTGGTGCACAAGTCCCAAACTCGGCGTTGACCAGTGTATGTCTTCCTATAATTGGATGTAAACGAAGCTAATAACTAAAACAGTTTACTTCCATCATCGTCGGCACTTTCGGATTTGATACGCTCGGAACTCAATATCTTCAAATCCCGGGCGGTGCTGTTCAGTTCGTCTCTCTCCTTCTCGGAGGTTATATTGCAACAAAGTTCGATGGCAAATTCCATTCAAGATTTACATGCATGATCTTTGCCTGCACGATCTGTATTCTTGGAGCGGGTCTCCTTGTCGGACTGCCTAGCAGTAACAAATGGGGCCGCCTTGTTGCGCTTTGGCTATGCTATTTCCAAGGCTTGGGATTCAGCATGAGTCTGACAATTGTTAGCTCCAACATTGCTGGATACACTAAAAAGCAAGTGACAGGTGCCCTATTGTTCACTGGATACTGCGTGGGAAACATCATTGGACCTCAGACTTTCAAGTCCAGTGAAGCCCCTGGGTACAGCAGTGCTTATATTGCGTATGTTGCTATTCATCCTTGTGCAAAAGCTTTGATTGACTGGGTTTATACAGGATGCTCGCTGGCTACTCAGTAAAGCTGGCCTGTATTGTCGCTTTGTATATTTACATGTACCTCGAGAACAAGCGTCGAGACCGCGAAGCAATCAATGGCCAGGAGGTTGAGGCAGAAGGTGTTGAAAATGGCATGCTGGTGAGTGTCAAGCCCCATGAAGCCTCGATATAAGCTAACTCATATCTCCCAAGGACAAAACTGAGATCGACAACAAAGGATTTAGATACGTTCTGTGAACACTACTTACTCTCTATAAATTTGACAACGCTAGAAATAATGATGTTCTTTCGAAATTAAGTTTAGCAATCCAAAACACTGAAAGTCAATTGAAGTAACCTAATAACTGACCGACACTTATGGACTTGGAAATGGTTCAACCGTATTAGCTTCGGAAATAGTAGAGATAGAACACGGTTCTGGCCTTTATCTCTACCATCACCCATGTAAACAAATCTTGTCTCTGAGTTTAGGTGTTCACAGGCAGTGACGGCGTAGAGGCTTCACTCTATGGTATGAAATAGCTCTTTTAGCTCCGGACTTTCATCTAATATACTTAAGTCCTGTTCATTTTTTGACTTAAGGCATAGACGGCTGAAATTTCACCAATGGGGGAACTATTTCCTACTTTATTCTACGGCCAATGGATCCCAACCTTGTGTACGTGCTGGGCGTGCTATAACAAGAGACAGACTCGTGAATGTGCGGTAGTTATAGATCAGACGAAACACTTTAGATTAATGTTTGTCTAGAGCAAAGACCATCCTCGAGGCCGTTCCTATTTGGGGTTGCTTATTGCAGTATAAAAGGCATCCTCAGCAATTATATCTGCTTCCTTCTTCCTTCATACTCTTCATCATCTCATCAAGAACTTATCTTCATCTACCAACTATTCCATCTCCACTTCAATTCATCAATTTATCTAAGCCCTAATGGGAGAGTTTATTATGGTATTTTGCCCTATCCTAGTCGGTCTATTGCTTCAAAGGATTAGGTACTAACGACGGCTACACTATCTAGGCTGATCCATACGCCAACCTCCTTGTGTGTGAACCATTCGACTGGTGGGAGGACGTGGAGAACGACATCGCTATGAAGACACAAGCCATCCCTACAACTCCTACCGTCCCTATCACCGCCACTGAACTGGTATGTATACCCACTTCCATCACACATACCTACTGGCAGTTGCTACACCATTAGGTTGATAAATATTCCCCTCTTCTTACTC